TGCGTCATTTTTCGCTTCGCACCCGCTGGGGTACATAGCAAAACGCGGGGGTGGGCCCAGAGACCTGGGCAAACGGGCGTGGAGCAACTGACTGACATTTCAATCGGTTGCTGCACATTGGTTGAGATGGGCATGGCGGGCCGAGAACACTGTTCGCGCGTGCGGCTGAGGTGTTGAAAATAGGAAGTCTGCGGCATAGACTTCTACGTTGGGTACTGCAAGCTTGGGCTCCAGTGCCCGTGTCCTGCGGGGTTGCTATATCGAGCGCTGCAGCTGGGTGAACAGGTATGATCCGACACGTCTACCGCGACTTTCTAGAAAGACATCAATGCCGACAGAAGGTCACCGAAAACCATGCGGCTTTTGATATATCTGATGCCCTAGTGGATACACAGATCCCACGGTATGACGTATGCGTAGACCAAGGGAATAGCAACAACGGCATACTCTGAGGTTGGAGGTCTTCTGACAAGTTAAGTTATGGACTGTGGGCGTTTGGGAGCCGCATTCTCCGGGTGCACATGTGCAGACAATCATGTCGAAGGTCTGGCACGAGACTGGGCTTGTAGCCTCCAGTAGGTGTACGCGAGAAAAGGATTACTCAATTTTCGTACAATGCCGATCTGATGACCAAAGTTTTTCTGTTGTCCTGTTATCAAAGAAGAGGCCAAGATCTGAGCATGCAAGATGTTATTGATAACTCCACTCAAGAGTCAATCAAGACTCTTGGAGGGGAAGTAGACGCCAGACGGTGGGGCAAATTCGTAATTTGTCCTACTTGTCGTCGCCGCCGTTCGATGCGAGACACAGGATGGGACCGGCGGAGGTTTTCGGGTTTATTCAATACCAAAAATTGGACCTTCGTACTACCATTGACTTGGTGTCTTCACGGTGGGGATTGCAGTTACAGTAGGGCGAGCGTATCTTGTACATTATATTAACATTACGTATTGTTGTATAAGTCTAGTCATAATGAGGAAAACCATTCGTGTCGAGACCAATTGTTGATCCGAAAAATTGAGAGCATGAAACGCTACTTAGCTGCAACCGCAATCCATAGCTTGTCATGCCTTGCATTATCTCATTGAGAAGACCTGCCAGACACAACAACTTCTCCAGGAAGTCAAGGTACTATTCGCTTTTGGGGTGTTTGATAGGGTTGCCCTGCTCATCCACAAGTCCCTTCGCCCGCATAACCTTAAGGGCATCATGAATAGGGTCCAACTCTGGTTGCGGCGCCCTATGAGAGCCAAAGTAGGTGTCGGCAAAGGTAAAGTACTGCCCGTAGTTGACTGTGAAGTACATGTGGTGCAATGTGTGGTGGGCGGGACTGTTAATAAACTTTTCCGTCCAGTGGCCCGTGATCATGTCGCCGTCGTGAATGAAGATGGTCCAAATCTGGACACCAACGAAGAGGACCAAGTATAGGTACCTCTGCATTGGACAGATGAAGACAAAAAGGCTTTGAGGTCTTAGAAACGGGTTTTCTGAGAATATAGGTGACGGGCTACTTACTGGTATGGCAATGATTGCACAAACCCGTCAAGCGGGTGGAAGGCTAGCGCAGCCCATGGCGTAGGAACTGTTATTGTTAGCATCATCGTCTATATTTGCGAGAAAGTGACATGACGGTAAGAGCATTGCGAGCAAACAAAACTTACCAATCCATTTGTGGTGTGGCTTGTGGATGTATTTGTACACACTGGGGTGATGTTCCAGGCGGTGGATCCAGTAGATGGCAAAATCATTGAAAGCCATGTAAAGTGTGGCTGAAATCAACAACCAAGGCCAGCCATAGTCGCTGGTGTCGGCGTAGAGCAAGCTTTTGCCACGGACCTCGGCCAGGAAGATAGGCAGGGTCAAAAGATTGATGAATGGGACGGCGGAGAGTGAGGACACTATCTCTTGACGGACTTGGTTCTTCAAAAAGCGAGGGTGGTACTCGAGTCGTCGATCAAATACAAAATAATATGACAGAGAACTGAAAAAAAGGTAGAGAAGAGTCGCGCCGAGCTGAGTGATGACGAGTATCGATACGATCTGGCGATAGATGTTGTCGCGTGGCCATTGGGACGTGGGCGCGTCTTTAGCGGCCGAAAACTCAGAGTATGAGGAGTTCCCTAAGCTGAGGTCGGAAGCAGGCAATGCCCATGCGTAGGCCTTGTCCAAAACAAGAGGATTGAGAAACTCCAAAGCGACATCCATTGTAAACTGCTATGCAACGGCGGGCGTGAAAATTAGGTTGAACAGTGAAGGCAGCGGGAATAATTGTCGCACAAGTTACCGTTGAGGCGCGGATAGACTCGGTATCCGTGTTCCTTGGCTTGGCAGGGGTAAATTTGTTAAAAGTGGGGTACTTCGCCTCGTAAGATTGGTCATAATTTAGATTCTAGAAGCAAATTACCCCCAGACATCCGCCTTCCATTTCCCTCGCTTCTTCAACCCGTCGGCCCACGCCTTGACATCTACCTCAGCCAAGCCTTTCTTCTCCATGACAGCTTCCTCCAGCTTCATGTCTACCTCTCGCGCCATGCTCGCCTTACCGCAGATGTACATGTTCGCCCCTGACTCTAACATCTCCAGCACTTTGCCAGCTCGCTCCGCAACCCTGTCCTGCACATACGTTCTGGGTTGCCCCTGCATTCGTGAAAACGCAGTGACGATTTCTAGCTTGTCGCCTAGTTGCTCCTGCATCTTTACCAACTCGTCTTGGTAGATATAGTCATTCTGATTGCGGCAACCGAAGAACAACAACATCTTGCCGATGGGTTTACCAATCGCATGCAATTTCGCGCGTTCTTGGAGGAAAGCGCGGAATGGTGCGAATCCAGTACCTGCACTGATCAAGATCAATTGAGTCGATGATGTGATGGGGAGTTTGAACTTCGATTTCCTAACGTGCGCGAGGATTGTTTGACCTTGAAGGTCTACACTTTCGATTGTACGATGATAGACAGGAACGGGTGCATTCGTAGCGGACTGAAGGTTAGAGGCTGATAACAGGTAATTGGATGTCAGTCCATGGATGGTTGCTGTAGACTGATCTTCAGTCGTGATAGTCTTGTTCACGACGAGTGCAGTAATGGCAATTCGCCGTGGTGATATGACAGAGCTTGAAGAGATGGAGTAGTACCGTGGCTGCAGTGGTAGCAAGTTCTCTAGGACAAAGGCGAGCGGTATCGACCTCCACGCATCCTCGGGACTGACGAACTTGAGCAACCTAGCGAAAGTGATGTGTGTAGAAGCCGTAAACCGTTCGTAACGCTCACGATCCTGAGCGATATCGAGAAGCCTCGACTTCGCTCCAGGTGAGGGCGCAAACTGAGCGATTTCGAGCACTGCCTTACGAGCCACGGGAGCGCAAATTTCCAGATGATTCCGAAAAGCTGTCTCGAGCGTTGATGGAGACGGTACCTTTGGCTTATTGGCATGGGTCTTGGGTATGACAGTGAGGCGGTCCTGTCTGCGGTCTTGCAAGCCTAGGACGTCTAGCAATCGATTGACTTCTTCTTCAGGATTGATTGGCCAAACACCGACGTGGTCCCCGGTTTTGTACACGATGTCCGTATTCCCCAGATCTACCTCCAGATGTACGCAGTTGCGATCACTCGATTTGAACAACTCACGAGCGTGCTTGATGGTCAAAGGGACGATGGCTGAGTTGGTGACAGATCGTTGGTGGTGTACGGACGTGACGGAATACTCTTCGGAATCATGGCTCGAGGCGACGAGATCAACTTCGATGTTTGGCTCGTAGGTAATAGCCTTCTCCTGGAAGCCCATCCGTGTAAGCAGAGCAAAAACATTGTCTTTCCATGCCTGGTAGTCTTCTTCTGTTCCTCCGTTGGCGTCGTCCGCCCTCTGGCGTGGGATAAGCGCAGTAGCACCAGCAGCGTCGAGGGCATCCGCCACAACATCAAGGACCCTGTTATAGTACTTGTAGTTGCTGTTGCCAAGACCGAAAGCCAGATATCGCAAACTCTCAAGTCGAATCTTGTTCTCGCCAACGCGCTTGATCCAATCCCAAAGACCAGCTGTGTTATCGCTGGGATCGCCTTCGCCATATGTGCTCACGATGAAGATAGCGAAGTACTTCTTCTGGATGTTGGCAATGCTTTCGGCATCGTAATCGGAGAGGTCTGCGACCAGGGCGTTTATACCGAAGCGTGCGCCGCACTCTCGACCTAGGTTTTCAGCAAGTCGCTCTGATGTGCCAGACTGTGAGCCCCAGAATATGACACAATGGTAACCGCCCTCATCGAGGCGTTGGCAAACATCGCGGGTCGTGGTGGTCTTTCCGTCCGAAGAGCCCTCCGCGACTTGTGGCCTCTCGAAGTATATCTGGAGCGACATTGTGGTCAGTGACGCTGCTAGACTAAGGATACAGACTGATGAAGAAGCGGTTTTCTTACATGGTAATTTGGATCCGGCTTATCCCAAATGCGACCACGAGCGAGATAGCCGAGTGATGTGAGAAGAAAAAGAAGTGCAGCTAAGCCATCCGCTGTAGTCGAAGGCTTCAGACTACTGAACACGGGTGTCGTACTCAGCGCCTGTAGAAGGGGATTAAGCTGTGATCTCAGATCTGGAATATCGACCGGTAGACTGAACGAATCCATGACAGCGGAAGGATACAAAATGGCTACAGAAGTTTCGACGGGTTGAGTGAACAATATATCCGCGTTGAAGAGTATGGGCTTTCCTCAGTCAGCTTGCAGCATGCGGGCCATTAGAGACGAATACGCCAGCATTCGCACTGGCCAGGTGTTGGCGACGGACATTACTGCTAGAACTGTCTTGTTAGTGTAGTCCGAAAACTCAGTGTGGAAGCACTTCGAACTCTTGTGGAGTAACTCAAGGCATTCGGGTATAATCGTAGTAGACCAAAGTCGGGTTGATCATGAGGCGAGTAAACTACGGCACCCCCGCGTTACCCCACAGTTCAGCAATCGTCGGCGACCAAGAGTGGTTCCCCAGTTTAAGTCTGCAAGCGCGCATATGCTGCTCGTAGCAATACATGCCGGAATAGGTCATCATTCTCCGAAGTCTACCCTTCTGAGCTCCTGGGAGACTATCGTCATCCAATCTGTGTAGCTGCATCAACGGGCATTGAGGTGTCGCAACCAACACTTAAGTAAACCTCAGAGCGCACTCTCAAGAGTGGCTAACGGGATCACATTCAAACTTCCTGTCGTGTTGACCACGTTCTATCATGTCGACTGCAGCGCTCTCAATCCCATATGCAGCTGCGCTAGGCGCATGCGCTTTTCTCTACTTTGTTGTATATCCGGTCATCGAATATTTTCGCGATGTTAACGGTATGTTGACCATCATAGATGACAAAGGAGCTTCAACTAACGACTCAGGTCTTCGACGCTATCCGAACATGCACCCGCTCTCGGGTATCTCTTCGATACCGTTCATGGTGCTTGCACACGGCGGGGCACGGTCCACATACTTAGAAAAGTTACATCGAAAGCATCCAGTCATCCGTGTTGGCCCCAACTTCCTGTCATACGGCGACCTTCGAGCTGTAAAGGATATCTATGGCCATAACACGCCCTGCACCAAGGACGGATCGTACGTGATTACTGCGGGCTCTCATTACCATCTTGCCGATGTGATAGACAAGCACGATCATGCCCGAAAGAGGAAATTGATGAGCTCCGCGTATGCTATCAAGAACCTGGAGGGCTGGGAACACAAAGTAGCCGACAAGACGCAGAAGCTACTGAAGCACTTCGACGAGTGCTGCACCGCCCCACTGGCACCTGGACAACTTCCGCAGTCTGAAGACGTAAACCTTGACTATCGCAAATGGACCAATTTCTTCACATTGGACGCCATTGCCGATATTGGACTCTCCGACAAGCTTGGATTCCTCGACCGAGGTCACGATAGAGTTACTGGACGTAGAACAGATGGCTCGACGTACGAGTGTGACTTTAGGCCAGCGCTATACAACACAGCCCGGAAACAGTCGTTGTTGATCTGGCCATATGATTGGTATCCGCTCATTAACAAACTCTCCAACATCATTCCCTTCTACAAGCGCATGAGCGAATATGCAAATGAATGGGAGGGCGTACCGGTTCAACTTGCTCACAAGCGCCTTGAGCGATACAGGGCAGGAGAGAAGCTCGACGACTTTTTCCAGACGCTAATGGAAGACAAGAACGGCCACCCAAACAACCTGGAGTGGGGCGAGATTATTGCGGAAGTGAGCATCATGATGAACGCCGGATCGGCGACAACAGCGATTGCGATGGCCAACGTCATGTATCAACTGATTAAGCACCCTGAAATCAAGAAGAAACTAGTACAAGAGATCGATTCGGCGTTGGAAGATGACGAAGAGGAAGGCGACGGAGTCATCGCCTATGACAGGGTGAAGCATCTACCTTATCTTCGCGCGTGCCTCGACGAGTCACTCCGCCTCTTCCCGCCGACCCCTCATGGGCTACCGCGACAAACGCCAACAGAAGGCGCGAACATCCTCGGTGACTACATCCCAGGTGGTGTCTCTGTCGCTATGTCTGCATACGTTGCGCATCGACAGGAGTCCATGTTTCCACAACCCGATAAGTTCATTCCTGAGCGCTGGCTGGGTGAAGAGGGCAAGGCGTTGCAACCCTACTTTCTGGCTTTCTCGGCAGGCGCAAGAGGCTGCATTGGACGCAACATCTCATATCTTGAGCAAACTGTGGTGCTCGCGAGCGTGTTGCGACGCTATGACTTTGCGCTGAGCAGTCCAAACTGGGAGCTGCAACGGTTGGAGACGATGAACTGGATTCTGGGTGAGATGCCAGTGAAGATCTGGCGGCGAGAGCGAAAATCGGCACAGCAGGAGTAGGGAGAAGGCTTTTTGTTGCATAGCAGAGGTGTTTGGGTGCTTCATAGATCTGCGAATATAGCTCAAATTGATAGACGTGAAAGGTCGGTCGCATCATTTGGAAGAGACTCATTTTCCGTGTTGTATCGAGGAATGCATCCTGCGTGTGTTCGATATGCTGCGAGTCGATCATCTATCAAGGAGATGGACTGTGGAAGCCTTGATGGCGCGTTGTGGCGTAGAGTAGGCAGTGCATCACAGAGGACCGGTGCTTCTTCACTATGGTGAGGGCGCGCAAAGTTCGATCGAAGGGCGCGAACATCAACGCCCGGGTTCTTTCGCTCCCCGAACATAGCGGCTTAGCTCATTGATTGGCTTCCCCACACATGTACTACTGGGATTTCTCCGCTTCGCTGCATGTTATACATAAACGGTTCTACCCTAGTCTTCACATCTGAATCCATCAAATTATTTGATCAAAAACTTCGCCTATGTCCCAGCCTGTACAAAATCAGCCACCAACGGCGACTCCAGTACCGGTAGCTGAATCGTCGCCGGCCCCACCTCGTCCTGCGCGGTCAAAGAACGGTTGCAATGCGTGCAGGTATGCAGGAATTCCTTGATGCTCACCACCAATGCTCATCAACCTAGGAGACGGAAAGTGCGATGTAACGAGCAAAGACCACGTTGCGGTCATTGTGAAAGACTGAATCTCGACTGTAAGCTCAAACTTCAATGTACGCAATGTGTGTGAGAAATGCGCTGACTTCGCATACCAACAGGTACATGGCACCGGAACAGCACTTCCAAGCCATCTCAGCCATTTGTCACGGGACAGGGTCAGCACCAACCCTTGTTTTCTGGTCCACTACCATTCGACGGATATGGATTCGGTTTCGATCTATCTGGACCCTTGAGTTTGGGCACCTGGGATGAAGCCATGCTGTTGAGTCCCAGCTCGTGGCCAACCGACACCGGACCCTTCGCGAATGTGAATATGCATGCCGACCCTGTTCCGCAATCTATCCACCATCTCCCACACACTCAGAGGCCTTCTGGTCAGATTCTGGGAGTCACTACGACTGCCAATAATGGAGCGCGTGAATTGCCAGAGCGTAGACCAAACCAACCTGATCCAGCTTCAACTTCACCGTTCTCGACCGAGGATGCGCCGAATGGACCGAACGAAGACTATCTCTTACACACATTTCTTCAAATGCTCATGCCGCCTATCCTTACACCGGTGGAAATTGGTCCAAAGTGGGCATCCACCCGGGCCTTCTTTGCCACTTTAGCTGCAGAGTCACCTATCGTCAAGAGTGCCATCATAGCATTCGCCGCGATGCAGATGCAGCGTAGCGGGCTAGGTAACGACGTGGCCAAGGCAGATTGGAGGCCTTTGTACGAAATCGCAACTAGACAGGTATCAAGCCGCCTGGCAAAGACGCGAGTGGTCGAAGACAGCAATCTAAGGCACATGCTCGCCGCCCTTTTCTTGCTTACCTATACCGATTTACTTACGGAAATGCTGCCGCGAGCCCACGCCAACTTACGAGAAGCATACATGCTTATAAAGGGCGCGGACAAGATCAAGTTCTCTGTCCCAGAACGCCGACTTATTTCTTGGTTGCGTCTTCTCGATGCACGTGCTATCTCAACGGCAGGTGGTGAAGGACTCTTTTTAGCGGATACGGATGAGACCATCTTTGATGCATCGCCTGCTGCCAATCCCGGATCAGAACCGGACACGCCAGACACTGAGATTGAGGAAATCCTGTTTGATGTGTTATATCACCCCGGAATCATCTTCTATCAGAAGGTGCAGTCTTTCGCCGGCCGCATCACACGCATTGACCCCTGGCATCGTACACGCGGCACCGTTCAGGACGAGACAGAAGTGATGGCTATCGCAGCACAGATCTCTAAGGACCTGCATGCGCTTTACGGTCAGCGACCGGCATTGATGGATCATGCGGTCGCAGGAAACCTCACGGAGAAGCATCTAGCCAAGAATCTAGCAGGTGCGCTCACACGAAGCTTTCGCACATATCTCGCCAACTACCACGCCTCGTTCATACACTTACATCGCGTCGCGTATGTGCAGTACCCTAAGACCAGGGACGTCATAAGCGCTATCGCAAGTATAAAGCGTCTAACACATTTGATGGCGCAGACAGATGAGTCGCTGCCTGTTAACGTCTTATGGCCTCTCCTCATGTGGGGCTGCGAAGAGGATGATAACGAAGAAAGACGATGGATCATTGACGCAATTCGCGGTCTCGAGAGCATCGCTACCAATGCCAAGGCTACCGCCGATCTTCTGGAAGAAGTACAAAGAAGGCAAGATGAAGGCAAGAGAAGGGTTGACGTGCGTCTGGTCAGCCAGGAGTATTTTGCATCGTCGAATCATTTCGCTATTGTGTGACAGGTGCAGTTCAACATCAATGCCCATTGCAACTTCCCCAAGCACACGCTGTCGCTCTGTTTTTCGATCTCGGGCGAAAGTGGCAACGCGGAAAACCTTGCCATATACAGGTCAGTGCAGGAAGCACTTGTCATCTCTGGCACAGATCTGAGCCAATCAGATTGCAAATGATCCTCGGAGCACAGCTCCAATCGGGAAAATCTCCGCAACCTTCGATTCGTATCGCTTTAAACTGAGACAACGCGTGCCAGACTTGGAACACTGCATACGAAATGGGCGGGGTAAGTAGCCCGAATGAAAACTGACAACATGGGCTCGGTTTCCCGGCTCAACGTGGCAACCCCATCATTCACACTTCTTGGGATCCGTATTGTACGATGAGGCAGAGAAGCGGATGGTCAGTCAAACCGGCGCAATTAGTTTCAATGCACGCTAATTATTGAACAGTAAAGCCTGCCGTGAGCGTCATATCAAATGTACCACCTCTCACTATCCAATGAGATTCAAACGCTTAACATACAGGTGTGAAGTTGCGCGACTCGGAAAAATGCAAATATTGCACTGAGCGCAAAAAGCCATGCGTTCGCGGCAATGCCTTTCGCTTCCGTCCCGTCACAGCAGTGAAGTTCAATGCTGGTGAAGACATAGGTTCCGCCGAGCAATCGCTCGAATTCCGAGTGGGTCAGCAATGGGTGGACATCCCAAGTTCGTGTGCGTATGCGCCAGGTCCTATCCAACTACAGTGGCTGATAAAAAGTGGCGTAGTGCACTTTGTTGAGCCCAACAAGGATAGCGGTGACGAAGAAGAGTACGAAGCTGTGCCAGAAGGCGAAGCGAATCCCGAAAGCACGTCCAACGATGTTGATGTTACTTCGAATGTCCGACGACCAGACCAAAGTTTGGACGGAGTTTCCAGCGAGAGCCAACTGGCATCGTCATATCGTGACGTAAACCCATTTGCGACCGTTCCGATTCCAGAATTCGACGATACTAGCGATTTGCCGTCCATCCACGACGTTCTCAGTACTACTCACATCCCACCATCCCTAGTTCATGGCACTAGTGCTGGGAGCAACAACGCATCGCAACATATTCGAGCCGCCTCTTCGATAAACCCACTAGCAAACACCAGCCACTGGCAAGCAAGCCCCGGATCACTTCAACGCCTATCGCAGTCTCCAAGTGTGTCAAAAAAGAGCCCTTTCGGGTCAATTACTAACAACCAGTCCCCTTACAACTCCACAGCATTCAGTCCTTCCTCAGCACCACCACTCAAGTGGCCTGTGAATAGTGCACACGAAGCACGTCTTTTCCATCATTACCTGTTCTTCTGCACTTCATGGATCGACGTATGCGATCCACGACGACACTTCGCTGTCGAGGTACCGAAACGTGCAGCCCACTTTCCTGTGATTTTAAACGGTATACTGGGTGTTGCCGCAAGGCACTGCTGGTTGATGGGTAAAGCCGCAGATGTGTCGCAGCCCTACATAGATCAGTGCTTACAAGCGCTGATCGTGGCGCTTGAGGATCCGCTGGCACATTGGGATGAGAACTTTCTTATCGCTGTTATTCTGCTTCGTCTTCATGAAGAAATGGGCGAATCCGATGAACACTGCCACCATCTGGTACGCTCTCGTTTCTTTTGCCCAAAACAAACGTACAACATTGCTAACCGATGCGTGATCTCCAGGGTACTGCCCGTATACTAAACAGTATCTCATCGTTCGCCGCAGACGGCGGCCTCCGAGAATCGGCATCCTGGGTGTCTCTTCGCCAACACATCTACGTCTCTCTTACGACCCAAAAGCCCCTCAACCTCAGTCTCGATAACTACCGCCACTCCGCTGTGTTCAGCGAGTTCGACGACGAAAGCTGGGCCAATCGCATCATATTTCTCTTCGCTAACGTCCTGCAAGCCGTATTTGGAGGCAGCAACAACGGCAGCGAAAACGTTAGTCGCGAAACATGGAAAGACTTGAGCGACGAGGTAGATGAATGGGAGCGGACAAAACCCTGGACATTTTCTGCTTTCCATGTCGAGCCTGACGCGGGTGATCGGTTCGAAGGAAGTTGGCCCGAACAGCTCTGCCCGTCAGGCGTTGTAGCAGTCGGTTTACAGTACTACCACCTCTGCAAGATACTGCTGACTATATACTCCCCTAATGCCTCCTTGGTGGGGCTCGCCGGTGTCCGTGCCAGAAAGTCTACCGATGCAGCCATTCGCAAGCACATGAGGATAACGATAGGATACGGTGTGAGTAATAGTCACTGTGGAAATGCCATGTTTCAGGGTAGTCATATCCTAAGTGCATGTGGAGCGTATATCATCGATCCGAGGGAGCAGCAGGCTTGTGTGGAGTATCTGGAACAGTTGCAGAAACTGATAGGGTGGAGGACGGATGGCGTGCTGAGAGACCTCAGAGAACAATGGACAATCTGATAGAATCCTGTCACGCGGCAGATTTTCACGGCCAGGAAGCAATTTAATATTTTAATTGCGAAGCATCACTTTACAACGATGCTTCGAGCTCATCAAGACCTGATACCTGGTTCACAACCCATTTCCTCTTCTCCTCATCTGTGTATCGTGGATAAGGCCTTCGACAGTCTGCGCTGGTCTCTGGGTATCCTCGCTTATGCGCAACGACATACTTTGTGCCGTTGATACCACCCTTGCCGAAACCCCATTCGGTGACTGATAGTTTGATCTGGAGGGCTGACGCTTCGTCGTGCTTGCCTGATTGGTAGAGGTCGAACATGTGTAGACAGGACTGGTCTGTTAGCTTTCGATCGCACCAAACTGTAGCATATAGTACGTACCTTGGGATACAAGTTTGCGACACCAGTAATTGTGCCAACTCCGCCAACGCTCAGAGCTGGTATGAGCCAGTCACTTTGACCCGCAAGAGCAACGAAGTCCGACTTGCTGAATGCCGCACTGATTCTTGCAACCTTTGCAATTCCTCCGCACGTGAGCTTGACGGCTACGATGTTCTGGTGTTTGCCAAGGATGTCTAGCATCTCGGAGTTGATGTCGAGACCAGCCACGACATTGGGGAAGTTGTACAGAACGATGGGGACAGGTGATGCGTCGGCCAATTCCTGGAAATAGGCTACGATTGCATCCTGGTTCATGGAGAAGTGGAAGTAGGATGGCACCAGTGCGAGGTAATATGATGCGCCTGCCTCCTTTGCCTCAATGGTTTGTTGTATGGCATCGCGCGTGCAGCCTGCTACACCTCCAATCGTGATGGGAAGTTCTCCACGGCCAAGTCGTTGTGCAGTTTTGCGTGCTTTTTGGACGAGTTGGGTCTTCTCAGTGGATGATAATGTTGCCGCTTCGCCATTTGTTCCTGCGATGACGATGCCGTGAAGACCATTCGAAATCAAGAACTCGAAGTGCTTCTCTTGGACGTCCCAGTCGATTTCTTGTTTGGAGTCATTCTTGAACCAAGTCAAAGAGGGGACATGAATTCCTGGTGGGAAGGAGTATGTTGTGGTGCCGTTGGTGCCGTTTGTGGAAGGCATTTTGTATGGATCTCAGGAAGGAAGCAAGTAAAGAGGAGAACTGAGTGTAGAGGATGCATCCAAACCAGAGCGAAGCCGCCGCATTTTGGCATCCACGACTGCGCGACGCGTTCCGGTACTATGATTGAGCATGCGAGAAGACGCGCTTCAGCGTGGAGACGTGTGGATGTTCCATCGGCTGTTGAGGCATGCGATTCGCTGTCGGCTGCGACCGCGACGGTGACGTTCGTTTCCCGAACTGACTTCGCCAGCCTCGCCTGTCGGCTGCACTAGTCCCACGAGCTTCCTGTGCACGCCACCAAACCCACGCGACGAGAATGCGCCATCTCTGGAGACTCCACTGGGGAAGTCTCATGCTCGGATGTGGCAACCTGGTCGTCCGCCCCGATGGCCTGGGTGTTTTGTGGGGAAGCGAGTTTGCTTAAAAAGAACGTGGGAACCCCAGGTTTGAGATCGGCATCGTGACAACTGCGGAACGCGCAGCTTTAACACTTATCCAGTAGACTGAGCATCGTTTGTCAGTTCACAGTCATCATGGGTGGTTTTGCTCGCGCCCCCGAAGACCGACCAACCCCTCCAGAAGTTGTACGTTCTTATCTTCTCGGAAAATCGCGATCTGATAAGGTACTAACATGGCTCATAGTACAACTGGAGGGTCTACATGGCCGCACTTGTAATTTCAATGGGTGTTCTGGCCTATGGTTACGACTCCGCCTTCATTGGCACTACCATCGCCCAGGAATCTTTCAAACGAGACTTTGGCATCAACGCGTCGAACAAAAACGAGATAACCAGCAATATCACGTCCATCTATTCAGCTGGAGGCCTGGTAGGAGCACTGTTGATGTACCCATTCCTCGAGCTCCTCGGTCGTCGCGCTACGGTCATCATCTCAGACGCCATCTTCATCGTCGGCGCAATCATGTGTACTGGTAAGTACACGACCCCCTGTGCCGTGTATGTTGTGCCATACTGACAGTATTGTGCAGTCCCCAACGGCCAGTTGAGCCTTATTCTCGCTGGACGCTTCTTCACTGGCATGGGCGTAGGAGGCATCGCCGCCGTATCTCCCATCTACATCGCCGAAATTTCACCTCCCGCTATCCGTGGCCGCCTTACCGGCTTCTTTGAGTCCTTCTACCAGACCGGTGCCGTCATCGGATTCTGGATCAACTATGGCATTGTACACAACATGGACAGCTCAAAGTCAATTGCTTGGAGAGTGCCTATGGCTGTTCAGTTGATCCCAGCTGGGCTCCTAGCTCTTATGATACCAGTCCTCAAGGAGTCTCCGACTTGGCTGCTGAAACGCGGTCGTGAAGCCGAGGCCCTGAAGTCATACAGCTTTTTCCGCAACCTGCCAGAGGACCACCCTTATATTGCTCAAGATGTTCAGTACGTGCGAAACGAGATTGCAAAAGAACGTGCCGCACTTCTCCATGGTCAGAAGCATGCTAGCTTTCTTACGACAATCAAAGCCGCAGCACGCGAGGGATCTATGCCAGGCATGCGAAACAGGTTCCTCTTGGTATTCCTCATGTTCATGTGGCAAGCTTGGAGCGGAGCAGCGGCGATTAACTACTATTCGCCGACCATCTTTACGTCTATCGGACTGTCTGATGTCACGCTCTGGACAGGTATCTATGGAATTATCAAGGCTGGAGGCTCCATTATCTTCTTCACCTGGTTCATCGACATGTTTGGACGCAAATGGCCTTGGATCATTTCTTCGCTCGTATGTGCTTTCTGCCAGTACTATCTCGCCGTGTACATTGCACTTGGAAAGCCGACCGTGGGTGAGCCCATGTCCGAATCGACAGTAGCTGGTGGCAAGGCCGCAACAGCCATGATCATGATCTTCGGTGCGGCCTGGTCATTTGGTGCAAACGGTCTCCCTTGGATCATTTCTTCCGAAATCTTCCCTGCGTCTATGCGATCCATATCCGGACCATGGGCGGCAGCGTCGGTCTGGATATGGACTTTGATCGCGACCAAATCGCTGCCTTCTATGTACACCTCCATGGAGTGGGGTGTATACGTTTTCTTCGCAACCTGTCTTATCTGCGCTAGCGTTTACGCCTTCTTCTTCATCCACGATACGAAAGGATTGCGAATGGATCAGATGGACGAGTTATTCGGTTTTGAGAAGCGCGAAGAGTTTATTGTACAGGCAGATGGGAAGGATGCTGACTATGAGAGCGAGCACCACGAGAAAGCACCCGCGCAACGGACCGAAGCCGTATAGCTCGAGAATGAGAGATGTATGTAGTAATAGTCATGTGTTTTAGCGTCGAAAGTCAGCTTGAGAAATCCGAGTTCCTTTTCTAGTTCCAGATGAGCGAGAGCCAGAAATACTTTCACACACATGCATTTTGACACAACTTTACAAGCTTACACCTATATCCCTTTCCACGCAACGTAAGAAGAATCTACGGGTCTATCGAAACGGCCAAAAATAATAACGGTTGCTTTGGTTCTTACAACTCTGGTAATATACCATGTGCATTGAGTTATATCGTGGGAAGCGCTGCACATAGGCTAAATCCTTTCTCACTTTCGAACAATCTGTCGGGCCATCGAGTCCCAGGCTGAGCTACGTGCTAACCCAGTTCGTCTGAGGCCCTGGAAATAGTAATGCCAATTGCCGTATGACACTGCATATTGGGATCTGGCTTTGCTGCCTTTCAGCCGCAACCGAAGAATTGTTCTCGAAACGCGATGGTTACGGTAAGAAAAGGCGGTATTCGATAGGATGAACGACCACGAATACAATCGTAGCAAGAAGGTATAAGACGTACAACTCGCCTTACTCATATCTCCTTCTCCATTGATTCTGCTCGGCCTCAAAGCATCATGTCGTCGTTCATCCTCGTGCTACTCTGCACACTTTACGCGACATTAGTCGCAGCCATTCCACAGGCAGTAACTCTTGCTGCAGCACCCGTTCTACCACCAAAGGGCAAAGTCACCTTAACCACCCTCGACGTCGATCTTGAAGGAAGTGGCTGCAGACCTGGCGATGCCAGCGTCATGCTTGCTTCGGACAATTCCGCCATGACCGTCATTTTCGATAACTTCTCTGCCGCAGACGGACCGAAGAATGGGGGTGCGAGTACACGCGCGTTCTGCAGGGTGAATATCGGCATGACATCGCCTGGATGGGCATTCGACATCAGTTCTGCTGATTTCCGCGGATACGTGTACATCGAGAAGGGCGTGAATGCTAGTTTGGTCAGTCGATGGAAGTGGATTGACAAGAATGGGTTAGATTTGAAAGGCAAGGTATGTATTTCTGGCAGCTGGGAATGTTGCTTGGAGGTGCTAACATGAATCATAGGGAAACATCCAGAAGAAAATAACAGGGCCTTTCGAGGACGACTTCCTCTTACACAAAGACGGCGAAGTGTCGGATACAGAGGCATCGGTTTGCCAGAAGAAAGACGCAAGGATTCAGATTAGTTTGTCGGCAACTGTGGATTCTGGAACTTCGAAGAAGAATGGATACGTGCAAGGGGGTTCAGCGGATGCCGCATTTGGTGAAATACTGAATCTTTCGTGGAAGAAGTGCTGATGTATGAGTTTAATTTTATGGGGTATCAATTTATGGCCAAGAGAGAAAGTTGTCCGCCTTTGCCACTTTGCAGTAGCTGTTACTGCTCATGACAGGGCTAGACCAGCGTAGTTAAACTACGCCTTGGTGTATGCCGGCAAGTCCTCGGACTGCGCCTTAGCGGCAGCCCTCGCCTTCCTTCTCTCCCTACGGTCCATCTCCCTTGCGACTGCCTTGGCCAACTTCCTGCGCTCCTCGCGCTCCTTCTGCTTGATGATATCGCCCTTGCCCTTGCCTGACCACACCTTCCTGAACTCCTTACGGAACTTTTGGTTGAAGGTGAGGTACTTGTCGGCTTCCTCTTCCGCCTTGTTCTTCTTGTGTTCCTCCTCGTCGTCGGTGTCGTAGAAGTCGGACTCTTCATCAGCCTCGTCAGAGACGAGACGGTTGGTTTCTCCGTTGGAAGACTCGAGGCCAACGGCGCGCTGGTTACGCGCTTTGTCCCATGTCTTGGTGCGGGAGTAGGCGACGCATCCGGTAATGCTGAGAACCGTGAGGAAGGGGAAAGAGAGGAAGAGCATCATTACGATGCCGAAAGCGACGAGATCTTCATCCATGATTGCGGTTTGAAAAAGCGTGTTTAGGTATGTGTATTATTTGAGAACTGGAGACGTGGATTGCGGAGAAGAGAGGTATTTCTTAAGGGGACGGTTGTTCGCCACCCGCCGCCCAGTGTGGCGCAGCTACTCCGGAACCGTACGTCACAAGCGCGAGTCATGCAAAAAGCATGTGATACAAACTTTGTGACACGGTTTCACTCTTCATATTCCAGACTTATGCCGTGGCAATTCTTAGTATACTCGCAGCATGGGATTTTTAATGTTTGCTCACTGCCTGTAGCGGTCGTGTTGATGCCAAGCTGTTGCTGATACTGGCACTACCTAGGTATCCAGGTGCTGCAGCTCGTCCTTTCATGCCACTCCAACTCAGTCGCTCCACGTTAGCTCAAGGAGGGTCTAGAAGCATGTCCTAATCTACTCCAAGTAGATCATCTCTAGCTCCTCAGTCTCTCCCTCCAATTGGTCTTCGTGCCTCTCCTCATACCTCTCCGCCTTGTTTCTCCTCTTGGTCAACTTTGTAACCGCAGCATACTTCTGCATAGCCTTTGTGCCTACGCTGATAATCTTCCTTGTATGTCTCTCATAGTCTGCTTCTGGTTTTTGTAATACGTCCGCCCATGTCAAGCCCTTTCGCTCCATCGCAGAATCGACTGTCTGATGCCATGCCTTGATCGCGCCTGCTGCAACTTGGTACTCGAGGCCTTCAGTACCCTTGAACGTTGCCATCTCTTCTGCAAACTTCTCAAGCGTGCCCAGTGGCTTCACGGCTTGGATCTTTTCGACAAAAAATTCCAGTTGCGACTCCCACGGCATGTCACCATGGGAAATACCGTACTGCGCACCAGTGATGTCGAGAGCGGTCTGTTTCCCCGTGGAACGCACAGTGATGCGCATGCACCAGTGGGTTTGGTAATATCCCAAGTCAAGTTCTTCCCCGGGTTCTACAGTCACGATGGTGCACTCAGTAAGGGTCTTGAGGCGAACGTTAACTTCTTCGATGTGTACGTCGAGGCCTGTTATTTTTATGGTCAACGGTGTTTTTTCTCATCATTGGCGGATATTGTAGACGTACCTGCGAACAGCTGTTCTACGAGCTTCTTCAGGAAGCCGACATCGTAACACGGAGTGATCGCCAGCACCTTCTCCTTGGCTGTAGGGTTGCCGATGAAGTGTTGATTGGGAAAGTCAGCGAACCAGCCGTTCTTCCGCCCTGACTTCATTGGGTCCTCAGTGATAATAGTGAGACCGTTATGTCGTGTGGCAAGGGAAATGCTGGCACAGAATCTGCTCCATGTAGCTTCGCGATAGGCGTAAAAGACCTCTCGAAGTACGTAGCAAGCGCGGTGGATGCGGAGGTCGGGTGAGCATACTGGGACGGATTTCAAGAGGGTGAGATAGTCTTTAGTTGTGCTCTTCAAGCGGTGTCGAGTTTTCAGGTAATCGTCAGCTCTCGCGAGTGTCATCCGCTGTTTAGGCATCGTGTGAGTTTACCTGATAAAGGTTGAGCGGATGGAGGTGCTGGTCCAGACGATACCCTTCACACGGGCGTTTGCTCGTGTTGTTGTTTTGGGCTTCACCATGGCGACGAAAATGTCTAGTCACAAACAACGAAAATCTGAAAACAATCTCACTGCTAGAAGCCATATCACTGACGTTGTGAGCGATGTGGGAGATAGATCCCCTTAATGAATGGACGCCGAGAAGCAAGATGACAACAGTAAGACAGCAGTAAGACAACTTGAGAGACTATCTATACGTAGAGCTAACGCCCTTTTGCGTGCCGGCCAATCTCTCACTCCCTTATTCAATTTGAGAACAGAGTATCACAAACACAATCACTGATGCGGTATTGTAACTTCACTTTCTGCAGTCCCTTTTGAACAGTCTCAGATATCTTCCAGATTCTTACAACTCAGTCTCGAAGACGGTCTATCATCGTTTGCAATGATCCAGCGGAAAGCTGTCCTCGCTGCATCATGAGCTCTTGCATCGACGAGCTTGACAAAGCTCGCATCTGGATCTCTTCTGTATGGCTCGTTGCTTCCAATATGATAACGTGGCCAGTCTCCATATGAACTGTTTCCACAGCCTGCACAGTTGACGCTATAGAAGTCGAGCGTCGTACCTTCCATCTCCGCGCGGTGGCTCAACCCGCAAATAGTACAGACGTGGAGATAGCGGACTTCGCGGTCTAGGCCAGGTGGTGGTGCTTGAATCATGCCGTACGGTAGAGGGGAAAGAATCTCCGAGGAATGACATTGTGAACAGAGTATCTCGCCGCAACGTTTGCAGACCAGGTGCTTGAAAGGGAACGCTCCCTTGTAATGCGTGATGATGTTCTCGTGGCGGCAGTGACAGCATCTCCATATCCCATCTCCAATCTCGGCGTCGCTTCGCAAAGCTCGTAAAGCAGGATACTTGTTTTCTTGTATTATGTAATGCTCAGTGGGTGCTTCAGCTGGGATGGCTGAGTTGAAGTCGTCTTGTACGCTTCCGGGTTGAGAGCTGTCCTTTGAATTACGTTCGGCTGTTGGCAAGAAGAGATGATGGGCTGTTGTTGGTGCGTCTTTCCGCGTATCGACCTTCTCGAAGACGCTCGTCAGTGTCGATGTGAATGCTTTGGATAGTCGTTTGGCGCAAAAGACACTGCTCTGATGTTTCATGACGAGCTAGGTTGGACAGTGTAGTCGTCGCGCGGGCGAGGTAAGTGTTGGTGTGCGGATAAAATTGCATGTGATCACAGTGAAGAAACAGAGAATTGGTTACCTGTTCAGTTGCTCGCTCAGAGCGTAGTGGAGGTGCGATCGATCACGCCTTCCACCTTTCTCTCACCACGTATCTGCAAGGCAAGCGCGGTGAGACTCACTCCCGGCTTCGGCTTGGTTAGCTTCTCTCTTCGATCTTCCAAGTCTGAGAAGTAAGTATATACCCAAAAAGTATACTCCTGCTTTTGCTTTGCTATATATGCGCGTTTCAGTACGGTAGGTTCGCACATGTCTATCTTGGCTGTGCTGGCCATGTCAGAACCAAGTTGGCTTCCTCGTCCCAAGCAACGTGTCGAGCAAACGCGTGCCAATACTCAGGTCTACCATTACGGAATGCATGTTCAACTATGTTCATAGATTCTGTATAGTATACTCCCGTGGTACGCGTCAGAGTGAGACGGAGGTAGTGGTAGACGAAGTAAGCAACACTACATCAAAGAGAGAAACTCAACTTCTTCTTAGAGCAGGGTACTTCTTCCTACTACAATAAGGCGTATTAAAATTAATGTAGATATTAATTAGGAATCTAGAAGTCTACAATACTGTTAATCTTTACAAGTTTTTTTGTTAGAAGCTATTGTAAGCTGCAAGGTAAAGCTTGTTATCTCTATACATGTTCGGTTTTTCCCTTGTGTACGGTGCAAGTCGCTCTGCGTTGTAGAACACTCAAAAAAGGGATTTCCAGTTTCCTAGAAGTTGTACTAATAGTCGACTATACTGTTGGACGATTTCAAGTCAGAATGAACAGCATGAAAGAAGAAAGAGAACGAGATGAACAAAGCCGTCCAGGGCTGTGACGTACCGTTGCGGAACCCTGCGTTAGCGCTGACGCGCGGAACATTGAAGGTTACGATCTGTCCTCGCGTGCCTCCGCTTCACAACCGACACTCATCATCATCGCCATGATCCAGGCATTCCTCCAGGCAAGCTTACGAATAGCCGCTTCCAAGTTATACAGTATTAACACCATCTAGCGCCTGGCCCGCTGGCTCGACCGGCCGCTCTTCCCATGGAAGCGCCTCGTCGTTGGCTTCTCCCTCGCAGAATTCGCTCTCGAAAACTGGCTTCTCTTCCGTCAATACCGTGTCCTCCAACGAACCACTGTCCCCAAGGCCCTTGACAAAGAAATTGAGAGGGACACATTCGACAAGTCTCAGGTACGCGCACATTGACTGCAACCCCGCTGTGTTGAACAGCACTAACATAGCATGACAGGAATATGGTCGCGCCAAAGCCAAGTTCAGCTTCATCTCCGGTCTCTTCAACCAAGTCAAATCTCTCGCCACGCTCTACTTCAATGTATACCCGCTCGTCTGGGCCGCCGCCGGCACCGTCGTCGCCCGCTATGCGCCCGTCCGCTTCTCTGGTGAAATCACACAGTCGCTCCTGTTCATGTACATGCTGGGATGGATCGATCTGATTGCTGGTCTCGGATTCTCCTACTACCACAGCTTCGTGCTGGAGGAGAAGTTCGGCTTCAACAAGATGACGGTCAAGCTCTGGCTCACGGACATGGTCAAGGGCCAGGCTCTTGCGATCGCTTTCGGTGTTCCCATTGGAAGCGCTTTCCTGTCCATCATCAAGGCGACTGGCCAGGGTTTCTTCTACTATCTATGGATGTTTATGCTGGTCGTTCAGATTACAGGCATGACCATCTACCCGATCCTCATTGTGCCACTATTCAACAAGCTGGAGCCGCTCAAGCCAGGCAAGCTCAAGGAGTCTGTCGAGGCTCTTGCGTCTAAGCTCAACTTCCCTCTCTCAGAGCTACAGGTTATCGATGGCAGTAAGCGCAGCGCCCACAGCAACGCATACTTCACTGGACTCCCCTGGATCGGTAAGAAGAAGATTGTTATTTACGACACATTGCTGGAGAAGAGCACAGAGAAGGAAGTCGAAGCCGTCCTGGCACACGAACTCGGACACTGGAAGATGAACCACACCTCGCGACTTCTTTTCATTAGCCAGGCGCATCTATTCTACATGTTCGCCCTGTTCTCCGTCTTCATCGACAACCGCTCGCTGTATGCCGACTTTGGCTTCCACAGGGAACATCCGACCATTGTTGGCTTCATGCTCTTCAACGAGATCTTGTCGCCCACCGACTCCATTATCAAGCTACTCCTCAACATCTGGACTCGCAGCATGGAGTACGAAGCCGGTACGTACACTAATCCAATCCAATATCTCGAGCAACGCTAACATTCAGCAGATGCTTTCGCCGTGAAGCTCGGGTATGCGCGCGAACTCGGTGCCTCGTTGATCAAGCTTCAAATCCAGAACCTGTCAAGCATGGATGCTGACTGGTTCTACTCGAGCTTCCACCACTCGCACCCGATTCTGACAGAGCGCCTCAAGGCTATGAACTGGACTGGCGACAAGAAGGTCTCAGAGGATAAGGCGAAGGACGACGAGAAGCCTGTAAAGGCAGCGGATCGGGAACTGTAGGCGTGGATCTCGATCAGGATTTGTACAATATCGGGTATAAAAGGTCATGGGTACATGACCGCGCAGTCGCGAATGCGATAAGAAATTCGTAGAATACAGCTCGAATGCAATGGCCAGTATATCTTTCGATCTCGTTGCAGCTTGGGCGCAGGTGTATCTCTCGAGGTCGTGATGCCTGATAGCCCTACTCGGTCGCCTTGCTCTTCGCGGCCTTTTCTTTCTTCCTCTGCTGATCTCGCTCTTTCTTCGCCTTCTTCCGCGCCTCCTTGTCTATCTGACCATCCGCTACGACCGGCTCCTCTGCCTGCTCGTTCTTCCTCTTCTTCCTGTCCTTGTTCTTGGGAGACTGTACTTGGGGCTCTTCACCACCCTCTTGTACAACATTCGTCCTGTCGCCGATCTCGCCGATTTCGATATCGCCTTGCTCCGCTTGGTATGAAGCTAGATCTTGCCAATCATCGTCGGCACCCGCCGCTTTCTTGCCTGTCTTGCCCTTTCCACCACTGACAGTGACATCGGCAGTGAAATCCTGCTGGTCCTCTTCCATGTCTAGCGCTCGCTCTGGCTCTTGGTATTCGCCGCGCAAACCCGCTGCTACACGGCGTAAGTGGTGCATGATTGGATTGCCCATGGCACCGCCTTGCGCATTGAATGCGACGCCTTCTGGTGTGATGGTCGCATCGGGGTGAAGGTGTGGGTGAGTTTCGGAATTTGAGAGGTACTTTTCGAGGATGCCGGATGCGTCGCTGAGGGAGATGGGCGCGCCGGAGATGTGGCGTCGCGGAGGAGGAGCCTCGAGAATCATCTTGGCGCTTTTGGTGGGAGGTAGAAAAAGTTGGTGGGTAGTTAATGTTGTAGAACGTGATAGAGAAGTTGCTCAGGTTTTTGGTAGCAAGCCGGCCAACTTTTTGCGCACGGACGGCAGCGATTGTGTTAGCTTTGCGGACTTCGCGACGGGCATGCCAAACTGCACGCTCGCATCTGCATATCGGGGCCACGCCACCACGAGAACGGTACAACAGGCAGAGAGGAGGCAATTGCGGCTCCAACACAAATCATGAACGCCTTCCGGTGCTTGAGGGTCGTCGCGCGCCCTGCAACCAGCGCATCTACACTCCTCAGACCACGCATAGCACCAACATACCAGTACATATCTCTCCCCAAGACCCTCCCGCCACGCATCTGACCAGCCTACCAGAACATCTACACCCTCATCAACCCGCCAAATATCTCTCCTCACACCCCGGCGTCCCATACTGCCCCGCACAAACACCCTGCCAGCAGCCGGCAGCACATCTTTCGTACCCTCATCTTCCGAGACACTAGACCTCGCCTCGAAAATCTCCTCACATCCTGGTCTGGGCAGCACACAGATCCGATGCGGTCCGCGCGATACATACAACCCAAGTCATCTGGTGCGGAAGAGGAGACATGGATTCCTGAGCAGGATTAGGACGAAGAAGGGGAGGAAGATGATCATGAGGAGGTTGAAGAAGGGAAGGTGGAATATCAGTCATTAAAGAACTGTCCATAGAGAGGGGTGGCGGGTTTGACTGCTGGATGATTCCCCAGGTGCCCTTCATATGCGAGCAGCAAGAGCGCTATGTGTATATTGAATGTACTGTGTGTATGCGTACTCTGCATCTATAGGCATGTACTATATGAGACGAGAGAAATCAATAGTCCTCACCGTCGCATCCACTGATATCCCGGGCCTCCTTACGTGACTTCTGTCGCTACCGATGAGTCTTGCTGACCGACATCGCTTCGACCAGCGCAGGTGTTACCAGCTCCAAAGCCACAACCTGACACTCCTTTCTGAGAAAACGGATCTCTCCACATCCCACTTGCTCTCGTGTTGACGATGCGATCGGCAGAAGCGCTGTAAGCCTTGGGCGATCGCCACGCATCTGCCGGATGGTGATAGATAGGCCACGGATGGTTGCTGTTGGTACCAAAGAAACCTTTCCAAGATATGATCCGGAGCTTGATGGCTTTCCAGATGCATCTCAGGCCCTGACCTCGTTGTGAGAGATCGGTAATTGGTTTCAGAAGGACGGTCATGTCAACTTAGATGTAGTGTCTGAGCGCCAACATCGCCATCGTATCACTTTGGCATTGAGGATTCTGCATCTTCAGCCTTTGCCTCTTCTTCCGTCGCCTGCGTGCCGTCCTCTATGCCGTCCTCTATTGCTTCCACAAGCTTAAGCTCTTCGTCAACCTTATCGATCTGCTTTAAGATGAATGCGATTGTTGCGTCTCTCGCCTTGTCCACCCTCGTCAGCGCATCCATAGTCATCTTCCCGTAGTCCTGCATCTTCTGCGGCGTCGGTGGTGCAGGCTCCTCGTCCTGCAACTTCGCCTTCTTTTGACTCAACAACTTCCGCAGTGCGAAGATGTTGTAATCTCTCTCCTGTAAATTGTTCACAAGCTCTTTCCGCTTAGCTTCCTCATCAATTCGTTGTTTCTTGGTAGCCTGCTCTTTCTTGATCTCGGTATCAGCGTTTTTCCATTTCCAAATGGCTTCTTTGGCACAGTTTTCAATGTGCGTGAATCGTATGGGACCGATGTTTTGCCCACCGTACCAGCGCGCAACAACCACAACGCCTTCGGTCTGCGTATCTCGTAATACATTGCTCAATCGACCTCCAGCCCACTTTTCGCCGTCATCATCGTGGCCAAGATCATACAAGGTCCGGGAATCTGGCATCAAAGACTTTTGTCGTGATGGTTTCCGCCATGCTGCGATTTTGTGGGTTGCAGTTCGGAATTCGGGGAGTGTCTGGAGGACTTTGGCAGATAGATTGGGAGAGAACGCAGCTGCGAAAGTGGAAGTCTGCTCTTGTATTGTTGAAGAGCGATATATTTCTGATGTAGGTTTTGGGGATGGAGAGCGTTCCCTTTTCATAGCCATTTCTCTTGTTGGATTGGTTAGGCTGAATGTCGTGTTGTTCAAGTTAAAGAAAGGACGGGTGGCTGGTAAGATGGCAGGGTTGTAAACTGAGGCGTGTCGCTAGCGCAGACTCCAAAGAGACATCGTGCCGAGTGGTCAATACTTCTTCGATGAACATCATCCTCGTCAATCAAAGTTTCATCAATTCACCTAGCTCTTCTGAACACCAAAGGTCATATGTAGGCACAGAGCCTGTCTGATGCTCTTCACTAGGTGCACAGCATCTTTCTTCCGAATCATGAAGGATTCCGTAGTGTGCTCGTCATTGGACTCTCCTCAGATTATACGATGTGCGTTCATTTTGTATGAAGGTATCATCCTACTAAGCTCAAACATGAGGCGACTTGCTACATGCATGTTGCCTTTGCTCGGGCGGTCTATCAAGAAACTTTGACGGCCAGATTTGATCAAGCCGGTCTCTTATCACCACGTCATGAAACAAATCCTTGCTCAGATACATATCTTCACCAGTGGTCTCTTTACGTACAGTTTCCCTCTCCTTGTCATCGCTACATAGTCACTATCTAGCCGGTGACAAATTTGCTCTCTGATTTTCTTGCCGATAACGCCGCTGATACCTGCCGGCGTCTTTGATCTTTCACTTCTCACTTTAACGAACACGTCACATCACGCGCACGAGCTCGCAAATTACAATATCCACACCGCTTACTCGTCATTAGGATGCCTCGCTACGACTTGAGATCCGCATCAAGCGAGCGTCTCTTACTGCTAGCGCGCCGGAAAGTATATAGGCAGCCGTCTCTGACCTTCTCCACTGACTTTCTACCACCCACCTTCTGCTTCGGTATCACCAATATCTGGCCTCTTGATATTGTTCCGTTTCAGTGACTCAAAATAAGCTCAGACAACTTGTTTGGCGCAAAGCTTTTGCGCTCAACAGCGACACGGCTTTCATTTGTCTGAGCGAGCTTTTCGCTCCAATCCACCAATTTGCATCTGACGCGAAATCTCTTGCTAACTAATCGATTGATTGACAGATCCGGATACTTTATTCGAAAATCTCAAGACATCCTCTCCAGTAAGCTCAAGCTTCGCGAGTCGATTGTGCATAGGGGCCAACAATCACCATGGGCCGATTCGACACCCTAAACAACGAGACCAAAGATTTGGTGGAATGCATTCTTCCCGCTCTAGCACAGTCATTTGAAATCACCGACTGCAAAGAAATCATTCCCGAAGACATCCGTATGCGCGCCTGGGACTGTGAACGCCGTGACCACATCAAGGACAAGACTGAGAACGACCCTCGCAACTGGGGTGTGCAGTTTCTGAAAGATCTGAGGGCTATTTCACGTCTCAAGAACGGCAACCTAGATCAATTCCAAGTCGATCTGCGCGCAAAAGTCGCTCTTCATGAACCTAAGCATCCGTGGTGCCGTCTAGCCGATATCAAGGAGCTCAAGCTTGATTATGAGCACCCAGAGCGCCTCATTCAAGTCGACAAGGAGGAGTCAACAGAGGAGTCTTCTGAAGACGATTACTTCGAGGAACTTGTAGAGCCAGATCAACCCAAGGGATCCAAGAAGCGACGCGGCAACCACGAGCTCTACGAGGCACGCGTTGTGGAGAAGCGCCGCAAAAGTAAGTCGGCCCTTCTGGCATATCATGAACGATCCAACAAATGTTCAGTTGTTCATTGCGAATCATCGAATGTAAGACCAGATTGTTGACACTGAACAGAGGCACCTGGCCGTCTCCGCCGCTCGCCGTCTGGCGGCTTCCAACGTTACGACAAATACGCCAACAAGCGCAGTCGCTCCACTCGCACCAGCGCCACTCCTGAAGGTCGCCACTCCGCCATTCGTCGTCCTACTCGAACCATTCTCACCGACGATGAAGATTTCATCAGCTCTTCCGGCGGTCGTTCTCTTCTTCCCCATCCGACTCCTGCCTTCTCCGTTTCTCCTGGTCCACAGGGAGGGCGCATCTACCCCGTTGAGACCGCCGATACATCCAACGAGCCTGTCGCGGTTCAGAAGCTACAGGCTGAGTTGGAAGTTGCGGAGGCTGAGCTCAAGGCCGCTCGTCTAAAGTACCAGTACCTCCAGGCGAAAGAGCAGGCCGAGAATGAATCCATGTACGGTGATAGCGGTACTCCGGAGCTTTCTCAGAGGTTTAATTAGGGACATTTCGGCGGATCTTGCTGGGGGATTTTGTAACTCCTTAGGGTGGATCCAGGCTGTACATGGTAGGATGAATGCATGTAAGGCGTTAACAGGACATCTATGGCAGGAAGGATGGGACGGCGTTTATGATGGCAGCAGTAGGAATCACGATCGTTGCTGGCAGAAGGCGATTGCAATTCCATAGGCTTCTTTTCCCTTCCGGAGTCAATTGTTCAAGCTCATTCTCAATGCTTTTCCCACGCTGTTGCCATGCCTAGGTGATACACGTGGAGGGAAGTCATGGTCAACATTGCTTATTTGCACTCGCTGCTTGATCTGATTCTGGAGTGCTTATATCTGTTATCATTTGCTGGTGTGCATTCTGCGCGTCTCGTGATTCCGGGCCAGGCAGATATGGTTTGTAAATGAAGTAGTTGCCGCTTGACTGCTTCGACATCCTCCTTCCGCAATTTTACTGTTTATCAAGCCTCAAGCTGACAAATGTTCGGTCAAGTCAGTTCTGAGCGATGAAACCATGGAGGGGTTTCGGTTGTCCAAAGATTATGGAGGTGGGCAACTCTTTTCGATCTCAAGCCGAAACTGCACCACAGCAACTCCATATCCGCATTTTGTCCGCAGAAAAGGGTCAGGAATCAAGTTACTCAAGTCGCGCGCAAAAGAGTATCCCTCTTAGACAAGGATAATTTACGAGCAACGGATTTTCCAAGCCAGCATTACTAGTGTTCACTTGAGCTGTAGTTGTGCAGGGATACCTCCTGGCCGTTGCATGCCTGGTACGCTCGGCAGCGTTTCCTCCCGGTTCGGGCGTAGTTAGTCAATGCATTCTCCTGCAAAGTGATTTTCTCGAAACTATGCATGCCATCACATGTAGGTAAGCTTACGCCTCCGAGGACATTACAAGCTGTCATGCATCTACCCCAAGTGCATGTACCCCACATTTCATCCTTACGGCTCAGGTACGCGTTTCTAGACTATTCGGCACGACTTCCATACCACTCGCACCTGCCTGTTTCGCGGGTCGAGCAAACCCATTCTGCGGGCGAACCAATTAGGAACTACGCTCCGTTAGCGCGTCTCCGCAAGCCTTCCCCAGATCGCCTGATCATCCCGACTCCGAGGCTCCTGGTTCTACAAAATTATCATGCACGCAACAGGAACCATTACCATGGAGCAGCCATCTCAAAAACGAGTATCGAAAGCGTGCGACGCGTGCAAAAGGAGGAAGGTGCGGTGTAATGGCCAAACGCGTTGTCAACAATGCGCACATCTCGGTTTGCGGTGCATCTACTCACCGTCCGGCAAGCAAAGGTCTCAGGGCAAGAGAGGCCATATTATCTCAGAGTTCAGAAACCAGACCTCCACCCTGCCAACGATATCGCCTCCAATACTGCCAGCTCATTCCGGGACGTCCAGCTTCCAGACACCGTACAGCCCCGTCTCGCCGATAGTTGACCGTAATGGAGGCACGCCGAGTATGTCGCGCTGGTGACTTCAACCCCAATGAAAAAATGCTGCTGCTGACTCAGGGCAGCATTTCCCTCGCCATCATCTGCATCACAGTACACCAAAGCTTATTTCCTCGACCTTATTCCAGATTATGTCGATGGGGTGTATCCCGTACATCCGGTCATTGCCGAATATGAGCTTCGACAGTACATCGAGGTCATGGACAACGATCCAGATGTCCGCTCGTTCGTCTTCGCTTTTGGCGCTTGCACGCTGAATCTTACGCGTTACGGTGACCAAAGAACAGACGAAGTCGTTCAAACCATCGAGAGCCTCATGGACTACTCGATCGACACCATGAGGCGAACACACAAACATTGTCAAGTGTCTGTCATGCGAGCTGTCCAGTCGATGTTCATTCACAACTGCCTCATGAGTCTGTCAGCTAGCGACAGCGCGTTTTATTACATGCGAGACGCCATCACGATCATTCAGCTTCTGCGGATAGACAACCCGGAAAATGTGGCACAGCTATCCCCTCCCGAGCGATCGCGAAGACAGCGGCTGTACTGGCAAGCGTACATCCATGAGCGATTTCTAGCTATTTTAGACTACCGACGAGCTATTCTGCCCCCGCTCTTCACACTGCCTGAAGACGATCCCACCCTTCCGATACAAATTCACGAGGGTTTCAACCAAATCATTAAGCTTTTTCGCATGCTCGACACGGAATTTCTAGATAGTTGGCTTGATTCCCAAGGAGGTAGCGTAACTAGTACCTGGGTTGAGGCCAAATCGCGCGAGCTTGAAGGCGATCCTGAAGCCGATGCCCGAGAGCTGGCCATGTTGTCGATGATGCAACGGGCCGATTTATGCATCACCCGTGAGTGGCTGCGCACTTTGGTCTGGCGCTTAGCTATGAGCCAGACCCTCCTATCTTCCCGATCATCGAAAGAGTGTCTATCGCTCTTGTTTCCAGTACGACTGTCACAGACATTACGGCAACAACTATCCAGCATGTCGCGCCAAGATATCGAAGTACATGGAAGCAGCATCACTCAAAAGCTCTTCGAAATTACGGACACCATTGCTGATGTTCTGATTCATGTCCCTGCAGCGACTATCGATGAAACAGCACTACGGGTTGATGATTTTCTTTTCATCCTGGACTTTGTCTTGTTGATTCCACATCTTGATCAAACACGGCGGGGAATTTTGCAAGAGAAATTGTTACGACTACAGACTATGTTCCCTGAAGCACTCAGCAACGCTAGCTCGCCGAACTTGCCACTTGGCAGTCCTGGTGGCGCGAACGACCCTTGGTACCAGGTTACGCAGTCGAAGACAGCTGCAGGATTAGAAGATTTGGCCGACGAATTGGTGCAGACCCAAGCCCAAGAGATCCCCAGATTGGAGGCGAGAAGTGGGCAGTTGGCTACCTGGAACAATATCTCACATCGTCTATCGATGCAGGTCGCTCATGTAGCTCAGTGAGGTATAGCATCAAGCAGAAAATCTGTTCAGGTGATGCTATCTACGCAAGTAAATAGATCCTCCCTTCAAAAGCAGCCAACTTCTTCTCCTCGCAGTCATCAACACTGCTAACAAGAAGGTCCATCTTCTTGCCCATCACGCTTTCTGGGAATACCAGATCCTTCTTTTTATCCGTGAAGTTGCAAATGCATACTGCCTTCTTCTCGTTCCATGTCTTGCTGAAAACGAAGAAATCTTTGCTCTCCAAGTCCAAATCGTCGTACTGACCGTGAACAAGGAGATCGTTGTGCTGTTTGCGCACTTGTAACATACGCTTCCAGAAAGCCAGGACGGAATTCTTGTCGCTTTGTTGCTGGGTGGCGTTGCATACATCCGCATCCTCGAGGGGCCGCATCCACGGTTTTGCGGTTGCGTCCGGAGGCGAAAAGCCGTTGTGTGGTGCAGTCGACCAGCTCATTGGGACACGAGCATGATCTCTAGCAAGGTGCTGAAGCGACACATGCGCATCTTCGAGGGCCTTAGGATCGTTGTTTGTCCGCGCAGCTACCATTTTGTAGTAGTTCGACGAGTCGACATCTTTGTACTCGCTCATATCCCAGGTTAGAGGGAAGTTGGTCATACCAATTTCTTGGCCTTGGTAGATGAATAGTGTGCCGCTGAGTGCTGCCATCATCAATGCGAGCATCTTACCGCCTGCGACGCGGTGCTCAGGCGCATCAGAAGTAAAACGCGAGATAGACCGACTTTGGTCGTGATTCTCGAGGAAGACAGTGGTCCAGCCATCTGAGGGGGAGCGAATTAAATCTTGTGTGCGGGCCATCGCACGCTTGAAGTCTGGAAGTGTCCAGTTCTTGGGTGTGGTTTGGAACTTGTAGGGACCTTGACCGACGTCGACGACATCCTACAATACTTGTCAGCTGGCGAAGTCTTTTATGATTCTACCGTGTCGTGGTCTACTTACGAATTGGAAGACCATGTTTAGCTGCTTCTCTTTCGCGCTGACGTATTCTAGTACCCTCTTCATGTCGCGTGTGTGCGGACATTCGCCAACTGTCATGGCATCGTACTTCTCTAAGATCTGGTTCATCTCATTCAAGAACTCTGCCATCCTTGGACCATTGCAGTACTGGTATCCAGCAAACTGCCATTCGGAACCTGGATCAGTGACTGGGGCGTCTAGCATCTCACCCTTGCTGTACATGTTGACAGTATCAACACGGAAGCCGTCGACACCACGCTGTAGCCAAAATTCCATAGCGGACTTGTAGATGGCTTGTCGAGTTTCTGGATTTTCCCAATTGAGATCGGGTTGTTCAGGGCAGAAGAGATGGAGGTAGTACTCTTGGGTGTGTTCATCCCATTCCCAAACACTCCCTGTGAAGTTGGAGACCCAATTGTTGGGAGCTTTGCGCTGACCGTCAACATACCGAGCTGGTCTCCAGATGTACCAGTCTCTCTTGGGGTTATCTTTTGACGACCGTGACTCTTGAAACCATTTGTGCTTTCCAGAGTCAGCTCTGTGCGGGTATCGACGGGAATATACAGTCGAGGCATACCTGGTCAGAAGTGTGGTTGACTACCAGATCTAATATGATCTTCATGCCTCGTGAATGTGTCTCGGCAATCAGTCTCTCCATGTCTTGGACGGTACCATATGGTCTGTACACATCCTCATAGTCACGAATGTCATACCCCACTGGAGTTTGGGTCTCCAAGTCAGCGTGTGTGTTGTATGTACTTGGTACAAAGACGTTGCTTACTGTCGACTTGAGGTGAATCGTACATGGGACAAATCCAAATGACGTCAACACCGATAGAGCGGATGTAGTCCAACTCTGAGATGATGCCGTTAAGGTCACCAATGCCATCGCCATTGGAGTCTTTGAAGGAAGCAGGGTATATCTGGTACACGACACCATCCTTCCACCAAGGCCTTTGAGGAACAGTCATTGTGATGCTGTTAAACTTTTGTGTCGTTTGTAAAACGCTTGGCCACCTGAGTATTGTAAGAGTAGTACGCAGCGTCAAAAAGGACAAGCGTTCGTTCGGTGGCTTGAAAACGGCACCAGTAGCTTTCTTATAAACGTCTTGCAATATGCGCCTTTATCAGATGGAGTGAGTTGTCGTTGAGATCTAATCATCGGATTCTGCACGTGGAGGCCCCGCCCCAAGTCCGGAAGAATTCTCGGTAGGATTATACAAGTGCTCATTCGCTGAACCTCGGACCGGCTCTCTGGAGCTGGAGATCCCCACAAAACTGAGCGACAACTTCCCCACAGATGGTTTCCATCGCATATGGTTCCAACGTTCTCTCCCGCAAAATCTAGCACTACGGGAAACAAGCGAGGATGGGCGCGGGGAGATGGTGGATACGCGGGCTATCGATTTGCCCGTGGACATGAGCCGACATGCGGCGAATAACACGAAGCCCTGTGAACTGCGCCAGCCCTGGAACGGGTGCACAGTCGCCCCTAGCATCAAAGCAAACCTTGAACCGTCAGTTGCTTGCCACACGCATATTTCTCTCCTGCCTCTCTGCGATCTCGGGCCGAGAATGCCCCAATCAACGCGTCAAATTTCCCTCCGAGAATTTTCGACGGCACGCCCTTGTCGGCGGTTCTGTCCAGCTACAGCCTAGCCTTTCAGCCATGTCCTGAGGGATGGTTGCGCGAACAACATGGCCTCGACATCAGCAAGAGTGGCGTCCCTCCCCGCATCCTCTGGCTCACTCCACCATCCCCGGCTTCTGACTTGGCACGAGCTCGGCCTGTACATGGGTATTGCGTGTCTGGAGTCGTGAAGTTATATAAGTAGAACGACGAGATCCATCAGGAGAGATCACCATCCAGCTTCAAGTCCCACCAGCTCCACATCAGGGGAAGTCTGGGTTTGACCCACAGAATCCTTCTTCATCTTTTTGATATACCCACAATTGTCAATACGTTTCGATATCGTTGCGTTCTTCGACACGGCCACGATGTCCCGTCGTAACAGCAGCGTCGTCGCTATCGATGCCGAACAGGCACGCCGCCTCTCACTTGCCGTCCCGGACATCAAACAAGTCGCCCACGATGCCGGCAACGCGACCCGATCAGAACAACAAATGACCTTGCGACAGGGTGTCAAGTTGTACCCAAAGGCCATTGCCTGGTCGGTGCTACTTTCAGCAGCCATCATCATGGAAGGCTTCGACAAAGTCTTGATCGCCAATTTGATGGCAGTTCCTGCTTTCAAGCAAAAGTTTGGCCAACAGCTCCCCAACGGCGATTGGGAACTCACAGCCGCCTGGCAAGCTGGCCTTACAAACGGTGCATACGTCGGAGAGTTCACGGGTCTGCTCCTGAACGGTCTTATTGCGGATCGCTTCGGGTACAAGAAGACGATGATCGGCGCGCTATTCGTCGTCAACCTCTTCATCTTCATCGTCTTCTTTGCCCAGAACATCGTCATGCTACTATGCGGTCTCATCCTGTGCGGTATACCGTGGGGTGTCTTCCAGACCCTGACCTGCACCTATGCTGCCGAAGTCGTACCGGTTCCGCTCCGCCCAATTCTTACAACATACGTCAACCTCTGCTGGGTCATCGGTCAATTCCTCGCCTCAGGCGTTCTCAAGGGTGTGGCCGAGCGCCCCGACCAATGGGCATACCGCATTCCATATGCTCTGCAGTGGCTCTGGCCACTCCCTTTGATGATCGGTATCTCTTTCGCACCTGAATCACCATGGTGGCTTGTCCGAAAAGACCGCTATGACGAAGCCAAGAAGATGTTGATGCGCCTGACATCGCCAGAGAAGCTACCCGACTTCAACGCCGACGAGACCATTGCTATGATGCGCCACACCAATGCCATGGAGATGGCAGTTTCTGAGGGTACTTCATACTTGGACTGCTTCAAAGGCACCGATCTTCGACGAACTGAAATTGCTGCCATGGCATGGTTTACACAAGCTTTCTGTGGAGCAGGTCTTATCGGCTATTCAACTTACTTTTTCCAGCAAGCAGGCCTTAGCGACGAGAACGCCTTCTCCATGAGTCTTGGACAATACGCGATTGGTGGTGTTGGTGTCTTCGCGGCCTGGATCTTGATCCAACGCGTAGGCCGCCGCACTTTGTACGTTTACGGCGATCTCGTCATGGTTCTGCTTTTGAGCATCATTGGAGGTCTTGGTTTCATTCCAGCTGGCAACACTGGTGCGCAATGGAGCATCGGCGCTATGCTATTGCTTTTTGCTGCTGCATACAACTGCACAGTCGGACCTGTCTGTTACTCAATCGTCGCAGAGATCCCATCCACCCGTCTCCGCCAAAAGACGGTTGTCTTGGCCAGGAACTTCTACAACTTCGGTTCCATTATCGGCAACGTCATCACCCCACGCATGCTCAACCCTGGTGCTTGGAATTGGGGCGCAAAGAGTGGCCTCTTCTACGCTGGAACTTGCTTTTGCTGCTTCATCTGGGCGTTCTTCCGTCTTCCTGAACCAAAGGGCCGAACTTACGGAGAGCTCGACCTCCTCTTTGAGCAGCGTGTTCCTGCCAGGAAATTCAAGAGCACAGTCGTCGATAGCTTCCATGTTAGTGATACCGAGAGCGAGTATGCTGAGAAGAAAGGTGTGTCGACGCACCTAGAGCAGGTCAATTCCAGGGATGCTGCTTGAATCGCTTTGGGAATAGCAGAAAAGGCTTGATGATTTGTATATATTATCTTTGATGAACCTACCGATCTGTTGTAAATAGAAGACATTCTTTCCAGTGTAATAGAACATGTTCAACATAATCCAACATGATGCTACTTCGAGTGTTTTCAAGCTTTGTTGCAGCAGTAGCATGCGATAGTCGAGTCTTGGAACGGAAAGCAGGGATGGCTCGCTACGGTTGCCCAGTCGTGGTTCGACCTAGCCCGTGGTTCGATAGCGGGGTAAATCAACTGGTACCTACGGTGCCTAGGTGATTCCTGCGTCCTCGCTTGCTCTCTCCAGGCACAACGTGGCGTTCCTTACCCCATCAATGTGGGTGAGAAATTAGTAGTGCGGGTCCGGACTGCATCGCATCGTCACTGGGCAATTAGTCATCATTCATCGCGATGCCAAATGTAGGGAGACCCTCTCCAGGATGCAAGACTTGTAGGGACAGGAGAATCAGGGTATGTAGCGCGACCGCGACCAGGCGTCTCGAGTGCTAACCTGCTGTTGAAGTGTGACCAGAAGCGGCCCTCATGCTCACAATGTCTTCGCGCAGGCAAAGAATGCCATGGATACCGGGATCCGGTGTCGCTGATGTTCAAGAACGAAAGCCATGTCGTGGCGAAGAAGGCAGAGAGGCGCTACGAAGAGCTTGCCAAATCAAAAGAACCAACAACACCTTGGAGACGTGGAGAGCCCGCTAAAATTAGAAGCTTGCAGAGGATGTATCCGGTGCGGATACCGCCAAGTGCTGAGATGGTTGTGCAACCTACGCCGAATGTCGACGCGCGAGCCCAAGGGTACTTCCTTGCCAACTACGCGGGCACTGCCGACTTCCCCCAAGGAGGCCAATTTGAGTGGATTCCTCAGCTCCTATCTCGGATGGATGTCGAGAGCAGTCTTCGCGAAAGCTTTCGAGCCCTGAGTCTAGCTGTCTTCTCCAATGCAGTAAAATCTCCTGCCGTCATGCAGAAAGCACGTATTGCATACGTATCCGCGTTGGAGAAGACCAACAGAGCACTCATGTCGCACGAAACAGCCATCAAAGACAGCACCGTGGTCTCCGTAATCCTACTTGGTATGTACGAGGGCACGAGATACACGGACAAGAGCTCTATAGCCAGATGGTCCAAGCACGTCAGCGGCGCTTACACGTTGTTCATGCTCCGAGGAAAGTCCCAGTTCGATACAGAGCTTGGACGGCAGATATTTTTGCAGTCTTATGGTGTTGCGTTATTCTTCACGATGGAGTTGGGAACGAATATTCCAAGTTAGTAAGCCCCTGTTCGAAATGCAAGTGAAACATGTGCTTACTTCATAAACGAACTTTTAGAAGGGGTGCAAGAGTTATATGATCAGATACCGACAGGCGGGGGATTCCAGGAGCTCGGGAAAAAGTTTATGATGAGCATGCTGCATCTCATGCACGCTGTTGTCAAACTCAACCAAGACAAAAGCCACAGCCCCGTCGAGATAATCAACAACGCCAGGAAACACGACCAAGAGCTAGAAAAGATCAAGGCTTCCCTACCTCAAGTATGGCAACCCATAAGAGTCCATCTCAAGGCGCCTTCGGACCACTACTATGGAAATCTGTATAGCCTCTGTCTCCATCCCGTTATAACTCAGATGTGGAACTATACGCGGTTTCTTGGGATCCAGATACACGAAATCATAAGAACGAATCTGGTCAGGCTTTATGAGGAACATGCGCCACCAAGCTTCGATGTTGCTTCCCTAAAGACATGCATACAGTATGAGGAGGACATACTGCGGGCTAATATCGCGGCAATCATCTCTGCGGTGCCTCAAATTACGGGTATGGTACCATCACCTGCACAGCCTTTCGCACAAGGGAAAAAGACCGACGAGGATTCTTCAGACGAAGATGTCATGAGAGAACCGGGCACCTTTATTGATTCGGTCGTTTCGCCAAGGCTGATGCAGGTCATCCAGCCAATATATACCGTGGGTATGTGTGTGCTTATTACACCTGGTCTGCGGGAGTGGATCATTAAGATTCTCCATTTTGTTGCACTGAGAATTGGGTCGAGACAGGCAGTCGTTTTTGCAGCTGAGCTACAGGAGCTTCAGGAACATGAACCAACGATAGCGCGTGATCGTGAAGACATAGCCGAGTGGATAACGTTGGGTTCTGGAGTAATATGAGAGTCAATAAGGGGCGCAGCAAGAGAATTATCTTAATGACTCTTCTCTTTCAACCTTCTTGAAGTAATGAACAAGAGGTCGAAACGAATATGAATATTGGGATCTCGTACAGACTCGGACCTTTACATTCATACCACACACAAGCGTGCACACGAAATCATTTCTCAAGGTCTACAAGTTCTTCTTACCCTCCTTGTTCTTAGCTTCACCAAATCCCACTCGTGCCAGAAACGCCAGCCTCACCAATCCTGCAAATGCCGTGATTCCGATACTTCCCCAATCTTCCGCCCTCCATGTCCCCATGTCTAGTCTCTTCTGCTTAGCCAGAACCTCCCACACCGCCCAATAGTATGCCAAATCGACGACGAAGCAAGACAACTGGACAATGCGCCAAACGTTCATATCCTGTGTGTAACGTAGTAGAACAGCAGATATAATGCCAAAATTCAGCATACCGCCGCCGCGCTGCTTCAGGATCATAACATGACCAATGTCCGGAGTGGGAGAGGGAATATGCGACGAAAGGACAGTGGTAGGCATGAAGAAGTCCATGGTCGCACCCCAGGCGCAGATTATGGGGTCGACATATGTAAAGAATATGCGATAGAAGGCGGGTATAGAGGGTGACGTGGGCTGAGACATGATCGCGGTTTGGTGATCCGATCTATGCCTCAAGAAATCGGGCACGAGGATAGCAGCGTCTTTAGGAGGCCGAGGTATGTAGACTGTCTGTCAAGACTGGTGATAGTGTGCGTAGTAGTGTGGATGAGATGTGCGACTCAAAATGTCCCTTGTGCTCGACCACATGTCAGCTTCGCGCCCCGCGTTAGTCGCTCTAACTGCTTCGGTGCTGTGCCGCTATAGCACCGCAGACTAAGTCGCTTGTGATTAGACCCGTATACAATCCATAGTGCACACAGGCTCCACTTTGATCCTTCAGCTTCGAACTTTCCGTTGTAGTGGTGCAGCACGTTGGTGACCGTAATGACGCAGCGCCATCCCGCCTGTACCTGCACAGGTGGTGTCATCCTCGATCGCTCACAGACGGGTGTATCCTGCCTGCCTTCCTCCACCAACTCCAATGGAAGAACAACAACCCACAAGATCTGTCAAGATCTCAAGTGAACCAGCCCTACGCGATGATACTACCTAGTGTGCCTAGGTAGCTAGCGCGGATCCCCACGGTGTTGGACACCTGAGGTGTCGTCACGCCGCGACCGAATACTGCATGTGGAGGCTGTTGCGTCTTTCCACGCCTCGCAAACTCTTATCCACTTCATAGACGAACTCACTGTGCAGCACACCTTTGGGGGCTTGTCTCAATCTGTGATAAGACTTCATAGTACTTCGATCTTCATTGTTGCTCGTCCGGGGCCGTTCCGCTTCTCTCGCTCGCACGGCGGTTATTCGAAACAGCTGAATGGGCAACATCATGCAAGAGGCGTAAATCTGCCCCGCCCCATTGATTAAAAGTATTCCCGAAAATCATCTTCGAAACATGTAGCTTGGGGTGGTATAGCAAAGTTGACGCGCTCGTCACAACTCGATACGGGAACGGTGAGCCAGCTGGTGTGGTCGGGCTTCGCGACTTGATCTAACCTGGAGAACGCGACACAACCACGGTATGCATCCATCAACAACGGCATGCGCCAACACCTGAGCGCTCTCACTGCCACGAAAGCCGTCACTACTGCTAGTGCATTGCGTAGTACAGTCTCGAGCGAAGAACATGCCCCCTCCTAGGCCTGCGATGCGAGGCCCAAGGCGTCCTCAACAAGGTGGACATCGTCAGAGTGTGCCACGCATGATGAACATCTTCAGGCAGTCAGAAGCTTAATTAGAAGTGTATTACTCCTTTCACTCCAGTCAGCCTTATAACGATTTGAGGCTACTTATTGACTGGCAATTGCAAGGTTTGCGAGCGCCGCGAAGGCTGAGCTGGAGTCCGAGCGAACGTCAACTTTTGCAACTCCACCATCGCGGACCGACCGATGATGCCTGCGACCTCAGGCAACTCTATCGAATTTACGATTACGTCGATGGTCCCTGGCTAGCAGCCTTCTCGCGTACAGCCTCTCGGCACGCATTCAGGTTTGCATTGAGGTGGCATTCCTGCTGCTGCAACCTGCATCACGAGAGTCGCCTCCGCTGCGGTGCGCGAAAGCCGTGCCTTGCATTATCACCCCAACTCAGCCTGCGATAGCTGAGCTCGACCATTTAGCGGCATTTCTGAGATTAAGGTCCGGCGGCAAAACGAGATAATTCTCTGGAGAAGGCAATTCCTTGATCATCGGCCGCCCCTAATTTAACCGTGTCGGGTTAAAGCATTCGTCGCTTCGCCTCAAACAGACTGGGCATTCGGTCTAATGATGCAATTCTATTGGCGTACAACAAAGAATGCTCATGAATAAGTGGGTATTATGACAGTTATGGTGCCCAGAAGCAGGTGATTGACGCGATAAAGACACCAATGTACACGGAATTGCGGCAAATGTCCGTTGTGACCCTACCACACTCGCTCTAGTAAGCCAGGCAGTACTGCGGCGTTGGCCGTTTCCCTCCCCTACTTTCGGTTCTTCACGAGCAAGCCACATCCGCTTCACACGTCCCAATGCTCTACGGCACGGAAGGCCTACTCGTTAAGCGCCGTCGTAAGATGGAGGACATGTTCTGCCTACACGATGGATCAGCTAAGATGGTGGCGTGGAGCTGGGGGAGTTGGGTTGATATATAGCTCGTCAACTGGCTTTTAGTATCAAGGTACCTCAAAACGAAGGTTCTTCATGTCAGCAGAGCAATTCTCGAAGCTCTCTCTTGGAGAGGACATGGTTACAACTCGTGCTGGGGCCGCAAGGGCAGCAAGAGCTAGTGCACAGTCATCAGATCACTCTGACCAAGACCAGCCCCTACCGTCAGTCGAGTCGACCGTTTCGCCTACGCCTTCCCTGGTTATATCGACGAAGAATCTCCACTACAATGTTTCGGCTTTCGATACCGACCTACGAAGACGGGCCAAGAAAGGACTAGAAGGTAGCGAGATTAGGTTGAAGTACTGCGCAGTCTCGGAAGACGAATACAGTCCGGGTGGTAGTCCAAAGAAATTCTTCCATCTAGAGGACGAGATCACCGTGGCGATGGGTGGAAGGTTAAGGAGGCCAGAGTGTACATGTGGTGCCAACGAGAAAGGCCTCGCATGTAAGGTATGACTACCAGCGTACGACTATTGAAACATGACTAAAAAAGACTCTGAAGCATATCTATTGGGTTGGAGACCAGATCATCTCGACTTCCCCAGACGACATGGTGAAGACACCACTTCACCTTTCACCTGACGGCTCGAAAATCGAAGATGTGAAGCCTGCTGAAATACTGGATACCAAGGGTTTAGCCAACATCGCCAACGACTTGAAGTGGGTTTACCGAGACGACGACGACCTACCTGAAGACGATGATGACCTGAAGGAAACAGTCATCGATATGTTCTCCTGCTTCGAGCCCCGGGATGCGCTTCCTGGGGAGTTTCGGTATCCTGAATCGCCCTTGACTTCAGAACGATCGAAGAAGTACCAAGAGCTCGCAGATCTCTTCACGCAGTACGCAAGTAGAGACCCTAGTCTGTACCTTCAGATGCGCAAGATCATCGATGCAGACTTCGAAAGCCGTGTTTTCTTCGAGAAGGTTGAAAAGCGCATCGCGTTGACCTTCGATGCTCTGGATGAGTACATTGCCAAAGGACCCAAAACTCTCTCTGAAGGCCCGCCTCGGTTCGATGTTTCCAGTTGCGCAGAGCAGTTGACCTCACTAGTCGGGGCCATTGATGACTTTTACCATCGCCAGGCTGATGTCGAGGATGCAGCTGCACGAGCAGCGATGGCTCTTGTCACTATCCTTGACCGTGTCACAGACCGCAATGTAAATGCATACGAAGGCATTACATGGAGCGGCATGGAGGCTTTATCGGACCCTGTGCAAAGCAACCTATACGTTGCACTCATTGGAGCACAAACAGATGACGACCATCAATTTGTACTCGAAGCGCTTGCGTCTTTACCACAAGAAGACGTATACCGCAACCACTGGACAGTGTTGCAGGATGTCGAACGCAAGCTGATTGAGGCTGATGCGCCTGCTCATTACATGAATCTCTTCCGCAACCTGGTCTATGAGAACCGTAAAAGGCCAGGGTCGGCGGTACGCGAACGAGAGCCGAAGCGGGCGATGCAGTAATCCCGGTCGGCAAGCGGTGTGTCTTGCGGTCAAAACAACCGTTGAGTGGGCGGTGGTGCCATTGCGCTCTCATTTTGCTTTTGTTCTGGCGTTGGCGGATTTTTGCATTTGTTCCATTCCTTTCTTTGTGGCATTTTTCATCGTTTAATATCTTCATGTCTTTCCTTACGACGTTACGGCTGTCTGCAGCGCTAGCTGTCATTTTCTTCTTCTTTACTCAAGGTCGTCGGACTTTGGTCTGTCTTCGTCGGCCTTTGTTTTGTTATGTTCTCTCCCTTCAAGGCCACCCGACTCTGGCCAACAATAGGCCGGATGATTCTGAATCTCTTCGCTTCTTTCTTTTGCTTTCTCTTCAGCCGGTTGCTCACCGGAACTTTAACGTCCCTGATTTTTTCCAGGGCACACTTGATGTGTCCTTTCTCTTCTACACACTCCTTGTATACATAATTTGAGCACTATTTTTACGCTACAATTTACCGTTAGCACTGTAAGCTACAAAACCTATGCTTCTAAATGTATTCCGGAGTCAAGAAAGTCCGTTTAATAATCCCATGCAACCACTTGTGACATTGTTTAAGTATGTTGAAGGGTGATAGACCCAAAGCAATTAAGTGCGACCCCTAAGCTGCACATATCAGATGATACGAGGCTCCGCATTCATACAGTGCCAAGGTCCGATATATAGAAAGATCCCGCGGAACTGGGATTATGGCCGACGGCTGACTGACTCGAAACAAGACCGGAATGCACGAAGTGGATCTGGTGCATCTCATAGCTGAACTTCACATGCCACAGGCTTTCGCATGTCGTCAAGTGCGGTAGGAGTTAATCATTCGTTTACTACGCGCTTGGCGCACCTGGCACATGGAAGCTATTATAGATCAAACTACATGTCGGTGTGAATGTCGGATCAGATATCTCGTAGCATGCAAGATAGCAAGTCGGCGTCGGACGTCTACATGAGCCAATCATGTAAGACTCAGCTGCACGTCGTACAACGACTCTGTCATTGGTACGTCTAAGTGGCCGGTGTATCGAGGCGCTAAGTTGGAAGGCGTTCATCTGGCGTACACACGATGTTGCTCAAGTGGTTGTTGTTTTGTGGTGCATCTGGCCTTGGACATGGTGGGGTGTTCGTCCTGTAGAGTGCAAAATGTCCACTAGGACTAGCGATTAACCTTCCGCTTTTGCTCGCGGCCTCTAAATCGGCGCATACACAGTATGACGCTTGTTGTAAGCCCCCGCAGTATGCGACATGTTACAGAGCATGTGTTATCTAGGTGTTCCGCCGTCTCCGCATAGCATAAGCATGCGTCTGGCGTCAAGCACAAGACGCAGATAAAGTGATTGTGTGTAATACACACTCGTCTTGCAAAGATTCTGAGCAGATGTAGCGAGGACAGAAGCATCAACGTTGGAGTTGTATGGCGTGTGAATGGCATGATCAAGTACACATGCAGGTGAATAAGTGAAGGGATCTGAGTGGCAAGATAGCTCGTACCAAGCTTATGCTAGCTAGGAACTTACCGTGTCCGTGTTGATCGTGATAGTCGTTGTGGACACAAGAAGGTGGGTCGAGCGCTCGACTGCGGGGAGTGCAGCGGCTAGGCTCGAGTTGCCTCTGGACGTGGTTGGATGGCAGGTGAAAGGGCCGCGTCCTTTATCCACACATGTGCATGGCCGGACTGCGGGGAAGGAGCGGAGCTAATCCGCTTCGAGAACTAGGGCAGATGGGCATCCTTTGGCAAGCGCAGCCAAGACACCCGCTGTTGCTTCCATATTACTCTCCTGTCCATCGTCCCTGTTTCTTGCCATTTCGACCTTCTTCTCTTAACCTGTTGAACCAAAGTCTCCTGCTAGTCCACGTTATCGAACGCGATTCCCTTGCAAACGTAATTCGCTTATCACGCCATCGACCCCCGCTGACGTACTGCATCTCGGGGACCCTGTCTGTGCGCCTAGCGACATATCAATCATCCCACCCCCCCTTGCCTTGTTGCTTTGAGCACCCCATTCTGATTTGTTCTTCGCACACGACCCCTCGATTCAATTAACCTTCTTGTACACACTTTGAACTTGTCCCAAACTTCGCTGTCACCCTCATAATGTCCTCCAACGGTCGAAACTCACCGCCGCTACCTTCGCCGGATACTCGCCGACGTGCTTCAGTCACCAGCCAGACCTTCCAGGACCTGTTCGGCCGGTCAAACAGCTATGTAGGCCAGCAACAGCCCTCTTCAGGCCCCATCACCACAGCAGCCGCCAATGCTCAGCGGCGGCGGCTCTCGCTCACCACCCTTGGTCTTGGTGCCTCGCCCGGCCAGACATCACCCTTCCTCCAGACCCCGCGAACCCGAACCGAGAGCATCTCCAGCGCCAACTCTGGCTCTGTCGACGAGAGCCCATTCGAGGATGATTACGCCCCTTCCACGTCTGCTAGCAGCAGTAACCCGGCCACACCCTTTGTTCGACGGCTGAGCTTCGGAGCTCGTGCAATGCGGGATGTCAGGCAGAGCAACGGAGGCGTTGGGAACCCAAATGGTAGACCACCCATCCATAAAGCTTCCTCTCCCCCGACTGGTCGAGGTCGAGGTCTGTCTTCATTGTCGCAGTCATTGCCCTCTTCCGCTACCTTGCTTCGTCCCTTTACCCATGCACATTCGCGGCGATCTACATCTATATCACACATCTGGCCTTCCACTATTGCAGAGCAGTCCGAGAATATACTGGGAAACTACTCGCTAACATCGTCTTCAACAGGCGAAGGTTACAATTTCGCTGAGAACCTCCGATCGCGAGCCGAGCGAGGCTCCATCTCCGGCCCTAGCGGAATGTTGAGCCCGTCTCCTCCAACGCACCAGCGTGCTAAGAGTGTCACAATCATGGAGCCACCTGCCCGCGAGATGCCCAAGCCCAAGGTGCCCGACGCCATGCAGGAGCGGATCCTCAAAGGCGACTTCTACATGGATTAGTCTCTTTGCGTAGCTTGATGTTTTAAATCTCCGGTAGGTGGTCTGTTACGTGTCTCCTGCTCTCTAGTGACTGACGTGTCCTGTTTGCAGGACCATCTACTTTACAGATGAGACGTCAGATTATTCCACGATCGTGTATCAGTACTCTAGCGCTTATCAAACCCAATTCCATCTACTCCAGGACTACTTCCACCTAGCTCTCGTATCGCTCATGGCCATGAGCGATCGATGGACTACAAACACGGCTTCAGTGAGGTTGCTCACGCATGAATGCACATGTACGGTAACGGCGATTACTGGACTTGGCCCTATTGTGCTTCTGGCGATATTTCCATGCGCAGTTATCATTGCTGGCAGTACGCATACCACAATCGTTTCCACTAGGCTCCCCCCTTGTTGATTTGGAAAAATCGGCTACACAGCATACTCTTGACTGCATGACCACACGAACACTTCAGTTATGTACTTCATATTCTACTAGTACAGGCGTATGATTACGAGGAACGGGCGGACCAAATTGTTATGCTTACTTGATGAGGCTACGTCAGTAGAGCAGGGTGTTCGGAGTTTGTGAGGTATATCACGCAGGGCGAGAGGTCAAACTACTCGATATGAAACATTGTACGGAAACAGACTGTAGATGGCAGAGCAGCTCAGCACAGCATCATACAAAGAAAGGACAAAGTGACGAAATTACTGTGCGCATTGCTCGCGTGTGATGGTGTGTTGGTACGCGTCATGTTTTCCACAATGAGTTTCAAGTAAACTGATCGGCGTTGTGTTGTACGCGTGTAGGAAGGTGGAATGTTCACTGTCGATCATCAACTCCACTCAGGTCAGTGACAGCCGGACGCGAGGCAATCTAAATGTTGAGATAACAAATAATGGTTGAATTATGTTATCGCTCGAACAGCTCTGCCAACACTCCCCGTCTCAAAAAGTTCGACTAGTCCAGCGCCTAGACATTCCTCCAAAACCCAGTCAAACCTCATGCCGTAAAAGGTTTTCCATTTCTTCGTCCGGCCAGGTAATACGCCTGCAAACTCTCCTCTCAACTTCTTCCTCTCTGCTTTGATATCGTTGGCTGTAACACCACCGTCCCACCGCTCGCGAAGGGCACTAAGTGGCATCTCTTTGTACTTGGTCTTGTTCAGCAGAGCGAGAAGGTGGTTCCGTGCATCAACCAAGAGCTTGATATGCGCACCCATATTGGGCAAGGATAAGTTGTATTGTGCTGCTAGGGAGGGACGTGATCCCGATCCGCCGTGGATATGTTGGGTTGCATGTGTACCGCCGACGGCATCTAGAGAGCCAGCTGCGTGGCGAGATCCAGATGCAGAGACGGCGAGGAGTGAGCTGGCGCCTGGTGATGCAAAAAGAGAGGTATTGGATGGAAAGTACGAAGCTGAGGTAAGGAAGCCAAAGGTTACCAAGGCTGAGAGCTCAGGAGATGTGAAGGTTGTGCCGGGGATGGACGTCGATGTTGGATTGGCGTTCATGGCAGCTATATATTTTGCTGACGCTATGTTAGCTATGTGCATTCGTTTGATAGATTTGGTGGTCTACCTTTCAGTTCTTCAGGTAGTTCAGCATGAGTCTGTACAAGTGCCTGCCACTCTCGTACCGAAGCGATACCATCACCCACAGCAGCAGCACCAACACCGTGATTCGGTATCGTTACCCTACGCAAGATGCCCGCTCTTGCCAGCTCTGAGATTTCTCGCTCATTCCGCGTTGAGGATGTACTCAGAGCGTCAATGTGCGCTACTGTGACAAATGGCGGCAATCTTCTTCGGAAGTTCAAAACCTCTGCTATCCTGGTTGAGTTCATGCCGGCTTTCTCTGGCATACCGCTAAACATGTTGTTGCGGATGTACTCGATATATTGGGGAACATCCCGGAAATTCAAATCGTGGGCTAGGTTTGCTATTACTACCCCGGTATCATCTAGTTGCTCGTCGTCTTCAAAGGCAGTTGTAGTCTCGGCCGGTAATGATCGTCTCTTGGAACTTGCAGTAGAGGGTGAGGAGGTCGTTCGTTTCAGACCCAATGCTGCGACGGCACTTTTTCTTCTTGGTTTGGTAATGCGCGATGAATGTGCTGCTGTGGCGTGGAAGGACATGTTGAAGGATGGTAAGGGTGTTCAGGCAGCAGGGTATTGTCAATCGGGCGAAAGATGCTTGCAGTTTCTTGGTTGCAAGTAAGATTCAAGAATCATAGCGGCGTAGGTAAAAGCATGTCTTGATATTGACGAATCACGAAGTGGCGACGATGTGAGACGCGGCGTTGAAGTGTTTGAGTCCTCGGTGGAGCTGCGCCACAGCAGGCATTAGCGCAGACGAAGATGTCTGGGAGAAGCATAACGGACAATGGTTGTTGTGTGGTCGCATGACCTCACTCGGTACTACCAAAGACACTGCATGCGTTGGCCGCGAGTGCCATACGCTGGTAGCTGGTCTGATAGAGGCTGCCGTTGATGTGCTCGCGGCTCCTGTGGGTGCCGGGGTCCGTGGAGGGAGAGAAGACGGAGCCACAGCCGTACGTCATTTCCACGCGCGGAACGTCAGGAAGGTCCAACACGCTATGCGCGCCAACAAAACCCAAAACATGCCCATTTCCACCTGTCCTACCAAGCATCTCTTCACCACTGCTCCTATCCCAGCCCATCGCTAGCCATGTCGCTGAACCCAGAGCCCTCGGCGCCTGAAGAGCGGGCAGAGCACCACCTGCCGCCCAAGTCGTACGCCGACGCCGCCGAAGAGGCCCTCGAGCCACAATCACATGCCAACGGCACCGACGGCACCATGGAGGACAGCGGGTACAGATCGAGAGGCAGCAAAATGGACGAGGTGAAGACCAATGGCATCAGGACTCCCGTAGACGACGACAGGACGTCGCTCGAAGGCCTGGGTCAGGACGGCTCGCCCAGGAGTCCCACAGTCAAAGGCCATCGTCGCGTCTCGTCGCGCAACTCGCATGGCTCGCTCGGCCGCAAGCAGGGCGAGCAGGCACAGAACGGCATCCACGAGAAGCACGCAAATGGCCATGGCGAGACGCTGACGAGTGTAAAGCCGCAGCAGGAGTTCCAAGTCGCCAAAGCAGACAGAAGAACCGACCTCAAGCGCAGAAACTCGGAGCTCACGACGGGACGACAGGCCGGTGCGGGATGGTCCAAGAGCAAGTGAGTCGACTTGTGCTCTACTGAAGACGTGCTGAGACTGACCTGTCCAGAATACGATTTGCGCCCATGAACGTTCCCCTCCAACGCCGCCTTCAGACCCTCGCCGTCCTCATGCACACGCTCAGCATCGTCGGCGGCCTCGCCATCTTCTTCTTCCTTTGCAGCATACCTCTGCTCTGGCCAATTCTCCTGCCGTATACCGTCTATGTCCTCTTCTCCAATGCTGGCACATCGGGCGAGCTGTCTTTCCGCAGCGACCGCCTCCGCCGACTGCCCGTCTGGTCGCTCTTTGCGTCCTACTTCCCCGCTCGCCTACATCGCTCGCAGGAGCTGGAGCCTACTAGGAAGTACATATTTGGCTACCACCCACACGGCATTATATCCCATGGCGCTTTCGCTGCCTTTGCGACTGAGGCCCTGGGCTTCTCCCAGCTCTTCCCTGGCATTACCAACGCCCTGTTGACCCTCGACTCCAACTTCCGCTACCCCATTTACCGCGAATACGCCCTGCGCCTCGGCATGGCCTCCGTCTCCCGCGAGTCCTGCGAGAACATTCTCTCCAAGGGCGGTCCTAACAACGAAGGCATGGGTCGCGCAATTACTATTGTCGTAGGCGGCGCACGTGAATCCCTCGATGCGCGCCCTGGTTCCATAAAACTCGTTCTCAACCGTCGCAAAGGCTTTGTCAAGATGGCCATCCGCACCGGCGCCGACCTCGTACCTGTCCTGGCATTTGGTGAAAACGACGTTTACGACCAACTCGACACCGACTCGCACCCCTACATACACAAGTTCCAGATGCTCGTTAAGAAGTTCATGGGCTTTACCGTGCCCATTTTCCATGCGAGGGGTATCTTCAACTATGATGTGGGCATGATGCCTTACCGACGGCCCATCAACATTGTTGTAGGACGTCCGGTTAGGGTCATGCAGGATAAGCATCCGGACAACGATTACATCAACAAGATACACCAACAGTACGTTGACGAGCTTATGCGGATATGGAATGAGCACAAGGACACTTTTGCCAAGCACAGAACGGGCGAACTTGAGATTGTCGAGTAAGCAATCACTGGTCTTCTCTTGCAGTAATGGACGCGATGTTGGTCTTTTCCTTCTCTGCCGACCTGGGACTTGAATTATCGTTACGCACAAAGTCTGCGTGACCCATTATGGATACCAATTATAACATTCTATATGCTAAGCAACAATGAATTCTCAACATTAATACGTCGATTTGCCTCTAGTGTCATGCAGTGATTTGTTGGAAGCACCCTGATATGAAAGATTAGGCAGCAGGAGAAAGTGTGTTAGTCAAACTGGTACCAAGAGGATATGTGGAAGCGAATCGTTGGGGATCTAAACCATATTCTACTATAATAACTACAAAGAAAAAGATCGCAAAAAGAAAACATGACGATCGTGTAAATGTCAAAACTAGAAATAACGCCACCCAGCATTACATGTTCTCTGAGTCTATGTGTGTCCCTTTGACAACAACGACCCCGTATGTTGCTCAATCAGTGGAAAAATGACTGATGCGTGACGATGGATGCGTTTCTTTCCTGTCCTCCTCTGTAGAAAACGCCTTCAACTTGTACTCCATGACAGTCGACTGGACACCCTTGCCCTTGTCGTTGCTGTTCCGTTGGCTGGTGGTGTTGCTTCCATTGAGGGTGCTGGCGTCGGAAGCGCGGTTACCCATGCCCTTTTCCTCATCGCCACCATCCTTCTTGTCCTCCGTGGCGTTGACGGCACGGCCAGTGAATAGGTCATCGGGGAAGGGGAAGAGTGTGCGGCGCCTGGGTGGCGACTTCTTCGTGGCTGTCATCCATACCAATGCCGTCATATCCTTACCCAGCGCCTCGATGATGGGAGTGACGATAGGTAGACAAGCGAAGAGTACACCGTAGGATGTTATTCCCACAATGGTAACATTGATACCGTAGCTGAAGCCGCGACTGGCAAGCATGACCATGAGCCAAGATCCGTACGTCCAGAAGACAAGACCGTGAAGCAGGTAGATGGTGAAGACGTGGGGGAAGAGGATCAAGAAGGGAGGTGTGGAGAGGACCCATTGGACGGCAGCGGAGAGCTCGACAATAGCTTGCATACCACCAGCGAAGAGCAAACCGTTGAGACGGGGTGTGTAGTACGGAGGGTAACCTGCCGAGTCGGTGTTCTGGATGGGTTCGCCGGACACAGGGTCGGGGTGAATGCCACGCTCTGCAGTCGAGAAGTTGAAGTCCGTGTCGACCCAGTTAGGAATGACGTTGACAGCAAAACCAGCACCGACGCAGAGCCAGAAAAAGGTGATGGTGGCATAGTAGGCTGAAGGTCGCTTGTTCAGGAACGCCTTCCACTTGTAGGTTACATCGAGGTCGGTGAGGAGCAGACCAAGCCAAAGGTATGTACCCCAAGTCTGCGCGTACCAGTGGTTGATGAGGCAGAAAGCATAGTAGCACATGCGCTTCCAGGGAGTCTTGATCTCGTATACGACGACAGCGCCGAGAAGCACAAGCCAGGAACCTTGAAGTTGTACGGCGATGGTCCAGAGAACACCGGTGCAGTAGTGCAGTGTGATCTGTGGGACGGCGTTGGGAACGAGGAACATAAGTTCGAGAACTTCAGAGACATATTGCCCAAAGTTCTGATAGCGGCTCACGTAAGGCCATGTCGACCAGGTTAGGGAAGGGATGTATTGCAGGAACTTGGTAGCACCAACGTCGATGAAGAAGTACTCCAGTAGGGCCATGGCGGCGACGGGGATCATGAGACGGGGTGTACGACGCACAGCTGCCTTTGCAATCTCGTCCATCTTGCCCTTGCGCAAGTAAGGCGACGTAAGGAAACGAACCGAGGTTGTGAAGAAAACACCGAGCCACATTTGGTTGAGCAGGAATGGACCGATGATTCTCTGTGCCCATGGTTCAGATGCGTTGTGTGCGGGTGCACCCGGTGTGACGATGGCAGGGACGAAAGTAAGACCAAAATGCATCAGGGTGACCACGAGAGAGCAGAGGGCTGTCAGACCAGCAAGATGGTCGATACGTTGTCGCTGGGGCAGAGGCTGAGGGCGCATACGAGGAGCTGGAAGAGCAGATTCAGTAACAGTCTCCATTGCGATCTTGTCATGTGGAGCAACCATAGGGACAGAGTTGTTTGTCGTGGCGCGGGGGTCCATCAGTGTCATCATAGATTCGTGTCCTCTCGATACTGCGGTGCCTGGGGTACCTGGAGTCATCAGAGTGGATCGAGGGTCTACCATAGTCTGCATGGAGTCACGTCCCATTGAGACTGCTGTTCCGGGCATTGGTGGCATAGGTGCGTAGAGATCCTCGCGCGTAGTGTTGAAGTTGCTGTTGAATGGAGTCGGGCCACGGCTGTCAAAGAGAATCGAGCTCGGTCTGGATAGGCCATCCTTGGGCGTAGAGCCTCCGAGAGTAGAGGTGCCGGGAAGCCTTTCGATGGCCATGTCGTCGTCGTCTGAGTCGCGCTTTTCAGAGGCAGATGGGGTTTTCTGCTCACCACCGCCACGGGAGAAGATTTCGTGAGAGGCTACTGTAAAAGTACTGTCACTGAAAGGGTTCCTCTTTTGCTCCTCCGAGGCTTTCGACTCGGTTGTGGAAGCTGCGTCAGGTTTCTTGATGTCATTGTTGACCTTGGGAGCGAGACGTCGGATGAGGGTGTGGATGACGAGGATGGTCGAGAAGATGAGACATGACACGGAGAGCCAGAGCGCTGGCATACGCTTGATGTCTTTGCCCTTGTGCTGCTCCCACTTCTCGGTCGCGTCGTCACCGTAAGGAGTTGAGCCACGGAGTTCGATATCATCCATTGAGCATGCATTGTTCAACGGGCACCTGGCGACAAAGTCTTCGCGAGCATCTTCGTTCATCGAAGACGAGTTGAAGAACATGCGTATCCAGCCAACTTCAGCAATAGACTCTCTTTGCTGGGGAGGACCACGCATCGAGTAGCGGTTACCGGTTGACCAGTGTTTAAAGAAAAGGGCTGAAGGAACCGACGGCATGCCCTTGTTGTTGCTGTGTTGAACTTGCCTAGTGAGGTTGCCGCCAATGTAGAAGTTGATGTAGTCTGCGGTCCAATCGATCCGATATTCGGTGAAATCCCAAGGGTTGATGCTTCCATTGCTAAGACCACCGCCGAGCGTAGTGTAGTTGCGGTTGGCGGCCGTACCGTTGAGGAGCTGGCTATAGTTCATTCCAAGGTTGCGTGTGGTGAATTCGTTGTTAACAAAGGTTCCCACCCATGGATCCCTTTGGTTGTTCATGTTCATGACACTAAGCTCAGTGATCTCAGTCTCATTGTACTTCCACATCATTGAGGCTGCAGTGCCGGCGGATTCCATGTCCGCCGACTTGATGAGAGTGCGAAAAGAACCATGTTGGATGTCTTGTCGCTTAGTCCGAAGACTAGCACCCCGAACAAGATGGTCGTTGGTGGATGGTTGCACAACAAGCTGAAGCGAATCGCTATTGTTGAATCTCAGGTTTTCGGGAGAGGCACCTTCGCGGTAGATAGCATTCTGAAAGGCATTAGCAGGTAGTTCGCAAGCACATGCTACAGCAGAGAACGGACCCAGTCTTTCGCATAGTTCTGAGCAAAGTCTTCAGCAATAAATTCGCCTGGTAATTGGTTGGTCTCGTTGAAGTAGACGATGATGGAGTCGGTGAAGAGCTCTTGGGTTTGACTGTCGTAGAAACCACAGGCACAGCTGTCCTGCCCACGCGTAACATCGGCAAGCGCAGGCAAGATATGCACAAAGGCAAGACCGAGCAAATGAAAGTTGAACATGGCGAAGAGTGAGTGACTGAACAGAAAACAGGGCGAAACAGGCTGCTCAAATTGGAGAGGCAGTATTTGTCTGCAACATATGCATGCAGCTAGCTGTGCAAGGCCTTTGTAAAGACCCCGGCACAAGCTTGCAACAATGCTCGCCGGGCGGAGAGGAGCCGCGATGCTTTTCCGACCAACATTGGCATCAGGTCGTTGCGCTTCGAAAAGTCCCCTATCTGGGACATAGCCCTAGCCCGTCCCTTTGGGGGTCATGATCGGAGCGTTGCCTCAGCGGGGAGTGCGCGGCCCTGCAACAGGGCCAAAAAAGGTATGCAAGCTTTTCTTGGCAGGCCCGTACTTGATAGCAAGTAGGTTGGAACGTCGTGGCATGGGGCTAACTAGCCGCCGTATGAGGTGCAGAAGAGAAGAAGGTTGAGGAAGATGCCGTGCCCCCGCTGTCGGTGGGTCGGAAACGTGCGCCGCACACCTGCCCAAATGCACCTGTGCGTCGGCGCTAGCACAGACGTTTCGATGTCCCAATGCATCCCGCGCTCGTTCTGCCTCATCTTTGTTGAGGAAACTTCATCACCATCCCAGTTTCGATCATTGATCTTCGTTGCTAGCATCGACCGCTATCAGTCGTTTCCGGAACGACCAGGGCCGGCGTTACACTCATCAATCCCAGCGCTGCTTGCTGCACTCACCATGCCGCTGCGGGAACGCGTTGTCGTGTCAATGCCGAGGAAAGTGCCCAATTTTTCAGCTCTTGTAGTCAGCTTCTGCACAGTTTCTGCATAGCTTCTGCAGGTTCAGTAATACCATGTACACCGGGTACCGGGGCCATGCGACGCAAGATAGCGGCTGGCATGTCGCCTTCCCGATGGATTCTCCCAAATCCGCCCAATCCAGTATACACAAGCAGTTCGGTGACGTGGATCAAACTGCGGCCTACTGGCAAAAAGCATACCGTTGGCTGGACGCACAAATGAGCGTGGGTTTGACATGTGACTTGGCATATTCACCATTCCCGAGCTGTAGAGATGCACATGGGTCGACATGATCAACGTGCAGGACTGACCCACTCCAATCTCATTATCACATCTTGGCATTGTTGATGCTAGGTAATGCTGATCTCAGTAGAGCACGAATCTTGCATGGAGACCAGCTCCTACGGGCGGTAATGACGGTTTCGACATGAACCCTTCGGCGGTATTGCCCCTTCTCCATTCGTTGGTTGATGGTCACAGTGTTTACCCAATGCACTAAGAGATTGTACAATCAAGGCCCGAATATATGTTCTGTATCCGCTCCTTACAAGTTGTCCCACCCCCTCCATCATAGTCACCACTCGCTTTGACTACCCCCCATCCACCGTGACAGTCGCATCATACACTCGTTTCAAGATGTCAGACTCTACGAAGGACTGCGTGATCGAGGTTGGAGAGGTCGCCTCTCCTGTGGTCAACGAGAAGTCAACCCCAAAGAGCAGTTTGAGCGTTTCCGAGATCCCCGGGCGCACATCATCGTTCATCTCGGAATGGACGCCCTTCGGTCTGGTCGCCTCATACTACGTCTTCTCAGTATGTCTGTACATGTACTGCAGCAACAGCTTGATTGCCATCTTCTGGTTTATCTACATGTGCACCAACTTCTACATCGCCGGTACAACTGTTCTGGAGGCATTCTTCAGCATCACTCCTTGTCGTGAGGCAAGAGAGATTGTCACCCAGGCACAGGAGAAGGAGTGGCTGTTCCCTACGCCGCACCATCAGCTACCAATCATCGATCTGCTCATCGTCGCCTACCTACCCAACGAGCAGGACATCATCATGGATCGCGCTCTCTATGCGCTTGAGCAGATTGACTACCCCTCGAACAGGATACGCATCAATATCCTCTACAACACCCCGAAAGCAATCGAGCCATTGGAGAGCGAGCTAGCCGCACTTCCGCAGCGCTTCCCACACGCAAGGGTCATCAAGGTGCCCAACTCCACCTCCAAGGCCGACAATCTTAACTACTTCTTCACGCTGGACACTGGATCGGACATCATCGCCATCTACGATTGCGACCACTACCCCCACCCGAACTCACCCAGATGGGCTGCCGAACGATTCGTCGCTGACAAGCAGGTTGACATTGTTCAGGGTCGTTGCATCGTCTTCAACTCCGATGATAGCTTCATGACCAACATGATCGCTGTCGAGTTTGACAAGATCTACGCTGTTTCTCACCCGGGTCGCTCTACTATGTGGGGTTTTGGTCTCTTCTGCGGTTCTAATGGTTACTGGCGCACTTCATTACTGCGCGATCTGAAGATGGACGACACTATGCTTACCGAGGACATTGACTCTGCTCTCCGCGCCTTCTCCAAAGGTGCGAAGACTGTTCACGATCTCAATGTCACTTCGTACGAGCTGGCCCCCACCACCTTTGGCGCATTCTGGAAGCAACGTCTCCGGTGGGCTCAGGGTTGGGCTCAAGCGAGTATGCGTCACATGAAGATGGTCTGGAACGGAGTCAAGGATCCACTGCACGAGGAGCATGCCAAGCGTAGCTTCACTGCCCGCTTCGGTGTACTGTCACTACTGCTCATCCGCGAGTCTTCGTACTATCTGGTTACCCAGTACACGTGTCTCGTCGCGTCATTCATTATCGTCAAGTTTCCGACTTCCGGGGACGAGCTGTGGAGGCTGGTCTATTTCCAATACCCTGTATCACAGTGGCTTTTCATCATCAGGTTCGTACAGCATCTGCACGATTAAATTTGTACCTCGCTAACAGTGTCGTGTCACAGTATCGTCTGCTTGATTGCTACGCTCTGGATTACCAACCAGGTCAAGTCCGAGTACATCTCTCGGAGGATGATTATTCTCTTTTCAGTTCTGTATCCTTTCTATCTTATTCTCAACGCCACGATCGGTCTATACGGTCATGCTCGTCAGCTTGTCAACTACAGCTCCTGGAACCCAACAGCCAGGAAGTAACACCACATTACACTTTATCAATTTCTTTTTTGTCTATATATATTAGGGAAGAGGGCGCAGGACATTAGATGCACTCTCTGGATAATGGAATGAAGACTCAGAAGCCATCAGTGGCCTCGAGGCTATAATGAGTCACGCTCCAGTATATAATACACGATTAATATCACTATAATCACTATTACCACAACTCAAAATTATCATTGCTGTTCCTGCGAATTCCTCATGTGATCACTACTGTTTCGGAAGAATTCTGTTACGGAAGGTTTCTCATGATTGTGCACTCTTCTCATCTACCAATAAGCTTGCTTCATTGACCAATCTCTATCACGATGTCTTCTCGGTGACTACGACTAGAAAATTAATCCATGAAGCAACGCGCGGCAATGCAGCAGGAACACGGAAGAACCGCATTATCCCAGCAAGATCACGTCGGCGCTTCAGATCCCGATCCGACACGCCTTGTATCCATCAAGGTAAGGTTCAAAGATAAGTAAATTCTTAGCACGAAACAAGGCCGAAGCCCAGCACCTTACTGAAACGGTCCCTGCATCCTACCGCCCTGCCAGAAAACATCACCCTAGCGACGTTGGAAAAGGAAATAATCAACAGCATCAGGGGTGGTCGGGACATTACAAGTCGACTATGCGGGGCGATCGACACGCGCCCACTAGCGCATAGATCCACTTCACAAGCGTTCCCTAGGCCCGCGTGGGATGTTGCTATCCAGCACACAACACATGGCGGGTAGCACAACATCGTCAGTCAGCGGAACCATCCGCTTACCTACTAGGAAAATTCGACACGGCATTTTTCTCGGCCAGTCAGTGGTTTCAGTGGGCTCTCGTTGTTCGTGTCCCCTCACCTTCCTTTTTCGGTTCGAAAGCACGAGTCAGCCCCTATGTTTTCTGCAAATGTCTGAAGTTCATGACCCTTTATGGCCTATCGCACGGATAGGGCTCGGGATGCACAGACAACCTCAGGTGTTGAGGCGGTAACTGACAGGTGTAGATAGTGCTGCCCCGTGCGCCACACGTGGAAGGTCCTGAGGAAGGCCGTTCACCGGCATGTTGAGAGAGCAGGATGCTTTTCATCGAGCACGTCACGATGTGCGTCTGGGATATGTATGACAAGGACTGCACTGTTACACAATCTCAAGGCCGTCAATCCAACATCCTAGGACAAGATAACGATCAACAGCTGTCCGTATGCTGACTGGTTGGGCTTGCACAAATTTGTAAACTATTGTAACCCGCGAAAGTTACCCGCTACCAGCCTCAACTAGGGTCAACGCTTATCAACAGATTCACAGCGGCACGTCGAGAACGCCACAAAAAGCATAGCTAGACCTTGGCGTGCATGCACCTGAGGGCTACTCGGAAGCTTGCGTTGCAGCTAAGCTCAACGCTTCCCGTGCTCGGTAGGTGAATGTTGTGCTAGTTGCGGAAAGAAAAGTTGCCTTCAGGTACGTGGGCGTTCTGGTGGCCAAGGTGCTGATCTCGGGTCTCCCCCGGGGGTATCTTGGCTATGGAACTTGGTGCTACTGCTGCGCATGAATGCCATGGGCTTGTGCTCAATCTGTTGTCCGTGTGAGATCGAGGTTGAGGGTAAATTACCCTGTTGGTAAGCTGCTCTTCCTCTTCTACCATCAAGTTTCTTACCTTTACTCGCGGTACTGAGCAAGATGTCTGCAACAATGGAGCCTACCCTTCCGTCCAAACTCAAGGCGTTCTTCCCTTCGTCGTCAACCCCGCAAGGGACGACTAGCCTTTCGATTGACCAGAACTACCTCATTGGGCTCCGTGGCCTACTCGTGTTCCAATCTTTCCTCTTCGTCTTCTTCCAGACATTCCTCCCAGCCGCCCTCCCCGACTCGAAGAACGTTGACGGCCCGACATACCAGGTTGTACTTCGCAAGTCTTTTTCAGTGCTCTTCGCCAACGAGGCTCTGATCTACTCATGGATTATCTTCCTCTCTGCGCGAACTATCTGCTTGCCATATCTCGCCAACAAGACTCGCGAAGTCGGTGCCTCCAGTATCTTTCGTCGCGGTATCAGGTTATGGATTCCCACTTTTATTGCATACTCTTTCGCGGCAGCAGCCTTTAGCACAAGCTCAACCGACTACATCTCCGAATTCTTGGCTTCCACTGGCAACATCTCCACCATCGCACCAATGCGCCTCCGTAACTTCCTGCTCTACTTCAACTCCCTTTTTGAGATTTTCTGGGTCAACAAGCGCTACGCTAGTCAAGCTGCCAACGATGTATTTCCATCAGGGACCCTTTGGATAGTGTCTGTGCTATTCCAGCAAAGTTACACCGTCTACATTACCATGATTATTGTCCCGAACACCCGCACTTCATGGCGCGTCAAGGCCATGTTGGCCTTCATCGTAGCAGCATTCTGGGTGCAGAGCTGGGCCTGGTACAGTGTCACTGGTCTTATCATCGCTGATGCGGTTCTCAACATGGACTTCCAGTTCCGGTCCCTGAAGGGATTTAAGATCGGCAACTTCGGCATACCGGTCTGGCCACTGTACGCCATCATGGTCGTAACCGGTTTTATACTGCAATTCGCCTTTATCTCCGGAAAGCCTAGCATGCGCGACAACGAACTATACGGCCACACTGCGCTATACGACGATGGATTCCTGAACGAGAACGCTGACCTGGATCAGCCAATGCCGAGGGTCGACAATTACCTCATCATCCTTGGATCGATGCTCCTCATCGAGACGTTCGAGTGGCCTCGATCCGTGCTTCGCGGCGGTTTCTTTGTTTCGCTAGGCAAGAGGAGTTTCAGTAAGTGACGGCCCTGACACGCTCCATCGAACAACTACTTACAAATTTCAGGCTGGTTCCTCGTTCAATCCATAATCATATACACCGCCGGTATCAAGCTATACACACACATGGTCACCGCCGGCATGAACAGCGCTGCGAGCAGTTTCGTGTGCTTCTTGGTCTGCGCTCCCCTCGTTGCAATCGTAGCGGAGGTTTTCTACCGTGTCGTTGATCTGCCGAGCGTCGTACTGGCTAGAAGCTTCTGGGCGTTCATGACGAAATAAGTGGCGGCAACGGCTCGCTAACGGCACGTGTTTCGGGTCATCGTCAGCCACATCTTCTGCTGTTTCGCTTACCAGCCTTGCCCTTCTTCTCCGCACTCGCAATTCAGCCGTCTCCGCGGAACGCCATACGCCACATTGCCCTTGCGCAAGGAATTTTGTGGGACGCCCACTGGTCAACAAGCACGTCTTAATAGCTCGGCATGCCTTTTGGAGAAATCCCCGCATTACTGTTGATCCTTCGAACTTCCCCGCAGTGTGGAGGGACATCAGTCTATTGGTATTGGTTCGGGAAAACGTACAATTACGGGTCATGAGTGTAACAATAGTTAGATCCTTAGATTTCTGTTAATGTTTATCTCTTTTCTTGTTCGCACCTGACTTCTCCATTGTTGTTGTGAGCGCGCGCTGCTGAGCCTTCAACCTACCAATTAGCTACAATGGAAGAACCTAAAGAATTTGGCACTGAACGTATCGAGAAGGCCATTGTGCTTGACGAAACGATCGATGTCGCCCTAGACAGGCGTGTAAATCGTAAATTCGACACCCATATCTTACCTTGGTTATTCGGAATTTGGTATCTTCCCTGCTATCGTACACAACATCAGGCTATATACTAAGTCATCTGTCTAGGCTCTTCTCATTCATAGACCGCAGCAATATCGGTAACGCTCGTATAGCAGGCCTGTCAGACGAGCTATCTATCACAACCGGCACGCGGTTCAACATTGCGCTTCTAGTCTTCTACATCCCGTATATCCTCGTTGATGTACCTTCGAACCTTCTTGTCAAGCGCCTACGTGCCGGCATATACTTACCGGCTCTTATAACTGCATGGGGTTTAGTGTGCACATTCATGGGCTTCGTCCAGTCTTTCGCCGGGCTGGTCGCATGTAGGCTGTTGCTAGGACTATGTGAGGGTGGTATCCTTGGTGGCGTGATAATCTATCTTGCCATGTTCTATAGGAGAGGAGAGATGTTGTTGAGAAGCGGGTTGTTCTACTGCGCTGCGCCACTATCTGGGGCCTTTGGTGGACTGTTAGCTTCAGGATTGGCTACCATTGAAGTTGGGCAGTATCGAAGGTGGCCCTGGATTTTCTTTGGTAAGTCCAACTTGAGTAACATCCATAGTTCACCCTCCATATCAGGGAATACGTTGCACTAACTTAGTATAGTCGAGGGTGCAATAACTGTTGTCTTCGGCATCATCTGCTTCTTCTTCATGCCCGACACGCCTGCGGCAGCAGGTTTTTTAAGCGACGAAGAGAAAGAATGGGCATTACGACGCATGAGACTTGACGCGGGAGGGTCTACTGAAGTCGATGTGGAAGATGAGAAGTTTAGCTGGTATTGGGTAAGGATGGCACTGAAAGCCCCACAGACCTATCTTTCTGCTTTCATCTGGTTCTTTTTATTGGTACCGCTATACGTACGTCTTCTCGACTTCCATGTCTCAATGGCAACACTGATTTACAATAGAGTTTTTCATTGTTCCTACCTAGCATCATCGCAGGAATGGGCTATCGAAGCACTACTGCGCAGCTTTTCACGGTGCCCCCCAACATGGCTGCCTTCATCACCGTCATTGGCACGGCGTATGCCTCGGACAAACTAAAGAACCGGGGCTACTTTATCATCGGAGGATGCGTTTTGGGAATATGCGGTTACGTGATGTTGATAGTAGCGACGACCAATGCCGTACGATATGCCGGCACGTTCCTAGTTGCCATCGGTGTCTTCCAAGGCTCACCCATGCTCATGGTAAGCTTGATCTGAAGATCTGCGTACTTGTCTTGCTCACATGTATCCAGGGATGGGCGTCCAATAACCTTGCGCCTCACTATGTCCGAGCAGTCGGAATTGGTATGGTGATTTCCATTGCTAATTGTTCGGCCTTTATCGGTACATTCATCTATCTCCAACGCGATGCGCCGAGGTATGTTTTGGGCCATTCGGTTAGCCTTGGTGCATTAGTGATAACGATCGTACTCTCTGCTGCCCAGTGTGTGTACTTGGGTTGGGAAAACAAGAAGCGAGACAGGGGTGAGCGAGATGATAGACTTCTGCAAGCGGATGCGGATAGACTCGGCCATCAGCATCCGAGTTTCAGATTCACATTGTAGCCGAGGGCAGGCGGTGACGAAAGCGATGCCGGTGTTGTTGGAAGCTAGCTAGGAAAAATGTTACGAGACTAATATGCCGCTTCATGTCGAAGAAATGTTTTCCGGTGCTAGCGTTAGGTAATATCATGCCCTGTCTTCATAACTTCGCTCTTTTCATATCTCTTCCCCCAATCATACCTTTTTGCTTGGTAGAATCCTTCCGCCATGGTGTGAGGCTTCCGCCGCCTGCGACCCACCCGATTGCCATAACGATCAACGTAAACGGCACGGCGGTCAGGAAATACCACCCGTATGTTGATTTCAACGCCGACACGCTCTCGTTCATACTGTATAAACCAGATATGAACGTCAACGGAATGAAAATAGTCGCCAGCCATGTGATTCTTGCCATGTTATGATTCTCTTCAAGTCCGCGACGTGAATCTTCGATGGATATTTCCGAAGTGACAATGCTGGTAAGGCGGTCGACGCGTTCCTGTAGTTCGTTGACATCGGCAAGAACACGTTTGAAGTCGGGGACTATATCCTCAAACCCCTCCACGTTTTCAAAGTTGATGACCAGGTTGTCAGAAAACGCTGAGCGTATAGAAAGAGGTGAGTTGGGCGCGGCGGAATACTGAGGAGACGGGGTTGTGAGTCGCGCTGCGGCTGGGAGCGCGTGTTCCAACGTCTCTGCCACCATCTCTCGAAATACAGGAATCTGCCGACGCCAAGTGTGAAGCCGTTTGAGCGATGTATCGATGGCGTCGCCTTTTGAGCGGAAGAGGCGCGGCAGTTCAAGTTCCCATTCTATTTGGCTAAGTCGGGCCCTTACATAGTCACACACTATAAGCCATTCTGCGCAAATGGTGTAAATGGTTGGTTTGGCAAGGACTTGCGCGTTTATATCGTGACCTTCTCTCCGCTCGAACCATGGGAATGCGGTAGTCATTTGGACAATATCCTCGAACCAGGATACAGATGACTTGATCGAAGGGTAGACCTTGGTCTCCATCTTAGGGGTCGGCAGCCAATTACTGCGATCATACCCTTTGCAGTGTCAGCGTGTAATTTTGCCAGGTTGAGATGTCATGTGTTGGTACTCACATAGGGGTTGACCCTGGCGGACGGTCGGATCCAGCAACACGATTCCTACAGTCCCGTTTCCGCACTGCTTATCTTTGCCAATCCACATTGTGGTCCGTGTACGCATAATGGATACGACTGCTCCGTCTCTGTCTTGATAGTGCCAATGATTCTCGTCGTTGTCAGGACGTCTCAGCACGTTCCAGGCATTTGCCTCTAACCTCGAATCCTCGAATTCTTTCTCTGTTTTGAAATATCGTAATCTCATATTGCGCATTCTAAACCACGGTCGATGCTTCATGCTTGAGATTAGGCTGGGCGGTGATGCCCAGGGGTCGCGAGTGTTATGCCATACGTAGTCATCGATTTGCTCGCGGAAGAATAAAGGATCAATATCGAAGCGCGCTCCCAAAAGCTCGATGACTTGCTGAGACAGATCTTCCACAACGAACAGTCGCAGAGGAGGCTGTTTCGTACGCTCATGCGACAGGGCTTGTAAAGTCTCGTGCAGCAATGTGGGTGTCTTGATTGCTGTAGTTTTGGGTGCTGTGGAAGGGTTATATTCCACGAAAGTGACATTGGTCTTGTTCCTCCGCCTTGCGAGCTCCTCTGGGTGATGTTTGATTTCATTCCAACGCAGTGGGGTTGTTCCGACCTGCATCCAGTCCGCCAGATGGCGTAGATTTTTCCATGACGTTGACAGTGATTTGATGTGCGCCAAGTATGGTAGCTTCTTGCTGTTACTGTGCTGCGTAAGTGATGATCTAGAAATACAGTCGTGCTATCTACCTACGGATCTGGTATTTCCCACTCATCTGCCACGGGTATCCGTTCATATGCGTCTCCGATCAATGCATAAGGATCGGGAAAGTCTGCGCTATGTGGAATTTGCTTCGCACTCCAAAGTGCCGGCATCGTGTCCCTCTTGGCAGGCAGGACATCGTCGTTGCCAATATCGGAATTAGAAGACATGGTTATTCGAATGCTAAATTTGCGTACTTAACGATAGAGAGGACGATGCGATGGGTTTATAGCTCTGTGACAAGGCTGCAAGGCGATGTTGGGGGCTGAAAATAAGTCCCGAAGGCTGAGACTGAAGCGCGACAATCTTAAGGTTGCATCAGGGGTGCATACGCGAGGTTTCCAGCGACGTATACCCGCGCGCCTCTATGCGGATCTCCACATCCAAGGAGGCGCCTGAAAATGTTAGTCCTTCTGCGTACTGGATCGTGTGGATAAAGAGTGTGTTGAAAAGTACAGACATCGTGCATGCCATGTTGCTCAGTCTGTGGCGCCATCAGCTGAGACGAGTCCGACCCAATTTGGTCTAGACGTAAGATTCAGGCGCCCGGCATCAGCAAAGCCACACTTGGGATGCCAGCTCACCTAGAACCTCTTCGGAAGTGCTTGTACTACGCGACAGAGTATATAGGTATTGATCGAAACATCGTAGGCTTATGCGATAGAAATCTCCAGTCCGAGCTGGGCTAGATGCAGCCCAGGAATATAGTAATTACGATACAAGCTTACAGGCGAAATCGATAGCTTTGTCCGCCCGAATCCGCGGCGTAAACTCTGCTATAGCACCGACTGAGCGGTGCCATTGCAGCGGCACTTTTCTTATCATCGTATGATTGCAGCCTATACAAAACTTACCGTGTGTTATCCCTGGGCTTACTCGCCTGCACGACGTCAGGGCCGAATGTGGGGAGAACGCGGGGCGTGCAGTACACCTCGGAAGTCCAAACTCAATGTCGCACAAAGGTACACTGGCAGGGCACGTATGTGTGCCTTGTCTTAATATCTAACGTATTTCCATTGACGTCTAGCAACTTCAATTCATCCAGATCTCAACATGACGCATGATATCCTAAAACCCCATTGGTCTCGGTTCCTTGGCCCTAACGCTCCTGATCCCCAAAAAGACAAATATCTACCTCACGACCAAGCTGTATTTTCGTCGCCGTATGGTCCACTTCCACCTACGCCAGACGATCTTAATATCCACGAGCTTTGCTTTCCGCCAAACAACCCATTGCCAGAAGATTACCCTCTATTCATCAACGCCGCCACAGAAGAAGTTGTCACCCTCCACAGCTTCTATGCTCGGGTATGTGCATTGGCGCGCGTCTTCAGATATGATGGTCCAAATCCACTGGGTCTAGAGAAGAGTCCAGTAGATGATAAAGAAGATGGAGAAATCTTGGCTTTATTCTCACGGAATCATCTGCACTATCCAATGATAGCGCACGCATGTTTCCGATCAGAGCTGGTCTTCGGCGGGATCAGTCCAGCGAGTACGCCCTACGAATTATGGTGGGTATTGAGAAAAATGCAAATTACGAGCATCATGTGTCATGAGACGTTGCTCCCGGTGTTGAGTGAAGCGCTCAAGTTGGGATCTGGCGAGGGCGACAATCTATCTCTGAAGCTCAAGTTGAATCCTCAAAAGGTCATCGTACTGAGCGATAATCCTCAATTAGACCACGTATCAGGTCAACGTACTATTGAATCGCTTGTAAGAGAAGGGTTCAATTTGCCAGAACAAAAGCGGAAGCTGCTTGGCGGAAACCGTATGGCATACCTGTTTCAATCTTCAGGAACTTCCGGCTTGCCCAAAGCAATGATGATCACGCATAGGAATGGCTACTCTTCTGGGATGCAAACGCTCCATACCGGTGTACAAGTTGCGCGCTTCACAGGAGACGAACCGTTGACGCCCGTCACTTTACTCGGTGTTGTCCCGATGTATCACTCATACGGGATGATCCTGTGGATCCTTCGTCTCAATCTAATCAAGCAGACCTCCGTCATCCTTCCAAAATGGGACCTCGAGCTTGCTTTGAAGAGCATACAGAAGTACAAGATTACACATCTTCCACTGGTCCCACCTCTAGTCCGTCAGCTTGCTCAAAGCTCATTGACTGAGAAATATGACCTAAGCTCTGTGGTCGTCGCATCTAGCGGTGCTGCATATCTGCCACCAGATGTCGCACATCAGCTGGCCAAGAAGCTACCACAGGGTGCAGAGATACCAGTACCAAGTGGCTATGGCCTCAGTGAAGCAGCCAGTATCGCTAGTTCGGGTGCGAATGGGATCTTTGGCTTAGAGCCTGCGCTGTCTGGCACGATTGGATATCTGCTCCCAGGTATGCAGGCTCGTATTGTGGACCCTGACACACTCAAAGACGTAGCCAAGGGTGAGAAGGGTGAGCTCTGGGTACGTGGACCAGTTGTCACGCCCGGTTACTTCAGAGAAGCCAAAGCCACAGCGGATATGTTCACCGAACCGGGCTGGCTACGCACTGGAGATCTTGTCATGCGCGACAAGTATGACCGTATTCACTACCTCGATCGCCTAAAAGAGATGATCAAAGTCAAAGGTCTGCAAGTTGCTGCCACGGAGGTGGAGGATACGTTGCTGGACCATCCGGAGGGTCTTGTGCGCGATACATGCGTAGCTGGCGTCGATAATGGTCGCGGCGATGGGTCCTTGTTTGTCAGAGCATGGATCGTACTCACGAACGAGGGAGGGAAACAGGGCGAGGATATCGTCGTAAAGAAGCTACATCAGTGGGTCGAAGGACGCTTGAGTCGACACAAGTGGCTGACTGGTGGTGTTGAGGTTGTTGATTCAGTAAGTGCTTGAACTGCTATGAACTACTTACACTGACGTCGTTCTCAGATACCTAGGACTCCTTCGGGGAAGATGTTGAGGCGAGAGATGAGGGACAGATATCATGCACGCATTCAAATTGGTAGCAAGGCGAAGCTATAACAGCTCCATCGTAACGTCCTTTGGTTGTGGCGAGAATATGCAATGCTCTATCTCTCGACGCTGGCTCCATATGCTCCGTGACATTCGCCACCTGTGCTGCGCTTGGCTTCTGATCCGCCCTAGGCCGAAAGTCCCCCAGCTTCCCGTTGTTACGAACTCGTGCTGAGAAAATGTCGTGATATGTTTGCAACGAATCTTGATTCTGCTTTTGGTATTAGTCGATCGCTTTTCGAACATGGCTGGTCATGTTTTTCAGCTCGTCGGCGCTACGTGGAGTTTGATGGGCTTGAGCACGACGAAGGTGAGGTTGCGAGGCTTGGCGTCGACTTTCGGAGATAGGCTTCTCTCCCAACTCCTTAACGACGACTCCTTACTCATCAACGTCCTCTAACATGGCAATCACACGTTAGGTTGGCCACGTCTCGCGACGCGGGCCGTCTGCTCCTTTAGGCACCGGTAGCACGATGGAGGGGCAAGAGTGGGGTTGAGATGCGGCGCTTTGCCCGAAGTTCGGTGGGTGTCATGACGTTGGAGCTCTGCAGCTACAAAGGTCAACCTGTTGACGCCGCTAAGCGCTCCTCGCCGCTGAATTCACAATCTCACCTTGGATCTACTGGGAGACTACCAAACCGTTCATCTACGCCATGTCATCACCAAAGACCGTCCGCTGGGGTATCCTCGCTACTGGAGGCATCGCCGTCACCTTGTAACTACCCCGCGCCACACCCCTACTGAAGCTGTTTACTAACATGGACACAGCACCAAGGATCTGCTTTGCGACCCTACCACACGTGGCGTCAAGCACCTGAAGCACACCGTCGTCGCTGCCGCTTCGTCGTCGTCGGAATCGCGCGCCAAAGACTTCTTGAAGGAGGTGGGCGCACCCTCGGAAGCAAAGGCATATGGCTCCTACGAGGAGTTCGTAAAGAACCCAGACATCGACATCGTATACATTGCTACACCGCACTCGCACCACTACCAGAATGCCATGCTTTGCTTGGAGGCCGGCAAGAACGTGCTGTGCGAGAAGGCTTTCACGGTCAATGCCGCCCAGGCGCGCAAGCTGGCTGAGGTCGCAAGGTCCAAGAACCTCTTCCTGATGGAGGCTGTATGGACGCGCTACTTCCCACTGTCCATCTACGTCCGCGAGCAAATCACGTCCGGTCGCATCGGACCCATCACACGCGTCATTTCCGACAACAGCATGGCGCTCGACCCCGAGAACAACTTCCCAGACGGCAAGAACCGCATGGTGAACCCTGACCTGGCGGGTGGCGCCCTGCTCGACCTTGGTATTTACGCCCTTACCTGGGTCTTCCAAACCATCTACCATACTCAGCCCGAGAACTCGCGCCAGCCGCCCAAGCTACAGGCTTTTGTCAAGACCTATGAGCCTACTGGCAAGGCCGACGAGCACAGCACCATGATCCTCCAATTCCCACGTTCGAAAGATCAAGGTGGCGAGGTCCATGCCGTAGCTACAACCTCGCTCCGCGTCGCAACAGCCCCAGGAGGAAACCAGGACCTACCTTTCGTCCGCATCCAAGGACCCAAGGGTGAGATTCAAGTCTTTGGACACTCTTTCCGACCCCTCTCCGTCAGGATCATCGATTCAGAAGGCAAGGCTGAGTCGAAAGAGTTTCCCATCCCAGGCCCAGGTAAGGGAAGCGGCTGGTACAATGGCTTCGGTGGCTCACTGCAATCAGAAGGCGAAGGTCAGGGCATGTTCTGGGAAGCGGATGAGGCTGCGGATGCGATTATCAACGGCAGGAAAGAGGGCAGGTTCCTTGGCCTTGATGAGAGTGTGTTAATCATGGAGGTCATGGATGAGGTGAGGAAGCAGGGCGGACTCGTGTACCCGGAAAAGATTGAGACATTAGATTACCCGACGCAGTTGTAGGTCTAGTTCAGTGACTGCTGTATGAACAGACCTATCTCAGAAATAACACAGTCAATTATTGAGTACTCAATCCTAGTTTAATCATTCTTGTCCGTGCTGAAGCCGAATATGCTCCTGCATCATGAAAAGGTCTCCTTAAGAGGTCTCCTACTGTACGTTACAGTCTCAGAACTTTAGCTCCATCATAACAATCACGAAAGAAGCCATCGTGTCGAGATTCCCCACAGTAGCATAAGAAGTATTATGAACTGACAAGAAGATGCACCAAAAAGTCGGGCGAGCCAAGCAGCAATGTGGACCGACAGACTTACACACAGCTCTGCGAAGGAATCTATCAACTTGCTGGTAAAAAAAATCAAGTAGCTCATCAGTCATCCAACTCGGCACGAGTTTCATGCTCCTCGTCGGCCTCTTCGATCCCCAATGCGCATGGCAGCCAGTACAAGGAATGTTCGCCGAGTGTGAGGAAATCCTTTCTCGGTCTTCCTTGCGGCGTCTTGTCGACTTCCCAATCGGCGGTACCGAATGCTTGTCCCGTCACTCTTGCTGATGATATTGTACGAAGCCACTATAGGATACTCGACTCAGGAACCGAACCCTTCAATCTGGTGGACTGTAGATGATAGACTGTCATAATAGTCCTCATTGTTTTTCAGTTCGATCTCTAGTTCAGCTTTCATTTGTTCCAGAATTGCTTCGTTGGGGGTGACGTCAAGCTCCAGTGCCTCTTGCGGCTGAGACGTAATGGAAGCGAACGATATTGCTCTTGTCTTTTGAGTGCAAATGGTACTCGACTCTGGCCTGATGAAATCCAAAGTACGTACTGCTGCGGCAATGAGAATTTCCATACTTGAGGCGCGTAAACGATATCCTAGACACTTCAAAGCAGAACCTAGAACAATACCTGGAGGCAGCTGATCCTTAGTCTTCGCCGAAAGTGTAATATTCCATGTCTGAGGATCAGCTGCCTCTAGGTATTGTTCTAGGTTCTGCTTTGAAGTGTCTAGGATATCGTTTACGCGCCTCAAGGCTTCCTGGAACTCCACCCTTTCGTCTTGTTGTAATCCACTGTGACCTCGCAGAAGGAATTATCGTTTTCGGGGCTGGCCGTGGTCTGAGTGTGGCCTAACGAAGCTTTGGCTGGTCTCTGGAAGACGTAGTGTGATCTGTCGCAGGGTCTCAGTAGAGAGCCTGATTCATCGAGCGATGGTGGCACTTTTCCGTCCTGGAATAGGCTGTGTAACGGATGACTGACTCGTTTAAGGGCGCGCAGCGGGTTCGTATGCTTGGCTGTTACTTTTTATGTTGACAACTCATCTTGTGCCCGATAGTTGGGACGAGAGTAGTTCGAACCTTCAGTTCGAAATATGTTGGTCGAAAGATTGAGTGTTTGGACGATTGAGCTAAGCAGTATGACGGCACCGGCTGGGTCGAAGTTTGTCAACAACTATTAGGTTCATATAGTGAATTAGCGCTTTTCAGAACTGTTTTCAAAACGACCACCTTCATGGTCAGTAAAAAAGTTTACAAAAAGCTTTTCGAAGGATTCATGATTCGACATGGGTGTGGGTGGGTGGTCGTACAAGATGTACGTCCACGGAGGGACATGCATGGAGTATGCATGTACGCGACAGTGTTGAGAAAACGACGTGTAGTGTCAACCTTGGGAGGAGTCGCCACCGATGTCTTCGTATAGCATGCCCGCTACGTCCTTGGAGTTTGTCGTACTATCAAGCTTGTTGTCCTTGTTTTACTCCCCAAACTTCGTCTTGTCCAGTATAACCTTTAACAGTCTCTTCTTTTACACGCATTTCATGCGCGCCTCCGACTCGCTTTAGAACCTTTTTTGATCAGCGAAAGGACCAGGCAAGACGCCGAAAGAGAATGTGCCAGATATGTGTGCATACAATTATCTTGTTAGCATTCTTCAGGTGGGATCGCTCGCGATACAGAACAAAAAGTAATGTGAAAGTGGTTGAATGTGCCTGCGAATGCTAGCGTCGCTATACCCATATCATCAAGCGCTGGAATAAACATCTGATGAACATTCAGGTGCATATCTATGATGTTGATCTGCTACATAGCCTACTATCAGTGCCCTTTCTGCATAAAGTTACAAGCACATCGTATCAACGTACAGTGCCCTATTCCCACATTGGTGACATGACTATCTCTATCAAAGCCTTTGTCGACAACCAGGAAATGGTGATGAGCATACGTATAAGTTCGAGTTTGTTCTATAGTGCTGACCATCGTCTTTGGCCGTGATCCTACACATCACATCAGCTGGAGCGACAATAGTAGTTGCCATCACCTCAGAGACTCCCAATATTCTAATTATCTGCGACCTTGCTCATGCCTGCATTCCCGTTATGGTAGTCCCCCAAACGCCACTGGGACCCGATACTGCAATGAGTCAGCAAATACAGTTCGATGTGTCGTTTACCGAGACTTTCTCAAGACGCGAATGACTGACAGATCCCAGTTGTCAGTGCTCAGGAAGGGTCTTCAATTGTGCAGCTGAATCGACCATGTAATCTTTGTAGTCTTGTCATCTAGCCATCATTGCCCTAATACACTCTAGACACCGCAAGTCAAGTCGTCGCGCAGGATTTGACAATATCCATGGCCATGGGCTTATAGATCCGCGATCAAGTCAACAGGGCGCGGTCTATCATGCATCTCCGGCAATGGCGCGAATGCGCGATTGAGGCGCGGCTCACCCTCTCGAGCAGGGATGGAACATGGTATAAATCCAGTTCACGGCCAACCTGGATACGCACTATTCTCGCCTTACAAGTGCAAGCACTGACATGCAAGTGCTGCAGCATGGGGGCTGGGTGATTGGCGCACCATTGTATGATCGTTAGTGATTGTCCTATAAGTACAAAAGAGCTTTTGAATTGAGTTTGGGTTTCGACATGGTGTCTGATGAGGTGTTGCGACAAAATCTGGTAGACTATGCAAGGGATGTCGATTTGCAGCATCGGCGATGACGTACAACTGGCCCAGAATAGAATGAGTCCACAAGACTGGGATTCAGCGGCATCTCGATAAGTGAGACCCCTTTCAAGGGAAGCGGTGTGATTATTTTATCAGTCAGCTAACATTCCGGTACCTATCCTTCCAAGATGTCCTTCACTCTTTTCGACCTACATGTTCTGCACACACATAATGGCATCAACAGATCTCACTCCAACTCCCGGCACTATCGTCACCACCATCAGATACAAGAGTCAGATTTTGTGGATGATCCCATAGTGTTGCTGGTCATTTCCACCACCACGGTGATCCGCCTGTCTACCTTACCTTTCGTGTTCGACCAAACCTATGCGCATGCATACGTTGGTAAAGAGTTTCAGATCGAGGACTACCTTTCGTATCTTGCCCGCTGCGCCTGAATCGTCTACACAGCAACTAATCCGCGCGCCATAAGCACTGGAATGGCACTGCGCAGGCGGGATGTCTCCTTAGCAACTTTAGTGAATGCCATCTACACTTGCGACGTAGTTTCTGTCTGCTGTATGACGACTAGCGGACTGGCTAAGACAGTCGCATCCCTGGAACTGAAGAGGATCTTCGCTATGAGACTCCGTGCTGTCGAGTCTGGGTCATCGTTGGAGGCCTGGTCGTCAATGCGCTGATCTACATGATTGTGCCTGCAGTCCACGTCTCTACGTGCTGACATGATGAGAAAGCGGATACACAGCAGTCAAAGGGTACGGTCCGATATACTGAGTGTGTCACAGGTGCTCTAAGTTTTGTCAGCAACATGTAAGCGTTCCTCGTACCAGTATAGGCAGAATAGCAGCTGAACATGGAGTTGCGACAAAAGACTGCTGTCTTAGTCGTCTTTGGATGGGTACTATGTGGGTCTCTCGACTGGCTAGAACGCCGAGCATGTGCTAAATCGATTCAGTACGATAGCGGTTGGTTGCGATGGACTGTATTATCGAGTCATGTTATGGATCAATGGGACTATACTTGGCTGGTGAACCAAAGGGCACTGGTTTGGTGAGTCTCGTTGGTGAAAGACAAGATTCTTGGGTCACGTTAACAGAGGTACCCTAGTATGGCCGAGATGTGTTTAGTCGTAGTCGTCGGCTGCTGTTCATCTGTCAGCCGCATCAGGCGTCACGTCGCCGGAGAGGGGGCGGCCTGGGCAGGACCGACGACCCGCCGCGCATGCCAAGATGGGTTCGAAGTTGTCCCCGCTTGACGGACGTTGAGCCACGGATGGTTTCAAGCAAGGAGAAGAAGAGACAGAGGGGTGGTGATACAGAAGCGGGCAGGCAGCGAGGGGTAGATGGTGTTGTGCATTTGAGATGGTCATTGACTCATGACTATTCGTCGAGCTTGGGCCCACCGGGGAGGAGACGGCAGCCTCAATTACCGAAGGAACGGACATAACGACGATAGCGCAGAGAGCCCTGCATTCACCATCGCAAAGTAGTTGGGGCGCAATCGCAGTCCCATCATCCACCGGCACAAAGAGCGTCTCAATGTGCTCGCAGCGCTCTCGCGACGTGCGCGCCATGCTTCTTCTCCCTCCGCCTTGAAATTCCGCCGCACCTACCCGCCCACGCCCATGTCCGCCTCCACACCCGCACCCGCGAGTAGCAGCCATGCGAGCAGCAGCCATGCGAGCAGCTCGCGCCGAGTACCGCTGGATAAGCGGAAGCGCACCGAAACGAGCTGCGACAAGTGCAAGTCGCGCAAGCAAAAGTGCCGGAAGGAGCCTGGCCAGGACGCCTGTCGCTACTGCGTCGTGCACAACATCGAGTGCCTGACGACGCAGCCGCGCAAGAAGAGACTGTATGGGAGTGTCGAAGGCCTGGGCACCCGTCTGGCGCTGCTCGAGGCGCTGGTCAAGGGGCTGCTTCCAGAGGCAGACGTTTCCAGTACCGAGGCGTTGCGACAGCTTGCGACGTCGCACGGCATACCGCTGCCAGACTCGGCCGCCAACGACGCGCATGGCGATCAAGACGACAGTGGCGAGGGCGAGGGAGACGACACCGTGTCACTGTTGCCCGACCAGCAAGGGCAGGTGCAGTTCATTGGCCCTGGCAGCTCGCTCTCCTTCCACATCAAGCTGCGTACGCTGGTCGGAAGAGGCGCTCTGCGCGAGTTTGTTCTGTCAGTACCGGCCGTGTATCAACTTTACCTGAGGCGCATACTGACTCTCCGCGCCAATATCTAGTTTTGGCAAGAACGCAGCCCAGGCATCGTCGCCAACAGGCAGCGACGACCAGCGCAATCCGTCGAATCCCACCGCACCATCGAGTGCCACCCACGGCTCTGTCGCCGTCCAGGGCCGACACTTGAACCCCGGCGACAGACCAAACCTCGAAGTGCTGATACGCGCCTTCTTCGAACACATACACCCAGACTTCCCAGTCCTGCACGAGCCCTCGTTTCGCGAGGCCTACGAGGCGTGGTTGGTCAACCCCAGGAATGCTGATCCCGCCTGGCTATGCAGCTTCACCTGTGTGCTGTTGCTCGCTCGTCGCGTTGCGCGCATTCCCTTTCCAGAAGACCAGGAGCGGCTATGGTGGCAAAGGACACAAACACTTCTCCCGGTCGTCATCTTCACTTCTAGCATCACAGCCATACAAGCCCTGTTATTGGCCGCCATACACCTCCACAACACAAACCATCGGGATGCTTGCTGGAACCTGACGGGCACCGCTGTTCGTATTGCATATGCAATTGGACTGAATCAGGACAAAGTCAACGCTGGCCAAACACCTCTGGCTAGGGAGGTGCGCAAGATTCTATGGTGGACTTTATATGCCTTTGAGACGATGCAGGTGTCCTCCTATGACCGTCCAAGTGCCATCGAGAACCCAGGCGCAAAGATCAGCAGTCCTAACGAGAAAATAATTGGCGGTCCCCCTGACCTGTTCGCATGCTCGACCCGCTTGTTCATGCTGCTCGGGTCAACGTGTCGCGCGCCCAAGACGGTCAAGTCCAACGCCAACGATGAATCCTATGTTGGCCCGTTGTCACCCGCCGCGGGTGTGCTACGCGACCTGGTCCGATGGAAGGAGACGTTACCCAGGCATCTACACTATGAAGTCATAGACGCTTCACCTCCAGCTATGCAAAGGCCGCTGTTGATGATACACTCCGTATATCACTATACAACCATCGTGTTGTGTCGCTCAGCCTTGCTTGCACGCGCTTCCAGTCTGGCTAAGAGCGGTCATGACACTACAAACTCCGCACTCACAGCCATGGCGGAAGCTTGCGCTGAATCTGGCCGATCACTGGCCAAGGCATTGCTGAAACTCGAATCTTTTGGCAAATTCGATTCCGTCTACTCTTGTGACGTATGGTATATGCTCGCATCAAGCTCAGTGCTAGTCCTCGATCTTGTGTGCTTGAATAAGCTCGGAGGCACAGACATGTCAGAATCCCGCATTCTGTTGTCTCAGCTTGCAGATCTGGCACAGCGGCATAGGCGGAATCCCTACATGCCTGGAACCATTGAGAAATTCGCATCCCTGGTTCCAGAACTACATTCCATGGCCGACTCTCTAGCTTCTCCTGTCAGATTTGCAGAGTCGGAACTCGAGACCCACGATACCGGACCCCAGAGTTCCCTTCCGCCGCAGCAATTATCACAGCCGGACGCTGTGCCACACATGTACCATCAGTCCCCGCCCGGCGTAGGTACTTACATGTACGCGGATCCGATGCCAGGCCGTATATACCCTGACCAGGCCTACATGGGTCCTGCCATGCACCCTAATACCCGGTTCGATAGGACGACGCAAATGCAGTTCATGGACTTTACGATTAACAATATTCACGAGTGGAATTGGGCGGACATTGGGACTATGGTTGGCCCCGAAGGCGTTCCGAATATGCCTGGAAACCCTCATGTACATGGACCACAGCCAACAGGGCCGAATTGACCACTACAAATATCTTTGAGAAACAAACCTGAGGAATAAGCCCCTTCATATGTGAGAGCGAGTGCGAGCTGAGCATGCGACTGGGCACTGTTACATGCTGATCCTGTTCGATGATTGGCTTTGAATAGTTGTATTTCAAACCATGCTTACTCTTCTCCTACCGGAAACCCGGCAAAGTTCCAGCGAGAGGGTTCATGAGGGCTCGAGCGCAAACAAGAGAAAAGGCTTAATCTTCTATCCGCTGTTCTGAGCCCAATTACTCGCAAGTCTAACCTTGAACGTTTGGCACACAGGGTTGAGACAGGGGTAAGGCTGGTAGGGCTGAAAGACGGCGTATGCCGCAACGGCTTGGCAAGTCCCGCGCCTATCACGTTCTATGTCTGTAGTTCGCACTCGCACTCGTATTGTGCCGTACTCGCACTCACCACGCCAAGAAGAACTGCAACAACGCGTTCGACACGGCGGAGCATACAGACTTACGCGGTGATGCATGTAAGAAGCGTAGAGAAAATGTATATTATATTCCACGATGTATCCTTCTCCACAGTCACACAGCATCGAATATCAAGCCTCCAGCTCCAATCAGCCACGCCAGAACCAATCTACGATACGATTTCCACAAACAATTGATCAGATCCAAAGTTACCACTCTTGTCCATATCCAAGATGGGAATCTCAAGAATCCTCGACTTGCCTCTCTTCAGTAGCCGCTTCAAGTTACAAATCCACATTGCTCAAGTCGTACTCGTTACTGCCGCTGTCGGCCTTACGGTTCCTCGTCTCTTTGTAAAGAATATTCCGCGTTCAAGATCAAGCACAATTGCATTAGGAATGGTACGTTGTGCTCTCGGTATTTGGGTCTCATTGGGTATCTAGGATATTTACAGACATGATTTAGCTGTTGATCTGGTTGCTAACGCTTGCGTCTAGGGTGCTAAATCCCTCATCCTGCTCGCCTACCTCATACTTTCGGAACACGTTCCCCGTTTCCAGCGTTGGCACAGCTACAAGGCGCACGCGATTATCGCTTGTCTCGAGGTGGTTTTCTGGAGTGGAGTTGCTGGCTTAACGTTCCAGGCCAACATGAAGTCTTGTGTAGGGGTAACATGTGGCCTAAGCTGGGTAGTAATGGTCCTCGCCGTCATTATCATGTAAGTCGAGCAGGAACTTCAATTGATTGCCGAGTCTAACATGACCTAGCAACACAGAAATTGTTTGCTCCGGTATCAGCATCAGAGAGTTCAGGGAGTGGAAAAAAGCTGGCAAGCCAAAGTCAATGGGACCTCACTACGCCCCTCGTTCCCCATTTGACGACGAGGAATCACTCCGAACCGGAGTCGCACAACCAAAGGAGGCGCCTGTCCAAGCTGCCGAACGAGCATACTTCCACTCTGAGCAACGAAATGCGCAACCTGGCCAAACTCGACCCCACGGGGAATCTCTTTGGAATGATCAGAACGCACGGCGATCTTCCCGACAGGGACGCCATCATTCCTCGCGTCGCTCTGAAGATCGTACACGTGGCCGAGAAGAGCGTCATATGCATGAGATGGAACAACCACCGCGATATCCAGAACAGCAACAATACTCCCCAAGAGGATCACGCTGAATATGCGAGTGCTGTATGGGGATGGGTTCCCTCACAGCTCACAGTTTGGGTGGATTTAGGTCGCACTCGCGATATGCCTCTCGGCTTATCTACATGCTAGAACTGCGTATACGTTCGCGTTGATTTTAGGTTCTAGGCGGATCAATATCGTTTTTATTTTCCTGGCATTTGTTTCCTATGTTATAGTTCTGGTGTGTCGAAAATCTTTCCGAGCGGGTGTAGAGGATCATAGAGTTTTGTACCAAAGTTTCCTTCTAAACATCATGCTGCTTGCGCTTCTTAGACTCTAGCTGCATTAGAGTAGCGAAGTTGTACTTATCGATTGGACGTTTATCCTGTCTCACTATGTGATTTCCTGGACATGACTGCATTTTTGCACTGCGCTCTACGACGTCATGGCTGCGTTGCGTACCTCTAGGACGTGTTTCTAACGTGTCGGATCCAAATATATCCCCTATATTGGGCTTAGCGCGTCATGAATGACGTCAAAATCCTGTTTAGCGGACTCCCAGCCTCCTACAACATCTCGTCTCATTCGGAACCAATTGCCCAGAGCGCCCCACAAAATGCATGTCTCTTGTACAATATCTTGTATCATTAGAACTCGGTGACTGGATATCGGGAGCAATGAACGCCAAGTTGCTGATGATGATTCAGCTACTTACACGAATGACAATCAGTATCTTCCCACGCTGGCTATACCTGTTCGCCTCTGCAGTGCAAGGTGTACTCTAGTGCTGCAATCGCGAAGGCGTTATGATGGCGTTATCCAGTTCACCTCCAGTGGCATGATCTAATGTACACTGGTACTACTTCTGATGGCTAATCGGAAACAGTCGAAAGCAATAGAATGCGCGTTATCGTACATCACCCCTCCAATACGCTTGCACACTAACGCATGCTCTTAATCTTGCTTTCTCTCAATCGTTCAACAGATCCAGCCAAATCTCTTTCTGCTCCTTGAAAGATTCATCTTCGAGAACACCGCGGAATGCCACTTCAGCTCCTAAGAGCCTTGCTTCGACATCTCCTCGCTCCAACTCTTCTTCATCATCACTGCCACAGCTATCGTTGCGCCTCTCCAATGCATCAAGCATCGCCTCGCCCTTTGTCTCCAGCTCCTCAATTCGCTCATTAGCCAAAGCGAGTGCTTCCCTTAGAGTGGACTCTGTGTCTGCAGCCGCTTGGGTAGCAGCCGAGGTACCTTGAGATGTGTAACGTTGCAGTGTAGCCTTCAATCTCAGATTACGCTGTTGTACCTTGCCCTTAGTACGGTCACTCTTCTTAAGGCGAGCGACGGTACGCATGGCATCGTTGAATTGATCCACAAGCTTGTCATGCTTGGAGATGAGTACATGGAAGCGCGAATAGAGTTGCCTCCCAGCTATCGTGTCCTCCTCATGGCGGAACCTGAGTTTAGCCGACTCTTGTTCCATCTCCAAGATGCTGCGAGCTTGGTCTTCGAGGTCTTGATGTGCGGCCTTGAGGTCCTGTTCTTGCTTGAGGGCGAGTGTGCGCCAGTTGTCTCGATCACGACGCAGGCGAGCTGCAAGCGACTGAGCCCAGAATAGTTCACCCAGGAGATCATGCTTAGATCTTGAAGCTGTCCGTAATAACTTTGGAGATGGCAAGGTATGATGGTGATTGGCGCCGAAGTTTCCTTCACTTGGTCGACGGGATCCGAGCGTCGATGGACTCACAGGCGCAGAGACATGTCGTGTAAGTGATTCCAGTAGTCGTGACTTTGGGTTTGGGGTAGTTGCTGGCAAACTAGGCATAGCAACTGCCATGTTTAATGTTGTGTTTGTTGATAGTCGGGTCCCAAGATTGGGTGGGATATGTTGAAATGTGGCGTGGGTTACAGACAAGGGCGCTACAAAGAAGGTGAGATAAAGAGGAATCGTGACCGCAGGGCCGAGCGCAAGACGTCGATATATGTCACAACTCAACAAACGATGTGTTGTTTGAATGCGGGGTTAGTGGAAACAATAGTCGACAGCCGACGCAACGTCGCGTCTTGCATAACACGTGATCACGTGCAGGCGCGATGTGGATTGCTGCTTCCACACTCACCATGGATCCGCCAGTACGGACAGACCCTGACTAAAAGGAAAACAAAATGAAAGTTTGACATGGAGTGATACACACGAAGCGATGAAAATTGAGAGCGCGTAATCAAAATGACGATGATTCGGACCCCGAAAGACACCACGACGGTGCCATCACCTACCGAAAAGTACACCTAAATGCGGCTCAACATACTAAAGACTAATTGCAACAAGCTCACAAAGCCATGGCTGCAGCAAAAACACCAATGGAACCTCCGACCAGGGCCATCACATTTGGGATTGATCCAGCAGGTGCAAGACCAGTGCTCGTTGCAGCGGTACCAGATCCAGACCTTGAAGGTGATGTCGCTCCTGTTCCTGAGCCAGTAGATGCTGAAGTCTGAGTCGCTGAAGCTGATCCCGACGAAGACGCACCACTTGCAGTCACCAAAGCCACCACCTGGTAAGCTTCCATATCCTGTAGCTCGCTCGCCGACAAAACACTCTTCGTCTCGGTGGTACTGAGACCTGGGATGCTTCCGCGGTTGGTGGCATCACAGGTTAGGTCAGCTGTTGTCATCGCACCTTGCCAACTGCAGGCGATGTCCACAGTCCATGCGCCTGGACTCGGGTCTGTGAGGTGCATCTCATATGTCTCAGAACCTTGTATGATAGTGTAAGGTTCGCAGAGGGAGTAATCATCGCTGGAAGCATCGTCCTGACGGCGCATGCGAGGCGCGGGTGTAGGTATCGGAGTCGAATCAGGCGCAGACGGGTCATCCGTGTTTACTGCAGGTGTCAGCACAATCTTTCAATAACCCTTTGCAACATACGCATATCGGTCGGCACTGCAGAGATACCCGCACTGTCTGAAGGACAGCTGTTCTGGTAGGTTGTTGCGCTGGCATCGGAACCAAGCACGGTGAGGGTGCTATCGAACTGGAAGAGATTGAAGATTGTCGCAGACTCTTGCGCACTGGCACTACCTTGCGCAATGGCAGTACCGGCGAACAACGCAGCATAAGTGGAAGGACGCATATTGAAAGTGTGATGAGGATGGACTTGGAGAGATGCAGTGCTGCTGTTACAACGGACTGGGCTTGAAGTTATACATCATTTCCTGCCTGTCACGCAGCCCGCAGTCAATACTACATTATCTTACCCGAGCAGACGCCACCATCGCTTGCAGTGTCCAGGCGACGAATCGCGACCGTTACGTGCCTGGTATGTGATGATGCATCAGCAAATACGGGCGGCGGCGAAACGCGCTACTAAACTCAGGGGCATGCGGGTGGCTGGAAGCTCGCAGACTCATCGTGACAAACACATTATGAAAAGATGGCAAAGCAGAAGCATCATTCGAGATCCGAGAACGTCGTTGATGCGATGCGATATCTGAAATGCGGAGGTGAGTTCACCCAAAGCTTGATTTCCAAGGCCAAGTGCTTGGCTTACTCGATGCATCTGGCGAGGCAGTCATCATGTAGCAAAAGGAAAGAACATGTTAAATTAGGCGGTGCCGCATGGAAAATCGCTCGATTGGACATGGCTCAGCTTGCGGCTGACTTACTGCTCGCATGTCCGGGAGCCAGAAGACGTCTTTTTTGTCTTTTTCCAGCGAAAGCGCGAGGCAGATGTAATGAGGTACGGTCCTTTTCTAATTTCCCACAGGGTTCGCAAGCGTCACCAAGCATCTAGACTTACGCGTGAGGGAATGCGAAAGAAATAACCAGTATAGAGAAAAAAGGAATGGCAAACTGATGCTGAAGCCTGGATTTTTGTTGAGGCGGAGAGCATGACCGTGTTGTTTCCCAACTCTCAACGTCGCGTCCATCTTCAAGATTCCCCTTTCCGGGCAGTGGGCAAAAAGAACATGCATTTTGAGCTCGTCGAAAAGGCAAAAAAGAACGTTTTCCGACACCGGGAATCGAACCCGGGCCTTGCCGGCACTGTACAGTGAACTGACTCTGCGAATGAGAGCGGCAAATCCTAGCCACTAGACCATATCGGACTTGGATGAAAAGAGAGGAGATCGCTGGTAATATATCGAGAAGCACAAAAATTGAACGAGAGACGAGGGGCTGGCCAAAGAACATGAAAAGTTTGCAGGACAAAGCTTGAAAGACACTACCCCACCAGCACTATGGAGCACACAGAGTGGACCTTCATCTCACGAAAAATCATTGCGAAACACTAGTCATTATTCGTTATGGCGTTATAGTATGGAAGAGCAGTAGCGGACTGCCTTCCAAAACGCTTCAGGAAGCAGGCTCGAGGCCAACGACATCAATGGCTGCTTCAACACGCCTATTCGAAACCGAATCCCGCTTATAGACAATTTAGATACTTGCAAAGAAACGACTGTTCAACCCATCACAGGTGTATCGGCCCTCTCAGGTAGCGACTGTGCAATCGGAGCCAGTCCCAGCAGCTTCATGCCATTCTCCAAGATGACTGCAGTCGCTTCATACAATGCAGCAAACCCAGGAGTCACCTTGGTATCTTTGTCATCCTCAGCATCTTCATCTTCATCTTCCGCGAAGCACTCGGCAAGTTGGTCAGTCACACTAGAGAGATACGTAACGACACCAGCCGACTCGAGGGAGTGATATGTCGCATTGACAACCTCGGGATACTGAGCCAAAACGCGTAAGAGATTGGCTGGGTCGTCTTCAGCCAATGCCTCATAGTCTTCGTCTGACAGTTCAGCTGCAGATTCGACACCTTTCAGTAGCAGACGGAGTTTGGCCAGCCAGTACTGCAAGTCCGGTCCTGATCCGAGCTTGAAGGACGCCATCGTGCTCGTATCGAAGGCGTGTGTGGTGGTTAGACGAGTCGAGAGCTCTTGCACAAGCAGTGCAGATGTCGCCAACCCTTCTTTGGTATCGTCGGGACCGCCAATCGTTTCAAGCTTCTCAGCATCAGCTTCCGAAAAAGCTGTCATCGCCTCCTCACAAGCATCCAGTATGCCCTGTGGCTTACACCCTCTCCCAAGCGTCGCAGCCATCTTCGATACCTCACTGAACTTGACGTGGTGTAGCTTGCTAGCGAGCTCTTTCATATCAAGTGCTTCCAAAACCTTGATGAGCTGTGTGAAATGCACACTGTTGTCACTGGCCACCACGTATATCATCTTGTCGAACGAATATTTTCTCGACCGTTCGAGGACGGCAGCGAGGTCTCGGAGGAGATAGGTGCTGCTACCGGAGCGATCGCGGATGATGGCTGTACCAGACTTCGCACCTAGGTTCTGCATATGGATAATCTGGGAACCTCCACTCTCCTCTGATATTCCCTTCTCCTTCAACATCTGTTCAACCTCGACCATGGTATCGGGACTGATCTGCGACTCGCCCGAGTACTCATCGAAGCGCACGCCTAGTCTCTCGTAGAACTTGGTGTAATTGTCGATGTTGACGTCTCTCACTCGCTTCCAAAACGCCACGAGTTCTTCGTCACCCTCCTCAAGCTTCTTGAATGCTTCGTTGCGTTCCGCAAAGATGCCCTTGCTTTCGATCTCGACCTGTGCCTCTCCCTTGTCTTCACCTTCCTTCGCTACTTCGTCGCGCGCTTGCTTACTCGCAGCCTGTTCTGGCTTAAAGTCATCTTCTATCTTATGGTAAACCTCCAGGAGGTGACCGACAGGATCTGCCTCGTACGCCTGTTCCGAGCCGTACTTTGACCACCCAACATACAGTAAAGCGATCGGCTTACCCCAGTCTCCAAGATAGTTGACGCGCGTCACGTCCCATCCCATCAACTCGTGCAGCCGGCCGACAAACGCACCAACAATGGTGCTTCGTAGATGCTTCCCCTGAAACTCGCTGGTAATATTCGGAGATGAGAGCTCGACCACGAGCTTCTTCTGTGCGCCTTCCGTGCTAGCAGAAGATGGGACAGATCCATACCCATGCCTTCGACTTGAAATGTACGGCAACAGAAAACGGGACAGCGAATCTGGCTTCACGAAAACACGAAAGTGAACCCCTTCTAGGAACGGAAGAAGGAAGAGTGAATGATCACTTGGAAACTAGGCTTGCTTAGCGATTGCCATGGTATACAGGGTCAAGAATGGAAGGTACGTACCTTCTTCATGAGCTCAACAGCCACTTCATCAGCTTTAGCACCAGGCTGAAGCTTCGGAAGTATGACTGCCAGATCTCCATTGAATATGTTGTTCGGCCATTGGATGGACTTGTAGGCTACATTGATGTCACAACCTACAGCATCTGCTAGTACCTGGGCCAGGTAGGTGCGGTATACGTCGAGCGGGTTGGCAAGCACTTCCGCGTCTTTGACATCGGGAATTGGGACATTGAGATTCAAGGAACCAAGAGATTGCTCGAGCGCATCCATTCTCAGTTGATCGCTGGCTATGTTCTTTGTTGAAGAAGGCGTCAAGATGACACCAACGGGCATGCGCTTAAGGTGCGACTGTCAGAATACAGTGTGGTACTGAGCTATGAATCAGACTGAACTGCACCTTATGGCACAGACAGCTTGAAATGCTCACCGGTGATGCTCCTCAGCCTCATTGTAAGGGACCAGACTGCCACGTCGAGCAGGCAACGAACCTTGGACTGTCGTGTTTCTCCACAATTGGTCCGCTTCATGCACATCATCAACTACTATCAATGAGATAAAGGTATGCATTATCTTGGAGGCGCACGTATCGTGGGGCAGAATACTGATTCGCTCCACCATCCGCCTTCTCGTGTAAATCATGTTTTGGGCGGGGTAAGTGCTGTCATCATTCTTTGTCCAATAGCACCAGGATGTATTTTCCTTCGCCCATCTTAGCTTGGACTTGTCCCTACAGCCGTACTTCACAAGAATATTGCCAAACTCTACCAATCCTTAAGGCTCTTAGATAAGCCTATAGTCGTTGATTTAACGACCTAGTCTGTCTTCTTATGCCACTCATGTGTTGGCCTCCGCTGCAAGACGGCACCACCCGCTACGGTCTTCTTAATGATGTCTCGATCATCCTGCCATAGCCGCTCAGCCCTTATGGCGATAGTGTCGCACCATTGAGGTCGGTACATTTGTCCTTCCACAACGAATCGTACTAGACGAACCAACAATATCAGGAGCAAATTAAAACCAACGAAGGAAGCCAGGCTGCGCTCAACCTCCACAAAGGGTTCGTCGATAGTGAAGAAAGACATCACAAGGCTGAGGGGCCCAATGTATTGGAGCATGAGCATAGTGGAGTAATTGCTCTGCTCCATTGTTCGAGCCCCTGTAGAGGTTTGTTCCTTCTCACAACGAGTTTGAATACGTAGCAGATCCTGGTTGAGCCTCTCAAGAAGTCCAAACTCCTGATGAATGATGTGAAGAGTGTTTCGAACATAAGGGTCGCACGGTTCCGCAGCAGAATTGGAGAAGTAGCCAATGTCCCCGTTGTCCGCGATGAAGTTTCTCCAAATTCCCACTGTGTCGTCAAGAACAGGCAACAGAATGTGAAGAAGGTCGAGCATTCGATGATACCATCTCAAAGAATGAGATTTCCGGCCGCTCAAAGCGTCCTGCAATGTCACTACCACTTGTTCCCATTCTTCGCGTACTTGCCGGATGCGGTGCTTTAGAGTCACCAAAAAATACTGTCGTGGGTTCCAAACTGGACAGTTCGCATTCTCTTTTCCTTTAGTCATCTGATCAGGGTGCATATCGTTGAGTGAGAACTCGTCTTCCCCAAATTCCCGGTCCGCATCAAATTCCGCGTCTTCAAAACCGTAAGCGACATACTGCTTGACGCTGGTACCACATATCGTGAATGAGATTTGCGCAGGGTAAAGGCCCAGATCGCCGGCTTCAATCGCTTCGGGTAGGACCTTAGACACGAATGACAAGTTTATCCAGTTTCGACGCGGCTTGATGTTCGTTCGCTTTGCGTAATTGGCATCTGTACGCATGGCGAAGAAGGGCAAATGGAAGTTGAATTGATAGGAAGCCTTTCCTTCGGTCTGGCTATGGATCAGTACGTTTGCAATCAGATATATGAGAAGAGTTTCCTACGTAAAGACGAATTTCCATCAAGGGACGGAAACCAAGATATTTAGCTATGGCGTCCTTGAGAGCTTCGTGTTGGTGCTTCGGCGCTGTCTCTGTAAGTGCTGCAAAGTCATAACCGTCCGGGTTCAGTATAAATCTGTATGTTGGCATTGGCTTAGTTGGGTTTGAACAAGATGTGAAGAACTCACATGAGTCTTCGATCAGAATCGGGCATGCGTTTGGCGTTGAACCGCTGTTAATATCAGTTAGCCGCGATACATCAGATTGGCACTGAAAAACATCCAGTGGTATACGCATAGATCGCTCTCTAACAAAAAAGAGTACCAAATCACCAAATTTCGTGACGGAAAGACAACATGGCTTCGATAGGTATCTCGATGGACGAAAAATAGGAACCGAAAAGCTCGGACAGGTTGAAGAATGATTACCTCTTCGCGGAGAAATGTGTACAACATCTTCGCTGTCAATGGTACCTTGGGACGTCTCGAAGTAGGGGAGTACCGGGCTGAAGCGCTTTGTGTATAGGGATCTTCTGCAACGCTTGGGATGGAGTTTGTAGTGTAGTTACGGTCACTGTTTCCTTGAGATTGATTGTCCGATTCGACCAAGTTTGGACTCGGCATTGACTTGTGGTTCTGATGACCGTGGGTAAGGGGTGACACAAATGTATTGGGATGGATGTATGCACTATAGGTCCGGTCGTCCAGCCAGATAGTTGCTTTGGTCTGCATTTCGAGATCGGTCTTCTTGACACTTCCGTAGAGACGAATGATGGTCTTCAAGGATGGTGAAATGAAGTCGTCATCATAAGGGCGCACAAAAAGCTCAACGCAACCACGCTCCGGCTCTAACGAAAAACGTCGAAGGTCTTCAACATACGGGAAGTCATCCTTTGGAATCATAGCATCGTCGTAGATATCCGTCCATTGCTTTGCGAAAGGAGAAAGTAAGATCCGGTTGCTAGCGATGGTATCGCCTTGGGACTGCACCTCTCTTCGCAACTTAGTCGAAGTCTTTGATCAAGACGCTTCGCGAAAAGGAAGCACATACCTGCATGAAGTCCCTGTTAGAGCAAGATGCTCATCAGAACTATGGTCATGTATCATCTGGAAAGATTTGTGTTGTAGAGATTATGCACATGCTAAAATCCACAAACTGCATGTTCTTTGACGCTATGCGTTAAAAAGGATGCGGAAGGCGAAACCGGTCTTCAAGCTCTAACGAAAAGTTGCCGAAAGTCAGTGTATATACTTGAGCGCTTGAGTTCCAAGGGATGAGTCCACGACATTCCGCCACGTATTATTTCCGTATCTTGGATATCATGGGTCATATTCGTTCCACTGGGTCATGATCATACGGTGCATGCGTGAGCTTCTCACTATACCCGACTCGAGACACGTAGCTCGCTACGAATTTCGCTGCATTGTGAGGCTCCCACGAGGCTTTCGTCTTTTGCCTTCTTTTGCATGTAGGTGAGTGGTTGTCGTCGGACTTGTCATATCAATCACTACATCTGATATTAGCCTTTGAGTTCTGCCGGCAAGGCAAATTTCAGAGGACAAGCCATGTAGAGATCGAGGTGGCCATCTTCTGCATTGCATCTCCTCAAAGTCGATCTTGTGTAACATAGTCCCAATGAGGGGCGGCTTTGCGATCGGATCCGTGGCGTTGGGCTCCGGGGATAGCCGAATCTCACTTGCATGTGAAGGACGTTGGGCATCTGCTACCCGAGTTCTTGACGGCAGCCCGCAAACGTTGTTGTTTGCCTTGCGAATCATAGTCTGGAGATAAAAGTTCTGTGAGGCAAATGGTCACCGATGAGTGGGAGCACTTAAGCTTGCTGGAAAATGTGAGGCTAGACTACTGGGCGTCTCACTAGTAGATCCGGACGAAGACAGCGCGTTTCAACTCACGATAATAGCTACGAATGTAGAAGTTCTTCGCAGAATCCAGTATGTGAGTTCTTGGATCGAGACTTTGAGGACGAATTTGGGAATGTGTTCCAAAAGATAATCTTGTTCAGAGAGGTCGTAGCTAGTTTTGATATATCTCCACTGCCCTCCTATTTTGTCACCAATACAGGCCGTCGTATCAAAGCTACACACGCGTTAGGAAGCCAACACACAAACCACAAGACGGGTTGCATTTGGTGATTGCATGTGAACTCACCGGTCTCTCTTCGCATAACTCGGCACTTGACACGATCCGTTGCAGAGATGCGCCACTGCATACACTTGTGGTCGTGTCGAAAGCTTGTTGGTTATGACGATGTATATCCATATCGGATGCCGGGGGCTTAGCCCAACTTTTATATGCATTGGAACTGGACAAAGGTCTGTGACCCGAAGTGCGTGATAGCGCTCGTATAGAAAGAGCCGGACTATCTGTCTTTTGCAACTGAGATTTAGCGGCAGATGCTCGCACTTGTACTCTCGTCGTTGTGCAGTATGCACATCTTCCATATCCACACCCTGGACAACCTGCGGAGGAAATAGGAATGCTCGACTTTCCACAATAACACTTTACAGTCAGGATCCAGTCGCGGAATATCACATGAGGCGTCCACTCACACAATGCCATATATAGACGTGCTTCTTCTTAGCCTGTACAGATGTGAGTGCTATACACTTCCATTCGTTGATTATTTTCGTCTCGAACATACTAGGGCTTGGATAGGTGGAATGTGAGACCTGATATATGAATATGAGAATGCTAATCAGATGACCATCAAGGAGGACGCTTACCGATCTAGCTGCCTGGATCTACGCGCCATTGACGCAATGTTGTTACAATGATCTCGCTTGTTCCTGTTTCCCTCTTCGAGACGTCAACACGTCTGCAGGACAATGGAGGCGGAAATTAATCAGCTTCATTAAAGAAGAGTTATCTCGTCTTTTTAATGGTTTCCTTACCTTACACCGCTTTTATGCAGTAGATGCGATTATCGCTGTCAATGGCGCATAGAAAAAGGACCGCGAACCATTCTTCGCCTGCTGCGAACTGTTCGTGCGACTCTTGTAACGCTCCTAGAGACCGCGGAGTCGTGTGAGGTCTTCTCGTGATCTCCTTGTGTTGCCATCAGCAACCACTGTATGTAATGTTAGCAGAGGGAGGTACAAAATGGAGATTTCAGACATGTATGACATGGCGGGGTATCAGCTGCTTTACGTGGACAAATAGCGAGGGCCAATAGCAAGAAACCACGCTGTGCGAAATATGCATCTATGTCGTGCATGACCGATGTTCGGAGAGAGAAGCATATTTGGTTGAAATCAAGTCATCTGGGCTATCTGAACGACAATGTGGCGTGAGGTATTGACGGCTGGGTGTATGCATCTCAACAGTTACGTGTCAAGAGCGGACTTCCTCTTCGGCCAAGGGCTTGTACTGGTTCAGTCACTTCCACATACTCTTACAATGTTCGATTGATGTATAGTGATCTGCTGTCCTCATGTTAAGCAGGTGTGAAGGACAGTCACCCGGAACAGCGTTATGTCTCTCTAACCTAGTTTCATTGAGCAACTGTCTCCGTAGAGAACCACATTAGCCGTCTCTCTAATCATTGACTTGACACTAGTCCCTTCCAGTAATACATAAGAGAGCTTGATAAGAAGAGGGAATTTTAATGTTGTGCACCTTATTGTCCGCTTGGAGTACCGGGTGGGGGGGTTTGTGAGAGAGGTCAGCACGGATCTCAAGGATGACTGTGGAGGGGTGCCGGTATTTGTGGGGTGGCAGGTGTTAGCGCGAACAGCTGCTCGCAGTCGCGCAAGAAGAACGCGTCGGACAGTCTTTCCACCTTGAACGCACGCGCCCCAGCACGTTTTATCAATCGCTGTTTCGATTTCGCTCGTTGAAAGCAACAAGCTATAACTACTCGTAATTGTAATGTCCTTGGAAGCCCACATCGTCCTTGGACCCACTCTCCAACTATGGGCTGCAAGCAGTGACATCACGACTGCAGGAGCTTCTGCATTATGTGTCTAGAGCTACCTAAGGAGGTTTGACGGCAGCTCAAATCCTCTCAACATTACGGTATGCTCTTTCCTTCTAGAATCTTCATTTTGACACACTCTGCTCTTCGACACACCACCATTCGTCCATCGCTGACAACTACACTCAAGTATTCATCCGTTATTGCTACCCCGCCATCCACCATGTCGAGCACTCTCAGCATCAACTCAACTTTGAGCTTGCCGAAATCGCAGTACAAGATTCCACAAATTGGTTTTGGGGTCTACCAATCCCCCAAGGACGTCTGTGTTGCTTCCTGCAAAAAGGCATTTGAAGCAGGGTACCGCCATATAGATACAGCCCAGTATTACGCAAACGAGGAGCAAGTCGGCCAAGCACTGGCTGAAAGCGGGCTTCTTCGAAAGGATGTATACATCACTTCCAAGATCCTGAGCCCTGGCGAGGATGTCGAGTCTACATACAAGAAGATCGCAGACAGTGTTGAGAAGCTTGCCGGAAAAGATGGTTATGCAGACCTGTTTCTCATTCACAGCCCCAACGGAGGAAAAGAGGCTAGGAAGTTGATGTGGCTCGCTCTGAAGCAGGCGCAGGAGAAGGGCATAGTGCGAGACATTGGCGTCAGCAACTACGGCATCCAACACATCGATGAGATTGCTTCCATTGATAGCAAGGCCAGCCTACCCGCTGTCAACCAGATTGAGGTTTGTCGCACTCGAAATCCGTCGCGCGACCGAACTAACAGATCCAACTAGCTCCACCCCTGGTGCCAACAGCGCGAGGTTGTCGACTACTGCAAATCCAAGAGCATCGTTGTCGAGGCCTACTGCCCGATCGTCCGTAACGAGAAAGCAAACGACGAAACCGTGGCTAGCATTGCCAAGAAGCACAACAAGGAACCAAACCAGGTTCTTATCCGATGGAGTCTACAAAAGGGCTTCGTCCCTCTTCCCAAGAGTGACACCCCATCTCGCATTGTTGGGAACGTAGATCTTTACGGTTTTGAACTCGACAAGGAGGACATGGCTAAGTTGGACGGTCTGGATCAAGGAGCCAAGGGCGCTATTGTTCAGGCCGTAACCAATGCTTGAGGTGCCGTCAAGAAATTTTGGACAGGAGTGTAGGTGAACAACTAGTCAAGAGACGTAGCGAGTGCATCTACAAACAAAATCGAAGCGCTGTGTACCATGGTGGAAGATGTCTACACTGAGCGCGTACCTATCGAATTTACACCTAATCCGAATTTGAGTGCACTACTTATGAAATGAGTTACCGTTTTGCTCATGGCCGGTGATCATTTTTGGTTACTCTGTCACGTAGCTAGCTCATCCGTTTGTGTACAGCTCTAGAACACGCACCGACAGGCGTGCATTGACTGGATATTCCCAGACGTGAATGACTCTGGCGAAGTTTGACAACACTATCGACGACAACTGTCGGTACATTTCATTTTACAATAATTATAAGCACTACTAGCACCAGTCGAAGCAAGGGATCTATTTCCAACGTAAACCCAAGTACATTCGGAGACCAGCCATTTGGAAAGGCCTAATGGTGATTTGTTCGCCAGTCATGATCGTGTGAATTTGTTCAGAATACTAAATAGCGACACGTCACAGCCATGGACTAAATGGCATATTAGAAACCAGTCCATGTACATACTTGCACACATACGATGAAGTGCAAAGTAACAGTACAGCACGCGAAGGTGTGGCAGAAAGAGCAAGCACTAAACAATCTGCATTCATCTAACTTCCCGTGGCCCAAACTCCACGAAAAAAAAGTTCCAACACCACCCTATCGCCTTGAGACATCAGTGAACTGTTGGCAGAGTACCCGCATTCGATCGTAAGCAGAAAGAGTCCCAAACAGCAAAAAGAAAGGTACTGCCCGGAATCGAACATCACAGCAAAAAGAGAGTTCTAGAAGGTCTTGCCCGGAATCTGAATTATTATTAGCAGATGGCCAGAATTAACTGGGGGCTGTATTTCTTACCGAACCGGGGTTGCCGGAAGACACTGATTTTGAGATCAGAATCCGGAGTGATAACCGCTACACTACAAAACCGATACAAAATCGAAATTTGGAAACAATATATCCAGTATTGTTTGTGGCAGGAGCGGTGAGCGCGGGGGAAGGAACGATGGGCGCAGAGTTTTCTGGTTGGCTGTAGTGGGGTAGTGGGGGTGGTTGTTCGAATGGCGGCAGTGGGGCTCTTGAGAAACAAAAGCGCGACCTCAAACCCAATCTGGTGTTAGTTGCATGGAGAAAAGGCGTCACATAAGTCGATATGCAGTATGAAGCTCGTCTTCTATTCTCAAAATCCTACAGCGTGCATGACAGCACTATGCTGCGTCTATTAATACCAACCAGCAGTAAACATACATACATGAGACAGGAGAATACAAGTCGCAAGGCTGCGCAATGCCTAGTGGCATGCCGCCTGGTATCACAAAGGAACACCGCGAAAAGAAGAACACGTAGCGCCATCGCTAAAAGAACACGGCAAAAGAGAATGCTGCAAGAGGGTGTCTATCAGCAAAAGAACTTGTATACTTTCTTCCACCTGGGCCACTTCTTCTTTTCTTCGCGTTCCTCTTCGATCAACACCTGGATATTCAGCTCGCGGATGCCAGTGACGAGATCCATATTGTGCGAACGAACGACTGAGGTGCGGAACCAGAACTTGTAAGGGAAGTAGAAGGCCAGAGTGACTGGCAGTGCGAGGTAGACGCTGAAGAAGCGTTGAAGACGTTGTGATGTCGACAAAACAGCCATGTCGATTGGAGCGACGGAAACGTAGAACTGTGCAATGAGAACGAGGATGTTGAGAATGAGGCCGACATAAGATCCGATAAGACCAGGTTGGGAGCGGAAGGCAAGCTCGTCAAGGGTATGTCCTTGCACCTTCCATCCTTGACGGAAGCGGATATGCGCGAGACAGATCGAGAGCCAAGTGAAGACAGCCGAGAGTGCAGACAAGGCAAGTAGCCAGTTGAATGCAGCATCTTGTAGCCTGCGGTCCGCACCAGCAAGGAAAGCGAGAAGACCAAGAGCTGAGGCAAAAGCAATGGAAACAAGGGGACGACCCTGACGGTCAATGTAGGCGAAGATCCTGGGGGCTTGATTCTGCTCAGCCAGTGCAGCGAGTGTGCGCGAAGAACCATAGATAGAGGAGTTGCCAACTGAGAGAACAGCAATCATGATGACGGCGTTGAAGACAGAGGGCAGCCCCTGAATGCCTGCGTTCTGGATAGCGATGACGAACGGTGAGGCAACAGCGTCGGCATCGTTCTTGTCTTGGAGCAGTCGCTTATCATCGTAGGGAACTAGCAGTCCGACGATGGTTAGGGAGACGATGTAGAACAACGAGATGCGCCAGAAAACCTGCTTGACGGCAGTGGGAAGAGACTTGCGCGGATTGGCCGTTTCCGCTGCAGCAAGACCAACAAGCTCAGTTCCAGAGAAGGCGAATGCGGCGTTGACAAAAACACTGCATAAGCCCTTGAATCCATTGTTGAAGGGACCTGGGTCGCGCCAATACATGCCACCAATATAGCCTCCGTCTGGACCGCCACCTATGTTGATGATAATACCAAGGATGATAAAGCCGATAACCGCTGTGATCTTGATAATGGCAAAGACAAACTCGGCTTCACCATATCCTTTGATACCAAACAGGTTGATGACAACGATCAAGACCAGGAAGACGGCGACCCAGGCGTTGTTGTTGACCTTGTCACCATTCCAATATTCAATTGTGAAAGTAGCAGCGACGATTTCCAGTGGTAGTACGACGAGCCATTGAAGTGCATAGTTCCAACCCATGGCGAAGCCCCATGCAGGATCCAAGAAGCGTGTCGAGTATGCTGAGAATGAACCAGCGACGGGAAAGAGCACTGCCATCTCGCCCAGTGCGTGGACGGTAGTGTACAGCATGACACCTACAAGGCAGTAGCAGATGACGAGCGATGCTGGACCACCGTTTGCTAGTGCTTGCCCTGAGCCGACGAATAAACCGGTACCTGGGAAAGTCAGTCGGCGGACCCCGCTTATTAGATGCATGCCAAACCATACCTATGGAACCACCGATTGCTATCATCTGCAGATGACGACCTTTTAGTCTCCGCGCAAGTGGTGAGTTTGCAGTGTTCGCTGCTGCGGCCTCTGGATCGAAGACGTTCCCGTCGGCGCCTAAGCTTCCCTTTGGCGTCATCGTCATGGCAAAATTCGGGTCCCGTTTGAAGCTCTCGATAACCCTCCTACCCAGTCCATCCTGGTACCGTGATGATTCGCCATAGTAGTCGGACCCTTGCGAGGCTCTCCCAAAACTCTTCTCGGTGCCGTACATGTCGTCGTCTATCGTCATGGTGGCTGGGCGCAACGGCGCGATAACAGACGACGAAAAAGAGTGTAATTTGCAGCTGTTCTGCACGTCGGTTGGTGTCGCTGCAGTGCAGCCGTTGGAGGTATCTGCTTTTTCCTGTGCGATGGGCGCAGGGGCGGGATATGAGTGCGATGCTGACGAACGGGCTACTTGGGCTTAGGCCTATTCTTGAGGCGCGCGAGCTCAACTACGGAACTGAGGCGCCCAGGGTCAGTGTCCTTTCCAGAGTGCCGGGTAGGAACTATCGACTAGGATGTGTAGCGGCCGGGGTGCATCTGGATTTGGCCTAGGCGTGGGAGCGACGTTATCGCGGCGTGGCGCATCTATGGGTTCAGTACATACACTGAGCCTGTCCAAGGGCAGAGTCGTGCAGAAGTGATGTGACTATTGGTGACAATACCATCGAACGATGTGCCTGGACTGCTGAGATGTTTGCACGGAGCACGGCGAAGTGACTGACATCCCTTATCGACGGCACAATGTCGCACATTCGCTCCTTCTTCGCTGAGTTCGCTCTTTCCGCCTCCACTCTTGGAAGCGGCAGACACCGACGAACCGCCACAGGTCCAACAGCCCTAAATACCGCAGACCAAATGTCACTCTCGGTCACTTAACTCTATTCTACAGCACTCCAGATTTGCGTCTCGCGTGTCGGACTAAGTAACGTCTTTAGGCGCTGGCTGCCGGCGCTACATTCGACGGCGACCTCGGTGTCGAGTCCTGGTGGCGCTTGCGCAACTTCCCCAAGTCCAACGGTGCACGGGCCGCCCTTATCTCCAAGCCACCAGTACTGTTGCGGCATGTGCGCGCAAGACATGCCACCAACCCCACGCCCGAGGCTTCCAACGTCCCCAACCACCCTTTCAATACCCCCATCGCAATCTTCAAATGCTCCTTGCTGCATTGCTTGACTTTTCGAGCTTCTGTATCGTGACTACGACCGGCACGACTTCGGACTCGACCTTTCACAACACCCGTTGACCCGTCCCGCTGCCGCAGCATTGGCGCATAGTTCGACATGCTGCTTTAGGCACTGCCCCTTCATGCTCCGTCACGAGCTCGCTTCCGGCCTGGAACGTCTACGAAACTAGCACCCTAGCAAATGCTCGGCTCTACCGTCTGAATGGCGACGCGATGGTCGACATGGATATCTGGCCACCCTGCAGCCTGCAGCTCGCAAATCAGCCCAGCCATTAGCTTACTGTCCCATTATGTGTACCCATCACGCGCGGCCGTATGGAAACCTCCATGATCGCGTCGCGTCGGTAAAGACGGGTAAATCATATTACGTCTTCCCGATCCATATCGCTTGATGACCCCTCTGACGGCCCTTATGAATGCATCCTGCCATATGCAGGGGCTACCAGTATTTCAATGCTTCACAATCTAACCTCATGTTCATCCGATGCAGGTACAAAGCCTAAACATCGCTTGGTGTTTGAACGTTGGACTCTTGAGGACGCGCATTACGACGAAAGGATCGCACCAACACCGCGCCGCAATCTCCTTTGACTTGGTTGCGTTATGCCTGTCGACCGACCCAGCTTTAGAGAGGACGTACACCAGCAGTACGCCCCGCACACTATCGTCATGTAAGAACACAACTTCGCTCATTGCGAATCAATATACATGTGTGTTACCTAACCCTTGTACCTTTTCTGCATCAGTCAAGTACCTCCACCAATGCATCTGCAAAATCCAATATCTTACCTCATCGGTTGCTGCCGTCCTTTCACTTTCACCAGCTCGATATCCGTAAAATCTTACATCTGCAATTTCATTTGCCAAGCATTCATGGACACGACGCGTTGTCGTTGAGGAGTGCGATTTATTACTGGTGTGGTCAGAAAACGCCCCAACCCACATGGTAAGCCACCACGGGTACCTATCACACGGTCGCAACGCCTTTTCCCCATGTCATTCGTCGCCTGTATCGACAACGCCTCCCGAGGTTGTCACATGGAACCTTACCAACTCTCCACACGAGCACGTCATTATTGTTCATGGTCCTGCAGGCGAATCTGGTCAATAGTTGGCTTGTGCAAGAAGCTTCTACCATTGTCTACAGTGTAGCGAGGGCGCACGCCGTTTATGCACTGATGCACAGACTGATCTTCCCGGCTTACCTTGCATCGTCCGAGGAAGCAGCTCATCGAAGTGGCGTACTTGTCACTCTTTCTCCCTTGTGATCGTCTTGAGTGCTGACAACTTGAGAAATATGCGTCTGCTTTGAGGACAAAATACTACAACCCTTTCTTTCCATTTGGTGTAGCTATCCCTATCAAGAATCGTGTACCGCGATAACTCTGGAATCCCATGTCTACTGTTTCATGGCCCTCGCGGCTCTCAGCGTACCACAGCATTACCGTACCGTTACCACCGTATGCGCCACCTCCCACATTTCGGCTGTTAGACCTTTGCCTCGTGTGCATCACATGGCAAACCTCACACATTCGGCGTCATGTCAATGCGTAGTGCGGAAGACGACCTCCGAGATCTATGATCAATAAGGAAGCTGCCATAGGCAACAAAATGGCACTAATCTAACTCCACTGGACGAGTAGTGCGCTTTCGACATGTCGGTGCGAATGTCACCGACATAACCTTCAGCCGCAAAAACGGTACTTTTCTGCAACGAAGATCATTCTCGGAACTTTGTCAAGATCAGATGTCGTACGTTGTTGCACGACGTGTCCAAATTCGCCAACGACTCCGATGCCGCATGTACATCACACCACCTCTAGAAAGCCGGTGTGCAACGAAAAAGCTTACATCGAGCGCAAGTATATCCTTGCTGATTCAGCTGCTGTACATCCATGTGTATGTGTGTACACGTGTCGTTGTACGATGTTGTCTTGCATTATCGATTATCGTTGGTTCCGGTACTTTGAGAACGTATCCAAGGGAAAGTATGGTTATCACAGTGTTTGAATAAGAGACTTGTTGGCTGGTTGCGAATGGAGTCAGCTCTAGTCGGTATGTGCTCGTATGACGAGGTCACAACTGCCTTTGTGCAATACCGACATCGACTGGTCGACATAGTCCCTGCTAGCTGCTCCTCCAGTACACACGCAACTGCAACAAGGTCAGCTCACGAGATGGAAGCTGCTGGAGCCCAGTATGGAGATCGCCTAGAGATCTAAGGGTAGCTAGGATATCGCTCGAACCTCGAGTGTGTTTCATATATGCTATTATGATATTGGCGCGAGTGATAGATATGATGAGCGAAAAATGTGCATAGTATAAGTACGTATCTATGAGATTAGAATGAGTAGACAATATGAAAATAACATGTGTATAGGTATCCCAGTATTGGACCAACGCCGAGAATGTATGCCGTGAAAGTGCAAAAGTTCAAAGAAGTAGAAAAGAAGCGAAGAGAAGTGAACGTCCCCTACGCAACAACAACCGGGATCGGAAATGGTTAAACCTCCACAATCTCACCAAAAATCCTCAAGCCTCCTCTTCATTCTCAAACCCATCTTTCCAAATATCAAGCCTTCTCTTTGAATTCCTCTTGAGGTAGGGTCAACTGCGCAGGACCTTCTTCTTCAACAAACTCGCCTTCGCCCAATTTTCCTCCAAATGTCTCCACCTCCTCAACTTCTTCCTCTTCCTCCTCATCTTCTTCTGTGATGCCCAATATCTCTCCACTCCTACGTCCTTGTACACTCGTCCCTCTACTACCCATGCCGCTATCTCCGCTTCTGCTCCTCCATGCGCCACCGTTTGCATGGCCACCATTCAGAACACCGGTATTGACATTAAGCATGGGTCCTTTGAAAGGGCTCCTCTTCCTCTTTGCAAAGATGAGACCAGGTGATTGTGGAGGAATGCTATTTCCGTTTCCAAAAGCGGCGCTGGACTCGTTAAGGCCGGGTGGGAAGCCAGAACGTACAAGGCGAATGTTGGAAGGGAAGCTTGAGGAAGTTGGAGTCGCAGGGAGGACTTTGATGCTGTTGTGGGGGGACTTGGAGGGCTTGTGTGAGTGGCCGCTTACAGAAACAGCGGGAGAGACAAGTGAGGCAGAGGATGTGGATGAAGCTTTCGAGTGCGAATGGTGGTGGTGTGGCATACTGCGGATCGAAGACACAGATGAGGAAGTAGATTTCCGGCCTCGGAGACCACCAGAAGAACGACGATACGAGGATCGCGGTGTCAGTGGGGCAGGGGATGCCGAGAGCCTTCTCATGGAGCCTGAGCCGTGAGTTGAACCTCGGGGTCGGGGACCTGGTGTGTGTGGCATTGGCGGAGACTTGGGATTTGTATGCACAGAAGAACGGTTCGCTGTACTTTGCCTTCGTCTTGAATCTGAAGACGTGCTTGGAGGTATCTTTGGGGACTGTCCACTGCTAGCCTTTGAACCTGGCGACCGTGCTCGTTTTGACGTTTCTTTTATCCAATTCCTGAGTGACAAAAGGTGGTTGATGAACGGCTGCTTCCGGCGCCGCTTGGGCACGAAGCCATTTGGAGAGAGAAGGTCGGGGTTTGTGGACACAACTTGTAGCATGCTACTGCGAGATCGCCGCCGATCCAGATCTTTCGCGGGTAGTGGTGGACGTGAAGAAGAGTGAGATTTTCGACCTCGATGGGTATCGATTGGTGGCAGCGGCTTGTCGTCTACGGTAAGGTTGGGAGAGGTCATTGATTCCGGCAGTTTTGGAAGCTCGGGAGCACCTGTTCGGAGTTAGATCTGTTTTCATGTTGGCGGGCACAATACTAACCATGCAAGCTGCTTCGGTTGATAGTCCTGCCGCGACTCTTCGGTGTGGTTGGAGCATGTATGCCCTCTTCGTCCGACTCTCTGATGGTAGGCGCAAGTTTGTCAAGCCGGCTACTGGCAGCACTCAATCGTCTGAGGCTCTTAGCCTCTGCTTCCTTTTCTTTGCGTTTGCGCTCTCTTCTTTTCGCCTTGCGTTCTTCCTTTTCTAGTAGCAATGCCCACCAGCCAGCCAATGAGTCGCATCGTTGGGCCAGCACGTTCTCAATCACCATGTCAATATCCACACCAGCAGCACGCATACGGTGCAACACCTCCTTCTCCAATTCGGTCGAGAATGGCGCCGGCTGCTGCAGCTTCAAAATCTCCTGCTGGCGAGGCGCGTGTTCCGACAACCAAGGGTTTTGTAGTATATCCGCCAATGTAGGTCTCAAGATCGGCCGTTTTGAAAGTAGCGACGAGCACAACTCCTTTGCTTGCTGTGGAAAGTGTTCCGGGTACTTTGGTTCCTCTTTTAGTATCTTGTTCTTCGTAACCATCTCGTCGTCCTCATCGAAAGGTAGCTCGCCGACCAAAAGCGCATAGAGGATGATACCCAAACTCCAAACATCCACCTTTTCACCCGCGTATTTCTCGCCCTTGAGCATCTCCGGCGCGCTGTAACAGATGGTTCCACACCATGTCTGCAGGTAGTTGGACTTGCCCTCGTACTCGCGTGTGAATCCAAAGTCGACCAACTTGACATCGCCATGTTTGTCTAACAGTATATTCTCGAGTTTAAGGTCGCGGTGGACGCAGGACTTGTTGTGTACGTACGACACGGCACCGACGAGCTGCGTGAATATTTTCTGGACTCTGGAGGGTTCGAGCGCGCCCTTGGCTAGGAGGTAGTTGTAGAGTTCATCGCCCTGACAGTACTCGAGTACCAGCCAGACCAGCTCCTCGGTCACTATGACCTCGTACAGGCGGGCGATGTGTGGGTGTATGAATTGGCGGTGGTGATGGATTTCGCGCGCGAGATTGGCGTCGTCCTTCTTCGCGCTCTTGAGCACGACCTGTTCGTGGTGAGCGTGGTTCCTCCATGGAAACTGTGGTCACGGTACCTTTGAGCCATTGCTGAGTTTGTGCGATGCCAAGTAGACCTTGCCAAAACTCCCCTTGCCTATAAGTTTCCCCAGTGTATAGTTGCCGACGGTCTTGAGGTCGGTCGCGGCGAACTCACTGTTCCCGTGTCAGCAAATTACCGCGGGTGAAACACGCACTCGGCGCGCAAAAGAAAGGAAAAGGCTTACTCGAGTAACTGCTTATACGAATTCGCAAGCTGCTATAATTCCAGTCTCAGCATCAGTCGTGCTCGGAATGCCAGGCATGCGCCTGGATGTTTTGCTTGTTGCGGCGCACAAGCGCGGTTTGGCAGCAACGGGACAGTACATACCTTCTTCCTCTGGGCCTGAATCTCAGCCTGGGCTCTGAGATTTGACTGCATGGAATGATGCGCCGCTGCTCCGTGGTGTCGCCTGCGCAACCAGCGTCATCTATGGGTTGCAGGAGTTCGGTCTGGCGAGCGAGCGCCGCGGAAGAGAGGAACGGGTCCTGTCGCAGCGAAAGTGGAGATAGCCGCAAACGCCAGGGGCCTAGGGCGTTCGAGATGTGCGAGGATAACAATACTAGCTTTTGGCCGACCGGGGATGGCAACAAAGTGTATTAATTGTGAATACTGCGGAGGGGATGCAGCCTACCGTCAGATCTCTCCTGAGCTTCCGGTGCTGCCATGGATTCGGGGAGCGCGATCCTGGTCGCAGATCATCCACATGCCGCTTCTCTGGGAAGGGGTGGGACGACCAAGGCATAGCGACGGCTACATGGCGATGGGCGGTTTATCATTGTTTGTAGCGTACCAGTCACTAGCAGACACACGACACATTATTCAAATCAATGCCGAAGAAGTCCGGGAAGAAGTATTCGCTTCTTGCGTTGGTGTTACACAAAAGTACCTTGTACCACAAGAACCGAAATCCGAGGAACCAACATTGAGACACATCAAGTCGGCAATTATCATCTACAGTTTACTACTCGGCCCTCCGATATATGTCTGCCCTAGCCTCAGCATGTCGACGGCCTCTTGCACCATCTCGTCCACAATTTCCTTTGCAGGCTTAATATCGCCGATTACCCCCGCAACCTGGCCCATCAAGAACGGGATATCCACATCCTTCCCATCGTCCATGTCCTTCGCCAGCGGCACAATACCCGCATCCGTCAGCTTCTTGATCTCGTCCTCGCGCTCATGCCACTCTTTGATGTAGTCGTTGTACTTGACGCGCAATGGTCGACCACTGACAACTAGTGTCCGGCCTGTGTCTGTAAAGTCGGCAGTAACTACATTTTCCTTGTGCATTTGCGAGCAGCCAGCCTCAGTGGACGCGACGAAGCGTGTACCAACCCACACACCCTGTGCGCCTTGCATCAAACTGCTTGCCAGGCTGCGGCCGTTGTAGATTCCTCCTGCTGCCACTACCATGGCTGGTTGACCTGTGAGAGGGCTCTTGTATTTGCGTGCGATGTCCACGACGGATGGAATCAGGATGCTGTTCGCGATATCGCCGGTATGTCCTCCGCCTTCTCCACCCTGAGCGCATACAATATCCACACCTGCATCTAGTGCCTTCTTCGCGTGCTTGGGGTGTCCGACCATGTTCATAATCAGAATGCCTGCTTCGTGCAGCCTCTTGATCGTTCGCTCGGGTGGTACACCAACAGCGCTGACGAACAGCTTCGCGCCATTCTTGATTGTGACTTCGATGAGATCGTCGAGCTGTCCATGTGTGTAGTCATGGTTCGTCTTGCGTGCGCTACCACCGACTTGTGGAAGCGCGAGGTCGACACCGAACGGCAAGTTCTTGTCTCGGAGGTTCGACTTGAGGTCGTCGATGATGGATTGAAGCTGTTCAGGGGTGTATCCTAGACCTCCAATCACGCCCAGGCCGCCTGCGTTTGATACGGCAGCCGCGAGGGGACCACCAGATGTGCGCGCCATGCCGGCGAGTATTATCGGGTACTGGATGCCCAGCAGCTTCGAAAGCGGCGTTTGCAATGATGGGGGCGACATGATGGTGTAGGCTGTAGTGATTGAATGGCGGATGTTTGAAGGAAGATAAGACTATCACGTCGGATACTCCGAACGTAGGTTCAAGTGGTATGCTTCTGACAGAGCTGAAGCTGTATGTGACGGCATAGCGAGCATGGGCATGTGGATGCTAAATAGCGGCCGTGCCTGGAGGTATGCTCGACAGCCAGGGGTTTTGCGGGGAAAACGTGGGTGCATGAGCCGAGGCATCTACGATGCGACTCGTCAACGTCTCTTACAGTTCACCGTTACCGAGATTCACCCGTCTCTCATGAAATGACAATGTATACGTGAAGAATGTTCAACACTCGAGACTAGCAAATCATTCTAGCCATCGCCCATGATGCGAACTATCATAATTTCGGAGCCATTTTATTGGATATGATAACAGTGTCATTGTCAGGAACCACGCTAAAGCTACTTCGATCAACATGTTCAAAGTCGAGTTCAGACATCGAGCTTAGGTGCACATAGTACATAGAGCCACCTTGCTCTACCACTAGGTCTCCCCATGTTCTGCTTCCTCCAATGCATGAAAGTCGGACGTCCTGCTCATGGTGATGTTCATCCGCTTATGCCCTTCATCAATACGATCTAGCTGCGCTATGATATCCTCAAAACAACGTGCAAGTTCTGTTTGAAATGGCAGATTAGAATCGACATTTGCAGATTTTCAAAGAAATGGCTGGAACGAAGAGTGAGTGTCTATGATATTGCTATCAGCGTTTGACTCCATTCATTTGCCCATTGGCTTGTGTGTGCCCGTTAACTTTTCCCTGCGCAGCTTGAGGCTGCGGTGGAGGTGGCGGAACAGGCCCGAATGGTCGACGCTCAGGTGCCGGTTCAACACCGTCTTCCTCAGTATCGTCGTCGTACTCTGCACTATCTTCGTCCTCGTATTCGTACTCACTCTCCGTAACCTCTTCGTCCTCCTCGTCGTGTTCCTCGTGATCCAGCTCGTGCATCGGTACCTGCCCCCGACCCTGTGCTTGCATCCCACGACATAACGTTTCCAGACGAGCAATCTTCTTTCGCTGGTCTTCGGCTTCTTTGGTCCTCCTGGCAAGCTCTTCTTGCATTTTCTGGCGTTCTTCCACCATTTCGCCAATATTGCGGTTGGTAATATCCTTGTGGCGTTGTAGATTTTGGTTCTCCTTTTCGAGACGTTTAGTCTTCTTGGACATTTCTTCCATCTCCTTGCGGAAAGTGAGGAAAAGATCGTTCGAGTTGTTGAGCGTTTCCTCGACCTGCATCTGGTCAGTATTAACCATGATGATACAGACCAACGAGGGGTTAACGGGTTGACTTACCTGTTTGAACTTCTCCACGTATATGTTGAGCTGCGTACGTAGCTCAGTCTCGGTCTGGGAAAACGTTGACACTTGACGGGTCAACTGATGCGACTTTGACGACTCCGCTTCCTGTTGTTTGCGCTGCTGCTCCAAACGAGCGGCGTGATACTGTATTTCGAGCTCTTTGAGTCGGAGCATCGAGTGGTATTGCAGTTCGCGCAGCTCGTACTGGTCAATGAACGACTTGAACTTTTGACGAAACCTAGTTGGGTCAGTTCGTGCCGCAAAGGCCGAGTGCGCCAGACTTACAGTTCATCTAGCTCTTGCTCGGCTTGATTCTGAGGTTCCGGCCCATTTGCAGCTGCTATGCAATCATCCACGTCGTTGACAAGGTGCTCAAGACGCTCGTGCAGTTCCTGCCTGGCGGTTGATTCGCTGCTCTCAATCTTGTGTAGTTCGTCCTTGAGTTTCTTGTTTTCTTTTGCAAAGTCACGCGACAGTTTGTCGAGTTTATCCTTCATCGTCGTGACCTTGTTCAGCTCAGACCTTTGCGCATCCTTCTCTTTTTGCAGTTGGTCTCCGCGCTTCTTCGCTTTCTGGTGTTCGCGCTCCGTGCGCTTCATATCGGATAGGAGTTCGGTATATCGTTTCTGTACGACTTCGAGACGAGACAGCGGGCCGTCCATGTTGGAAAGGAGCGAGGAGAGTTCACGGTTTGCTTTCTTGACTTCGCGTTCTGTCCATGCCATACGTCAGCCAGCGATTCACATGATAGAGCCCCAGACATCGACTGCGCCACCCAGAATGTCCCCTCTTCCGCAGCTCCGTCGCAAGATGTAGACGCACCGATTTCTAGTTCCTGCTCCTTGTCCCCTGCCTGATCCAGCTCGAGTTGGGCAATCTTAGCCTGGATCTGCTTCTGCTGTTCCGAGGGGTCTGTCGCCTTCTTGCCCTTGCCCTTTTTGGCAGGCGCAGGCGCCGGGTTGTGTTGTGCGGGTGCCATGTTTGCAGGAGAGGCAGATGCACTGCGGCTTGCTTCGTGGTGTGGTCGGGACTGGGCAGACGTCGGCTGGCGCTGTTGGGCGACTGTTGCCATGAAGTCGTGACTCTTCCGTGTAGCGCTTCAGCTGTGGATCCCCTCGTGTTGCCCCCGATGGTTCCTCCGCCTATGCACTCAATCTCATGTATCCCCAGCGTGGTCCCCTATGCAGCCAAGTTGCGCATCCGTCTTGCAGCGGCCGCCTCTCTACAATGCGCGTCCAGAAGGTAGAAGTTCTCCGCTGACGTCTGGGAACTGCTTCGGGTGAAAACAGAGGTCCAGCGCAGTGCAGGTGGCGTCAACGGGTATGGTGTAGCAATATGTGAAGTGTCAGGTCATGCAGTCGTCGGGGTCGGATCGGGCAATGTCTCGTGGCGGGTGTTGAAGAGGAAGGAGGGGAGGGAGTCGGTGGTCTGGTCGATCGCGGAAAGGCACAAGACACCTGGTAGTCTCCACAACGCCCACGAGCTTCAATATCGGACCTGGCAGATGAGATCAGTGACAAAGTAGCCAATCCGACCTGTCTCCAGTCGTATAACGCATCAACCGCCCATACAGGTGCACTCTTCCGTCTTAGTAATTTTGCGGGCTAATCTCTTTTGGTATGGGGTCCCTCGGCCAATCGGCGCGACAGGCGTCATCGAAGGCGGGTGCCTCTGACATTTCTGTGAGGCGGCGCGACATTCTGTCATCAATCCTCTATTCCAAACATGCTGCGTTCCGTCGGTCGGCAGTTTCAGAGCCCTCGAAATGCCACGATAACCCCTCAACGATTGTCCACTCTCTCTCGACGTGGATATGCCGCCGTTACCGATGTCTCCAACTTTCCGAATGTCGGCGAGCAGCTGCATGGCTTCACGCTCAAGCGCGTCAAGCAGGTGCCAGAGCTGGAGTTGACGGCTTTGCACCTTCAACATGACAAGACTGGCGCCGAGTATCTGCACATTGCCCGTGAGGATGCCAACAATGTCTTCTCCATTGGTTTCAAGACCAACCCGCCGGATGCCACTGGAGTGCCGCACATTCTCGAGCACACCACATTATGCGGTAGTGAGAGGTAAGACAAACTTTCAGTGCGCTCATTCCATTGCTGACATTCCAGATACCCCATTCGCGACCCCTTCTTCAAGATGCTGCCCCGCTCGCTTTCCAACTTCATGAATGCCTGGACGTTCGCCGACCACACTGGCTACCCGTTCGCTACGACAAACGCGCAAGACTTCAAGAACCTCATGTCTGTATACCTTGATGCGACCCTACATCCGCTGCTCAAGGAGAACGATTTCACGCAGGAGGGGTGGCGGCTGGGGCCCGAGAACCCATTGGCAAAAGAGTCAGAGGACCCGAATGCGAAGCGCATCGTGTTCAAGGGCGTGGTGTACAATGAGATGAAGGGGCAGATGTCGGATGCAAGCTACTTGTTCTACACTAAGTTCCAGGACCACCTCTACCCGGCCATCAACAACTCTGGCGGCGACCCGCAGAAGATTACCGACCTAACTTGGGAGCAGCTTCGGAAGTTCCACGCCGACCACTACCATCCCAGCAACGCTAAGATTCTCACCTACGGAGACATGCCTCTGGTCGAGCATCTGAAGGAGGTGGACAGTCGCTTGAACAGTTTTGACAAGATAGCCGTGGATCAGGAAGTGAAAGCACCAATAACTCTGGATGGCCCGAAGCAGGTTACGGTTGCCGGTCCCTTGGACCCATTGGTACCTCAGGACAGACAGTACAAGACTTCAGTCACATGGTTGATGGGAGATACTGCAGACGCCGTGGAGAACTTTGCGCTTGGTGTGCTGAGCAGTCTGCTTATGAGTGGGTATGGCTCGCCTCTGTACCGCAATCTTGTTGAGTCTGGACTTGGTGCCGATTTCAGTGCCAACACCGGCTACGACAGCGCAGGCAGACGAGGGGTGTTCTCCATTGGACTAGACGCTGTCAAAGCAGACGACGTAGGCAAAGTTCGCGAAGCCATAGCCGAGACCCTCCTTGAAGCGCGCAAAAACGGTTTCGACAAGATCAAGGTTGATGGCATCCTGCATCAGCTGGAACTTTCGCTCAAGCACAAGACTGCCAACTTTGGCATGGGTATCCTTCAAAGGCTGAAGCCAGGCTGGTTTAACGGTATCGACCCAATGGAGGCCCTCGCATGGCAAGACACTGTCAATGCTTTCCAGAAGAAGTATGCTGAAGGTGACTACCTGGAGAGCTTGATTGAGAAATACCTTCTCAACGACAAGACCCTGACTTTCACTATGCAGCCTTCGGAGACATTCAGCCAGGAGCTCGTAGACGAAGAAAGCCAGCGTCTGGCAGCGAAGATTGCGGAGACCACAAAGCAGTTCCCGAGCGAACAGGAGGCACAGAAGTATTTGGAGGAACGAGAGCTCCAATTGCTAGAGGTCCAAGAGAAGGCCAGGAACGAGGATTTGAGCTGTCTTCCTACTGTTCACGTAAAGGACATTCCGCGAGAGAAAGAGAGGAAGCCACTGCGACACACCGAGCTGGATGGTGTGAAGGTCCAATGGCGTGAGGCCCCCACCAACGGTCTGACCTACTTCCGTGCGGTGCACAAACTGCAAGACCTTCCAGACGAGTTACGAGAAATGATTCCGCTATTCACTAGCGCTATCATGCGTCTTGGTACCAAGAACAAGACGATGGAACAGCTTGAGGAACTGATCAAGCTAAAGACGGGCGGCATTTCCGTAGGGTACCACTCGTCACAGTCACCATTGTCACTCAACGCGTACGAAGAGGGCATGGCGTTCTCAGGATACGCTTTCGATCGCAACATCCCCGACATGTATGAGCTTCTCCGAACCATCATACAAGAAACGGACTTTGATGGCCCTGAAGCGGGCAAGAAGATCAGAGAGCTCCTACAGAGTGCAGCAAGCGGCGCGATCAACTCGATTGCAGAGTCTGGCCACTCTTATGCTATGAGATACGCCGAAGCTGGTATCAGTCCTGTCAGCCGATTGGCGGAAGAAACCGGAGGCCTTACCCAAGTCAAAGTCATGACAGCTCTCGCATCACAAGAGTCACTCGACGAGGTCATTCAGAAACTCAAAGCCATCCAGTCCTTTACTATCGCAAACAGCAACCAGCTCCGCGTAGCAATCAACTGCAGTAACGACAGCTCATCGTCAAATCAGGAAGCACTCCAACGCTTCTTGAACACTTTACCAAAGGACGTTTCTGTACCGACAACATCACAGCAGAAGCAGTACCCCCGCAACGCCAAGTCATTCTTCCCTCTTCCTTACCAAGTCTACTATTCTGCCCGCGCTGTGCCGACAGTAGCCTACACCGATGCCTCCAGCGCACCTCTCGAGGTCCTTGCTAAGCTCCTCACCTTCAAGCAACTCCATCCTGAGATCCGTGAGAAGGGTGGCGCTTATGGAGGCGGTGCCTACGCCCGTGGTCTTGGTGGTCTATTTGGCATGTACTCGTACCGCGATCCCAACCCACAGAACAGCATGAAGATCATGGCTGAAGCAGGTCAATGGGCGCGAGACCGCGCATGGACACCTCAAGACCTCGAAGAAGCTAAACTGAGCACATTCCAAGGATACGACGCACCACAGAGTGTCAGCCGCGAAGGCACGAGGTTGTTCCTGTCTGGCGTCACGGACGACATGCTGCAGACGCGTCGCGAGCGTCTGCTCGACGTCACGGCTGAGCAGGTACAAGCTGTAGCAGACCAGTTCCTTGTCAAGCGTGCCGAGGAGAGCAGTGTCGCCATCTTGGGCGAGCGCAAGGACTGGGTCAAGGAAGTCGATGGCTGGCAATTCAGAGATCTGGGTATGTCAGAGAGCGCAAAGGCTGCCGAGGAGGCAGAGGGTATTGCGCAAAAGGAGGACGACGTGCCTGCTATCGCAAGCTGAGTCTCTCGGTTGACGATATCATGACTGTATAAGTATATGTACGATATGAAGTGCGAAAGGCTAGCATCATCGGCGTTGGGTAAGTTGAATGCATAGCGTCGTGTCATCGCTCCTTCCTCCTTTACCATTTCACCATGAAGTATCTTGATTGCTATCTGTCTTATTTTCACCGGGCCTACCTCCCCCCGAACCGTGCGTGGAACAAGGCATCTCACAGCTCCCTCTGTCACACATTCTTCACCAGCGCAACGAACAGATCCCAGACGGACCACGCATTCTCTCCCATTGCTGGTTCGCTCTGACCCTCAAATATGGGGATAACGCGCAAGAACAAATGTCATGCCATCTATCCAGTTCACTCCTCGGCCGTCAAAAGTCAGAGGTGGAATTTGGGAAGGGGCATTGAGCACCTGCTTTCAGACCTGCCTGTATTGAGCGAGACTCTTCTCCTGGTAGACTAAATGTGGGGGTACAGCAGATAGTGATACTCGAAATGAAGGAAAAGAATGGTTGCGCTTGGGTATTTGGCTATATTCAATGCATATGTATAGATCACCTTATAGTTCGATCTGGTCGTCGCTCTGCAATTGTCGCTCCTTCTCCCTGACCTCTGTCGCCTTGATAATAAGGCGACGGTAGTCTAGAACAGCCTGCTCGAGCTCCTTCCTCTTCAACGCCTCGTGATCTGAATGCGCGACGAAGATAGAGCCTGGACCGTACAGGTACCTCTTGTGGTCACCAGAGAGCCATGGCACATCCGTCCCGTAGTTGACGGTCGTTGTCTCAAAGCCCTCAATATCACAGTTTATGTCCACAACTCCGTATCCCTCGCTTCCCCATTGTACTTCCAGATCTCCGCCTTCCTTCTGCGCGGCGGCCTTGACGTCCTTGAGCGCGTCGATGATTTGTCCGCGAACGAGATCGGGGGTTCCGGCGGCGAGGCGCGTCGCGATGTTTGCGGTCGCGGTTTCGGCGACGACGTTGGCTGCAACACCGCCCTGTACGCGTCCAAAGTTCATAGTCGTGTTGCCGTATTTCGTGCTCCAAGGCAGGTGCTCCCTCAGCTTGAGGAGCTCGCCCAGTGCCTCCACCATGATGTCATTTGCGCTGACGCCCAACCACGGGTATCCTGAATGTGCCGCCTTGCCCGTGGCTTTCACCGAGAAGCCCAGCATGCCCTTATGTCCACAGACGAGTTTCGCTTCCGTGGGCTCTCCGAAGATGACGATCTCGTGTGACGATGGGCGCTTGTCCCAGTCGCTGAAGGCGCGCATGCCGTCGCCGCCTGTTTCTTCGCCGACCACAAAGAGTAGTGATATATCATCTTGTAGATGACCTTTTATGCCTTGTGCCGCGATGATCATGGGTGCGACACTGCCTTTCGCATCCACGCTGCCTCTGCCGCCGATGATGTCGGTCGTCTCATTGTAGTAGTACGGCCAGTACGGTGGCACGGTGTCAATATGCGAAGATAGTACGATCGTGGTTTCGCGCTTGCTGCCGTAGGCTAAGAGGTTGTATCGGTCTTTGGATACTTCCTGCTTCTCGACAGTCCAATCGTGTGCGCGGAGGTAATCGGTGAGCCAATCGCCAACACTCTTTTCGTTCTCGCTAATAGATTCTATTTCTACGAGTTTGCGGTGGAGATGTAGAAGGTCTTTAGAGGTGGATGGCTCTAGAACGGACGGCTCGACGGATATCTGAGGTGACGTAACGGCAGCCAGTGCGCTGACGGCCAGAGGAAGGAATGATAGTGATTGGAGCATCATTTTGAGGGCTGAGTAGCAGGTGGTGCCACGATTGAAGGCCGATGTTGGGTTGACGGGAACGGGACAGCGCGGTGCTTGGTGGCTTAAGCTTGTTACTTCGTTACCCACCCGTGGCGATCTTCGACACCATTACCTTCCGATCTTCGAATTGCGCACCGCTCGTATCATCCAGGGCCACAAACAGCCTCCTCTGTTGTCCGCACTTTAAACATGGTAAACCAGCTGGCCGAAGTTATAGTGATGTAGGGTGCCATAGCATATCGCGATCTACATGGCTCTCTTATGCCATCAACCAATTGCAGAGTGCTTTGTGTGCTCACACGATCGGAAGTGGGGGGACATGCCGAATCCCGCTAAACTCGAGCCCACTTCTTCGACCATATGAGAACTAACGTGAGTTCCTAACATTGTTGTACAATGTCGTCGCGTTGCATAGTCCTAACTAGGTGCTCGATCTCATAAAGAAAATAGCAGTCTCAAATAGGATGTTTGGAGTTTCGCCGTTCTGTTTCGTGACCTCTACAGAATGAAAAAAGTCCTGGAAGGATGCCAGACGCTTAAAAAGTCCAAACTTCTCTCCAGCTTTTACTGTAAGCTTTGTTGTACTGTCAGAAAGTTTCAGGGAGAAGAGTTTGCTGGGTGGATAAGGGCCTTTCCTACAAGTTGAGTACCTATCGTATTGCTATTAAGCTACATAGTTCTCCTCTGTATCTTGCTCGTACCAATCACTTGTCTAATATATACAGAAACAACACCGAAAGCCTAGCAGCTGCTGACTCCACGAACGCAACACGTTTGCGCTTCAGCGTCCTACACCTCGATTCTAAGTAGGGGTTTGCTATACTATCTGATAAGAAGCTACGATCCTTCGCTCTCTGCGTATGAACGGAGTATTCCCTCAAGTATCTAGGTATCTTTTGGGCTTCGCGCCATGTCTTAAGCCATGTTATATGGTATCCTCTTATCAACGTCTCCGACCATTGAAGCGATCATCTCCGCTTCGGTCTCGACCCGAGCTTTTTGGCAACAAGTCCAAGATAGCCGCCAAGCCCACGATGCTTTTCATGCACAATGCCTACTTAGGTACTTGCTGAATAAAAAAAAAGGAAGAAACTAGGAAGAATTGCATAAATGATTTTAGACGACTGCTCATCACGCAGAAGCACATCTTGTATTTGATTACGGCAACACTTTTTCGGCGCACCCCAAACGTTATTCCGCGCACAGTCATTTCAAGGTTCAGTCCGACCTGTCAACCAGAAACGATAATATCACAGTAGCTTGTGTACCTAATTCCAGCCCTGGCATCCTAAGCTCCAGTCAAGTCACTCGCCAGAAAATACATGACCAGACATTTAGCTCGGTCTTGCAAATAGAGAACACAACCTTTTACTAAGGACGGCTACACACATCTGCCCACCAGACCTTGTCGACACTACCTACGTACGACCGGTACGACCGGAACAGCGCATGTCAGCCCATGCGGGGACAACCATATTTCCTGCCCATTGAGACTTGTTGAAGACTGTGTGCACAGGTCTCAGGGTTTCCTCTGGCGTACAGCAGGTGAACTGAGGGAAGACTCCCTGCAGCTGGGCGCAATCCAGTCGATCAGTGCTCCCATACAGTTCCATAGCTGCGTGGTTGTCGTGCCTGTGTTCAATGGACTACAGAGCTAATATCTCGACTTTCCAATGGCGTTCGCATACCGCGACTAAACTCGCCCATACCCAGGTAGCTCTTCTAGCCGCTCTCTCGCAAACATCATCTTTTATAATCAGATGTGAGTACAGAGCGACAGCACTAGGATGACCGTGAATTTGAATGGGCAAGAATATATCATGCATCTGGCATGTAATATGAAGCACGACAGTGCCAGGATCCTGAAGACTGGGATCTCTTCGAGGCCTCTGGAGATCGGCCCTTCAACAATCTTAGAAGGCACGCCCTTGACCCATGGTTCGCTTCCAGCCCAAGTCTAGTAATTTCGAATGCCTTCTAACACTAGTTATCACCTACAGCCGCCCAATGTCAAGAACCTGATGCTTATACTCCAAGTCAAATCGTTAGAGCAACCAGCTCGGTTTTCAGTCCTAAACATCGAATAATCAAAGTTCGAAGCAGCTCACGACACACCGCAAAAACGTTTCATCTCGTAAGTCGAACATTTCTTTGTTTATTTGCGCGATCCTGCTATCGCGAAGCCAGACTATCGCGCTTTTGAACAAGCATGAAAGCCAGCTTCGAATTTTAACTGCCAATCGCGATATCACTCCAAAACGCGTAGCGTCGCGTGTCGCGTTATCATCTTGGTTGTTTCACCATGGCGAAAGCACTCAATTTTCCAACGGCTGCGAGACCCCATCGACATGGTCCATATCGAGAGTTCGTGTCTTGCGTTCTTTCAGTACTTAGGCATCTCTAATAGCCTGACTACGCGTAGCGATAGCGGCATGGACCACGCCAACGTCCTGGTCACGAGCCTTCTGGACAGATACAGTGCCTATTTCGATCTAGAACAGTTACTGACCATCCCATAGTCTACCCAACTACCCGCGACGATATAACCAGAATCGAACAGACGTGCCAACCTCGACCACGAATCGCCCGTCAGCTCGTACCTCCTACCTCCGTTAAACCAACATCGCGATCGAAGCCAGGCTCGTTACCTGCCGCATATTCAGCCAGGACACTTTGCGAGAAACATCATTCTCTTTCCCCTAGGCTATCTGCTGTTGAAAGCAGAAACCTCTCGAGGTTCTGAAAAGATCATCTGTCCTAGAAAGATTGCCGAAGGCTCTGCAAATCTTTATGTTTGGACATTGGTGTTAATTACAGCATACGACGTTAGAGGCATTCGCGGATAGTAGATTATCGCTCTGTTATAGACAAGAGATTTTGGCTAGAAACAAGCGGTATAGCAGTGTACTCTCCGCATTGCTTTTGAGCTAAGACAGTATCGATACCCAGTTCAACCTTGACATAGCGATACCCTGGTAATTAGGTCTTGCATGTGCGCGCCTGGACGATGGCTAACAGTTTTAATCATGGTTCGCTATTCCTACAAGCATATGAGATAAGTGGAACTGCACAAGATTGTAAGCACGAGAAAGCGGCAGCGGGAGTGGATGCTGATACTCAACCTTTCAATCAGCTCGAAGTTCCCATATACAATCGGGCGCCCTCAAGCAAGAAGAAACACACTTATGTGTGGCAATGCGTTTGTCTACACTTGTTTTCCTTGATTCATCAGATATACTAACGTCGATTAGTGTTACTGTGGTTATTCCTCAATTGCTTATCGAAGCAACACTTGTCCGTCGTGCGGATACGGCCGCTGCGGGAACTGTCATGTTACCAAAGTGCAGGTTAGGTAATTCTTTGCAAAGACTGCAACTTATCAGTGATATCAAAGGCTATTCTAAATCTGATCTGTGTCTCACGGAACTTCAATACCAAATCCGGAGGTCATCTTCGCCTCGTTCTGTACCTACACATGTTTCTCCAATCACACAAGAGTCTCTACAATCCTAATCCGGCTAACAGTGGTCACAAAGCTATTGAGCCTTGTGACCAAGAGTCTTATGCTAACTTAGACTGCATTGATCTAATTAGCGGGTGTAGGACGCCTTCCTGCACGATCATCGAATACGATCGGTGAGCCACAAGATGCAACCAAGTGAAACTTCTAGAGCTTTTACAAAGCGTCAAAATTGGAAATCTGAGTCCATGTGAATGGGACAACTACTGGATTGACATGGTACGTCTGATCGAGAATGATGTGCCCATGAATATAGCCTGCACTTGACAGCACAGTATCAGATACAGCAACTGGAAATTTCACCTTGCAATCCGGGCCATACACGATGATCCGATCAGTTCTACTAGAGACCCGTTTTGAAATTTGAAAAACAATGCACAGCCTCCCAGCTTCCGGTGAGATGGGCAGATGACATGGTCAATCTGACAAAGAAGAAAAGCGCAAAGAGGCGGTAACCATACAAGACGTGGAAAAGATCCGTTGGGCGAAGATGCAGCTCGCATCGACGAAGTCGCCCAAAGCCCGACGGTGTAGTACAAGGCTGAATCTCAGTAGATGTGCTGGAACCTGGAGTCGTCCGTCCATCCAATGCTCCTGCAATTGGCAAGTAGAGTGAGTAATCGTACTCTGCTAGGAAAGCACTAGAGATGTTCTGCTCAAGCAGTGTCTGTTGTGTGTGCTGTGTATGTTGTAGACGAAGTTTGTCTCACTGCGAAAGTTGAACCTACCTAGCACAACGCGATCGATGTGGTATGGATTGAAGATCATACTATACCTGCCTAATTAGGTATGAAGCATGAAGACCCAATGCATCCCGTACAGAGCGGCTGTGTATGCAGCTGAGCATGGATCTCGAGCATCATGCGCGGCATTGCGGGGTGCGCTGTCAGTTGGTCCTCCACATGCATCACAGGCAATGCATCATTTGATTAGGCAGGTTACGATGGGCTAAGGTTCGCTTAGCTACGAAATACTGACAGGGTTCGCCTCATTGAGACCAGCAAATAGCAATCTTGCGATTTGTTCAAATCCTTACAACCATCGATGCTAACGCCTGTACATGCAGCATACACTGGAGATCTCGGGCTATCCGGTATCGTCTCTACCTTCTGAGCTTTGATAATGCGCCCTCCTGTGTAGCCATGCGTCTTCGCAGATTGGTTGAAGTGTAATGTGGTTGATGAACACGATAACGTCTGTGTGCCGGGCAATACAATGGTCATGCTGAAGACTGCTCCACGACCGATTCGTCTACCATTGGAATCACAGAGAAACTGTGGCAACTGGTTTGAGTGTCATCACCGCCTCTGTCACCCCTATAAGACATGCAGGTGGGCTTCATGTGAGTATGGGACTCCTGTAACGCCTACAGGAGGCTTTCAAGATCACCCAGATATCACACTTCATTTCGACTGGCTGCAGTATCTGACTCGGGAATAACGAAACCTACATCTATTCCGCAGTGTCTGACCTGACGTCTTGCTCGCAACTACCCAGAGTATACCTAGGTACACTACACCGGAAACCAAGCCAACAGAAATAACACTATGACAATCATCCATATCCAGATTTTCCATACAGATTTGCCACAGTTCCTTGCATTCGCCAAACTAGTTCAAGCCAGGATCAGCTTGGAGCCCAACCGAGGACTGCTGCTGACATCCAAAGATGAAGTGTCGCATACGCCGCCACAATCACAAAACTCCTGGGAACACACTAAAGTTTCGGTCTTCTAAGCCCTATGCTGCTAGGAAATACACTGATCGTTCCTTTGATGAGACAACAACGGAACTCAATAGCCAGCGCACTTTCTGGGACAGCTTTCTCGTAGACAACGAAACATCGACGCCTTGTCGAGATACGCAGATCATTGAAGACTTCTGCGAAACAGAAAGGCAAATGGCCACGGCTCGATCGCGACCTGAGATTTATCTGGATGATCGCGAACATGGAACCAATAGGAGTCGTGAATATTCCGATTTCCTTACGACGGATGATCTGCGCCGGCACCTCAAACTAGACCGTTTCGGCATCAAAGACCAGCCTGACGCTGACCATCGGCAAATCGCAATCCGCAACCTCAACCGGGACACAATCTTGGTGCTCGCACAAACGGCCGCGTGTCACCAGCGTGATACCCTAAGAGATGCTATTTCGAAACACATATCCTGTGCGACATCTTTTCGCATCCATGAAAGGGTTGATGGATTTGTGACTCCTCGCCTGGAGCTTCATTTACCCTACTTGACATTGCGACGAATATCGAGCGAAAGCGATGAATGGAAGGCACGCGAATCAAGCGGGGAAGGCGAGAGTTGGCTAGATTTGCCATCACCGGAGTCAAACGCGCGGGAAGGCAATCGGCTAGATCGCTTTCTTATCAAAAAATCTCACACCTCCATCGTCCTGTGCATCTGGGACTACTCAAAATGGGTGGGCTATGCTTTCTTTAAAGGTAGTCCTGCTGACTCTGATGGTGAGGGGGATGATGAGGCAGATGGTGCAGAGAACAGCAACGCGGCAGACGAGATCGTGGAAGACGACGATCCTATTCCCAGGAAGGAGATTTTCGCCCCGGAAGACGACAACCACAACATGTACGCTGACGACCCTATCCGTGATCCAAGACGATTCTTCCTGCGCATTACTGGTGTTTGGATGAGACTTGTGCTGCGTGAATATGCGTATCTTGTTGCGATACTAGAATCCTACGTCAAAGCTTGGGTACGTCCGTTATTGAACGTCTTCATATGAATACTAATATCCTCCTTAGCAGAGAGAAGACCGAAACAGAATTCTGAATATTTCGTATAATGGACCGAAGGAAGATGTTATGGAATTATTCCATCGCATCGTGAAAATTAAGCAGCTATTAAGCTATGTCAGTAAAAGCATCTCCTCTGTGGTCCGGGAATGGAACGAATTCAATGGCCCCAATGGCGACATTAAATGCCTCGGAGATATCCAGGCTAGTCATGGGAGGCTGCTTCTCAAGGACATCAATGTTTCATTCGTCGAGCTGATGAGATTGGAGCAAAAGTTGATATCGCTAGTCACGTCTTGCGAGGATCTAACAAGCGCCGTAAGTTGCTTGACTACTGTTTGTGAATCGGACTAAGCACAACTTAGCTTAAACTTCGCATGGGATTTGAGGGTAATCAAATTAATCTGGAGAGCAACAAGCTTCAACGTGAGGCGCATTCTCTAAACCGCGAAAGCAATGAGCTTCAGCATAAAGCTCATGAGGTCAACCTCGATACACAGCGCATCGGTCGTCGAACCACTGAGGCCGCCGAGAACACAAGTCATACAACCCGCACGAACATCCTCGTACGTCCTTTTTGGATTCTGGTTTCACTTTGATACTAAAGTAGCGTAGATGATTTGGATAACCACACCATTTGTGATCGTGCTTCAGTATTTTGGCGCAGATCAGCCCATATTCTCTTTCTTCGAGCGCAATCCACGTAACTTTGGCATATCTTTCTGCATCTTGGCGTTCGCTTTCCCGCTTATAACTTTCGTATTCGATTATATATTCAATTTTGTTACAACTCGCTTTCGTCCAAGAAAGACGCACAATGCGATGGCTTCAAGAGGTGCGCATACCCTGGATTGATACCACCAAGTCGACATTGGCAAGCAGTACTGAACTATTTAGACATCTTCAATTCTCAGGGCTTACCATGACTCACGTGAGCTCATGACGTGCATCGGGCGATCGCTACTTTTGTGTTATACTAAGATCGGTCTCTCATGTCCATACTGACATGATTGTTATGCCTCATAACGAATAAAAATTCACCATTTGTTTTCCCCATATATGTTGAATCACAAGTTCGTCAGCTGAGCAGTACACGCAATGGTTGTGCTCCTGCACTACCTTATGGCGTTGCTTAAAGAGTTTTTCCCCCACACTGGCACATCGCCGTATCTTGGACACCTGATCAGTGAGATGCTGAATCGAGAACGTCTTCACAACTTTAGAACTCCTAGTATGAGGGATGGCTCTGCTCAAAAGTGTGATGCACATTTTCGAATGAGTGTGGTGGATGCTCAGGTCGTGACTATCGGCCTCATGATTAGAATGGTAGAGTGTTTTCTCTGAGTTTTTTCCCTGTGCGGCGCCCTTTGGTGTTAGACCTAGCTGAGAGAGGCAAGAGAAAACTTTGCACTTACGAAAGATGAGCTGTTGAAATGCTCTCGAAGCTTCAGATTGGATGACGGCCTAAAGTGGCGAATTTAGTATATTTGCTATCTCCAATGATCATGGTGCTTTATAGGGCTTTTTCTATCAGCGTGCTTGAAGTCTGCCCACTTAAATATGACGACAGTTTACCTCAGCACACGCACACATCGCACCTGTGCGCCCTGCGTCACTCCACCAGTCAATCGCACGCCTGTGTCCCTTCGCACCACCACCCGCATCATGAGGCACATCTTTAACAGACAATGACACGTAGGACCTTGAACTGTTCATGGGTGTAGACTAGGGCGTTATGCCGGACGCGTATGTTCGGCATACCACCCTGGGTGTCTGACTTGCTTCACTACTTAGGTACCTAAGTACCTAGGTAAATACCCGGATTGTCTCAAAAACTACCCAGGTGATATGAGGTAAAACATGTGGATATTTCAAATAGTACCGTTTGGATAGCGAAGCTTCTGTCTTACCTATGGAGTCACGCACCAGGCTTGTGTATTTACTCTCGCTCTACCTTGGTACCCCTGCAATCGTGAGCATCTCAAGAAGTGTAAGCGCTCCCAATGCACAATGAAAGTCTCCACATGGTCTGCGGAGCTCCCAAACTTAATTTGATTACCTTCATGGAGCACGATTCTCGTGTCATCAATCTCAGAGTCGGCGGATGCGACACAATTGACAAGCTGCCCGGGTGCGATGAACTCCTCGTAGATCGTCTGAACAAACCCGTGCTCTACGCCTTGAAAACCGGATATCTTTTGCGCGTAACGTTGCTAACATATACAAGGAACACAAAGACCCGCGAGGAAACATAGCAGATCTATCTGCATTCCCACGATGACTATACCCAGGTAGCGCACGCCAACATGCATCGGCCCCTGCGAGACAGCATCGTGCCGATGTACTTTTCCCATTACCACGAAAAACTGCCCGCCAAGTCACAATCAAGATACCAGTCAAAGCATCTTCTGAAATAGCACCATATCTGCTCTAAAACTTGGATATGTTTGAGCATCTCTTAGAAACGGATCGTTCTCCACTATTTGCGACGATTAGACCGTTGTGGGGTGAAAAACGGTTAGATTTTCGCTTAGCTGTCGTGGGCAAGGCTTACAAGATTGTCTAGGATAACAACTCCACCTCATCGAGCTTGCGTAGGTACAGCCAGATGTCTTGACGAGGCAGTAAAAGCTTACAATTTTAGGCAAAAAAACGTCATGTATACATTTGGCAGTGTGTGGGTGCATCTTGTCAAATGGTGAAGGGGATATAAACCTAACTCTATAACACTCAGTGCCACTGCGGGTGCTCCTCGATCCCCATCTCGAGCTCAGGATGTCCAGGATGTGGCTATGGAAGATGCGCTTACTGTACTACTACGCGGGTTCAGGTTCGCCCTCATATATCACTTCTACAATAGCCGTTCTATTCCGTCGAAAGGAGTTTCTCCACGGGATACTTGGAGGTGTTGCGGCAGAAGAAACAATCCACGATTTGCTTGAATGTCAGGCTTTGTGATGGAAGACAGAAGGCCAGCGTTTGAATCAATGGGAGTGCACGTACACCAACCTGTTGTTTTGATGTGGGCACACTCACGGAATCGCGTATCCGTGTCCTCAATCACATCATGATTGTGCACAGTCGGGCGTCGAATAGCAACGTCATTCGAAGCACAGCGCAACACTCATCGCTTCGAAGAGGAAGAGGGTCTTTTGAATGCAATAGTTGTATTTTCTAGGCCCGCTGGTAGTCAAGTCAACAACAGACCTTGTCCTGGGAAAAACACGATACTTCTTATGTCATCTTGAGCTTACGAATTGCTCCAGATCAAGACCATGGTTCATCAAATGCTTCCTTCTCTCATAACCTAGTATCCATATATAGGTATACGTCATCCTTCTTTTGTTGCGGGTTGTTCCTTACAGGTTACAGAGAGCTCATACTTGGGCGCTCATAGGCCTTATATTCTCTAATCGTGAGGCTGTAAAAGCAATAGGTATCTGCGCCTCGACAACGCCATCATACCAATTCCAAAGCGACTATCACTCAGGCACGTCCGTAACACGTATTACAGCACTCGAGGTCTCACGCACACGGCAGAGGCACTCGTCCGGCATTGAGTCAGTATTAAATACTTTATCACGTCGTACCAGAAAGAATTGACAAGGCGCTGAGACTCAAAGCTGACAGTGTCACAGGCCTGTGCTAACAATTAATGTGCATCCGACCCCTCTTTGTTTGCGACGAGAGTGCATGGGCGAATCGTGCCACTACATACCGGAGATACGCGATACCAAGCCTGCTGGGTAGCGTATCGTACATGGGTCCTCTACACGGCAACCCGACGCCCTCTTTTATGCATGTGAGATGGGAAGGCTTCCCTGCCTATCCTCGCCACGATAACGCCTGAATTTATATTATTTCGAATCTAAACCGAGTCCCTCGAACACAGTATATTTAACGACGAGGTTGATTAGTCCAGTTAGTGATGGGCTTCTGCGCGCCCCACTCACATCACCGCAAGCTCTCAGCATCTTGTACGACTAGAGCTATGGATGCGCAAGCAAAACGAGGCAAACGAGGCCTTGCAGATGGTCTTGTGACTGCAGCACCAAAACGCCAAAACACGTGTACGAATAGCGAGACTTGCATTTTGGACACAACATCAGCATCTGAAAGACGTTGCGATCTTTGGTTGGTCGAACAGATATGAGATGGAAAAGCTTGAGACGTAAAGCTTAGATGACACCTAACGAAAGAGCGAGAAGTATATGAGGAGCACTGTGGCCTGGCTTTTCGAAGTCCGGATGGTCGATTCTGCGACATCCTGGACAAGTCTGAGTCCTTCTTTACCTTTTCAATCTTCTTTGTATCACCATGCACCAGAACATAGTTACAGCATCGCCAAATTCGCGATACTTTGATCACATATTAAGATTCTAACAGAAGGTTTTGAGTCCCAGCAGTGAGTGCTTAGCATCGTTTTTCTTTTTCAACAACCACACTTGCGACGATGTCTTCGGTGAACGAACGTCCAAGGTGGATACCAAGGGGTTTCTTCCCTTCCTCTCCTTTTCCCCTTTCAAATTTCTCAAGGCCTAACGGTCCGGAGTTAGTTGTTTCGATATGAGCTGACTTGTCATGTAGCTTCCCATGGCTTACGTCGTGGAATCCATTCTTAATCCAGCCTCTCGACGCCTTGGCAGACAATGGCCACAGATGTTTGGCCATGAACGAAGGCCACAAGAACTCTATCCGTTGATGAAATCATTGGGCGAACTCCTGACCCCGCACCATGGTATCCAACTCTTTATGCAGCATTATGATGACGATAGAATATCCCCATTTGTGGAGGCTGTATTAGAGTACTGTAGGGGTGTTGAAGAAAAGGATTTCAATGACACAGGAAAGATGAGCCTAGGCGAGGCGTGGCTGGACGACAGGACAGCTCCGCTTCTTCCAACACATATGAGGCCAAATGCGGATAACATCACGAGCAACTCGACAACTTCGAACACAGCACACATGCGACACTTGAATGCTGATCTCCCTCATGGTAGCATCGAATGCGATATCACAGATGCCCATGAGAGACATCCCTCCATCTCAACACAGAGCACTACGTGTGAAGCCAGAGAATACGAAGAGCGTTTGACAGCAAGAGATTTGAGGCGTCATCTTCGTGAAAGACGCTTCAACCATGAGCATATGAAGGATGCAGACCGGCGGCTCATACACATCGCAAATCCATCTCCATGCCATATGCTCACTTTGACTGAGACGGCGACTGAGCATCAAGCTCCAGCAATCCGGGATCTGCTAGGACAATTTGTCATGTTCCAAACGTCTATGGAAGTCAGACTTTCCACCGAAGGATACTGTGTCTACCAGCTCAGAAACCACTTTCCCTACTTCGCATTTCAAGATACAAAACCAAAGGTCGAGGGCAAGCCTGAGAGTGGGAAATCGAACCGAAACAGATGGACAGACCTTTCTTTCCTTGACCCAACGAACGAACCAGATACGTATGGGATGTACCAAGCGCGATCATCATTCACTGTCTGCGGTTCCGATAATACCCGTTGGATTGCTTATAACCTGGAAGATACCAGTTTCGACCCAGATCGTGAGATCGGCGACGATGAACGTGATGAATACCAACGCAGGGATCAGATATCTATGGGCAAATTCGATGCGAACATGCCTTTCACTGACGCTCGGGAGTACTACTTGGCCATCAGTCTGGTCAAAGTGAAGCACGCCCGAAATGAGATCCAAAGGGTGATCGGGCGAGTGGAAGCTTCGTTCAGAAATCATATGACGTGTTGCCCATTCTCGACTGCATCTCCAACCGAGCAGTTGGCCATAAAGAAGTGGAACGAGCCCATGCTAGAGCTTCTGACTATGTTGATCCAAGATATTGGGGAAAAGGTTGACTGCTGGGACAACTTTAAGGAAAGTGACATCGATTACTTCAACGATCAGAAAGTGACGCTGCCATCCAAGGTCATCGAACATATAGAGCGCATGAAAATCGAGTTAGACGATGTGTATAGGGAGTTGAGGTCCTTTGGGAAGAAATTGTCCTACTTCCGAGATTCATGCAAAGAGCTTGCTTTTCAATTGCAATACCGCCTTAGCTTACAAGGGGGGAACAACAGCGATTTCACCATTCTTATTATATCTCCTGTAGTCGTTGTCTCTAGTGTCTTTGCTATTGACACCTCCGAATTCCCTTTCAAGCGAAATGCGCTCTCGTTCTCCTGGTCAGTCTTTGCCGTCGGTCTGTTGTTGTGGTTACTATTACGCTTGAAAGGAGGTTGGCTGGCTCAACAGGGTTGGTGGGAGAAGCTGTTGCGAAGAAGTCGAACGGTGAGACGACGTCGAGACAGTAGTATCGTCGCCGTTCACGAAGGCGAGCCAAGCGTACTACGACGAAGAAATACGCATGCGGACTTTTCGAGGGATCGAGGATAGAAGGATACAGCGTCGCTAGCGTGCTTTTGGAGATCTGCGAAGCGCGCATGTTGATAATGATAAGATGACGTCATGTCGTAGCCCTTCTTGTCAACTTTACCCATCCTTGTCATACTGTTCTATCTGCCAATCTGCCTTGTCTACCCCTGTTTAGGCTGCCGTGTGCGCTGGTGACCTTACAACACGATGTTATAGTGGCACGGTCACAATAACGAGGGGGCAAGTGTAGGGGGCCTCGGTGGCCTAACCCCAGAATCTACACGGATATCGGATGTCTAGACGACGTTGTATGGTGGCTCGGCAGTATTGTCGCTTGGCTAACATCATAACTACTGTATGCGGTGTGCAACAGTCCTTGTGAGCCTCGCAATTAGCCAGAATTACAACACGAAAGCGTTTGGTGATAAAATAAGGCCAAAGGTTGGATCGGTCCAGTAGCTAGTAGGTACTGGCTATGGGTCTCAAAGCTCATAAGCTGCCAGACCACGGCATCTACTCAATTGCCAGTCCAGTATACTATCTCCGTAGTCGTAGAAGCCTTCCTGAATCTCCTCTATAGATCCATCTTTTGCGATATGTTCTTTCAAGCCTCACTACTATTCACAACCTTCCTTTCCTCCGCGTCAGCACAATACGCCCTCAACAGCAGTGTCGGCTCATGTGGAGATGTGCATTGCCCTCCCGACGATACCCCCGTAGGAGCAGAATGCAACGTGACCGACAAAACCTACGAAGCAATCGGGCTACGATCGTTCTCCACAGCTATTACAGATGACAACAACAATCTAACATGGACTCTCGCTACACACCACAATCAAACCCACTCCAGCAAGACCATGCTCACGGAGAAGAGCTTTTATCTCGGCACTCCTCCTTCACTCGAACTTGATAGCGAGAACCTACCGTATCGAGGCTGCGCCATTTTCTTATATGAGAATCCTGTTGGGCGGAATAACTCTTGGGACTGCGAGAAGGTTGTCGGCGCGACGTGCATATCGTCGTTGTTAACCCAGGTTAACACGCTACTGGGGCTATCTGCCAACGAAACAGAGACGACGGAAGAGAGCTGTCTTCGCGTGCAAAGAGGACTGAATGAAACATTCCCTGACGAGTGTTCCGAGGTGACGAATTCTACTTCCTGGCCCGGAATATCTGCCATACGTACGTGTTCGGCCTTCTAGTCGACATCTGCAGGTAATCTTGAGCTGACATTCTTTAGCACTAACTGGCAAGGACGCGCCTACACCACCAGATTCTACAAGCAACGCCAGCTCGAACTGTCACCCCACTCTTCCCAAGTCCAACAACCTCAGTTACGCTTTTGGTTATAATGCAAGTGGTCTGGGTGCCGGTACTGACATCGTCATCACCACATTTTGGTCACCAGATGGGAATGTTGAAGGCGCTGTGAGTGGTACGGACTCACGGCTCATGTGCCTATGGATAAACCCATTGACAGACCGGTCGGTGGCTACTAATGTCGGCAATGGTGAGGACGATGAGGGTGCCGCAATTCGTCCATCTTTTAGCATGGTTGGTGTCCTCATCTGCATGGGCCTAGGTCTTTTCCAATTCATGTAGATGGCTTGAGTGGCCATGCGCGATGTTCCAGGCAAGATGGTGGGCTTTGTATCTCGATCATGGGACACTATTAGAGGACACTGAGAAATCAATCAACAAACACATTGAGAATGTAAGAAAGCAAACAGCTTGCACATGAGATGAAGAAGTTTGGCAACTAGGTTTCATAACTTCGTGTATTGAATGTTATGCTGGTCCCTTTGCTATCCCAACGTTTGTAACGGCGACCGTTACGTCTCTCCGTCATCGGTTGCTTCGTGGACTTAGTTGATCTTCTTGAGCTCGACCTCGCTGTTCCAGAGTCAGCATTTGAACCCATACACATACATCACAACGCGAAAACTTACAAGATGAGGTCAGAGTTAGGGGGGATCAAGCCAGGGAACTCCCTACAGGAATATTAGTACTTGCGCGTACACAAGAAGCTCCATTCAAACTTACTGGGAGCCGTAAGCGAAGTCGCTGCTGATGTCGAGCTTAGCCTTCTCGCCGAGCTTCATCTGAACGACACCCTCATCCCAGCCTTTGATGACGCGACCAACACCGATGGGGGTCTGGAAGGGACCGCGGCCGGTGGTGCTGTCGAACTGCTTGCCCTTGTCGCCGGTGCTAGTCTTGAGCCAGCCAGTGTATTCCATGGTGACCTTGTCGCCCTTCTGTGGGGAGGGGCCGTTGCCCTCTGAGAGGATGGTCTTTTGGACACCCATGATGCGTGCGGTTGTAGAAAAGGCTCGGGTTGTTGCGCGTTGAACGGTGGAAGGAGTAAGGAAGCTTCTCATTGATTGGAGTGAGAGAGGTGAGTGGAAGATGGAAGGAAGCTTTGGACGGAAAGAAGGAAGGCAGCTAGAAGGGCCCTTGGAGGGGTAGCTTTAGTGGGGTGGTGGGGTGCAGATCGTCAGCACACAGCCTCATGCTACTGCAAGGGCAAGGTAACCAGGGCAAGTACGACGAGCATGACCAATGAATCGAGCACGTCAGGACTTGGAGGTGGGCTGATTGCTTGTCTGGGGAAATTGCGTGATCTTGTGTACGTCAGGGTGTTTTGGAGCTTGAATTCGCGCTTACCGCGGTAACAGATGGAGGTCTCTGAAAAAGCTATAGCTTCAGATACATATGTATAGCTTGAAAGGCTTTGATCTGCGCGATGTATGCTTGGGTGACAGCGTAGATGTTCTGCTCGAATCGTCGCATCGAGCTAGCATAGGCAATGATTCTCAACCGTTTCTCTGTAGACTTTCCAACGACCCGTTGACCTTTGTGTCCAACAGACCAGTAACCCAATTTATCCCAATATATTACAGTGAACGCAAGCTTATATCAAACGCCGTGCTTATGCAGAGAGGAGATGTTGTACATTTGCTCACCACGAGCGTTATTCACACCACTCAGCCAAACCACGACTTGTTCCTCCTTGCTTCTCTCCTCGCTTCTTGCTATACAATCGTTAGCATTTGTCCCATAGCGATGATACGGCGCGTTGTATGGGCAGGAGGGGATGGTCGTGGTCGTGCTGGGCCAGTCGGGGATGGGCGGGACGTACCCATTGCTCTTTGCAATCTCGATATGCCCTGGTCAAACACATTAGCAAAACCCTTCTAGGATATCTTTCCAATCCCTGTGTAATATCCCCACGAACACCTCGACTTCCTGATTCTTGAACTTGCTACGGACGCTGCACTCACTGGAAGAAATCCGAGCACATAGCTCTCTCTCCTCCATTCCTCTTCAAACACTTTATGCTCCTGTCCGCGGCTTCCTGACAAGGGTCGTAGTATTCACTGTATGCCTTGCTATACCGATTTATCAGTGCGCGTCCTGTGTAGCAGACATTTGCGACGCGGATGTCATGGTGGCGTACTTGTCGAATTTACTAGCTTTGGAGCCAGTCCATTGGTCGGCTTTCGAAGGAGTTGGTTTTTCGGACATGTCGAAGGACCCAAATCAAGGTACCTAGAAAGATGGCTCGAATTGCGCGATGGTGTATAACTGTAGGATGGTTTTGCGATGGCGCATAAATCGCGATGAGAGAGTTGATGATGCGCCGAGGAGGTGCGTTATCGATAACAACGGCAGACGGAAGAGTAGGAGATGAGCACTTTCCCGACAAACTACCAGTCTCCCTGCATTTTCATATTCTAAGCATGAAATCTACATTTCCACTGAATATCCAATCCATGTAGGTTTGCGAATACTGACGTTTTTCATTCATCAGAGTCTACAGAAGGACTGGAGGCACTTTCTTCACAATGCCACCAGATCCAATCATAATTACTCGCTACCCTAGGATTCATCTTCGAGACTCAGGCGGAAAGCATTAAGCAGTAATCGTTCTATCAGTATTGACTGACCCGTCTAACTCTGTCGCCTCTTCATCGAGTGTGGGGGCGGGAAGGCTACTACGGGAGCTAGGCCGGGGAGTCCCACAAAAACTGCGACGTGGGAAGTGTACGTTGAAGAGGCTATTCGAATCATTCAAATATCACTGGACTTCTTATCAGGGAGTGCTGACATGCTGTTCATTGTCTATGCGCCCAAGCTGTCATTTGATCCTGCGTCTAGGCTACATCCGTAATCCTGGACATAGCGAACAACCCTAAGCTGACATAGTATAGCCGCAGTTCGCTTGTCACCCACAGAATACGAATCGTGTAATGTGTCAGATGATAGAACTGCTGAAGCAGGAAGCTTGTAGTCATCGTGGCTTCGGATACCGGCAACATGATATTGAAAGGATCCATGGGACGTGTTGGCAACCGGAGCAACAGATCATATAGTCCCTATGATGCTGCTTCTTGGTCTCTGGCCAGTGTGCCTTGCAATATGCATCTCTCCGTCCTGACTACTTTGTGTGCATTTATTCTAGTGGCGTCGGCACAGGACTCTCCTTTGACGACTCCCACTCTCCTGCCCTTCTACATTCCATTTCCCCTCGCTTCTTCTGGCGATTACATTACATCCTACACCAACGACAAATTCTGGAAACATGAATACCGCAACTACCACGTTTCAGTCATTTCCGCTCGTGGCGACTACGTGTATTATGTCATCGATTGTCGACCTAATTTAGATCATCCGTCTTGCACGGAACCTTGGGCTTGTCCACAGTCAGTGGTCTGCGCCGAAGAAATTGTTGAAGCGGGTAGAATGACTGCCACGCAAAAAGGATTAGGGAGGCTTGATTTCTCGTTCCGCTGGGACGAATGCAGCAAGACCACCGTTGGACAGTCGAGTCAGACTTGTGCGCGATACGAGTATCGATGCAGCAGCAGTACCGCTGTTGATCAGACTACGCGGCCTTGCGCTAAGTATGAGAACATGAGGTGGACCTGGGACGAGGTTCAGGATGGGACTAGTTATCTGGAGATGTCGAGCTTAGGGCATTTGAGCAGTGCGGCCAAGATGCTTGTCACAATTGGTTACGGAGGGGCCGACAAAGTGCCAGCCATAAGTAGGCATTCTCTCTGGGTGACTCGATGCTTAGACGTCATATTGGCCAATCGCTAACGCACATACCACAGTGTTGATCAGTATGCTGAATGAAGCGGAAGCGATGATAAGCGGGACATTGACGGCCAGTTCAACGGCGCATGGTGATGCAGCGCCCAAAGCTACAGGCCGTGTAGGGAGAGAGGCTCTGTTCGGTGCGGCAGGAGCGCTGGGTGCAGCCGTCTTTGGATTGTAAGTATGCTGGGTTACAGATTGATGAGAAAGAAGGTTTCAAAAGAAAGGTGTGGAGAAATGGTTGAACGGAGCCATGGGAGCAATTGTGACAGGAATGTGAAAGGTCGCGTGGCCCACGTCATTGGCGGGTCAGGCTCGCAATAGAAAGACTAGATCCAATCAGACAGTACCCTGCATGGGGAGATGAATAGTCGTGGAGATGGTTGGCGCTGGACAGTAATGATATGCCCATTGCTGGCGCTAAGGAGAGGAGTGAGAGACGATTGTGAACGGCTGCTGCGGCAAACGGGTCGGAGGGCAAGGGCAGCAGCGACCGAGCGCCAACATGCTTAGGCTAGTCGACCCGCTGTTGCATGCATAACCACTGCCAACGATAGTCTTTCTTCTCTACAAGGGCAAGTCCCATGTGAGCAGATGCTCCGTCTATCAACCCCCAGCTGCACCTCGCCGTGAGAGAGAGAAACGAGAGAGCCGCCGCCCGCCATGGAGAATCGAGCGTCGCCAACCCCGCCCACCGCTCGCCCCAAGAATTCGGCCTCGTCCATCGCATCCTCGTCCAACACGACTTCACATACCGCTGCTGGCTCCCAGGCACAAGGCATGCCTTCAAATTCACGGGCCGGGCGTGGAGGCACCCCGACTGCCAGCCGGTCGGCTTCCAAACTCATCGACCAGGACAAGCCGACACGGGCGGCAAGCAAGGACAGCCTCAAGCAGAAGATGCTGAGCAAGAAGGACGAGCCCACACAGCCGAGCAGGGCAGACGAAGTACGGGCCGCTGTTCGTGTTGGTATACAGACCTCTTCGCTAACGTCCCGCAGCAACTCAAAGCGCTCAAGTCCGAGTTTGACAGCCTCCGCTCCCATCTCACATGCAAGATCTGTGACCGCTTGCTCTACCAGCCCTACACCATATCGTGTGGGCACACCTACTGCTATACAGTAAGATGCGCACCTTGCCGCTGCACCTGTCACCTTCTAACAAGTCCAGTGTCTCTGCACATGGTTCGTCGCCAACAAGGCCCGCAAGACATGTCCCGACTGCCGCATCGTCGTCAAGGACCTACCGGCCCCCGCCTATGTGGTGAGTCAGCTTGCATACAACTCCAGCGAGAATATCTAACACAGCTGGCCAGATACGTGACATGACAAGCGTCTTCATCGCACGAGCCGAACTACTACCCGCGGGCGAGAGCATCGAAGACCACAAGAAGTGGCTGAAGGAAGAGGCCGACGCCGTGCAGTCAGACAAGGACAATACCGACCTCCGCGCTGGCGGTCTCTTCAAAGGCTGCTTCAGGCTATCGCATCACCAACGGGGACCATCACTGCAAGTCGTGCGCGATCAGGAAGATGGTGTTGACCGATGTCCGGTATGCACCTGGGAGTTGGAAGACGGCGGATGCACCCAGTGCGGGCTGATCTTCGACGAGACAGGCGAGGTCTCATGGGGTGACAGCTTCACTGGCTTCAGCGACATGGACGAAATGTCAGAGCACGATCAGGACGACCTCGACGCCGAGATGGACATGGAGGACCCGGACTACGACGGCTACGGAGATGGCATGGAGGATTGGGGTGCATATCCTCCCGACCAAAACTCCTTCATGATGCGACGATTCTTGGAGGCTGGCATACCACCCAACGCAGCGGCCTTTGCAAGACGACGTCCAATCACGCACAGCGAAGCCGGCAGCCGACGCTCCTACTCACAAAGCATAGTCTCAGACCTGTACGGTGACGAAATGGACACGGTCGAGGAAGAAGATGAAGACGGTCTGGATGAGGATTCCTCCATGAACGACTTCATTGACGACGAGGCCGTACCTGCATCGAGTTCACCCAGCGCTGCGTCGTCCACTCCCGGTCCTGTTCCTCAACAACCCAACAACCGAGCGCGTGCACAAGCCCGAGCACGTCGCATAGTCGAGTCTGAATCGTCCTCAAATCGCTCTAGTACCGTTGAGGAAGAAGACGAAGACGAGGAAGATGAAGGACCGATCCGCAGGGGAGTAAGGAATCCTGCCCAGACCCGCGTTCTACATCGAGCAAATGGGTCAAGATCCTCTCGTGAGACAGCTTCAACCACGTCCACCGACGTCTCCAACGAGGAGCTCGACGAAGACACCCAGGCTCTATTGCGAGAGGAGGGATGGGAGTTGCAACGCGACTACGACGACGAGATGGGAGAAGAGGATGAAGATGACAGCGATGGAGGAAGGACGACCGTTGGGTGGGAACCGCTTGCGAACTCAAATGACAGAAGCCGAATGGGCGGTTCTCTAACACCTACTGCAGATCGTCCTCGGCCTAGTGCCCCCATACGCCCGCCCTCCAGAACCGGCAATGTTCGCGCCTTGAATACCTCGCGTGGTCTTCGCCGAAGATCCTCTATCCTCTCCACCTCGACAGCCCACTACGAAGATGGGGAAGCGGACGACGATGACTCTGATCAGGAAGGCGACATCGAACTCGCCATGAACGCCCTGCGGACGCGCCGCTCACAAGCTCATCTGCGAAACACTGCAGCCTTCTCAAACCCTGCTGCTCGCGTCAACAACCAGGGGCCCACTGCTGGGGACGGAACGAATGAGGCGGATACTGATGATAACTCGGACAACTCGCAAGGGCACAGGCGAAGGGCGCCACGGATGCAACGCCGCGAGTACGATCCACGCATCAGTTGGATGTTCGCTGCTCATCAGGCGGCCCTACAGCAGCACCAGATGGCGGGCGCGTTGATAGACGTTGAGCCACGGGCTATCACACCGCTGTCTCGCCCTCGCACAAGGAACAGGAACCGACCCAGTCCAGCGCAAGCCTACTCCCCCTTCATGCCCCCTGCGCGCATACGAACGCCGCTTATGGACAATACTTCTAATTACATAATGGATCCGCGGCTCCCAATATCCCCACCTCGACGAAGCGCCATGTCTCCGGGCTTACCGGCGATGGGAAGTGCCGGCAACATGAGCCGCTTCGATCGTGCACCTTCTGTTAGTTCGAATAGCAATGCTTCTACCATATTGACTCCTGGCACTTCTACGACCTCGTCCCAAAATGGCATCGATACTATAGCGCAGACACAGGCAGCTGCAGCCATGGACATGATAGATCGTCCTCAGAGTCGTGTTGGCGCTCGTCCATCTTCGGCGAATAGCAGAAGGAACTCTGGCAATTTCAATGCGGCCAACGCATTTCCTCATGCTGCCATGGGCTTGCATGTCCAAGGCGCAGCTCTTCCCCCTTTCGCTGCACGTGGTAATCCTTGGGCTGCATTCGTGCAGGCACGCGGTGTCCGTAATCGCAACTCCCGTCAAGTTCTCCGTGACCAGTCCTCCGTAGCTACCTTGCGGCCAGCAGGCTCTCGCGTTAATATCAGAGAAGCTGGCAACCCACCGCAAGGCATGAGACCCCAGCCCTCACGTCTCAATCTACGACCACAGCCGTCGCGGCGTCAGCTCGCTCCACAGGCATCTACACGAACCCTGCGCGCAGATGGGAATGGCAGACCGCCTCCATCGCCTACGCAAAACGTACAAGCTACTGTACAGCCGGCCGCTCGCCCTGTCGGGTTGACTCCAGACGAGCGTAACCTTAGAGCTCGGGAACTTATTGAGACTAGAAGACAAGCACTTGGTCAGCGAGACACTAGCGTGCCAGCCCGTACCAACCCTTTCACCCAGGGCTTCCAACGTCCAGCGAACCCTACCGGCTCTCCTCAAATGCAGCAGCCAACCACAGCGCAGCATGTGAGGAGTAATTCGAATGAGTCTATCAACTCTACCGGCACAGTTCAAGGCGCTCCAGCATCACCAGTCCTCGGTCGACGCAGGAGCAATCGCAACATGCTTAACAGCACACCACCTGGTGTCCTCCCGCCGCAACAGGGAGCCTATACCGCTCCTCCGATTGCGTATGCAAACAGCTACTACCGCCCACGACCAGGATCTTCATCTGGCTCCCCGGCGGCATACGAATCAACACTGACAAACAACACACGGGGCAGCCCTATGATGGCGGGCCCCCTTATCTAAAATGGTACTTTGCTGCCATGGACTTTTCTTTTTTTATCGTGTTTTATCGGTGTTTTGGACACGACACTCCTTTAGCTTTGAACGGGTTACAACTACTCGGTGTATGTGATTATGAGTGTGTGTTTGTTTTTACAACTGTTTTTAGCGGCATCAGAACTGGTTCAGCGAGCTTTTCATCAAGGCATTTACTGGCGTCATTCATTCGGGCACTATACCATGGCATTGAGCGATTGGGTCCTGGAAAGGCATCAACATGAGCGATGGATGGGAAAGGGGAAGAATTTATCTTAGTTTACTTGCATTTGGAATGATCAATGAGGGTTTCGGTGGCGCGAATATGGAACTACATGATGATGGAGATGTGAGCTCCGCTTGAAGCATCTGTGGCGCGTTTCTTGACAAGGTTGCATACCTCATGTCTTCCTCTCATCATCTTATCCTTTTCCCACTTCCAGCTCGTCTTCGTCCTCACCCTCTTCACTCTCCTCCTCTTCATCTTCCTCCTTTTCGTTCGTCTTTCCCTTCGTCTTGTCTTCGTCCTTCTCCATTTTCTCGTCTCTCTTGTGCTTTACCTTGCCATCTTGGTAGTAAAGATGGAGTTATTTCATATCCCGATGTACGATCAGTCTTTCTAGAGGCTTATGGGCATGTTACAGGCATGTTACTGGGCGAGTAAACAATCAAATTATTGTGTGAAGTTTAGAAAGACATAAGACGCCATAAGATGAATAGCATGTACGTGGAGGCAACGTGTTCAGTCGTTCGAGATTGACTCCTAGATGTACTAATCCCTTATTCCTGCCGGCTAGCCGTCTCCTTGCTTAGTACTTCCATCTTCGCTGTGAGCTCCTTTTCGATCTTGTCGATTTTCTTGTTAACGCCAACGAATACTTCATCCACCATATAGTGCAATCGTTCGAAGATCTCTTCTGGGGATTGACTACTAGCAGCCTTCTTCGCATAGGCTTGCAGCACTCTCTGCGTCTTCTCAGTTTCCATCTGCTTGACAACCTGACTGCAAACTCTGTCTCGTAGCTCTTGACTCTCTAGCACTTTTCCCACCTTCGTATGGATTGCGGCCTTGCTTTTGGTAGTAAGATCATGGATAGTAGAAGAAAAGGCCTTCGAAAAGGCAGCAGGTGCCAGTTGGGCTTCGATATCGAGCACCTTGTTTCTTAGGTCGTTGATCTCCTGCGGAAGGTCTTTTGTGTTCACTTTCAAGATCTCGATTTCGGATTGCAGGCGCTGGAGAGGGAGCTCGATGACTTGAACAGCGGGCACTTGTTTTCCATCGACGGATTGGGAGATTCCACTCATACGATCGGATTTCTAGGTATTGCGTTGTGAAGAAATGTGTGTAGAGTGCAGTGATGGAGGAACAGTGCTAGAATGTGGAGACGATGGTCTTGTAGCGACGTGCAATAGGTTTGCGATGAACTGGACAAGAGCTGCGAGTGGACTAAATGACAAATACACATGTCATCTTGTGACTTATGATACTACATACCTGTCACCTATCCCAACCACAAATCCAACTATAGTCACAACTTCACAAGCATGCTGTGAGCATGAATTCTTCTGTCATCACCTACTTCCCTTACAGCGCCGCATCTACGGGCTTCCATTTTCCAGCTTCGCTCTTCTCATCAGGCCTATCATCGCCATATTGTGAGTTGCGCGGAGTCGACGACAGATCGTGTGCTTACAACGAGAAGGCAAATAAACAAACTACCACGATAGGCACGTATACCAGCAATATAGTGGAGCTAGACTGATTTCGCTCAGAAATACTGAATCCATCAGCAGACCCCATCTCCATCAAAATGACATGCTGATCATGGGATACGAAAGGTGTGAGAGAGAGGAGCTATATTTGAGCTTGACTAGCTAATTACTCGCGTCTCCACCTATTCCTCTTCAGTCAACGAACCTATCTGATGATGCACAGAGCGGTCACTATGATGCCACCAACGGACTTCTTCCCTGGCATAGCAACGTAAACGGCATTATACACTGAAAGCCTCCCGCACGCGATCGTTTTTCTGAGCAGACGTCTCCTTTTACCCTCGTGACAAAAAGCCTCCCATAAGAACCACACGATCTTCTCGCTAAATCAGATCGCCGACGACATCGATCAGACCTGATGCTTGTACTCGTATAACTCTTCAAGTGGCTGACCTTTTAGCAGCTTCATCTCTTGACGGTAAGCCTTTTTTACTTTCCCGAGTCTTCCCACTTCAGCCACTGACACTAGTTTATCCAACAGAGCAGTGTTCTTCTTGAAGAGAATCCTATAGTTCTTGAACATGCCAGACATACGTGTCTGCAGCAGATCCCTAGCTTCGACAGCTGCCTTCTTCTGCATCTTGATCTTTTCCTTCGACATGGAGTCTCTGCTGAGCTCGATGAGCTGTTCGCCGCGCTGACGGAAGCCCTGCTCTAGTTTTTCGACTTGGATGTGAAGTTCTTGGATGCGCTGTCGTGCTTCAAGAAGTTCTGTAGAGTCATCTGTCTCCAGCTCCATAACCTTCCTCGACAGATTGACATTCTCTTTGATCAATCTGTTGTTGCGCTGCTTCAGCTTTTGTGTGAGCTTCTTGCTTTTTCGCGCATTATCCTTTATACCTCCTTCGGAGTCGTTCATCTCCTTCTTGTAGAGCTCCTTTTGGTCGCAGACGTCCTGGGTCAAGGCGAAGATCTCGGCCCTCAGGTTGTCGTGCCCTGCATTGAGTAGCTCAACGTTGCGTGCAAGTGCGGCCTTCTCATCTGCGAGCTTATTGTTTTGTTCTCGGAGTGTCTTGATTGCAATTCTGTAGGCTTCTTCTTGTCGCTCGGCCTTGTAAGTGCCTTGCTCATCTTTGAGTAGCTTGAGGTCGCGCGAAAGTGCGGCATTCTCTTCGGCAAGCGTTGTTTTATGTTCATGAAGTATCTGAATCTCCGCGCTGGCGCCTTCGTATTGTCTCTTGAGAATGACGTTCTCATCTGTGAGTAGCCGAACACAGCGTCCAATAGTGGTTTTTTCTTCTGCAAGCTTCGTGTTGCTCTTGCGAAGAAGCTTGATTTCTGTTCTAGCGGATTCGTCGTGTCCTTCGGCCTTCACCTTCAGAATAGCAATCTGGTCCTGGATGAGGGTTTCGTGCACTACAGGTGTCCCATGCTGCTGCTTCACTGCCGCTTCCAGGTCCAAGATATACTTCTCCGTGCTCTCTTTCTCCTCCGTCAGAACTTTCTCGTGGGCCTCCAAGGCTTCTTTACCTAACGCGTGTTCCAAGGCTTTGCGTGTCTCAAACATGAACAACTTCTCCTCTTCCGTGTACGGCTGTTCTGATTGAGACACTTTGGGGTGGGCATCAGAGGTGGTCGTCTGAGAGCTGTTGCTGTCGCGCTTCTGTTTGGTTGCTGGACCAGGCGAAACAGCCTGCGCTGGCATGCCGCTAGATTTTGCACGCTTCGTTAAGCTGGGGGAAACAGCTCGTGCTGGGACGTCGTTGGGCTTTGCGCGCTTTGTTGGACGACCACCACCAGCTTTCGGAGTTTGTGGCTTCTCGACCGACCGAACGAAGATGATATCGTCCATACTGTCTGAGTCTAACTCGGTGACGTACTGTGCGTCCATCTGCTCGTACTAATATCAGTGTGTGTTGGGTAGGTGCAAGCGGCGCGCATACCGTATTTGTAAAAGTCACCGACTGTCGTGCTTCGGTGATGGAGCCATGGGGCTAGAGGACCGAGAGCTATCTTTGTCTCCTACACTTGTGGTGAAGGTGAGTGAAGATTGCGGCTAGATCAGGCAGCGCGACGCGCTGACTTTGGTCATCAAAGCCCTGGGGAAGGAGAGACGCGTCGAAGTCGAATGTCAAAGCAGCACAATGGATCCAAATTATATAATCAAACAAGATTCCAGGCGAACTATTAGTGAAGGCTACTTCCTAAGAGACGAAATGCCCAGAGCGATGTAGAAAGCATCATCTTGTACTTGCTTATTAGGCATTTCAAGCCCCGAAACCTATGACCTACCCATCATTGGCCATGACTTCCTTGCTCTTGTACACCGCCGAATCTTCGAGAGAACACACCAAGAGTGAGAAGCTGTGTATATAGATAAGTTCGCATTTCATGCTCGTCGTGTGGTAACATCGCGGCGCGCGACAAACCTGTCGAAACACATATTTCCCACCACATCTATCGTCAATTTTGAACCCGTCAAATCTTCAGAGAGTATTTCAGAAGCCGTTCTGATGGGACCGATTATGGTGGAGATGTTGACAACAGAGGTAGGATGGTCGCTGTAGGTTGGTCCTTGCAGGCGGCGTCTTGCGCTAGCCAGCCACCTAAAAAAGCGCGTCACACAACTTCAAGAAAAGTCTCGAGGATATACACCATCTTTCGCATATCAAAATTCTTAATTGCTACCAATGACTATCTTCTAGGCGCCGACTTACAGTGCACTGGAGAAAAGAAAGCGCTCCATCGCCGATATCAAACTCCCAGGAAATGCTCATCTGAAAATACATGACTGTCTACAATCACATGCCTGTTCGCGAATCGTCCTACTTCTTCTTGAACAAACCCTTTCCAAGCAGATTCTTCAGCTTGCTTTCCTTTTCTTCATTACTCATGTTAGCCTTACGCTTGCCTTCCGCGACTGTCTGACCCTGGGAAGCCTGGGGTTGAGCCTTTTCCTCTCGTACTGGCTCTTCAACTTTGAGCGCCTGAGCCTTCGCTTGCCATTCCTGCGAAAGAGTATGCCGGCTTGCCCTCACCTCAGCGCTAGCATTGTCGGCCCATTGGAAAGTGATAAGCTCGTTGTTGAAGAAACGAAGATCATGCACTAAACGCTTGTTGTCTTGTGGAATGAGGACGAGACGACCGGTTGGACTCGTGTTCTTGAGCTGAAAGGGTTCATTCTTCTTCTCCAAAAACCCACGAACGAAGTCGTACAGACCAACTGCAGTATCATTCTTGTTAAAGCTCATTTGAATGAGCGCACCGTCCGGCATCCGTATGCGAAGTGCACCACCCTTTTCGGCTGCCGCGTCGATCTTGGCCTGTCGTTCCTTTTCTTGCTCCTCCAACTCTTTGTCGGACAGCAGCCTCGTGTTCCGTGTTTTGCCTAACAACGCGTTTTGATGTGCCTTTGCATGCTCGATGGTGGGAAGGTAATCACTTTCGTTGAAGGCATTTCGCGCTGCTTGTGGAGTTGACGATGTTGGCGCAGAAAAGATCTGGACGTTGCGAGATTGTTCTGATGGCTGTGACGAGGTTTGGGGGGCTGGTGCATGGGATTGAGTAGGTTCTGCAGGTGCAGACGACGCTGTTGATGTTGCTGCAGCCAACGCTGCAGCCGGCGAAATATTCTCCACGCTCTCGGTCGCATTGTTCTCTGTAGATACTTGGGGCTCTTGTACGGGCTGCGCAGCCGGTTTCGGATCGACTTCCATTGGCTCTGGATCAGGCTCATCGTTACGAACAGTCTCGCCTGCTACGACTTGTGTCGCCTCCGGAGCTGCCTGGGCAGGATCAGGTATTGATGCTAATTGATCGGTTGTCGAGGCATGTGCACCTCCCGCACCAGCAGACGCAGGCTCAGTAGACTTGAAGTACTGCGTTATTTGTGCCATGGCCTCTTCCAGCGGGGTGCCGCTGTTCTTGTATGACAGCTTTAGCAAGGCCGACCCACTATCGAAACCCAGCTGGCTGAGAGTCTGTTGTAGCTCGACGAAGTTGGACTGCTCCTTGTGGCCTGGCATGACCGTTATGACGGGTTGCTCGTAGTGTAACCTGCCAGCACCAGATGCGCCGCTCATCTCAGGGATACCGCGCTGTGTGAAGTTATAGTTGGCCCCCTGACCACTCTCGAAGTGTCGCAGTATCTCCCATAACGAAGTGTTGCTTGCAAACTTGCTTGTAAGGCGTTTGTTCTGTTCGCTTGCGGGAAGCTGGAGCGCGACGGATATAACGGTGGGTGATCGCGATGCTTGGACAAGCTCCAATCGGGCTCCCTGGGGAAGGTTCGCTAGCCGTATTTGCTGGGATAGGGAAATAGGCTTATTGTTATACCTGGAGCCTGGTTAGTCGTGATCCAGTAGAACAGTATCTTGCAACCGACTTGAGCGTAAACTGATCCTTGTTGACGCCAAACTTCTGGCATGCCTCGTCCCTGACTTCAGTCAAGTACTTGGTGGGTGTTGTCGGGATTTTGAAAGTCCTCGCGTACGAGTTGAAAACTACGACGTGCGACATTATGCGCGAATGAGTCTGTAGAGACCGAAGGCGAGAAGGAACGCAGCGGGAGCGTTGGCTATCAAGATAGCGCGTGAGTACCAGCAGTTCCAGCTATGTGCTTTTCGGGTTGCTTCGCTTCGTTCAACCAGGAGAATGATGCTGGCGATGTGGAGGAGCTTTGCTTCGGCGAAACTGAGTAGGAGGTTGTTTGGGCCTGCCATAAGAGGCGATTAGGAAGCGTGTTCACACAGTGTCGCGGACGGTGAACGCCAATAGGGGCGCTTACCAATCCTTTGTAGGTGCGAAGGTTTATAGTGCAATCACCGGGTTGCGCGGCGAGAGACGCGGTTTTGGGGCGATAGCGATGGTGTTGATTCGGACGATGTCGAGGGCGATGGAACGTTTATAGACTCGGCAAACGGTCGTTGTCGCAGGCTTCCGTGATATTGAGGGAGCAGGCACTCGATCGACTTTCGACTGTTCGCAGCTGCAGTGTCAGCCGGTAGCGTGGTTCTGGAAGCTTCGAGGAGGCTTTGCCGCGTATTCAGGTGTCGGTGCCTGCAGGTGTTGTACCTTGCCCTACACGTCGATCGTCGGTGACGGAATACCAACACCCCGCCCCCACTAAATCTAGAGAGCTTCTGTCCAAGTCGCGCCTCCTCCACAAACAACTACACCGACCCATATACACCACAACAATCATGTCTAGAACCGTCGAGATCAAATCGCCTGCACAACTGAGCTCTCTGCTCTCCTCGTCGCGCGTCGTAGTAGTTAATTGTAGGCCGCGGCCCGGCATCTGCTGGACAAACTTCGGACGCTAACACCTGTTACTTGCAGTCTACAACGAAGAAAACACGTCGAGCAAAGCCATTGCGCCTGTATACGAACAACTAGCTGGCCAGCTTACACGGCCCGGACAGATCACCTTCACCAAAGTCAGCACAGTGCAGCAAGCACAAATTGCACAGAGCTATAATGTCACCAAGTATGTACATCATTGAAACGACGTAATTTGAACAATATTTAACATCCCATAGCACCCCGACATTCATCATCTACAAGAACAACCAGCAGATAAAGAAATACGCCGGCTCGAATCCCCAGCAACTTTCCGAAGCGATCAAGACCCTCGCTGCAGAAGCAGAGAACGATGGAAAGGGAGGCAGTAGCGCTTCCGGTGCAGGCGGAATTACCAGCGGAAGTGGTGCTTGGATAGGCGCCAACCTGCCGCGCGGGTACACCGATGTAACCGACTCCGTTGACCCACGCGGCCTCGATCTCCTCAACGCGGACAGCGATTTCGGCACCGTCAAGACGCTTTTCGAGACATCACAACCTAGCTCGCTCAACAAGGGCAAGGGCGCATCGACTGGCTCAGAAGGCAAGAAGGACTGGGTAGAGAGTGATGTGGACAACCAGCTTATGCTGTACGTCCCCTTCATGGCCAACTTGAAGGTCCACACAATTCAGATCACATCGTGTGTGTCCGGAGACGAAGACGACGACGAGGCGCCAGTACGGCCGAAGACCATTCACGTCTGGACAAATCGGGCGAACAACTTGGGCTTTGAGGAGGCTGAGGACATCCCAGCGACTCAGACGATTGAGCTGAAGCCATCAGATTGGGATGAGGCGACACAAACGGCCAAGCTCGAACTTCGGTTCGTCAAGTTCCAGAACGTCTACTCACTGGTACTTTTCGTCGCAGATGGAGAAGGCGACAGTGAGAAGACGCGCATCGATCGTATCCGCTTTGTTGGCGAGACCGGCGAGAAGCGTGAAATCGGCAAGTTGGAGAAGATTGGTCAGGACGACTAGACAACGTCATAATTGAAGTCAGTAGGGTAACATGGCTTCGTCTTAGAGTGGGAACCGGAGTTGGAAGACGTGACGATTAATGCATTACATTCGATCCTAGAACTAATCTGGGGATGTCATGTCCATTGGTACTACCGCCTGATTGAGACACTAGAGTGACTTCATGCACTGTCTTGCATCGCAGGTTCTCAATAAGAATAACACAAGACGTCACGTAAGTAGTTGGAATGTCCACGCCTCTGCCCGAGGCCTCACTCACACACAAGGAAGTGTGAGGCCTGAGCAGTCTTGTCTCCAAGCAAAGCGCGTTTCAATATAAGCATTTCTCGGCCCTTACTCTGCCATTGATAAGGGCAATAGAGTAGGAATTTGACATCCATGCTAAGTAGGTATCATTGACGCATCACACCTCACGCGCACACACGCATGCATACGTGCACCGGGACAGGTTGGTTTGGCGTGAACCAATCGTCACATTTCATGATTTTGAGTGACACATGCTAGGTACGTTTAAGAACCACCATTGTCCATTGCCATACTCCGATGAATCGTGTCATACTTTTGTGGTATGCTGTGACGTTCCGAGATCGTATCGAGCCGCCCGTTGTGAAAAGAGACCGAACACCCAGGATAAAATCGGAAAGTAAGTCGGTCGCTCGTTCGCCGTGTTGCTTCATCCACCGCAAATCGTGAAACCGTTTAGTGACCAGCGCGCCTCGACTCGGCGATGACCTTGGTCATCTCGTCGACCTTTCTCTTTGAGCGACCGAAGGTACCGAGCTGTGATTTGTTAGTGACTGTTTGTATGTGGGAGGTGGTCAAGCGGGCTGGAGATCGGTCGTGTTGTTGTGATGGTGAGAGAGACGTACCCTCTTCTTCGCTAGACGGCGGGCACGCTTGTCCTTGGAGTTGCGAAGCAATTCGATGATGCGCTTCTCGTATGGGGCAAGACTGTAGACACGTCAAGTTAGCACGCTGTCCGATGGTTGTCGCGCAGTTCCTGCGAAAGTTCGAGCTGCAACGTACCCAGCAACCTCCTTGGTGATCTCACGGACAAACGCAGTGCGCTTGGAGAGGAAACCCTTCCTCCTCGAGATCCTGGGAGCGGGGGTCCTGGGGGTGACCTCTGTAGACTGTGTTAGCCTCCATCCACGAAATTTCTTAATTGTAGCGATCGGAGCGTATCGAGAGCGGCGAGCGGGGTGACGTACTGTGGCCGGCGTTGAGGCCAACGATGAGACCAGACTTCTGCTTGACTTCCTTCGGCATCGTGACGGTCGTGATGTTGTCGATTGTCGATGAGTTCAGAGTCGCAGATTTGAAAGGGTAATTTTGGCTCGGCTGTGCGGTGTTGCCAAGATGGCGCTAGCTGTAAGCAGGCACGTGCCTTCCTCGATGAATCTGGCCGCGAACATCATTAGCATGCGTCTCAAACTTTTCAAGCATTGGAATGAATATATTGCGCATCAGCTTTCTGGACGCGCTCCTTGAAGATTTCTGTTATTTTCGGTATGTGAGAGCGCTTGCAAGAACAGAACTGCCTTGGTCGGGACCTTTGTAACGTTTGGACGAACATAATCAATGCAAATCGTTCATATTTGCAGCCTGTTTTCCCAAGCGGAAATCAAAGCAGGAACCAGAAGCCAAATCTCTATCCTCATTTGCCCGGCTGAAGCCAACTGAGACGTACCAATCGTTGGGTAACTCCAAGGTCAAGGTCAAGGAGCCCAATAGGTAACAAACGTCTTTCACACTCAGTCTAGCGCTCCGAAAGGCATCTGCACACCCTCAGGGCTCTTCTCGACGTCATCAAGCCTCATCCTCGAGCTTGATCTCACCAGTGGTAACATACCAGACCTTTTCCTTAAGCTTTTTCTCTATAATAAAAGTGCCGTACAGGGATAAGCACCCATCTGCATCGAATCCCCACCCGATTTCTCTATGCCTTACAGAATGAAGCTCAATGAACTCCGGATTCAGTAAGCCGCTCTCCGTCTTTAGCTCCACGAACGTCCTTTTGTCGAGCTTGTTCCTTCAAGCATCAGTGAGAATCTCTAACAGTCTGATGTTGGCCACTCCCAGATCGAAGATGTTGTGCTGGACGATCGTGTTGGTGAAAGTAAGTGACTCCGAGCGGGTGCGCTCTCCTTTGACAATCTTATAAATTTGATGGTGTTTGGGTGTCGTGCCAGCCTGGAGTGCGAACATATGCGTGTAGCACGCGGTTTGGTAGGACTTCTGGAGGGCCTCACGCAGCTTTTGGGGGAATACATCGACTTTGGAGTTCACTGTGACCGAGATCTGGAAGAGCATATCTTCTTCTCGCTGAGCCAGCGACTTGGTTACCGGTATGAATGGCTTCTTTACAGCTCTCTCTTCATACGATTCGAGATCGATGACCTCTTTCCGTTTCATTGTTGTTTTAGGAGCTGGAGTGGCCCTTGGGGCTGCGATACTGTTAGTTTGAAAGTGTCCACAAACCTTGGTAGTTCCGTATCCAGATTCAACTTATTGCATAAGTCTTTACTCATATTGCACGTTGACAGTATCGCAGTAGCTACTGTTCGTGGGAGCTTGTTACAGGATCGATAGGTAGAAAGTTAGTTCTGTCGAGTTGTGCAATGTACAGATGAGGTGGGAGGGAGACAGCAGAGGAATGGTAAGAAAAGTTGATAGTCATACGAATGGACAAGAATACAGGTGGTAAGGGAACGGTAGTTCCTGATATACATTGTACATTCCAAGGTAAAGGCAGTCCCAAGGTAAAGGAAGTCTACAACTTCGCCTTGGTCTTAGCGTCCTCCTCTTCTTGCGCCTTCACCTTGAGCATCCGTCTGAGGATCTTACCGCTTACAGATTTGGGAATCTCATCGACCCACCTTACTCCGCCGCGTAGTCTCTTGTGATGCGCGACCTTTGCGCTCAGCCAGTCTATGATCTCCTTTGCATCTTCATCGGTCTTGCCAAGCCCATCCTTGGGTACGATGTAGGCGCGCGGCAGTTCAGAGGCATCATCCTTCGAGTACACTCCAATCACAGCTACGTCGTTGATCTTGGGGTGTGAGACCAAGATACCCTCCAATTCCGCAGGTGGTACCTGGAATCCTTTGTACTTGATGAGTTCCTTCACGCGGTCGGTAATGAAGAAGTTTCCGTCCTTATCTTGGTATCCAACGTCGCCTGTCTTGAAGTACCCATCTGCTGTCTTCGCATGCGCAGTTCCCTCAGGATTGTTCAGATAGCCCTTGAAGACGTTCGGGCCCTTGATCCATAATTCGCCAACCTCCCCAACTGCCATCTCCTTCTCCTCTGGAGACATGTACTTTGCTGTCTGGTAGGGCAGAAGTTTGCCTACGGATCCGATTGTCTTGTTCCAATCTTCCCATGGTTGGGTATGCGTTGTCGGGCTAGTTTCGGATAAACCGTATCCTTGCTTAACTGGAATCTTCAATCTGTCGTGGACCGCATCTACGAGCTCCCTAGTCAAGGGCGCTGCGCCAGAGTTCATCATCCTGATTGAGCTGAGGTCGTAATTCGATACCAAAGGATGTTTGCTGAGGAGTAGAACAATTGGCGGTACTACGTAAGCAAATGTAATCTTGAGCTCTTGAATGAACTTGCAGAAGTCCTCCAGGTCAAATTTTGGCATCACAACAAGTTGGAGCCCAGAGTACAAGCTCTGGTGAATCAAGCAAGTCAGGCCTACACACAGTTAGTCGGGGATAATCTAGACAAGATATAAACAAAACCTTACCGTAGATGTGGAAGAATGGCAGGAAAGCCAGAAGTTTATCACCTTCACCAGTTGGTCCGCCAGTTGGCTGCAGTTTACCAGCCTCCGCAGCTTTGATCATCATTGTGTTGGAGACGATGTTGCGATGGGTCAGCATTACACCCTTAGGATGACCTGTAGTTCCACTAGAGTACACCAAAAACGCCAGGTCTTCTGACGGGTTGGTGGCCTTTGTTCTTCGCCATCTCGATGTTCCAGCTGTGTTAACGATGCTAGTGAAATGCTTCACTTTGTAAGACGGATCTTTCTGATCACCCATTACGATCACGCGATCAAGAGGGATGCCAACTTGCTTCGCAGCCTCTTGCGCATTCTTGATGTAAGGAAGCTGGGTCACCAAAGCCTTCGCTCCGGAATCCTTGAGTTGGAACGCAAGTTCCTCAACAGTGTAGTTTGGATTCGCTGGAGAGAGAATACCTCCTGCCCAGTGACAACCCCATGTTATTGCAGGTGTGTCGATACAGTTGGGTGTGTACAAGGCGAGAACGTCGCCTTTTTGCCACTCCCAGAGTGACTTCAGCCCTTTGCCAAATGTGATGGCTGTATCTCGAACTTGGGCATAGGTGTAAGAACGCTTGGTGTACGGGTCGAAGTAGATTACTATTACCGTTAGCGATTACTCATCTGGCCGTAACATGTGAACATGCCTTTGTCATCGGCATATGGCTTGTCCTTCCTTTCGAAGAGAAACGCCCACTACGATTAGAGACAGACGTCAGCGCGAAATCAACCTATAAGCTTATCTCCGGGTACAAAACTTACGAGATCCACATCTGGAATTGGCAAGTCAGGGTACAGGCTCTTTGAAGGCATTTTAGCGGTTGATGATCGACGTGGTGATGGTAATTAATATCCGGCCAAGAGATCTTATGGAGAGAGCGGAGTGGAAGTAGAAGGATGCCAGAACAAGAAGACGGACATAACCAGGCGCGTTCTAACTGGCATTGGATTACCGAGGGCAGACGCCGCGCATTGAGGCGGCTGGTGACGATAGGCGACCGGGGTAACTCCCCACAACTTGGGGAACCACGGCCGAGGTTCTTTCCGTTTGCGGCGTTAGCGGTGCGATAGCTGCAGGCGGCCTTCCGAGGTCAATGGCATTGCGACACTGGCGATTCCTAACAATCTGGCCATATAGACCTTTTGGCGTTCTCCATTCACGTCTCGGTTCCGCGACATTAGCCTACTGAAGATGACGAGCTGGGAAGAAGCTACTGCAGTGGAGAAACTCTCCTCTAACACGTACTCGTGCAACCTACAAGATGATTGGTGCATAGGAAGCGGTATGTCAGATCTGACCCCAGCATAGATAACATCATCCACGTAAACTAACGGCAACAGTTCCTAACGGTGGTTACGTTACCGGATGGTAGGCATCAGTGTGCTTGGTAACAGGGATGACACTAATCAGACTTGTACTCACAGCATACTGGAAGTAGTCAAAACACATTTCAATACAACTTTGGCAAAACAAAACCAACCACACACAATAACCCTCCATGTCGAGTTTCTGCGACGGACGCAAGCCGGACCTGCCACATACAAAGTCGAAGATGTGAAGCTCGGCCGACAAACGTCTGTCGTGCATGTAACCATGGAGCAAGACGGACGGACCGAAGTCGTCGCGTACGTCACAAACTCTAACATGGATACCGAAGCGGGCTTTACGCACGACACCGGATATCGGCCCTCACCACCCATTCCATCGGTAGACTTTTCAAAGCTAGAGAATGGCGAAGACCCGAACTGGAGGTATCAAGCCGAAATGCCACACGCCGAGTTCAGAAAGGCAACGAAGAGAGTTCAGTTCTACTTCCCTCGAGAAAACAAAAGCCCAGCGTATCTTGCCGATGAGGTAGTTTGCTTCTCCGATGGGAAAAACTTTACGAATTCATCTGTCGCGTTTGTCGCAGACATGTTCCCGTTGATGGTCGAGTCGTTCAAAGAAAAGGGCGAGGGGCCCTTCTGGTACCCAACGCTACTGCTGAACCTGGATGTTAAGAAGTCGCTGCCACCAGAAGGAGTCAAGTGGCTGCAAGTCAGGGTTGAGATGAAGAAGATGCAGAAAGGCAGGATGGACCTAGAAGTGTTTGTGCATGATCCTGCGGGCGATCTGGTGGCCTTGAGCCATCACGTGGGATTCGTGGTAGATGCGAGTAGGAACACGGCAGCAAGGAAGACGGGAAACCCTAAGATATAGAACCGGTGATTTCACGGGTATAGATACTGGCGTTCTGGTAATTTTTCTGCTTATTCAGACAATCCTCATCTATAAACCTTATCTTGCCAAACGCATTTGCTGCATCGTCTTTAGTCATCATGTTGTTGTGTGACGTTGTGTAATTGTCAACATGATCACACGCGAGCTCCTGTGTATAGCTTCCCAAGAACGGCTTTTCGCGGAGCACTATCATGCAACGATTAGCATTGGAACGCAAATGAGATCGAGACAGCATCGGATGGGTCTTGCATGTTTGATGGTGTGATATTTCGATTATTGTATGATGCCTCCAAGCGCTCGACTGGCAGCAATAAGGATTTTAAAATTTACAGGATGCAATTGTGCATCACTCATCTGCCAAACGCCAATGATGATATGCATCAGATGCCCGCTACCCCTTGGCTATAAATTGCCATGCTTTTGTGTGTTCGCTCAATCGATTCGGAGGCGCTTATTTGCCCTTGGGGTTGTTGTATTGCATCTCGTTGAATTTTCCCGGCCAGACAGGCTATCAAGTGTCAGCACAAATGCGATTCTTCAAACCAATAGTCCACGTACCTCGCTCTGTTGGTCGCTAATGTTCTTCTTGAAGTGCTCTGAGTCGGGACCCTTGCTTGGTCCATCATGCCTTCCCTCGTTCGCTGTCGCAGAGCCTACAGATAACGTTAGCAAACTCCGTTCTACATACTTCCAAGTTTTTAAGACTGGGGAGCTCATTGTACTCGTACCGCGCTGGCTACCCCCAGCAGGTGTGTGTGTAGGGTGGCCTCCGCCAGATGAGAAACGGTCCTCAATGTTCTGGACGCCCTGTGTCTTGTACGGGTTGGGGAACCAGTATTGGCGCATGAAGAGGTAGTAGCCGAAGCCGACGGCACCGCCAGCCATGAATATCTTGGGGACAGAGAGAGGTGACATGATTGCGCTGTGTGTTTCTTGGACGATTGAGGCTGTGGGAGGGCAAGGTGGAGGGTGAGAGGTAGAGTGAAAGTGTGGAAGTGGTTTGTGTCGTGCGAGGTGGAGTGACGCAACAAGTCGGGACTGTCAACGGAACCTGGCTTGTGGAGAAGAAGCAAGTAGTGCAATGAGTCTAGAGATCTGGGCGTTGTTTTCCCTTTGTAAGTCGGGTACCCAATGACACGCTGCGGAGAACTAACAGAGGAGCGTCACTTTGTCGTCGCGATGATCGCGTCATGGCCTCGTGCTTTAGGCAAAGCTCCCGCGGTCGTCGCACAAACCAAATACCCACCCGGCCAGGCACGATCAAGCTAGTTCGCTTGAGGCTGAAGCCCAGGCTGACGTAACGAAACGGCCAGTGTGGCTTGTGAAATCGCTCCTAGTCTGTTTTGGTGCCAGCAACTCCGGGAAGTGGACACGATACCACCGCGATATCTGTTAACCCCCTTGCGCCAACACGACCTAGGCTACTTGGGAAGAGAGGGATCGATTGGGGGCGTGGCTTATACCGAGGAGCTTCATGATCATACGGCAAAGAACAGGCTGGGACACAGCAACCGTCACGGAATCCGCCGCGCATTCGAGAAATGGACGGTGACCCTGCCGTCGAGCCAGAAATCGATGGCTTCAGTCGCGTACTTCCTCTACCCTATCGCGTCGCGCTTATCATAGTCCTTGGTACGCAAATCCTCTGTCCACCAGTAATTGCTTTCTCCGGCTGACTAAAGAATGCATAGGCATATGGGCATGGGGCCTTAACCTCCAGTACCTCACCCTCATAAAGATAGACGTCCCAAGTCTAATCCGCTACCCGGGCCGTACCTCACCCCGCCACATACCGCACCACCTCTCCTGCTACCGCATCGCGACTTTTCTCTCCATCCCGCTCGCGCTCTCGCTGCTCCTATTCTGGACCCTTACACACGGCAGCCCAAAAGACATTGCGGGCTGGGAAATCCTGCCAAACCTATACCTTCTAGTACTGGTAGTCGGTTTTGTAGTGCCGCTGCCATTTGTTAGTCGCAATGGGCGGTCTCGCACACTGGCGACACTAAAGCGCATCTCTATTGGCGGCATCGCAGAAGCGCATGATGGCAAATTTGGGGACATATTGCTCGCTGATGCGTTGACGAGTTATGCCAAAGTGCTAGGAGACCTTTTCGTCTCGCTATGCATGTTCTTCTCGTCCTCGCACAGCTCAACAGGGCCTCCGAACAGGAGCTGCGGCGGGGCTTTCTGGGTTCCCTTCATCATCGCTATACCCTCGATGATCCGTCTCCGGCAATGTATCACCGAGTACTATCGTGTTCAGAAGGCGAACAAGCAAACTGGGCAGATTAGTCCAGTGACGGGATGGGGTGGCCAGCATCTGGCCAACGCACTGAAGTACTCGACCGCGTTCCCCGTCGTCATACTGAGCGCTCTGCAACGCTCGCCCGATCCTTCACGCTTTGGCGTTTCGGAAGCGACCCTGTTCCGTATGTGGCTTGTTGCTGTGGTGGTAAACTCGGGCTACTCGTTCTATTGGGATGTAGCCAAGGATTGGGACCTTACCCTCTTCTCCAATGCCCGTACTCGGGATAGTCCCGAATACCCATGGGGTTTAAGACGGCATCGCTGGTTCCATGCCAAAGAGTTCTATTATGCAGCCATTGTGGTGGATGCAATGCTGAGGTGTACATGGAGTTTGAAACTCAGCGTGCATTTGGACCATTTCAACGACTTAGAAGGGGGCATCTTTACGATGGAGGTTCTGGAGGTGTTGCGAAGATGGATATGGATCTTCTTTCGCGTGGAGACAGAATGGGTGAGGAATTATAGGGGTCCGGCGCCTGACGATATCCTACTAGGTGATGTTGGGGTTGGAAACAAATACGATGATAGCGATTAGGCTTCTCGTTGATCCAAATTCTAGATCGATCGCGTGCAACGAACGCATGTTTCAGTTTCGCTTTACCAATGCATTCAACTCAGATGGCCTCTGGGAATACTCGCGATGCAGTTTGTAAGGATATCATGAGCGCTTCGTAAACCGGAAGGCTCGATAAGAGTCTTACTGGTCGGTGACATGGGAGTTTTCCAGTCCTTTTCACTTCCCTCTCATGAACCCAACACATCGATATAGGCACCGGCAACTGCGACATGCGAAGCCTGGTCGTGTAACCCAGAAAATGCATACGTGCATCGTAATTGGATGGAATATTGCCAGGCTATGCTGCTGCGCCTCTTGTCAGTAAGTCTGGACTGTCAGACGCTAAGCCAGGTCTCAATATTCAGCATCTGTTCACTACGTGATTGGCTGAAGGTCATCTTTCTTGCTTACTCCGCACTAGTCGACGCAGCACGAAATGCATTCCTTCTTAGGACTAGCATGAATGGCACGCTTCGATCATCTATATTCTGGACTCCTACTCAACAAGCAACTACTTTCGTCTTGGAACATTCGATTTTCTAAACAAGAAAAGATTTCGGCGTCGCTAGGTTCATATTGTTTGATAATACGTAGTCCTAAAGCCTGGCAGAGTAACTTGCGCTGTAAACTATCCAATGGTGTTTCGCGGCAAACCATCTAAAGCTTGCGAAAGATGCAGAGAGCGAAGACTACGGGTATGTTCGGGTTCGCAATATAGATGCGACGTTAACTTTCCTAGTGCGACCAGCAACGGCCAAATTGCAGCTCTTGTGCTAGAGTAGGAACAGCATGTACCGGCTATCGCGACACAACCAACCTCCGGATTAGCGACCAAACCGACTCTGTACGGACAAAAGCCCTGGCAAATGTAAAGTCTTCTAAGAAGCAGCCAAGTGCTGGCGAACCAAAGACAAAGCTCAAGCTCAAAGTTCGTCATCTTCCCCAGGATCTTCTTATCATGGGTCGAGATATGTTCTTCACATACTATGTCTCTGATTTCAGTCGGACATGGGACTTTTTGTACAAATACCTAGATTCTACTCAAGCGCCCAAGCATCTGGTCCTTAGCATTGAAGCAGTCAGTCTTGCCTTCCTATCTCATCAAGTTTCCTCCTATACAGCGAAAGACCTCGGACGCAGAAAATACTGTGAGGCATTACGGAAGATCAACATTGCGCTGCAAGACCCTGTAGCAGCAAGGGCTACCTCGACGTTTGAAGGAGTGCTGTTACTGGATCTCTTCGAGAAGATTATGAAGTCGGCTTCGGAAATCAACACATCGCGACACGCCCACATCGAAGGCGCACTCACATTAGTGAAATTGCGGGGCGTAGAGACGTTCAAGGAAGGCACGGAAATGCGAGCGTTGATGGGACTCTCTTTGAATTCTACTATATGCTCACTCAGCACCGGCCAACCAGTGGACGATGCCATACGACAAATACGAGTACATGCAGCACAGACTGTGAATACCGACTACCCAAAGTGGAAGCTCAGTGGGTTGATGCTCGAAGTTACCGATCTAGCTGCGGCGATGCGAAAAGGATGTATGACAACGGAAGAAAGAATAGCAAAAAGTGCCTATTTCGATCGAGAGCTTGAGCTCATCGCACTTGAAGCAAGCCCGGTTTGGACTTATGAGCGCAAAGCCTTGGGTGGATCCGATGGAGCAAGACTGGTACCGGATGGGTTTCCACTTATTTACGACGTCTATCCGGATCGTATGGTTACACAGATGTGGAACGTCCTTCGCATAGCACGCATGCTTCTATGTGAGGAAATTATCGCGTCCTGTGCTGTAAGCTCCGACCCCGAAGCGTACGCCCAGGCTGAATGCTCAAGGACTGCCCTCTTGAACTTAGTCCAAGAAATTGTTGCATCAGTCCCACAAATGACAGACTGCGAATCGGTTGCAAAACATAAGCTGCCTAGTGGAAGCACAGGCAAGCAACACACACATAGCATGCCCCACATTCTGGATGTCTACATACTAATCTTCAGCCTATACGTCGTTGCATGGTCGAAAAGCTGTCCACAAGCTGCAGTTGAATGGAGTATCAAACAGCTACAGCACATCGCTGATCACTTCGTCATCAAAGAGGCTGCCGTCATTCTGGAAATACTGAAAAAGCAGAAGATGGAAGAACTGATCAACCCATGGTACGTATGCATTCTTTTTATTCATTGACATTACATCCCACGGGATTCAAAACCAGCAGCAGCAAAGAGGATCTTGGCCTGGCTATCTGAGATAGCGCATACATGGCCAACCAAAAAGAGAGAGCTGCGCTAAATACACAGAAGGAGGGTGTTCCAAATTCATGAGACGGCCCTACTGTTGAAAAGAACGCCTGTGATAGCAGGGCCTCCGGACCAAGTCTAGAAAGGATAGGATACACCAAAAGGCGCCTCCACTCTCGCAATCTCTAGGCTCTAGATTCTGAATGTACCCAGCAACCCTTTGTCAACGAGCAATCAGTATGCAGGTACTAACAGTCATTTTAGGTATAAGGTTTCTGGTCACATATCCAACGCCTCTGGACATCTATGGATGCAGTCTGCCCCTGGTCACGATACATACACAAATTGCAACCACGACACGCTTCCTGAAGAATCAGAGTCAGTCTCCCAATCTCATTTGTCTCATCTTGTAGATCTGACCTACGCCATAGCCACCTCTTCAGCTCCGGTTCACATCCCAGGACCACGACAACTTCCCCTCTAATCGCTGGGCTACCCCCAGAATGGCATATCGGATCGTAACACATGACAACAAGACTGACATGTATGCACCGCCAGGCACGACTTCCCAGCTCCTAGTCTAAGCGATATGCACGGCCATCGATATAAGATCCGTGAGACCACGTTCATGTAAGCTGTCAGTCATACAATCGAGAAACAAGCATCTAACATGCTACCCCAAAGGCCGGTCCATCTTCTAGGTCCCCAAGACCCCCGGCTGTGCTACCAAGCTGCCGGTTTCGCAACAGGACCTTGGAGTAGTCTACTCGAAGCACCTTGCAACTCGTAGCTCAACTAAATATCATTATAATCAGCTAAATGCTAGATAGTAGAAGACATGATGGACAGTACTTATACATCAAAGTGATGTGACACAAGAATGCTCATACAAAATAGTCTTCTCATTCTGTTCCATTGCGAACTGATTATAGCTAACGAGGTAAGGTAATGCAGCCCAAGAAAGTGCTCCCATACCAACCCATGGAGCACCATAATTTGCCGCTATTCTACCTCTTGAGGCTCTTCTTCGTGAAGATATTTAAATAGTACAAATGGTAATTTTGAAGTAGAAAAAAAAGACTAACACCAGATACAATGCCAAGGACGTGACCGACGAAGCCATCGCCACCCGTTCTCTTGTGCGAATAAAATGATACACATGCGCTCCACTCGAAGTGCAAGCGGGGAGCACTAGGAGGATGTGAAGAATAGCAGTACTGTAAAAACGCCATGCAATGCAGAGTTCGTTTCCGCCCTGGATCCAAATCGGTGGTAAGAGTTCACCTTTTTTCCCCGCCAGTGTAGGTGTTGAAACAAAAAGAAGCAACAGGGCAGCGTTGTAAAAGTGTGATGTTGAAAAAGGCAGCGCAAAGGAGTGTGCGCTAAAGGCCGAGGCAGAGTTGAAGCCATGTAAAGGTCCCTAGTTGAGGAAGCCCTTGCAGCCGATTGAACCGCAAAGACAAGGAATACGATCAGTAGCGTCCATCTCACGCTCGAACTTGTAGTCGTAGGTGAGCTCTTCATCTGGAATCGTTGTTAGCAAATGTCCAATAACCTCTATTATTCAAGAGGAGAGGATGAACCTACCAGAGTTTATATCCCGCAACGCGTAAATGACGATACGCTTCGTGTTATCCACGCGAATAATCTTAGCTGTGCAATTCGGCGTGCAAGAATGATTGATGAATCTTGCAATGCCACCCATCTTGGTTGCATCAATAACGGTATCTTCGTCAATACGGAACAGATAACTTGATCCGACACCTTGCATGTCGTACTTGGCTTCCCTGAGATCGGCAACCCGCTGGCGAACCTTTTCACCCACGTACTCAATAATCATGTCATTGACAGCGATAGGTTCTTGGGCGTAGAGGCCCCAGTTATGGATAGCGGATCGGTCGAATTTGACGAGCTTCTTGCGCTTCTTGAGCTGATTGAAGCGGAGGGCATCGCCTTCCGCACCAGACAAGTTCTTGGAGATGTTGATATCGTTGACCATGCGGCGGTTGTTGGCGCGGTTGGCACGCGAGTTGGCGGTCGATGTCTTATTGGCGCTGGTCTGGAACTTGAAGCCTTCGACGGAGACGACGCTTCGCTCTTCTTGCTTAGCACGGCGCTGGCGCTCCTCGCGCTCCTTCTGGACGCGGATACGATGAGGTAGGTACTTGGACTTTTCAGACTCGCGAATCTTCTTGACGCCTTCCGTACGGGCCGAGCCAGTTGAGTTAGGAACGTAGTATCCCTCTATCTTCGTTTCGGTACGCGAGACACCCTCCTCACCGTTGCGGTTTAGGTGCTTGATAGATTTTTGCTTCCATGCCCAAGACTGTGCATCTCCGATCTTCTCGGCGGTGATGGACTCCATGGCAGCCCTCAGGTGACGTAGATCCTCCTCGTCCTTGAGCATGTGTTGCCAACCATCAATGTCCATTACAACACTGAGGTCATCTTCAACAGTCTTACGAGGCACTCCAGAAGATACACCCCAGAGTACAGAAGAGGCTCGCCCGTCGTCTTCCGGTGTGGACTCCTCGACTACGGCTTCTTCAACTGCCTCTTCGACCTTCTTCGCTTCAGGGACCTCCTCTTCAGCGGGCGCCTCGATTTCTGTGACTTCAACCTTCGCAGCCTTGGCCTCTTCTTCAAGTTGCTTTTTGGTCTTCTTCTTAGGCTTGGTCGTGGCCTTCTTCTTGAGTGACGTGAGCGTCTCTGGCAGCTCGGTAGTCTCAATGGGCTTGAGTGCTTCATCATCTTGGGTGATGATGACTTCAGGCTCAAGTTTGTCAACCGGGCTTGCTTCCACGCCAAAGATTGCATCCGCCTCTTGCTCAATCTTCCGCAACCTTCTGAAGCCTTTGAGTGCCTTCTCTGCCTTCTTCCAAATAGGCGAAGAGCGGGGAAGGATCGCAAGCACTTGTTCCAGCTCTTTCTCCGCCATGTTTTCAGGATCTTTGTGGATACAATGGGCAAGCAAACTCCTGGCGTGTGAATCATCCATCTCCTCGTCACTGTCTTCACCCCATCCTGTTTCGAGACGGCGCCGTTTGGCACGATGGGCTCTCGATGACTCTTCAACCTCCTCTTCAACGTCAGTGGAAGGAGCGCGGCTGATCGGGCGGCTCTCTTGCTCTTCGGTACCCCGAGTTAGCTGGCTACGGCTCTCATCGTCCGACTCTTCGGGCTCGAACATCTCAATCATCTGGCGATGAAGGCCACGAGCCACACGAGGCTTGGGCGCAGAAGCTTTCCTCCGTTCGTCTGCGAATGCATTGACAACCTTCGGAGGCCTCTTTCCACGTCTAGTGCTGGGATCAAACGCACCCAATCCCCTGCGTGCATTGCGACCACCAAGACCACCACTGCGGCCCTTGGGAGTACCTGCTCCAAAAGTGTCGAACCCTGGGGCGAGAAGAGCCGGTGGCCGCGCAATCTCTTCCTTCTGGGACGGAGCTGGGACGTTAAATTTGCGACGCTTCTCCACATGGAGCTCCGGATCCAGCAATTCAAGTATAGTGGGCGCCGCTAATTTCGTCTTGATATCCCCAAGGAGCTTCTCTTGGAGCTCCTGCTTCAGAACATCCAAAGCGGCTCGTACAGGATCCAGCGAGTCTGCCCTCTGCTTCTTTTCCCACTCGAGGTCCTCCGCTTCTTCCTGTTCTATTCGCTCTTCGATGGCCTTTCGCTTCTTGTCTGCCACTACGCGCTCCGGGCTTGGACTACGCTCGTAGTTAGGATCTCCATACTGATTGCACTCCATATTCATAACATATGTGAATAGCGCTTGCATGTGGCATTCTTTATAGCACCGAACAGCCTCGTCTTCACCACGCTTCGATTCTTCGAAGGTTACATAGTAACCCGTTTGATCGCATCGCACCGCAGCCCACCGAAAGTTCTTCAATCGCTTCTTAAGATGATCAACAGTCGTGCTAAGGACAGGTACGTATGCGTGTGCGATGAAGATGTAAGGTTTCCGTTTCAGTGTGGGCTTGACTGGTTCGCGTTCGATGAGGTAGGAAAGCGCGGCCTTCCTTGATAGAGGTTCTCGAGGTATCGGTATTGGTGGGCGCGCGCCCTTTCCAGATGGACCTTTGGGAACATTGGCTGGGAGGTCGAAGGTTCCTGGTGCAGTCGGTGTCGCTACACTAACAGCCTTCGCAGCATACTTGGCGCGCTGCTTCTCCTCCTCTTTACGGGTTTGCTGCACCGCCATATCCACAAGTTTCTGGCATCTCCGGCCCTCGCGATCAGATTTTACCCTGATCGTGTGTTGCGCAATGCGCTGGTTCGTGCCTTCTCGTTCGGCCCGCTTTGCTGAGGTGGTCGCTTTCATGCCCGGTACACCGCGCGCAGGCGGGGTATCGCGAAACTTGACTAGACATATTCCAAGTGGGCTGCCGTTATCAGGATGTACTTGGTTGCGAAGAGTCTCCACTTCACCATATGTGGAGAAGAATCCACGCAGTTGCGCGTCAGGCGTCAAAGGATCGAATCCCGTTACAACCACTTGAGTCGCGGGCCCTGGACCGCATGATATGCGTTGGTCGAAGGAGTATGGCTTAGCGACATACGGCGCTATCCTGAGTTTTGATTTCGGAGCTCCTACGAAAGAAGTCTTGATGACATAGTGGCCAGTGGTGTAACCAGCAATAGCCAGGCGCGGGTCGGGAGGAGGAGATGGGTCGCCCTGTAACACAAGTTGAGTTAGCCTTAGCGTCACAGGGCGACCACATCTATGTATGTATAACCATCACGTACCTTGTCCAGTATTGTGGTGTATTTCGCCGTTCCTTTTGCTCTCGCCCGTTTATCGAGTTTGGGATCAAGCTGCGCATCGTAGGTGGAGCGTTGGCCCAGCACGCCGTCGGCTGGGAAGACGGATATGCGCGTCTCGGGCGGCGTATTTATTGGTGTGATGGTATCGGCGACATTATTGGGCGCACTCGATGGCGCCGCGTGTGTAGAGGATGAGGTCGTGTGCATCGTCTCATGTGAGAGCTTGGAAGAGCGTGGACTAGGCAGCTTGCCAGGCGGAGACGAGTCTGAGCTGGTCAAGGGTGTGAGAGCGTGTAGAGAAATATTTTGACCAGAACGCGACATGGTGGGAGGCGCGGAGAAAGTGGACGAGGCGGGAGTGGGAGCAGAAGAGTCCGAGTCAACGTCGTCTAGCAGGTCGCTAGGGCGGCGCGCATCGTTGTTGGGTGAATCCGAGTTGTTCCTGAGCCCAATCCTGCGCGTTTCACCACCTGCCCGTGTCGCTGGACCAGCCGAAGCTGAGTGCAAGGCGGCAGACGAATCGGAGCGACGTGAAGCTTCTCGCCGTAGAGACCTCTCTTCTCTGTCGCCGCGTCTTCTGCCTGACATGGACTTGATATCACAGCCCAGTCTCTGATGGCTGCGCTGCGAAAGCGCACCTCAAGATCGATCGAGCTTATTACTAGCACGTATATCCTCCTTCCATCACTGTGTATGTGTGTGTGTATCCGTAGTAGCAGGCGGGTTGGTAGTGGCGCTGCGCGTTGCTGTACTCGATGCAGCTGCAAGCCAGGAACAGGATATATGGACAACGCGCACCCACGCGGTGAGGACGTGTCGGAAAGCCCGGGGAAAGGCGGCAAAGGGAAGGAAAGAGAAAAGGAGGACAAGACGAGATGGGCGATGTCGTAGAAAGCGCCCTGCTCGCACAGATGGGGGTGGTGTTGAGTAAGGGCTGTCGTTCAGGAATCTGAGGTTCCAAGGTGAGGCACTGCGGATCCTGGCCTAGCGTCTTTTCGCGGGAAAAGGAGAGTGCTTCTCTCTCACTCATCCGCCAACCATCCCTCTGACACTCAACAATCTTCTTGCAATGCGCTCACTAAGATTGCCCAATGTGGTCGCATAATCTCCTGCATCACCTCCTGCATACAAATGCCGCCCCGAGGTTGACTCTCGCACGCGCGCACCCAGCTTGGTCCATACCGCATCCCGCATAGTCTTTCAGCCCCAGCGTCATCGCGATCGCCTTGCCTGCCACGCACCCACGCTAGCCTACTGTAGTGGTATAAAGACCGGCATGGTGCAGACACGAGTAGACAGCAGCATACGATTGAGCATACATGGACAAATAGCACAAGGAAGCAGTCATCACCTCCTTGCATGAACGCTGGTGGATTGTAGAAAGAGTGTGCGTGGTGCCCAAGCCCATAGCCCTGTGATTCGCTTTTTGAGCATAAATTCTTTCTGCGACAACTATACACGTTCCTAGACCTCATTTCAGTAATGGGCCGAATACATTTACATCCCGTGTCTTCGCAATAAGCCATCCTAGTCCACGAACTTGCCATCAACCCACCCCCGTCTCTTGACTCCCAACTCCACCGCCGCACTCCCCCAATCCTCGCCATGGTTGTGTCCGCTCTTGCCATCCTGACCACCAATGCCTGCGCGCATAAGTCCTTGCTCATCGCTCAACAACGTCAGCAGCCCGAAGATTACAGGTACGTTGTTGTCGAGTTGCAAGCGCATGAGTCCATGGCTCACAGCCTCTGAAATGTACTCAAAGTGCATCGTCTCTCCTTTGATCAGCACACCAATGGCGATTATCGCATCAAAGGGCGAGTTGGACGTCTTGGATTGTGAGGCTTGTCCGGTGAGGGCTGTGAGGTCGGAGGCCGAGCCCAGGAGGTCTGCTGCTGCGCCTACGACGCCTGTGGAAGAGGACTGGATTTGCGAGGCCGAGTATAATCTGCAGAGGTTGTTTTAGCTCTTGTATCTTCTTGCTTGGAGCTCTCGAGTGGTTAGGCGTACTGCTTAACAGCGTAGGGTAGCTCGTAGCTCCCAGGCACGCTCTGTGTGACTATGTTCTCATCCTTGACTCCGGCCTCCTTGAGCTTCCTCTTTGTTCCCTCAAGCAGCGCATCAATAATCTTGGTGTTCCAGCGTGCGTGGACGATGCCGATGCGAAGCCCAGAGCCTTTGTAGCTTGTGTCAGTCACTCTGTTGGCTGTGGTGGGGGCGGGGTTAATGGGAGCTCGCTTGCTTACATACCATCGTACGTCTTGGGGGCGCCGGGGCCTTTGATGCCTGACATGTTGCCGGTCGGTGTGTGGAAATGTGTAGTTACGATTCAGAAGGTACGATGGGAGGGTGGAGTAGGTGTGATCAAGGTAGTGCGGGTATCGTGGGTGAGTGGGCTGAAGAATGCAGGAACAAGACGCTGAGCACACCACTTTGGGAGCCGCCCCGCAACCGAAAGGCAGGGATCCCGCATCGTGCAATGGTGTCATCGGGAGCAGGGGTAAGCTATCGCGAAACACCACGCGTTGATTACAATTTCACCATGACATACTCACGACTCAAGACATAGATGATAGTTAAAGAGATTTTGTTCATTCAATCAGACTAGCTATCAGAGCGCGCAAATCGCATCGCTCCATGTTCTAGATATCGTAAAAGTTCCCGTGCCATACACATAAGCTACATCCAAGAGCTTTCGTTCGTAAATCAAACCCAGATCAGACCCAGCTTCTCTTTCCCAGAGAACGCCAAATCTATAATACATCTACTCGACAGTGACCGACTTGGCCAAGTTACGGGGCATGTCAACGTTGACACCCTCGGCAACGGCCATCCAGTAGGACATGAGTTGCAGAGGAACGACGTTGATGAGACCCTGGAGAACGTCGACGTTCTTGGGCACCTCAATCTTGTCCGTCTTGTCGGTAGGGAACTCGGGGTCGTTCTCGTTGCAGATGATGATTGGTCGTCCGCTACGGGCAATGACCTGTTGGTAGGCGTTGAGCGACTTGGCGAAGATGTCGTCACGGGTAAGGATCATGACAATAGGAAGGTTCTCGTCAACCAGAGCCAAGACACCGTGCTTGAGCTCACCGGACATGACAGCCTCGCAGTGGAGGTACGAGATTTCCTTGATCTTGAGAGCACCCTCGAGTGCGGTGGCGTGCTGGGAGCCACGACCAAGGAGCAACAGAGACTTCTGGTTCTTGAACCTCTCGCAGAGCTTCTTGATGGGCTGGTCGAGCTTGAGCACCTCCTTGAACTGGTCTGAGATCTTGGTGAGACCCTCGATGATCTCCTCCCGCCTCTTCTGCTTGGATGCACGGTCCTCGGAAAGAGAGAGCGCGAACATGACCATGCAGACGAATTGCGAGGTGTAGGCCTTGGTGGAGGCGACACCGATCTCGGGACCGGCGTTGATGTGAACACCGCAGTGGGTGAGGAGAGAGATGGAAGAACCGACAGTGTTGACGATACCAACAGTCAAAGCACCACGCTCCAAGCAGTAGCGGAGAGCACCGAGGGAGTCGGCAGTCTCACCGGATTGCGAAACGAACACGCAGGTGTCGTCACGGAAGACTGGTGCTTGACGGTCAAGGAAGTCGGAGGCCAGCTCGACGGCAATGGGGATCTCGGTAAGCTCCTCGAAGATACCACGGACAGCCATGCACGAGTGGTAGGAAGTACCACAAGCGACGAAGATGATTCTCCTGCATCGGCGGATGGTAGAGAGGTATTGGCGGAGACCACCAAGAGTGACGGTCTTGTTGACGGCATCGAGACGACCACGCATAGCGTTGACGACGGACTCTGGCTGCTCGAAAATCTCCTTCTGCATGAAGTGGTCGAAGCGGCCCTTCATGATCTCTTGGAGCTGAATCTCAAGAGTCTGGATGGTACGGACGTTGGACGAGCCGTCATCCTTGTGCAGACGGTGGATGTTCAGCGAACCCTCGTGGATGTGTGCAATGTCGTCGTCCTCAAGGTACAGAACCTTCTTGGTGTGCTCGACGATGGAGGAGGGGTCGGAGGAGAGGAAGAACTCGGTGGGCATCGGGACGCCGTCGTCGGAGAGGAAAGCGCGAGATTGCGAGCGGTGGAGGAGCGACTTGTCAGGGGGAGCAAGGAGGGTGTTGCCCTTCTTCAGAGCAACGTTGTGTGAAGCGCTCTCAGCGGGGAGAGCAGCACCCTCGTCGTTGTACTCGACGTCGACGAAGTCAACCTTCATCTTCTTCTGTGTTCGGACACCGATGACGAGGGGAGAACCCTTGCGGGCAGCAACAACCTCGTGGGGGTAGTGGACGGACTTCAGGAGAAGACCGAAAGCACCCTGGAGCTCCTTGATGACGGCCTTGACGAGCGAGGGGAAGCTCAGGTCGGGGTGCTCGCTGTAGATGTACTTTGTGAGCTTGGCAATGGCCTCGGTGTCGGTCTCAGTCTCGAACTTGAAGCCCTTGCTCTCGAGCAGGGTCTTGAGCTCCTTGTAGTTTGTGATGATTCCATTGTGGACGACGGAGAACTCCCAGTTAGGGTCGGACCTGCGGTTGTCAGTATTCAAGCCGTCGACAGATGGTGGATATGACATACCTGTGGGGATGGCAGTTGACACGCGAGGGGGGACCGTGGGTGGCCCATCGGGTGTGGGCAATACCAGCGTGGCTGTCAAAGACCTTGTTGAGGTCGAAGTTCTGCTCCTCGACGAGCTTCTTCAGCGACGCGACCTTGCCGACCTCCTTGACTGCGTAGACCTCGTTCTTCTTGTCACCGTCAATGGCAAGACCGGCCGAGTCGTAACCGCGGTACTCTAGACGTTGCAGACCTGGCGAGGAGACGTGTTAGTGATCGCCGTTCAGCCCCACCAAACCACTTCCGATTCCGTGGAACGCGCGTCTGGGGAAGGGATTGCTCGAGAGCTTACCATTGATCAGTGTGTCGAGAATGTACTTCCTGTCCTTCTCCACCAGGTAGTTGATGTAACCGAAGATACCGCTGTAAACACAGTCGTCAGCTTGAGCTCCCCGTAGCTTCGACAGCTTCCCATGGTGGGGCGGCGGGGACTTACCACATGGCGACGAAACGAAAGTTAGGGTCCTAAATATGAATGGAAGCGATTGTAAGGCAGTCGGTGTCAATTGGTGGACGGGAGAAGGTATGGGTGCGAGGGGAAGCAGACAGGTGTGTGAGCAGAGAAAGAGCGGTGGTGTGTTTGACTTATATCTTCCAGAGCCAAGCACTGAGCATGCCCCAGCGACGCCCTTCTCCACTCGACCTTGTCTAGCCTCGCCAATGCAGCGTATCGCAGTCATCTGTGACGCCGCTCTACCACCCTTGAATCTGCCTGCTTGTCGTCCCTGCGACTCGCGACTACGGCCTTTTCGTCGACACGCCCATGCATCCCACTGCCCGTCCCTCGTCGTCCCCTATTTCGTCATGTCTCTCGGAATCATCCTTGTCCATCGGCTTCCGCGATGAATGCAGCCAGTAGTCTCCGTTGCTGTTCCTGACCTGATCGCCCGCTATACATCGTTTCTCAGGGACCAAGAGGCGCAGCACCTCCAAAATAGCAACGCTAGACCCGTTCCTATACTATTTTCATGTCAAGATGCCAGAATCTTTCTCCTCTCAATGCTACAGTACGGCCACTATGCCTCTCGTGTCCTGACGGGCGCCGCCATCGCCGTACTGGAGGCGTTCAGGTGTTCTAATGATTATGCTTATGGATTTGTTTCTAATTCTGCTCTCATCATTCAATACCGCGGATTCGCTACGTCAGCGCGGGTACGGCTCCCAATTTGGAATTATCGCCGTGCGTCACTACTTGACGTCTGTAAACTCTGTTTGAGGATCTTCTGCCACAGGGTCGGCAGCAGCAGCTTGAAGAAAACCGACAAGGCAAAACAAAATATGGGATATGGGTGGAACCCAGTCGCTAGCTGCACCATCCGTCCCACTAACGGCGGAACTTTACCCGCAATGTGCTCCCCACCGTGTAATGTGTCTCAATCAGACGGTGAGAAGCAACATGCCGTCTGGCTTCGCAAGTCTGCATCTCACGCAAGAGCGGCAGCAATGCACACCTCGAAGGAGCCAGAGAAAGCTTTTGAGCTGCTGTGGCTGACGCTGTGAACGAATCACACACTGTAATCACAAACGTGTAGGATCAAGCTGAGACTTCGGGGCGTGTACACTTGCTCAACTGGAATGGCGGGGAGTGGAACAACGGTGAGCACCTTGTGGCTGCTACGCGCTTGTTCCGCTCTGGCAAAAGCTTATTCTACCTACCTGCATGTGTGAGCTCAGCTATAGGAAAGCGTGCCGACGACAACGCTTTGCCTGCGTCCGTTGGGAACGTCTGGATGCCTTAGCAGTTCGATTCTCTTGACCGCCTCCAAATTGCCATCCATCCCACAACAGACGGCATCTGAAACCCCACCACCACAAGTGGCGTATACGAGCATCAGCCGCACATGCACGCCTTGACACCAGTTATGCCGTTGCATTTGTGCCGATTCCTGATTCCGGTGTTTCCGCGCCCTGCATGTACATCTCTCGTATCCTACTCGCCAAATGTTTTGCGCGAGTATTGAATCGCCTCGTATCTGAGCCCTGGTCACCAGCTAGGTATCCGCTGCATCTTCGGAGAAATATTGACACTATTCGCCCTACGCCGTTTCAGATGCTATCCGCCGTCTTGATGCCAGACGGATGCATACAACACGATAACACAGCACATGTCATGTACTCACAACTATGTCACGCTGCAGCTGCGGTCGAAAAGCAAAGAAGAGACTAGTCTGGTTCTACATTGATACAACGGATAGACCTGAGCCTCGTCGCTTCTATTCATCCGGATATGCGCGTGTGATAGATCGCTTTCCAAGTACACCCTAAACCCCAGCCTGCGTAGCGCCACTTCTATGACGAGGTACACCCAAAGATTGATGCTTATGTACATCGCTAAAATGCTATATGGAATGCGAAACAAGAGATGAGTCAATTTGCGAGTAGGAGACATCGACTACCGACCGTCGCAGTAGCCAGGCGCTTTAGGACCACCACCGTGGATCCAGCTTTGGATAGTGAGAGTTGTTGTATACACCATGCCAACTGCACCGATAATGCAGAGTGTTACGTCCAGCACACGTGCAGTTGTTGTTCGTGCGACAGCACGGTAGTGAAGCAAAGGCTGAATTTCGTTAGCAGTGAGTTGACAAGAAGCGGGGGAGATTCTTACAGGATAGATGAAGACCAGCGGAATACAGGCAAAGCTGCCTACTAAACTGACAAACTTGTCCAGATCGCCCGCACCGGCCCAGGCAAGACAGGCGCACACCAAGACCACGAAGAAGCGGAAGAAGTTTTTCTTCCACTTGACGTACGGATTGTACTTGCCTGTCCTGCTAAACAGCTGCTGGCTAGTGATCTCGATTGCAGGGTAGATCTGCAGCGGAGTGGATAGCAAGATGGCGAGTGAGTAAATGAACTGGACACCATTGACGAATTTGTTATCCTGAGGCATGTTGAGAAGTACCACAGTCTTGGTTTTGGATCCAAACGCCGCGTAGGACAGGGCACCAGCGCTGAGGAAGATGACAGTGATGATGATCATGACACCTCCCAAGACCTTGGGGAACTTCTTTGGATCCTTCATGCCCGTCTGGATGGGGATGATAAGACCAATACCTTCGAAAGTGAAGATGGCAGTGCCAATGAAGAGAGTCCAATCCTTGGCGTTGAAATTGACGATATCGGAAATGCCGCCCTGGTCGACGATGGTGAAGAGGTCATAGTAGTACAGATATACAAGACCCATGAGAATGAAGAGATCTGCTACCAATGCGAGCTTCTGAATGTTGTTGATGTTGCGATAGAGCGACAACGGCAAGAAGATGACCATCTGCATCATAATCATGTACTTGATGTCGATGAAGGTCTTGCAGTTGGACACTGCGAGAACAAAAGCTTGCAGATTCTCAGAAACGAAGACAATATAGGCGGATGAGAAGCCTATTTGCGAGACGACAAGAGAGGAGTTGATCATGTTGCGCATCCAGTTTCCATAGAGATGGAAGCCCATGTCACCAAATGAGTGCTCCACCACGAGGCGGGTGGAAACAAGCAAGACGAAACAGGCATAGGAGAGTCCTGCCACAGCAAGAAGGACCAGGTTCGAAAAGGCCATACCGCCGTTGAGGAAGGCTCTAGGAAGGAATAAGACACCCGTGCCAACGAAGGATTTGAGGAGCAGCATGGCTGCACCTGTAGGGCTGCCGGTGCCTGTCTTCTTCGCCTTACGCTTCCTCCGTTTTCCAGGAGTGAGCAGTGCGCTCGACTCGCCATACTCGCGGTCTTCATCCTCGCTTTGTGCACCGGAATCGAGTGCATCAGAGGAGAAGTATTCGTCTGGGCCCAGGACCTCATCGTCTTCTTCAAGAGACTCACCAGCGAAGTGGCCGTACAGAGTCAGAAACTCGAGGAAATTGCTCGTAAAGACTTGAGGCGGCTGGCGCGGCTGGCGAACTGTTCCGTATCCAGATGGGCCCGGACCAGGCGAGGGACTATCGGCCGCCCGACGCAGGTAGTTTCGTCTGAAGCCGCCTGGCTGCCGGATGGAATCAATGTCTAGTGCCTCGTCCTCAGGCTTGCGCCGAGATCCATGGAAGCTCTTGCTACGCTGCAACTTTCCCTGTTCTTCAGCTTGTTGCTGCTCACTCCATCTGTAAATCTGCCGCGTGATGTCACCTCCTTGAAGCTGCAAGCTCGAGAACTGCTCTTCGTCTTCTTCGGGCCTCATTCCGGTTGACTGGGCGTCATCCTCGCCTATGTGTCCGCGATTTGATCTGCTTGGTGAGGCATAGTGACCTACCAGATGTCGGCGCACGATCTCGGCATCTTCATAAGGTACTGGAGAGCGACCTCGGCCATCAAAGGAACCGTAATCACTAGGTGGGACACGAGGAGGCGCCTCTTGGGCGGGTGAGAGCGGGCGGATTGGAGGTGGGCCGAATCGTGGGGGTGAATTGCCCAGAGACTCTTTCAAAGCCGAAGAGAGGTTTGACTCGGATGGGCCGGGCAGCGACGATTGTGGATCTGCGCGTCCGGGCAGAGGAGTCTGTATCGACGACGAGTTGGCTGTTTGGGAAGGTGTGGGTATTTGGCGTACGGCAGGTGTACCGCTGGGTAGGGAAGGAATGGGCGAGCCCAGTCGCGCGATAGAGCCTGCGCGAACAGACTGTGACGGAGAGCTTCCTCCAGAATCTCGCGACGACGGCACCGCCTGTGGATTCGTGGATGCCGAACGCTCACCCGGCATGTTGGGCTGCGTGTGCTGTTGAGCTCTGTGATAAGAAACGCGAGCTTCGGCTATCTGCGTCTAACGTCGCGACAGGATTCTTAGGGACGAAAATAAGCTATAGGGGTTGTGTAGATGGCAGCGTCAGTAGATGCATACCGCGAGGCTTCGAGATGCTACGCGATATGTATAGCAACAAGAGGAAGACGCGCAGAAGAAGCAACGAAAGCTGGGACGGGCTGCTTCGAGGCCTGTGCCGAGAGGTTGAGGTCATTCGTCGATTCGCCGGAGAGATGTGGCGCCCCACGCGCGGGATGACCATGTCACGCCGTTTTAAGCCCTGCATCTTTCCCTGTGAAGCGAGCGCTAAGCCGCTAAAGTGAAGCATAGCAGACGAGTTCATGTTGGCGATGTGTGTGCAGCGTCATCGCTCCTCGGTACTGTTTCCTTGTCACTTCTCCCAGCTGTCCTGTCCATGTCTCGCTCTCACAAACCAACATCCACAACCAGCTGGCGCATCCCGTGTGTACGGCTATACCGGAACCGCAGTGACACCTCGTGCCAGGAACATTGAACCAGGTTTGCAGATGCCGAGACCATGACCGATGCGGATGCGAACCAGACGGCCAGGCTCACCCTGCCGAGAACACGCTCCAACTTTGCAACCCGCACAGCACGAGATGATAGTGAACGGTTGCACAGGCGCTCCTTCGTACAGCATTCACCGCCACCCGATGAGGAAACACCACTTCTGCCAGGCAGTGGACGCCAGCATCCAGATAATGCCAACATCCTGGATGGCACTGAAGAGACAGGAAACACTCGAGAGGGTATGAGCAGCTGGTTCTCAAGCTTCCTTCACACTTCGCGATCCATCTTGCGGAAGGATCACAGTAATGACAGCAAACGACATGCAGTCAGCGAAACTGCCAAACCAAGGCCTGGTGCTTTCCCCAGACCCGTTGGAGGTACCGACAAACTAGGCACCTTTGCTGGAGTCTTCGTGCCCGTGACTCTCAACGTCTTATCTATTCTAATGTTTCTACGATTTGGCTTCCTCCTTGGTCAAGCTGGCTTAATCGGTATGATGGGCATGCTGTTAGCGGCCTATGCCATCAATCTCCTGACGACATTGAGTATCTCTGCTGTTGCTACAAACGGCACAGTTAGAGGGGGTGGCGGTAAGTTCAACTCTGGACACTTTCTTTTTGTCTGAACTAACACAGGATGCAGCATATTATCTCATTTCCAGAAGCTTGGGACCTGAGTTCGGTGGATCGATAGGTATCGTCTACTATCTTGGCTCAGTATTTAATACCTCCCTAAACGCTGTTGGTCTCATCGACTGTCTCATCGAAAACTTCGGCAGCCACGGAGGTGACATGGCAGAATGGCTCCCCCAAAGCTATTGGTGGCAGTTCCTTTGGGCCACCTTAGTTCTAGCAGTTTGCACACTGATCTGTCTTGCTGGAAGCGGACTCTTTGCCCGTTGCAGCAATGGTCTGCTCCTTGTTCTGCTAGTTGCAACGATCAGCATCCCTCTTTCAGCTGTTGTTAGGCCTCCTTTCACAAATCCGAAGGAGGAAATTGTGTTCACAGGCCTCAGCATGGACACTTTCCGTCAAAACTTGCTACCACACTTCACGCGAGGCGCCGCTGGAAGTGTTGGTCATCACCGCGAAAATTTCCAAGATCTTTTTGGTATTCTTTTCCCAGCCACAGGAGGCATTCTTGCCGGCGCAAGCATGAGTGGGGATCTCAAACATCCAAGCAAAGCCATTCCAAAGGGGACACTATATGGTATAGGTCTAACCTTCATCCTGTACACACTCGTCATATTTGCGATGGCGGCATCGATAGCACGCGAAACCTTCTACAACAACACAAATGTCATCCAGCTGACCAACATCTCCGGCGCGGTCGTACTTGCTGGCGAGATGGCAACATCACTGTTCTCGGTGCTCATGGGTGTTATTGGCTCCGCCAAACTTCTCCAGGCTCTTGCTCGCGACCATTTGATCCCGGGACTTTCTCTCTTTGGTCAGGGAACAAAGAAATCGGACGAGCCGATCTACGCCATCATCATCACTTTCATCATTGCCCAAATCACAATGTTTGCCGATATCAACCAAATCGCTTCGTTCATTACAATGACGTATCTCATGACGTTTCTAGTCACCAACTTGGCCTGTTTCTTACTCAAGATCGGATCTGCTCCGAACTTCCGGCCCTCATTTCACTATTTCAATTGGCCCACAGCTTTGATTGGGACTGTCGCATGCGGAGCGACCATGTTCTTCGTCGACGGCTTCTATGCATCTGGCTGTGTAGCTCTGCTTATGATCATCTTCCTGCTGATTCACTATACCACACCTCCTAAGCCATGGGGTGATGTCAGTCAAGGTCTCATCTATCACCAGGTGCGAAAATACCTGCTGCGCCTACGCCAAGAGCATGTCAAGTTCTGGAGACCCCAGATCCTGCTTCTTGTCAATGACCCGCGGCGACAGTACAAGCTGATTCAATTTTGCAATTCGTTGAAAAAGGGAGGCCTTTTTGTCCTCGGGCATGTCATTGTCTCTAACGACTTTGGTGAAGCTGTGCCAGAGGCTAGACGACAGCAACAATCTTGGACGAAATACATAGACTTTTCCAGGATCAAAGCGTTTGTAAACATCGCTATATCTCCTTCTGTAGAGTGGGGCGCTCGCAATCTCGTACTCGGTGCAGGACTGGGTGGAATGCGACCAAACATAGTTGTCATGGGCTTCTACAATTTACCTGAGCTGAGGCAAGCGCAGCCTTCAATTGGCATACCTTCGCCGCAGCCATCACGCCCGTCTAGCAAGGCTGCAAATCATCCTGTCTCCCGAAAAGCGATTCAAGCAGCAGCCAGGCGACGCGTCACAGGAAATACTCACAGTATGCTTCCTACAGACGCCATGAAGCCGGAGAGTGCAGTTGCCATACGCAGCTACGTGACCGTAATCGAAGATCTGATTCTGCGGTTGCAGGCAAACGTCGCTATAGGCAAGGGTTTTCAAGAACTCGAAGTGCCACCTGCAAAGCCTACCGCAAAACAAAAAGCATTCAGTTTCATGGGTCTCAGCGATATCGAGATCGAGGATCCCTCAAAGAAGTACATTGATCTGTGGCCGATACAGATGTCAGCTGAGATCGCTACCGCTGGCGACGAACCAGTTCGCAAAAATGTGCTGACAACTAATTTCGACACGTACACGCTGATTCTCCAGCTCGGATGTATCTTACATACGGTGCCTTCTTGGAAACGCATGTACAAGTTGAGAGTCTGCGTCTTTGTTGAGTATGAAACGGATGTAGAAGAAGAGCGCGATCGCGTCACGACACTGCTACGTAACCTGCGCATTGGTAAGTCTTCCTATACGAATTGCATTTGAGACATGTACTGACTTTCTACACTCGAATTTAGAGGCTGAAGTACATGTCTTCTGGTTATCATCTGGTGACTTGAGCATGTACGAAGTCATTATCAACGGAAGAGACGATGGTGAACTTGACCAGACTGGTCGTGATATCGACTATTCGCTGGAAGACGAGCGCTGGTGGCAAGACATCAAACGTCTGCGTCAACCCGAAAGCATGAGCGCTAGTCAGGAATTAGCACAGACTGTTGACATCCTTGAAGCTGTCACCAACTGGCCTATCGCCTCATTTCAACATGGCAGGCAAGAGACAAATCCAAAGCGCTTCTCAGCACTACGGAAGATGCTACGTAAGGCCAAAAGTAGGACGTCGGTCAGCAATCTTGGCGATGGGACGAGAATCAAAATACAAAGCCAAAGAATACCTGTCGAGCTACTGGATGATAGCGATAGCGACACTCAGCCATCTTCAGCCGGCAGAGGGGAGGATGATGCCGATGACGAAGCAATGGCGTCAGATAGTGAGGCTGTCGTCAGCGGCAGCAACTTTGACGAATACGATCTGGATGCATCGAGTGATGAGAGCGATCACAACGGGCAGAGGATGTCTCCAAGAAGACGAAAGACGGCACCAAGTAGCTCTTTCTTCACCAGGCAGCTAGATCTTCGCAAAACCATGTGGAAGAGCTCGCGCAAAGACAGTAATTCGCAAAAAGATGATAGGCCAACCACACATTCTGTAACACCACTCAGGCCGCATCCAGACGCCGCCGCCTCTGATACGGCCGTGTTGCGTGCTAGAAAGCAATCCAAATCTCAGAGTGTAGCCAGTTCATCCTCGCAACGCTCTGCGAAATCCTTTGTCAAACCATCTCCGATACGCCGGCAATCTCTACCAAAATTCACGTCAAACCCGACTCCCCGGACGGCGATCTCCTCAGAAGAAACAACTGGCCCGTCAATAACATTTGTCGACACGCCCAAGCCCAGCACAGCTGACAAACAAGACCCCATCATGACCTCCGGCGAACCCACCCAGCTCGCTGCAGACAACACGCCAGCCACATCTAGTCCCCACTCGGCCGCTGCGTCATCATCAAACCTTGGGCCCACTGACACCGGTACCGCTTCCCCAGCATCTGGTTTCCCCGCCCAACAAGCTATTCCTCTTTCCTTCAACGACCTGCCTTGTCGCGCTCAACATCTTATCTTGAACGAGCTCATACGCCAGCATTCCGAGGATACGGCTGTAGTGTTTACGACGCTACCCAGTCCAATGGAGGGCACGTGCGAGAGTGAGGCTGAGAGTGTCAAGTATATTAGTGACCTGGAGGTGTTATGTCAGGGGTTGCCACCTGTGCTGTTAGTACATAGTAACAGTATGACTGTTACTATGAACCTGTAGAAAGGAGGGAGGTATATGGATGGTGGATGGTGGATTGAAGGACAAGATGGAACATGAATATGAAAGTTTACCGCATTACTCAGATTGATACGATATGATCAAGTCGCAAGAACAGGGTGGTATCATTAATGCTACAACTGCAACTGTGTTCTACTCGCTATCATCTTCACTACTCGACGCACTTCCATCCTTCTCGATGACCTCCTCCTCCTCCTCTGCATCAGGCTTGCCAGTCATGGAGAAAGCCTTCAAGCATGTGATTCTGGTGCCTGTGGAATACGACCCAAGCAGTTTGCCAACCTGAACTGCAGTGAAGCCCTTTGCCTTGCCCGCATCGTCACTCTTCAGTTCATCCGTACTCAAGAACCAAAAGCGCACTGTGCCGTCGCTGCTACCAGTGACGATAAGGAAGCTTGTTTGCGAGAGAGATACGATTTCGAAGTCCTTGACACGATTCGTCATGCCTGCAGCTGGGCCACCAATTTGAGCGACTAATCTGGCAGCTGGCACATCGTCCTTGTTCTTTTCTGATGTTTCGGTTGGTATTGTGGTGGCTGTATCGTAGAGAAGTACGCGGCCATCTTCTGTGGACACTAGTAGCGTGGCCTGATGCGACTCCGACGGCAAGTAGTGCATTTGATGGATTTTTGTCCTCGGGGTTGGTGCAATCTTTGCTTTTGGCTTGGATTCAATGTTGAAAACAACGATACCGCGTTCAAAGCCCACTGCAAATTCTTCGCCTTCCTTATCCCAGATTACCCTCCTGCCCTCGCCGGACGCAAAGCGCCCTTCGCCTACTGCGGCCAGGATGTTGCGGTCAAAGTTTAACACGCCGGCTTTCTTTCCCGTTACGAGGTTCCAGAGCCGCATACACTTTTCGCCCTTGCCTACGCTGAGCATAAGCTTCATGCTGGGGTGCACGGCGAAATCATTGATTCCAGAAGGCACTTCGCCGGGTCCGGCTGTGTCTCCGCTTGGTCGGCCCTGAGGTTTCGGTATCGGTGCTTTGATGGTTGAAAGTGCGGTCCAATCGCGCGTTCTTGTGATAGCGATTGTGCTGTCTTCTGCGGAGCTTAGAAGCTTTGCCCTCGTGGGGAAGTAGAGGGCTGTGATATTTGATGAATGATGAAGTAATGAGCCGAGTTCCTTGTTCTTGGGGTTCTCGGTGATGGAGCCGCCATGTAGAGAAGGCAGCTTTGGTCTGAGCTTGGAGGCGACAGGTGGTGCTGTTGAGATGGAATACAGGTTGATGCGCTCGTCAGTGCTGCCTGTGGCCAGTGTGATTTTAGATGTCTCATTTGAAAGAGGAGACAGAGCAAGGCAGCGGATGGAAGACGCATGGGCGTTGAAAAGGAATGTGTCGGTAAAATCCACTTTTGACCTGTCTGCCTCAGGTGTCGATGCATCGTCTTGTCCAGTGAAGAGACTGCTGGGAAGAGCAGCTGCGAATCCATGTAGAACCCTCTCGTAGGAGCCAGTTATGACTTGGACAGTCGTGACATCGGGAACGGCATCTTCGACTTCTGTTGTGGAATCGATTTGAAGTTTGCTCATACTCACGTCCATCTTCCCGTTGGCTGCAGCTTCCTTGCTCTTGCGGATCGCATTTTCCTTGGTTGCCGGCTGCTTTGGGGTTGAGGCAACTGCTTCCTTTGTGCTTTTCAGCGCCTTTGCCTTTGCGGCGCTCTCGGCGGCTTCTCTCTTCCTCTTTGGTGGCATTCTGACGATTGGCTGTTGTTTTATTCAGTTGTCGCGTCTTTGGAGATCCAGAAGTTTTTGATGCAGACGGCAGGACTAGGCCGGGTGGAGCTAGTCCCCAATGTTGGCCCAATGAACCCAGACTAGGCAGGGCTTATCACGGCCATCCCTGTATGCGGCGTGCGCAGCCCTTCCCTCACGTTCTCGCAAGTCCCGCCCATCAGTTCAGCATATCGCAAAACACATTTCCATCAACGAACGCGTCCAACATCCCCCATAATTCATCACAACGGCGGCACTCGTGGATAACGGATGTCGGCCACCGTTCGTCGGTCTTCATATGTCCCTCGACAGTTTACGGGAAACCTTACGCCAGGAGAAGACAAATGAAGCCGCGTAAGTCAAAGTCGACGACTATCCATCGCGTTTGCAGTTTGATCGATCAGTTCGACTAAATGCAGCCATGCGACACGGAAAAATCGCTCGTTTTGTTTTGTTGACGCGTTGTGGTGGTGCTAATGATATGTCCCCAGACTCACATCCGCAACATTGGAGCGCCATCTCCGGGCACTCTGGAAGGTCACGGGCTGCTGCAATGCCGCTCTGAACGGCCACCAGCCAAGGGCAGACGACTTCGTCTATGGCGAACCTGACGAGGACGAACGTCGTTTTCTTGACGAAAATGACATCTCACAGTAAGATACACCGCGCCCAGACACTGCAGACATATCCACTCCCAGTGTTGGTGTTGTTGTCGTCGTCGTTCGTTCCACTAACACGGTCGCGTCTACAGAGGTCGACGCTTCAACGATGCAACACTGCCCTTCCCAGTGGCCGTTACTGACCATCAGCCACCACTCCCTGCCACCCTGCCATTCCAGAACGCAACCAAGTCCTTCATCAAGTCGTCACCATCCCCAGTTGTCGGCACCCCAAGCCTCGAGGATCAACTTCGCGTCGCCTCTGCTTCGCCGTCTGTTGCGACGCAAACCTTACCGTCCGTCGAACCATCACTGCAAAGTGATACCATTCATGTCACCCCTAGCGTCAAGGATGCCTCGCGTGCTGCATCCCCTACGGTGGAAGACGAGGTAGCTAACCAGACTCCGTTTGAAGCAGCCCCTGCAGTTCAGGCTGTAGGAAGCCAGGATGACCTCCCCGCCGACACATCTACGGTTGACCCTAGTGCTATTGCATCGCCAACTACTGAAGACACGAACGCTGCTGCGATGGAAGACACGACGGATGTCAAACCAAAGCCATCAAAGGTCGTGCATCTACCACCAAAAGAGGTTCAAGAGGCTAGGCTGCAGGAGACGGAACAGAAGTTGGACAAGGCTGCAGAGAAAGAGCGAAGAGAAGAGGAACGACTTACCATTCCACCTACGAACGCGTCCGTCGATGTTTCCTCCCCATCGTCAACCGTCGGGCCTTACTCTCAAGCGACACCACATGCGCAACACCATTCGCCTGATACTAGTCCTGACTCCGAGACTTACAGAGAGCGCAACAATGTACCATTGCCAAACGACGATGTCCTTGACCCCGCCGCGCAGCAAGTAAAGGATGACCACGAGCGTGCCTTACAGAAGCGAATGAAGGAGGCGAGGGAAAACGCCCGAGTAAGAGAAGAAGACTCCCCTACACCCGATATCGAGAAACAGATCGAGGACGAACAGGCAATACGTTTAGCTCGCGACGGGAAGAGTCGCCTAAGCGAGTCACAGCCTGCCGGAGATGCACATTCCTTGACGGAGGGTGTGGATGATGCTCCACCTGGGACAAAAACAGAAGGGGATGATGCTGTTGGGATAAAGACTGGTCATGATGTTGCGGTTGACTCGTTACCAACGCCAACCACAGTTGCTGCGGAGCCTCCAACCATGGATCGCGATAACGCCGACCAAGCCATTAACCAACAACGTACATCTCCTACTGCCGACCACCCAACCCCCCCTGCTGATACTGATATCGAAATGCGCGACGTACCCTCCCTGGATGCACAGTCCACGACCTCACCGCAACCTTCAATGCCCAATCCCGAGCGAATGACCACCCGTGTTGCTTCTGGCGCAATCCGACAGAAGTCTGTCTCTGAGATCATCGCCGAGAAGGCGGCTCCCAAGACCATGCTAACTCCTCGCTCAAGCAACCTCTCGGCATCTACTAGTCCTCCACGACCGCGAACTGCTCGTCGGAAATCTCAAGAGATCTCGACCGTCGTATTCGCTAAGAAGACACCGACCAAGGCATCGAAAGCTCTGCAATCCTACAATGAAGACTATGCTTCGCTTCAAGGTGCTTCGGAAGACTCTAGTCGAGATTATCTGGAAGGCCTCTTCAAGTATCAGGCTCACCACCCACCTAGGTCCGTGCCTTTGCAGGAACTTGTGGCATCTGCAAGGAAGACAGTATCGACCGCTGGCACGCTTGCTATGATTCGGGAGCACCAAGACTACAAGATCCTGAAGAGAGTGTACCAGTTGCAAAATGCTAACCGCTGGTCTTTACGGCAACTCCAAAAGGCAGTCGAACCCGAGCGTCCATTTACCCATCAGGATCAAGTACTCCTTGAAATGAAATGGATGCAGACGGACTTCAAAGAGGAGAGGAAATGGAAAAAGGCTCTCGCTGCTACCTTTGCAGAATGGTGTGCCGAGTACGTAAGCAGTACGTCTGAAGAGCAAGCAGCATTACGGGTCAACACCTATATTCCGAAGGGTGCCAGACGTGTAAGCAGCGATGAGGATATGAACGACGCTCCCACGCCAGATCTCGTCCATTCTAGCACGCATGAGACCGAAAGTGAGTCATACGGTGATGAGGACGATGTCCTTACTCCCGTTAATGCCACACCTCCTATAGGTCTGTTCTCTCTTGGATTCAACGACGTCGTCATGAAGATCGATCGCACACCAGCCAGTGATACCATGTTCCGAGAACTGCCTCTTTACGACCCGATGTTCGAAGGCTCTAGCGACACCAGCCCCTTCTCTCTATCGGAGCCACCAATCCTCCCCGTGTCCAAGTTCGTTACAGGAAAGCTCGTCTCTCAGATACGAGGTCCGCCTAAGAAGCGTAGCAGGTACGACTACGACTCCGAAGATGAGCCGTCTTCGCCACCTAGTCGATCTGGTACGTCTGCCGAGCATTCAATGCCATCCACACCTGGTCGTCGATTATTCTGTCGCAACGACTTGCCACCAGAGATGACCAATGTTGCCCTATTCAACGCCGAAAACAAGCATGTCCGCGACCGACTACAAGCAGCCCATCAATTCAGACCACCTACAGAATTCAACATGCCCACGATCGCCTTCTTCGAGAATCGCACGCCTTCTCAGTGGTTATGGGAAGAGGACCAAAAGCTACGGGCGTTGGTGAAAGAGTATACCTTCAACTGGTCTCTTGTTTCACAGCAACTGTCGTTACCTTCGATGTTTGTATCTGGGTCAGGTCGACGAACGCCATGGGAATGCTTCGAGCGCTGGGTACAATTGGAAGGTCTTCCCGCCGAGATGTCCAAAACACAGTACTTCCGGACCTACCAGAGCCGACTGGAGCAGGCCAACAAGACTGTATTTGCCCAGTTTCAAGCTCAACAGCAACAGCAGCAGCAACAAGGCCAGACTCCAGGTCAACCGCGTAGAAGACCTACAACCACGCCGATACGGGTGGAGAGAAGGAGAGAAAACCGTCATCTCGCCATTATTGATGGTATGCGCAAACTGGCTAGGAAACGCGAGTCTGCTGCCCACAAGCAAGCGGAATCTCAGAAGGCTGCTGCGCTTCGGAAAGCCCATGAGCCTGCGCCACCCAAGAACAATGTCCACACGCCGCAAGAATTCAGCCGTCTCAAGTGGGAACGCGAAGAGAAGCTCAAGCAGAGGCACATTGCGCAGGAGATGATGGCAAGGGTAAGTGATGGACAATTGAACCATTCGTTCATTTCTGACTTGAGACAGCAACAAATGGTGGCACGGCAGCAGGCCCAACTACAGGCGCAACCAGGAATGGCAAATGGTGTCAATCAGATGCAGCGTAACGGGACACCTGGAGGCACCAACAACGTTCCTCCACAAATGGCTAATCCGCCTTTACAACAGGGACAGAACGGCTCCGCGATGGGAGCGCGACCGCACCAGTCTCAACAGGGAATGCAAGCCAACTTCGCTAACGGAAATATGTCTGGCATGGCGATGGGCACACCGGGCGTTCCCCAAGCACAGATGCAAGGCAACATGCAGAACCCTCAGCGCATGGGCCCACCAGATCAGATGCGCATGGCTATGCAAAGGGGCCAATTTAACGCCACCCAACAACATCAGTTCCAGCTGCAACAGCAACAGATCAACATGGCTAGCAACCTTACACAGGGCATGGGCATGAACGGTATCCCTAACGCAAACATGATGGCACCCGTTCCCAACCAGAACGGCGGCGCCATGAACGGAAACATGAACAATTCCATGAAAGGGATGTCAAATGCTGCTGGATCTCCACGAATGAACCAGGGCAACGGAAACATGCAAACTCCTTCAAGACCGCTATCCAGCGGGCACATGCCTCAGCTACTGGCATTCCAGAACCAGTTAAAGGTACAGCATCCGGAATGGACCCCAGAACAGGTTACCAAACAGGCCTCCGACCACCTCACCCGTTACCTGGCTAAGCAACGTACGCAGGCAATGAGCGCAGCAGCTGGATCCCCAGGCATATCTCCGTCTCCACAGATACAGAACAATCAATATTTCCAACAGAACGGGGGCATGGCCAACGCTCCTCAAACAAACGCGGTACAGAATTATCAGGCCCAACTGGTCCAACAACAACGGCTGATGGCAAGACAACAGGGCGGTAGTCCTGGACTAAACGCGCGACCGCCTAGTCGGAGCGCCACGCCTCAGAATCCACAGATGCAACAAAGTCCGGGTATGCAGCAAGCGCAGATCAACCGGTCTTAGGAATTCTGATCGGCAGAAAGGGAGCCTCCGTGAGGCTCTGACACTGTTGCCTTGTATATAATTTTAATGTTCCTCCTTTAGCGGTATCCTTCTAGCGTGGGAGAAATCTGGCTTTTTTGCAATGCGGTGGGCGCACCCCATGAGGAAGCATGGTGTTTGTGGCGTTGAACGGCGCTCTCACAGTCGCTCTGGGAAGTGGTTGGTACGACGGGAAAAAACTCTTTGTGTCGCCTCTTGTGAGCGACACCCGTCCACGTCTTGGTGATGGACTTCTACACTAGCTATAGCTTTCTGAATATCATGCAACTCGAGCATAACATCGAGATACAAACACCACACCTTTGGAGCGCATCCTCATCTCATGTTATCGTCGTGACTTGTGTACCGTATAGGTAAGTCGAAGTACTGAAGAACCAAATTTTTCTTGCTAGATTTAGGACCGGATGCAACAATTTCAAAACCAAGTTGGTAGAGAACGATATTTCATTCAATCGACGCGCTTGACACAAGGTGCTGTGGGCGCGGACCCTACGGTGACTAAGCCACGCGAGGCTTTCGAATGTGGAAGGCGGTGGGTGAAGGCACAAAGAACGTCGCGCGCGCGGAAGTCCACCCTCACCTCCGCAACGCCTTCCCCAGCGGCTACCACACGCCATCACAACCACTCCAGACTCCCTCGGCCTCGATCGGACTGCGCTAATCGTTGCTTCTCTTGCTATTTGATTCTGATCACTTCCTTCTACAACCGCCGCGCATCTTCCTCACTTGCGACCGCAGCAGGTGTTCTCATATACGCAGGCAAGAGTAGATAGGCATCCAGAAAAGAAAGAGCAGGCATCATGAACGCGCCAGACAGGTATGTCCTGTCTTTCATAACTCACGTTCTATTTGCAAGGTGTTCTCTGTACGCGCAGTCCACAGTCCACAATGCCAGGCCACCGCGATCTCGATTGCGTACCCAAACGGTTTGTTCTGTCCTTTCATCACAAGCGGGTGAAAACAACAAGATGGTACACACTTGCATGAGCGCATGGCACTGGCACCTGATCACAAAGACCCGCTGCACCATATATATGCGCCCTCAAAAGTATGCGATACCGTGAGAGTCACTACTCTAGCCCGAAAGCCTCACAAGGAACGAACGGGATATACCTCATGATGAGTCGAAACCCAACGTCTTCCTTCTCACCAAAGATCGGACAACTCATCGAGCAAAACCCAAATTGTGGACTGCGCGACAGCTCAAAAAACAACCGCCATGTATCGCACAAAGCTGACCACGATGATGAATGTAGATTCGAGCTCTTCCTGCTAGACGAAGGTCAGCAAAAGGTTGAGGAGAAAGCAGAGACCCGTAAGTATAATACAACATCTCCCCACATCCGCCCCTCACAAGACTAACGCGCACCAGGCGTCCCGAACACCGCCGTCTTCACCTTCAACAAAGAAGACCACACCCTCGGCAACCTCCTCTCGCAGCGTCTCCTCAAGAACCCCGCCGTCATGTTCGCCGCGTACAAAGTCCCCCACCCACTCTTCGCTACCTTTGAACTCCGCGTCCAGACCGATGGCACCATTACACCCAAGGAAGCTGTTATGGCTACTTGTAAACTGGTTATCCAGGACTTGTCCAAATTGAACGAAAGCTTCCAGACTGAGTGGCTGGGCAAGAGGATTGTGTCCGAGGGTGAGGCGGAGAGGCAGCAGAGGGAGCAGAACAACTTCTAGAGCGTCCTTGGTTAGCTCCTACACCGCAGGGCTGAACGGAGTTTTTATGGGAATTGTGTTGTTGCATGTGTTAGGCGTCTGTTCCTTGAGACAAAGGACAAAATATGGCCTGTAATCACACTTGACGGGCTGGCGTTCACGGTTAATTGATATGACGATGTAAAAGAGTTCAACTTCGTCTCTTACATACCCGATAGAGCTGAGAAGGATTGAAATAATGTAAAACACGTGGCAGGATTTGTTGGCAACCAACGAACAATATCAAACTGCTCTCTGATAGTCAAGTCTTTCAACAATATCCATGGTACACATACATCAAAGCTAATCTAGTTCGTCATCCAGCTCTGACCAGCGTCCAAGTAGTGGCTTAGTAGAGAGCGCAACATCGTCCTTCGGCGCGACGCTGTTCTCATCACTAGCAGGCATGCTACTCGAAGCTTCTGAGACACCATTTGGCGCACCTTCGTCCTCGCCGCTGGCTGCCTTACTGTCCGAAGCTTCTCCTGTGTTCTTCGATATCCCTTCGTCTTCACTCATTGCAGCACTGTTGGCCCCGCTAACCTTCTCCTTCTGCTCCTCTTCCTCTTCAGCTTCCTCCCAATTTTCCGCAACCTCCTCAACAGGCTCTTTTTGTTTCTTCTTCTTGCTGCTCAAGCTCAGGACCGCAAAGCCACCCTTGTTACCGAATCCTGTAGTCTTCTGGATCTGGCGAAGCGGAACACCCTTTGAGGCTGCGACTTGACTCCAACCCGAGCCAGGACCTACGTCAGATTCCTTACGGAGGATATTGAGCGAAGAATCGAGACGTGCGAGCTGAACGTTTTTGCCGATACCTTGCGTCGTGATAGCTTGAGTTAGCGGTGCCTGGATCGACTCGAGCATTTTCTGCATGTCATGTTCTGGGATGCTCAGACGAGCTGCTAGAGGTGGTTTCAATGCTACTGCTTCGCTAGGGAGGAAAGTAACCTCTAGTTCGCATCTGAAGGATGTTGTAGCAAGTACGCTCTTGATGATGGGGTTGAGCTCTTCAATGGTGAGTGCAAAGCGAGGGTTCAGGATAATGAACGCGTTGTAGGGATCTCCGTTAGTGTTACTGGGCTTAGGACGCAAGGGAGCGGCCGAAGTCGTTACTGGCGCTGGCGTAGGGGCAAGACGCTGTTGGATTTGACGACTTCTGGCGCAGTCTGCGAGTGTCCGCATAGGCGCCATGACGAACTTTGGAGTCTTGAAGATGGCAACATGTCGATGCGGCTCCGGATCCATGCTCTCGGAGTCCATGCCGAAATCCTCAGCAAGGTAGTGAATAAACTTGCGCAGGTTACGGGGCATTGGTTTGAAGCGAAGACGCTTCTGATCCGGGTCGGCAGCAAACAGTCTAAGTTGCTTCTCCTGTGTAACAGCCCAAGTGGCGTTCTGCTGGTACATGTTTAGTGTGGCATCTGAATATGGGATATGATCGTTTTGGTGCTCCGGATCAACGTTGAGCGCAAGTGCCAGAACGCGATTACGCTCCAATCGTGCACATTCTTCGTCGCACTTGAGCACCTTTTTCAGATTACCGTCGCCGTTACGCGAAGCATTGCACTTGGCTTCTTGCTTGATTCTCTGGCATTCGCAGGTAACGAAGATCTTGTGTGGGCATGGCTTCTCTTCTTTGCACGGTTGAGGGAAATGGCAGGGTGCCAGGCACGGGTGGCCACAAACACTGAGCTCTTTGCCACATGCTTGAGTGCAGGGGTCTTCACATTCTCCAGGCCGGTGGCATTGCTTCTGGCATTTGTGTGTCCCACATTTGAGCGTACGTCCGCAGACCTGACCGCAGCGTACCTCAGTCAGCCAACATGGCTGATTCTTCAGAACACTCTTGCCACACAAACACGGCTTGGCTGTCAGAAAAGCGCACTTGGGGCATGGCTGGTCGTCTTGATGGCAGCTGTGGTCCAGTTGAGGATGACCGCAATCCTTGGGTCGCTCGCACTTGAAGCGACACGGCGGAGGCTTCGTACCACATGGTAACGGAGGTTGCAAAACGGTCCGTCCGCAATGGCAGCTGAGCTCATCGAAGATAGCATCGCGACATGTACCGCAAGGGCCCTTGTGACAGAGTTCCTGGCAGCGATGTTCGGGGTTGCCGCACTTCAGTTGCCGGCCACAGCTCCGAGTACATATATGCTCGGCTTCGAAGTTCTCGCGAGGCTGCCGAGGAGTTGAATCTAATGGTCTACCTTTGCGGCGATTTGACTGGCGCTCGGCAGCTTTCTTCTCACCAGCACAGCAGTGCTCGCCACACTCGTGACGGCCGCAGTTCAAGGATACTTTGCAGACACGCCTGCACTGGGGAGGCTCGTCTATTCCCTGATGGCATATGGTTCTAGATGAAGTGCGCCCGCATCTGCAGGAGATGTCGACGGTTTTCAGGCAAGACCGGCATTCGCCCTGATGGCAAAGCTGCTCACATTTGTGGCCACATGCAAGTGTCTGGCCACAAGGTTTGTCGCAATTCGGTATCGGGTCTTCGCATGTCGTTCGTGGCTTGCTAGACATGTCGCGCAAGGCAGTCTTACCACATGGGCAGCGTGTGACTACGTCGGGAGATCTCGGGCAATGAGGTGCTTTCGTATCTTGTGGGTGGCATTCTAGTTCGCAAGTGTGTTTCCCGCAGTCGAAAGAACGTCCGCAAAGATCAGGGCACTGGAACGATCCTACCCAGGTCTCTACCGTCGCACTGCCATCAGTAGCGACATGAGATTGGCTGCTCTGCTTCGCTTCTGCTCGGTCGTGACACAAGATGTCTTTCTGGCTCTGCCCACAGTAGCATCGCGCTGGCACTCGTACCTCACAGGCACCACAAGGGCCATCGTGACATGGACGTTCACATCGATGTTCTCCACAAGGCATCAGCCCTCCGCAGACATCACCGCAGCTCCAACCTTGCTCGTAATCGGTATCAATACAACGACGGGTGACTGACTTCTTGCTACAGAAGCAGTGCTGTGTGGGGCCCATCAACCCGCAAGGCGGGCAAGGACCGGCATGACATGTCGATCCACAAGGGTGTGGGCAAGGCTTGGGGAGAACTCGGGGTCGTGAACATGTCTGACCACATGAGAAAGGTGGCAGACCAGGCGTTGATCGCGGATCGAGTTCCTTCTCACACCAACAGTGGAAGTTCTTGGGGAGGGTGTCCTTTGGTAGATTGCAGCCGGGACAGCGCCACTGCCTCGGGGGAGGCGTCTCTCCATCTTGCGTCTGTTGTCGCGCTGCTGCCGAGCCTTCATTTGTTGACCACTTCTTGATACACCCCAAATGAAAAACAGTCCAACACGTCCTACATGACCAGACACCCTTGGTGCGCCTTGTGACATCTTCAGTACAGATTGCGCATTCGTAGTGTCCATTGTCAATATCCTCGTGTGTTCTAGTGGCGATATCGGGTGCGGTCGATTTGGGGGCTTGCGGCTGCTTTTGACGTGGTGGTCGCGACTTGCGAGGGGCGATGGGTTGGCCAGGCTGAAAGGTTGGTGCATCTGCTTGTAATCCTCCTTGGGCTTCTGAGATGGCTGAAGCTGCATCGTCTTCTCCAGTCAATTGCCCACCAAATTGACGACCACCAGCAGCCATACGCTGTGGGAAACGCTCTGCGCCACCTCTTCCTCTACCACCCCGCCCACCCCCACGCCCACCTCTTCCTCCTCGGTGTGCTGCTTCTTGTACAGACGAGGGTACAAACTCGAGAGCGGCAGCGTTCGATTGCGAGGGTCTTGCACTATCTGTTTGGCCTCCTCGCCCTCGTCCTCTGCCACTGCGTCCGCCACCTCTCTGTGACGGTTGTGACGGTTGTGCTGGTTGCGCTTGCGTTTGCTGTGACTGGTCTGGTTGTGCGGCGGCATTTGCGTTTCCACCTCGATTCCGTGGGTGCCGCCGTCTTCGTGCTCCTCTTGAGACATCAGATGGGCCCGCGGCGGGTGGTTGTGGCGCAACTGTAGGAGTCGACATGGTGTGCGATTCGGTTGCGGTAATTTTGAGCGCTGGAATGACGGTTGTGGTATGTGGCCTTGGGCCGCCTAGGGTGAAAGGAAAAGAGTGATATCACGGGCTCTAGTAAATGTACGGCCTGTTGAACTGGTAAAGAGAAGGCGGCTGGTGTGGTGTTGTGACGAGAAGCTTTGCAGTGGCGAGCAGTTATACTGGAGAAAGAAGAGGCGGCGGAGGAAAGACACTAAGACAGACGGTTCCGGGATACGCAGGCGCAGTCATGAGTCAATTTCGACTCATATGTGCAAGCAGAGCGGCACGTTGGCTCGGGCACTCAAGTGCAGTGGCGCAGTGCAGAGGGCGAGCGAGCAAACAAATGATTGCTGCTCCGGGTGACTGTTAGGCATTGCATGGGAATTTACATGGGCCAGCGCGTCATACCCAGGGTCCGGCCAATCGAGACGGCGGCTAGTTCCGGGCGGTCATGGGCGCCGCGTTGGAGCTTCACATCGCGAACGACACCATCGGCCATCGACCTCGCCCACGCACATCTCCACCCACATCATGGTCAAGACACTCGTCGGCGCCCTCGCTCTGGCAGCGCTGCCCTCGGCCCTCGCCTTCCGCAACACGTCGCCCTTCTTCCTCTTCTCCACCGCCGAGTACGCATGCCAACAAGCAGCGCATCCTGACGTCTCCAAGCTAACAGCTGCAGCCTGCTAATCCCCAACAACGACGCCGTCATCGCCGAGTCATCAGAAATCACGGCCGACGTCCTCAAGGCCCTCGAACACTGTCCCACCAGGTCCTACGTCGTCGTTGAGCAAAGGGGAGTCTCCGCCGCCGACTATGCAGACGGCCGCGCCGCGCCACAGCTGAGCCGCTACATGGCTGGCCACCACGATCAAGTCAAGTCGACTGTCGCGATCCCAGATGTTGTCGGAAATGTCGATGCCGCAGCCATCACCCAACATCTCGTCTCCAAGTGCGGACAGGGCTTCAATGACGACGATACATGGTTCGCCAGGCAGACTTTGAAAGACCCATCGACTTCACACGCGCTTCGCATCGAGCAGCTCCAGTCTGATGGTAGGAACAATGCGTCCTGGACAATGGATTGAAGGCTAACAAGTGCAGATGCCACGCTCGAGAACTTCATCGTCAACGACGCCAAGTCCCAGGACTACACCGTAATCTACATCACCACTCCTCAGACCGAGGCGCAAGCCAAGGAGACGCTCGAGCACTACACATACGAGATGGACGCATCCTTCCCAGAGTCTGTGCAGATGGAGCTGAAGCGCGATCTTTCTTCGCATGCCAAGAGGGCAAACTCGACTGAAGGTGGTCTTTTCGAGAAGTATCAGTACTTCACACCCGGACTCTTCATGGGCTTCGCTGCCATCATCCCCTTGTTTCTCATCCTTCTGGTCGGCATCCGAGCCCTTACCAGTCTCGAGGTTTCATACTTTGCCTTTAGCAAGGAGATGGGCCCCAACGCGCAGAAGAAGCAGTAGACGTCTTTCGAATGCATCATGGAATTTGTTGGCGCGCAATGTATATCTTGTAAGTTAGTAGGCATGAGGAACCGGCGTTCATGTGGCTTTGGGTCTGTAGCGAAATACCAACATTGTAGTACCCAGGCTGTGTTGTTATCTGAGATCTTGCCATGCCGATAGCAGAAACCCTGCATATACCAAACTCGAAGTGTGGATTTCAATGCACGCTGCCGGGCCGTTCGGGCGTGCTAGACTGATGATGTTACCTGACCGGTTCCCCAACCCTTTACCGAGAACTCGACATGCCGGAACAACCACTCACGTATGCAGTCAGCGCTAAGGCATGCATCCCCAGATACACGAAGATGGGATCTAAGTCCGATGTCTGGACACCGCTCCGATATAACATGTATATCTAAAGCTCTTTGTGCTCGAACCTTATCACAAGCCTCAACTGCTTTCTAGCGACAAACCATCGACTAGTCCACCCGAAGCCGTACATTTCATCGATCTAGTACTTCCAATAACACATTAGCAAAAGTATATCCAACGCGTTCTGCTATGGCTTTCCCAAAGCCGATGGATATCATCATCCTAGGTGGCGGCATAGCCGGCCTAACGACCGCTCTTTCCCTAACCAAGTTTGCTCCTGCCTCGTCCACACCAAACATCACCATCTTTGAGATCAGGCCAGAGCCTGCAACAATCGGCGGTGCTGTAAACCTCACACCCAACGCCCTACGTCTGCTTTCACATCTCGGGGCTCTTGATGAGATCCGCGCCAAAAAATATGGCGCAGAGTGTCTTGCAGTCGAAGTTTTCGACCTCTACACCAACGTCAAGATAGCAGAAAGCTCATTCAGAGGACCAGACGGAAAGGGATTGGGTGATCCTCCATTCACCGCTCTGAGAATCACGAGAGGAGAAGCGCTCAAAGGCGTGCTTGCTGCCATTGAGAAACATCCAAATATCAAGCTCACATGCGGCAAGAAGACGGTCAAGATCAACGAAAGCGACACTGGTGTGAGCATCGACTTCGAAGACGGAGGAAGCGCAAAGGCGGATATACTTATCGGATGTGACGGTATCCACAGCGTCACCCGCCTCAAGCACGTCGAGCCCGAGCGGAAAGCAATGTACAGCGGCATATGCAACGCCTTTGGCTTTGCACCCCGGCGAAAGATGGACTCCAGTCAAGACTATGAGCCTACGCATTTCGAAGTTAGCGGCATGAACTTTGGTCGTCGCGGCATGATGTTAACGTCCTTCCACGACCAAGCCCAAGAAAGCATCTACGTAGGCGCGCTGATGCAAGTCCCCGAGATCGCTGACCGAAACGGCTGGAAAGCAGCAGGAGCAGATGTGCAGAAGATCCGCGATGAAATGCTCGATCGCTACTCAGGTGCTGCGAACCCACAGATTGCACACTGGATTGAAGATGCAGAGGGTCTATATCTCTGGCCGGTGTTCACTCTTTCCAAAGGGGGCAAATGGGCTACTGACCGTGTTATGTTGATTGGAGATTCCGCACACGCCATGCCTCCACAAGGTGAATCTACAGGCATTGTCTTCGAAGATGGTGTCTTGTTCTCGCGCTGCTTGGCTAAATGGATCGAAGAGAAACGTGACGAAGGCGTACCTGTCAAGGAAGCTTTTGACGCGTATGAATCTCTAAGACGTGCAAGAATCGATACTGCTTTCGATGAGAGTCAAAGTGTTGTCAAGACGGTGCAGGACACGCCTTGGTTAGGGCATAAGATCAAGATGAATGTTGTGCCATGGTATCTTTGGTGGACGAGGAGTTATCGGGAGAAGCATTTCGTAGAGGACGTTACAACGTGCGACATCGGGTATTGATTGGCTGTGTTACTTTTGGGTTCGAAAGGTCCTGGAAGGGTCAACAGCTGCGTCAGAGGATCTATTGCCTGTCGCGTCCAGAGGCGAATAGGTCGAGGATGCCATTGGAAGTGACTTAATACCAAGGTACGGCCCGAACAATGTAAATCATGTCCTTCATTTGGGTTCCCGATTCTCATTATTTTTGCCTCTCGATTGTCGGTCTTCTCAAAGCTCAGACGTAGGATCTTTTCTTGACGACTCTAGATGCATGGCTCGCTTGCCACAAGAAACCCTTTCCAAGATTCTTAACCGCCACCCCATGTCTTACTATTGTTCTTCAGCCCCTCTTGTTTGCCCATTACGTTCCAGCTCCACGGAGCCTCGAGTGTCTCTCATGATTCAGACACATGATGCAAGTTGTATAGGGAATCTTCCCTGGTTTCCCTAACTGTCCTACTAGCTACCATTATATACGATTTTGTTTCGCATACATCATGTTGGACGCTCTTAGACCTCTCAACTACATAATGCGGCCCTTCTTCGATGCGTCAGAATTTCCTTCCTTTCGCTCTCTTTCAGACGATACAAGATGGTACCGTGCACTACAGTCAAACTGCACTATCGGTCCTACTACAAGTCCTATCTCAAATCCTGTCACAAGCCTTCTTTCGATCCGAACGACAGTTTCAAAACCACTTCTCGAACGCCACAACTCGGCTGTAGCTACGCCAACATTGAAATTATGGACTTGATGGAGAATGCGGTTAACGATGGCTGAACTTGGCGCGTACCAGACTAATGAGCTACGGTGATGGAAAAAAGCAAAACAACCTCGACTTATTAGAAAAGGATAAGAGGGACTTGGGGCTGTTTGACAATGAAGATCCAGATGAAGATGTAGCAGAGAGTGCAATGTATAGTGGACTGTGCCAACTTCGTACTGTACTTCTCGCTGTAATATTGGTGAAAAAGAACAAAGTACTACAATCTGAATTATAGCAGCGTAATCGATCCACCATTTGTATACACATCCACCAGATACATTCCACGACAAGCCTCTTCTGAAGTTTCCTGAAAGTCACGCATCCCTTTGAAGCATACAGAAGAAATGCGTGCTCGGAACATTCCGGGTCCTCCGTCTTGTTCAATCAACTCGCTTGCCCACAGGTCTTACTACCCTTATACCAAGCAAATAAGACACCATGCCTGCACAACTCAACTTAACCCAACCCACCCACTTACCCCATCAAGCAACTACAGCTTTTCTATCGATTGCTGCAACACAACCACCTTGATCCATGAACATCTCTAGACGAGAAAAAAAGCGAGTCGCAGCGCAGCGTACCGGCACTGCTGCACGGGATGTGGCAAGTGGCGCGCCGTAATTGGCTCAAAACCGGGTTGCTTGCGCTGGAGAGTGGATTGTCACACCGGTACACTTACCCGGTACATATTGGCATCGAGCCGCGTGGTGTCAAGTTGTTAGGTTGTTCCCTGTTGTCGTTGTATTGAAAGGCATGCAATGGTGTGGATTAAAAGAAAAGGTGTGGGAGGAATAGGGAAAGTGAGATCCTTGAGCTGCAGCAAGGTACCTAGGTACTTTGGAGGGGTAAAGTTGGCTTGGGCTGGGTTGGTGGAAATGAGCGAGCTATTGAACACCGGCGTCACTGCTACAGCAAAAGACTCCCTGCGATTCGGGATCTAGTGTGGGTTTTGTGGAAGCAGGAGGTTTGGAAGCTTCCAAGGGCTTTGTTAAGTAAAGACTGTGAGAGAACTGTGTTGTGGAAGGCGTTCTGCGGCTCCGCACCAAGCGCTGGTGCATGATGGTACCAAACTTCAAAGGAAACCGGTTCCTTGTGGACTCCACACCCTCTCCTCACTCACATGCGAACAAGGAGAGCACAATGACACAACATCTGCAATCGACGCTTCAACCCTTGACGTTCGGCAAAATCGTGGGAGAGCTTCGTGCCGTCCCTAGCCTTCGCTACCATCTCTCTTTCCAAAGTTCTCCCGCTTCGACCCCGTGCCACACGGCTGCATGAACGGCCCCAACTCCTAGCAACCCACTACTCTCAACGCCGCGTCCGAAGCTCCCAAAGAGGACCCTTAGCGCTTCATGTGATCGCAATCTACTGCATAATCACCAGGCTAAGTATACGTTTGCAGCCGTTCCAGTAATCTACAGTCGAAATGTCAGCCTGCCATATACGGAAAACCGCCCCACCCTCAGTAGTTGAGCCGGCCAGGGTCGGTAAAGGACCCATGAGCTTGGTGTCTTTACCTCTAGCCTGCGGTAGAAGGCATAGAGGTGGTAGGTTTATGGATTGAACGTTTGTACGATGACTCGCTGGGAGCGACTGCCCTCTCGAGAAAGCATTCAAGCTGGAGTCTTGGCGGAAATGGATACCTCGGCATCTTGCGGATCTGTTTAGTATAGCATCAAGTTTTCAGGACCAAAAAACTACCTTCATTGATAGCATCAAACAACAATTCAACAAACTGTCCAGCCACCAAGACGATACACAAATCATCACCGACCATGGCGCCGAAAAACCTCCGCAACACTTACACGCCACCTTCGCACCCACATCTCAAACCCATCATCATCTGCGGCGTTGTCATGGCGCTCTCTGCCGCTCCTGTACCGGCCATGTTCCGCCCTGACAATTTCGGCTCACCACTCCCGGAGAACGTTGCTACAGCCGGCCGATGGATCCAAGCTGGCTTGTTTTACTTCCTTTTTGGCGCGCATGCAGTTGAGACGGTCATGTTTATGAAGCGACTGAAAGAGCACGGTGTTGGCTTCATGAGTGCAGCGTGGTGGAAGTGGGTAGGAACTTGTTTTGTTGGAGGACAATTCTGCTTCAAGCATTTTGACAGGGTGGTGGGTAAGCAGCTGTAGATGGAGCTGCTATATACAGGAAGGGTTAGAAGAGAAAGAAGGCACGACAATAAAGATGATATGTTAAGGTCATTTGAGGTTACGTGAATAGTGGAAGAGGGTGTACAAACTGGATTTACCTAGCCACCTGTGTGGATGAGCATTCTTTCTCTTTTCCGAGCAGATCCTCCAAAGCGTGTCTCCCACTTTACACTGTCGTCACGTTTTTCCCGTTCAAAACGTCCAAGAACGCTGTGTAAGCGGACTTTTTCTGGAAGTTATCCGTCCACAGCAATGCAGACCCCTCTCCGTTGAAAGTACCTGGAACCCAAGAATACTTGTCCGCGATACCCTAGAGTTAAACAAGTCAGCGCAAAATCTCCAAGCCAAACAGACTGTGAATGCAATAAAAGTAGCTTACCCATATGGTCATGCCAACACAACGTTGCACATTGATGCAACTCTGGGCAATTCTCGCCCAAGCTGCTGCCGCATCCGCCAACTTCTGCGTATTGCTCGGGGTACGGGATCGTACGTCGAGCTCCGTATACGCAACATCGACACCTAGGTTCGCATAATCTTGCAGCACTTTGGTCAATACAGCAACACTCGGTGTTACTTCACTCTGAGTGCCAGTCGGCTCAGAAACCAGGTGACCCTGTAGACCCACGCCATCGATCTTGACACCCCAGGATTGCACGAGTTTGACAATTCGGAGGGCGCCGAGGTGCTTGGCCGTGCCGTATTCGAGGTTGTAGTCGTTGTAGTAGAGTTTTGCCGATGGGTCGGCAGCTGCGGCCATGCGGAAGGCGATGGGAAGGTACTGCTCCCCGATTAAACGGAGGAAGACGTTGTCTCTGTTTGTACCGTCTTCATTGAGAGCTGTTGTGTGATTAGCTGGCTATTCCTTACTTCATTTCGGTTATCTCGTTTCATCAATCTTCCTACCTTCGTTGACGACGTCCCAGTGAGTGCACTTTCCCTTGTATCTACCCATGACCTGTTTGATGTGGTTTTCCATTACGCTCATCAATGTAGCATTGTTGTTGATTTGGTTCACCCAACCCGGCAGTTGACTGTACCAAACCAACGTATGGCAGCGCATCTATGACAATCATCAGCTCAAACTCCCATAGGAGGTTGCGTGATGACGAAGAAAACTTACCTGCTTTCCATTCTGCGTCGCAAAGTTCGCGATAGCATCTGCACTTCCCCAGTTAAACTGACCCCGGTTGGGTTCTGTGGCATCCCATTTCATCGCATTCTCAGGCGTAATGGAACCAAACTCTGCACTACGGATAATGTTTTGCTCAGTGTTGTCATTGCGGATCGTCAAAGAAGTGCCGATGTATGAACGGCCTCGCGCCTTGATGGCAGCATCAAGCGCTGTAGCTGTTTGCTGCCGAGGGTCGAGAGGCGTGCATACGGCGATGCTACCAAAGGCAAGAAGAGCACTGAGTGTAGGTAGATGCATTGTGAGGATTGTTCGTGCATCCCATGATGGGAGTTGGGGAGCGACTCTAAATAGCTAATCCATCATCCCAGTTGATAGGTGATCCCAACCTGGGTTTCCATCTGATGATCTCGAGATACGATGTAAATACCCGCCTTGACATGTGTTATATAGATTGCGATACCCGTATAGCTGTTTTCCATAGTGGCGATCATACTGGGCAGATCTGGCACAAGCATGTACAACGTGTGTGGGACATGCAAGAGATATCGGAGAAATTAAAGATCGTTAAAAGCAAGGCCGATGGGCTTGGTATCTGCTGAGTGGGCGGGGGAAGGGATTCTTTCGGATAGCCTTTTAGCCTCTTTATCCGCTCGATACCCACTTCATACACCTCACGGCAACACTGACAACCTGTATGACCGACCTGAGAACTATCGTTCAGATGGCTGAGGCTCATTAGACGGAGTTTCTAGCAGTCAACTCAACCAGAAAGTCGACGTTATAAGCCACTCCGCCATCAACGACATAGCTACCGGAATTCTTGACTTGGATGTCGAATCGACGAATGATCTTGCAGGTCAGCGAACTAGACCGCTGAATGGCTTTATACGGGGAACTCACCTCTGGTAACAACTTGTACATCTCTAACTTCGCAACATCTTTGCCTAGACATATTCTAGAGCCGATACCGAATGTAAACTGAGCCGCCTCCAGCTCAAAGTTTCTCTTTTCGCTCTGCAACCACATATCAGGCTTAAAGTCCTCAGCATCTTGCCCGTAGAAGTCTTTGTCACGTTGGACAGTATATGCATGGCTGGTTACATCCATTCCACCAGGTACATAATGTCCATCAATGACTTTACCCTCTTTTGGTATCACTCTAGGGAACAGGTTGGGGGCCGGTGGGAAGAGGCGAAGACCTTCTTTGATGCATGCAACAAAAAACGGGAGATGCTGGAGGGTCTCGTCGTAACGGATGGGTGTTGATAGAAGGCCAGACGACTCTGCTGCATCCAGCTCAGTCCGAACACGTGCAAGTGTAGAAGGGTTTGTCAAGATTAGTCGGAGGATACATCCTAGCGCCGTACCAGTGGTGTCTGCTCCAGCTTGATAGAGAAGTGTGACATGAGCACGCTTTTGCGTTGGAGTCAGTGGAGAGCCATCTGAGTAACGGGCATCAAGGCAGCTAAACACGATGAGTACAGAGCAGTAGTCAGGCACATGTTGTATACTTACTGCTGCAGGAAGTCTGGCCTCCCTTCAAATGGTTTCTCCTTGTTCTGCTGCTCCCGCCTGGTAACTTGACGGTCCGCTTCGCCCATCAACCAGCCCATTCCATAATCATTGGATGTAGTTGGTAGTAGCAAGGAACCTACAACAGGCAGTCGCAGAATCCTTTCCCTGAAGAATCGACACCTCCCTGAGAAGCCGAAGAATGTCAGGCCCTTGCGCCAGTTGGTCAATAGATACTTCTCATCGCGCTGATTCTCGACACTACCAAAGGGTTGGGTGAATGAGATGATGCTGAGGATGTCTGCCGCAAATTCCGCAACCTTGTCGGAGAGGCAAATGGTGCGCTTAGCTTCCGCATGTTCTTTCAGCTTCTTGATAAGAAGAGAGACCTGTTCATCGAAGCGAGGTTCCCATGCATTCTTCAGTGGACCAATAGACCATGGCGCATTCGACAAAGCTTTGCGCAAGACACGATGCTTCTCGCCGTCTATCGTAGAAACCAAATGCGGGGGACCCAAAGCCCCACTATCATACATGCCGCCCCTTGTGTTGCATTGTGGATCTCGATAGATGTCCTTGAGGGCGGAAGGCTTGGGGAAGAGCAGCATCGTAGGAGAGATGCGAATGGGGCTGTCCGCTACGCTTGTGGTTAGAACCTACGGCTGTAGGGAACTCGAGGGCCGCTTACTTCCATATTTCTCTACCAAGTACATAAAGAACTGAGGCTCTTTGTGCAATACAGAGACTATGGCCCCAAAGACAGAGAATGAGGACGCATACCATGGCCCTGGGAACTTTGAAAGAGGATGCAGTTTCTGCATGTAGAAGATTCGACCAAGTGTTGCTGTCAAGAGTATCACAAGCGTAGCGATACTTGCGTTGAGAGCCTTCGCAACAAGATCTGTCGTATCCATCACTGCCATCATGCCCACGACTTGCGTGCACAAACTGTTGATCAATGGTAAGAAGAACACAGGACAGAGGGATGAAAGCAAAACGAGTCGCTAGAGATGATTATATTGCTCGACAGGACTCCTCTTCGCCCACCCACCCCACACTGGCTGCATGTTCTTCGTCCTCCATGAGGGGTAAACCCATGTCATACCGGCATACAGGGTGCAAAGACAAGGAAAGTTGTCGTTCTGGGGAACGCTCGTCACTGCAGCTGCAACACTGTGACAGGTCAAGCCTATCGTATCCGCGCTGTGGTGGATGCCTACCCTCGGCGCGTGTGAACATATTGAGTGCCTCCACCGAACCAAGCAAAACACCTGTCTGAGCAGCTGCGAATTAATCAAAACTTTGCTTACGAAACGACCCTAGTTGATTAGCTACGACTGTTTGAGGACTGTGAGTGAAGCTTAGGCGAGTCGGCGCATATCACGCCTCATTCATGTGTTCTGAGGGGCTGGCTGGGGTGATATGCAGGTGGCATGCGGGAATCCTAACGGGAGGAAATACGCGTCTTTGCCGCAGCCACTGCTACATGGATGGGGCGGAACGAACCTCAGTCATCACCTAATCTGGCAAGACGCGTAGGTCCAGTATGCGTCAATGATTGCATGGGCGCAAAGACATAGCATGGCGAATATGAGGAGGTTGGAAGAAGAAAGTTGCCGTGTACGACCAAGGCACGACCAGACCGGGCAGGTACGTCATCTACCTAGCTTTCTTAAACGGGCAAGTAGGGGCTCGAGCCATCGATTCCGGCGACTTCGAGTGAAAAGCATCAGGCTCAACGAACTCTCTTTGACATATCGGGAGTGCATAGTCATCATCCTTTCTCGGCTCACACGCCATGTACTGTGCCAACACATGATTCATCCAAAGTCAGTTGAGATACCGCTACAGCACCGAGACGACGTCAGGGCGCAAATGATGTTGAGAGCATGTTGGCGCGAAAATCATGTTCAGACAAAGATGGCGTTAGGTTAGACATTGTGTTCACCTGAGTTTCTGGCGCAGTTATCTACAGGTGCACCAAACCTGACGCATTTGGCAACTGGGTTATTCTGACCAATCAGGACTGCTTGCAAGGACCCCGCCCCTTTTGCTCTTCTGTGTCTGCGTCTTTCGCCAACCAGCAGACTTCGCTATGGCCTCCATTGACAGTGACCACACCTATATTTCTGGATAGTACAGCTTGTTCTTGTCATGTTTTGCCGCTCCAAGATGGCACAATGACCTGCCGCCTGCGACATGTGCGCCGTCCTTCCGTGTGAATCTTGGTTATCTGCGGTAGTGTGATGTAACAACACACAGGGACAGCACGTCTGGACCCCGAGTGCATAGAACAATCCGTAGCGATGCCTGGTACTGAACCAAGAGTAGAAACCCACTTTACCGCCCTCACAGGCTCCGGCTCTCTAAAGCGGGGTTCCGAGAGGAGCAGGTTATAATCCTTGAACGCTTTCCTATCTCATGGGCTAGACACACGAAAGACAAGACCGTACACCATGTCAGATATCAACCCTTTGGATGTCTTGGCCATCAAGAACGTCGTATCGCGGTATTGTCAGGCTCTGGATCTGAAGGACTTCGATCTGCTGGGCAAGGTCTTCGTACCGGACGTTGAAGCCAGCTACCCCTTCAATGAAGCCATACAGAGCCTTGACGAACTGAAGGATGCGATCAAGAACCGGTAGCTTTATCCTCCGTAGATTGGCAAGGATGATGTCTGACGATACACAGCCTTGGACCGATCCGAACACATCACAACCTCACCACACAGACCATCACATTCAGATCCGATGCGCAGACGGCCCGGGTAGTGACGTATTTCCAAGGGGTTCACGTAAGTACTCTGTTTCAGTTCTCAATCCCAGCTCGGTTAGTGCATCCCACATACACTCAAAGTCTCGTGTATGCGCTTGGATTGTGTGACAACTTAGCGTGTCGCATACGTATCTGTATTCAGCCTACGCTTGAATTCGAGTACTAAATTTTGCAGTTCGGACAAGGTCCCCACGAGGGCAAGATGCTATGCGCGTATGGCAAGTACGTGGACGACATGGTAATGCTAGAAACGAAGCAAAGTGACTTCGATGGTGTGCGCGGTGCAAGTGGTATCTGGAGGATCAAGGACAGAACGGTAACCTTCACCCAGCGAATTGGAGACGAGAAGATCATGAAGGAGCATTGAGGGCTGAAATATTGTGATAGAGACTGCTGTTGCCTTCGCAGCACCTAGCCCACAAATGATGATGGTGCCTCCTTCCCTACCAAAGCAGTCAAGAGCTTTAGCCATGTGATGCTGTTGCGTACCTTCAAGGCTCCTTGCTTACCTTCCAGTAACTGTTTTCTTGGCTCAGTCACTCTCACCAGAAGCAATAGTTTGCTATCGCTAATCATTCCAGCTATCCCATTACCACCATTGCAGTGTTACTATCGCTTACACACGCCGAGATATTCTTCACAACTGCAATGGCGCCGCCCGAGACGACTGGCAGGTTCCCATCCAAATGCGACAAAGCACGAGAGACTGAAGAGGCATTCAATTAGGACTTGTGCAACATATGGATTGATGAGTAACATGGCCGTCGCTGTTGCAGTCACCAGCTAACAGGTTCAGTCATGGAAGCTGCGCATCGAATAACTTCTATAGACTCCGCGCAGAGTGGTCCCACTCACCCTACCGCAGCGATGAGATCGAAGCATACAACAAACCATCTGACGAAGTTGGCACCAGAGCCACATGCTGCATCGTTTACATCCGCAACTTCTTACGTACTCCACACGACTTTGTCTACTGCATACATGGGCCTGCGAATCTTGTAAAGTTTCACTCTGGCTTGCACGGAGGAGACGCGGTATGTTGGGTTAAGCATCGAGTTGTGATCGAAATGACGCTAATCGTACGCAGTACAGTACAACGGCCCAGTCCTCGCGTCGGTTGTATCGCTACTCGGACAGACAGTCGTACACGATGGTCAGAGAATTCCGCCAATCTGTTGGAACAGGTTCGACAGGGTACGCAAGCAGCCAGGAAAGCAGAACAAGATTCGCTGGTCGTACATGTTTGAGACAGCAAGATTGGCATGGAGCAAGATGACTTTTGACGCCAGGTCCCTGCAGTTACTCGAAGAGTCTCTAGCAACTGCTACCAATCAGATAGGCTATCCAGAGACTGAGGAGACATGGGGGGAAGGCGCCATTAGCGCGAGCCAGAGAACGAGCCAGGAGGCGAGAAGCATTGCTATCGAGATGAATCTGAAGTTACTCAAAAAGAAAGATGATGACGACGAGATCCTCTGCTTCCTCAAAAATGAGCTGCATGGTCGGCAGTTGCGATTGCAACGACACAAACTTTCGGACGAGCAAACCCGCCTTCTCAATCAATTTGGGGAGATTCTCGACGAGTTTGACTACTTATGCAGCCCCGACAATCCAGATGATGCAGATAGCAAAGCTTTTGAAAGAAAAAAGGCTTTGCTGACTACAGAGAGGGACGATCTGATCAAACAAATACAATATGAGATCACCAAACCCTCTGAAGCATCCGATACGGCCAGATCTTCAACTTCGTCTCTAAAGTCGCTCCAGGGAGAGGACGAACATATGCCTGTGGAACAAGACCAAAATACGCCAATGACCAAGGATGAGCCTACATGTCTGAGTGAAAGCAACCTTGACGCTATACGGGAATTCTGCTCCGTTACTTTCGCCAGTGTCGACCACGCCAAGGAAGTGCTTGCAATTTTCAATTACAATCTAAAGGAAGCTTTAGATTTTCACTTCGAAGACCAAATGGCCGACCAGAAGGCTTTAGATTCTGCTGATCCTAAGATGGATGTCGATTCAGAAGAGCTGGCAAGAGCCGTGCAATCCAGTCTTGAACCTGAATCTGAACCTCCTGGCGGTGAACGGAATGTTGCAGCTAATGATTGGGCAACGAACTACGAGTCTAAAAGGGATGCACAGTCGCCCAGTGAAGAAGACTCTACCAAAACGAAGGGCGAGGAGCAACTCACGGAAGACACTTCCCGAACGGGTCGCTCTCACGCCGGCCAACCCATCCTACTAGATGCTCAGGGAAATTTTAAATCACACTTGCATACAGAGCCTCCCCCGAAAAGTTTGTGGGAACAATACCGAGCTATGCGCGAGAGATTGCATGTACAGTACTACGGTTCCAGCACGTGGTTCGATGACCCGGATCCCCTCCGGGGCGTTCCTGCCAGGGAAAGGGCTGAGCACGATGACAATGCAGTTTCGAATGTGGATACCGATAACTCTGGAGGGCACAAAGATGTTGAGCAGGAAAAAGCAGCTATCGAATACCGTGCAGATGCTGAAATGGCAATTAAGCTCGAGGCTGAGGAGCGAGAAGCCCAAGAGAGAAGAGACCAAGAACATGCGAGATCGCTGCACTCACAGCTTAACGCACTAGATGAAGCAGAACAAGCCGCCAATGCAGATGGGTTCGGTGAAATAGCTGAAGAAATGGCAGAAGGAACAGCCGCAACCACGCTGTCCAATGTGACAGTGCATGCGTTGGGGCAGAACACCCAAGATAACAACGATTCTACACGCAATAACCACAGCCCTGCACAAAGTGAGAAGGATTCTGTGATGGGTGACGACAAAGCTCCGTTCAAGATGGACCTTGACCGCGTCATGGAAGAAGCGGAACATAACAACAGACAGAAGGTGGAGCAGGGGGATACCGAATCCAACTCCTTCGTCGACCCACGGGATCTTGAGAAAACGGCAAACCATTCAGACGACGTCGAGATAGAACAACGCAAGTACCTATTCGACTCAAAGGAAGAGGGAGATGGTTGGTACGACAGTGACCGAGACCGGATGGATATCTATGGTAAAAACATGGTCGGCTCTGAGTCAGGCGCGCATGGCGAAGAGCCAACGTTCACACCGAGCGAAAACAGAGATGCCTTTATGAGCTCGGCTACGGACGACAAGCAGCAGACTTTTGGCACCAATGAGGAAGAAGTACAATGCACGGAAAAAGAAAAGTTCGATTCGCCCATGGTATTCAAGCCGAATGAGGATGTGGACATAGACGCTGAAGACGACGATGTCAAAATCCTCAAAGTCGATGAAGACGACGATGTTGACATGGGCGGCGAGAGTTCGAATTACTAGTAGGCTTTCGCTTAGCCTCTTGTCTACGGATGATATGCAACGGGGCTTACGACAGGTGGCTAGAGAGATTATAGGGTAGCATTATACATTGGTAGTCCTCATCTTCTCCATGCTTCGCATTTCACCCGAGGCAATCAGTACCAGTCAAAACTCAGAACAAAGTGTTTTTTCTATTTCAACACTTAAGCTAGCAGGACTACAACGTAAAGTGCCCACAGAATGCAAGGGTATAGGACCACACACGGTCAAGTGGTGACGATGTAAGAAAGATCTATAGACCCCAGGATCCCGTCCAAGCGGGTGATGCGTAGAAACATCTAAGTGCATATTTCGTTACTCGTATCTCTCGTATGCCTATAAGCAGTACGCAAGCTCATCATACTTGGTGGCCGTGTCAACGACCCAAGGATACTAGAAGTCACATCCATTGACTACTCATTATCCAAGAACTCTACCATAACACTGGCACCCTTGAGTCCGGCGGCTTCGACCGTGTCGTCGACGTGGTCGAGGAGGTTCTTGCCCATGAACGCCAGATCGAACTCAGCTCCTTGCTTGCCTTCCCAGGGCACGTCGGACTTGATCCATTCGTAGACACGGCGAACAGGGTCTGTAAGGTTGAAGCGGCGCACAATCGGACGGCCTGACGGGCCACGGAACTGGATGCGAGTCGTGACCTTGGGATCAGTAACGGTAGGCTCGGTATGAGGAGCATGTGCGGAGATGGCAGCGAAGACAGGATTCGAAGGAGCTGCCTCGGGCTCAGCTGGCGGCTCAGAAGCGACTTCTTCGGCCTTGCCCTTGCCCTTGATGTTGTCTGTAGACTTGGTGAGAGCATCTGGGTCATCGTCCTTCGGCCCCTTGCCGTTATCCATGCTGTTTTGTAGCGCCATCTCCAGCATCTCCTCTTCTGTCATGCGACCGACATCCTTCTTCTTAGACTCAGACTTCCGCTTCGCTACAGGGTTCTTCGCATTGACATTGAGGCTGTAACGGTCGAGGAACTCATGAAGCTGAGCATGGAACTCAACTGGTTCGGGTATCGGTGGTCCCGACCAGACCTTGACTTGCTCGCCTGTTCGTGGGTCAACGATGGCGATGTGGGGGTAGGCGTCAGAACTGTCACGGGCGTGGAAGTAGTAGTTCATGTACTGCTGTCCACGCTGATCATCCTTTGCATACTGCATGAAGATGAAGTTCTCTCGCACAGTTGCCTTGATATCGTCATTCTTCCAGATATCCCTGTTAAGGCGCTGGCAGTCGAAGATTGCCGGGTCTTGGATGTTGACAAGCAGCCACTTTTCTTCGTCCTTGCCCATATCTCGCGCCTTTTCCCACGATCCTTGGTACATGATCTCAAACGGTGGTCGGAATAGCTCTGCGAGCATGTTCATCTTAGAAGACTGCTCTGAAGCACCGCCAGTCGCGGTCGCAAGCTCGCGTCGCCGGGTGCTCGAATCGGTCGTGTTATCCCAGACATTGGTATGGGTTGTGTGCTGGTTGAAGATACCGGCGCGGCCTTCATCAGATGGGTCAGCAAAGTCCGAAAACTGTATATATGAGGTTTGTGGCATACCTGTCCGCCGACGAGCAAGCTGCTCCTGGACCATAGCATCAAGATCTTCTTCGTCATCGGCAGGCCCCCAGTTTGAGCCTGGGCCAACAAGTGTTTCCACTCTTCGTTCTATGGGCGCGCGAATCTCATCATTGCCAGCGCCACCGGCGGCGCCGCCGCCGCCGCCATACATCTCTTCTTGTAACCTCCGTGCCATGGCTTCATCGTCTTCCACGCCTGGTTGTGCCCGTGTGGACGGCGCGTTGCCTTGTGGTGCGGGATCAAAGTCCATGTCATCATCGGAGTCGATATTGATGGGATTCTGTGCGGAGGAGGCGGCTGCTGAGGGCTGTGATGGCGCAGCAGGAGCATCGGCAAGTCCAGGAGAGTCGAAGAAGAGTTGTATGGCCTGCTCCAAGTTGCCATCTGTTAGGCGCAAGTACTGAGCAGCCTGCTCTGGGCTGCAGGACGTGATGCCGCAGAAGTTGGCAACATTTTCCTCATCCATCTTGGGCGAGTGTATGTGTTCCGCCCTCTGGTGTTTAAGTTT